AAAAAATTTTCCTTTCGCTCTGCAGAAAAATGGGATGGCAATGACCCCCCGGCCCACCGGTTTCGACTGCCCTGAGCATGGTATCTGAGCTCAATTTAATTTTCTGCTATAAGATACGTTGCGTTTGTCAAATGATTAGTCAATCTGATTGAAATGATAAACCATTGGTCATACACATACTTTCTTCTTGATGCAAACAAATAACTGAAACTAGTGATAGCAACTGGGTATGGTCCGATGAAAGTCGGAGAAACTTTTTAAATGCTTGTAGGTGGTTGAATCAAAAGAAGTCGAAATTTTAAATCTCGTAGACAAATTTATTAATTCTTACTACTTATGAACTTTTCCCTTTCAATGTCAACTAAAAGGGTTAAGATAACTTGTTTCGATGTCAGACGTAAGGTGTGCTGCGTCATTAAGGCACTAAAATATAGGAAAGAAAAATTTTCTTTGACAAAGCGGAGGTACTCGAAATGCAAACATTGATTTAAAGACTAATGGGAAACTTAAATTTGAATTCAAGATAAACTTAAAGTTAAACAAAAGACAGTATCAAATAACTGTTCTATTAACATTTCAGTGAAGTAACATTTCATATATATTCTAGATAAGGTCATCACGTTGCAGAAAAGCTTGGAAAGATATAAATATTGTGTCAGGTAACATTGTTTTGCTTGGTAGGGTACTCAGCATTTCAAATGAACTGGACGTAAACAGAACAGATAGAACAAAAATTGGAGACCAAATTTTACGATAAGGATATAATAAATATTAGAAATAACTGATATGAAAAGCTTCAATCCAGGGTAACAAGCCCCATCACCGGATTAACAGACATGATGTCGGCCACTCAAACGTAGACATTCCTGGAACTTTCCTTCAACATTTTTGAGCATTCTGGACTGTCTAATGACAGTTCAGAATTTATTTTTATGACCGATTTCTTCCGACATCTAATGTGTGACAAACTTATTATTGACTATTGTAATTCTGTTGAATTGTAAGCACCATCTGCAGTCGGGACCAGATGACTATATGTCCTTCCCCACTACATGGTGCAAATAAAGTAAGTTGTTTTTCTCTTTAGGTTTTGATTGATGATAAAAAACGGCAAAAATACAAAATTCTTTAACGAATGTCTCAGTTTCAGCTAGGTAGTAGAAACACTTGACTAAATATGATACCAGATCCTCATTTAAAGATGTGTTGCAAAAACTTTGTTTTCTCCCTTTCTCTTTTCTAGTAAAATGATAGCCTCTTGAAAACAGGATATGTCTCAATGATATTTCTCAGTTGTTAAAAGGATGTATTAATTTCGAGCACAAAATTTCGTATTTCAGACAATGTCTGACAATATTTGGTTGTTGAAAAGTGCACTATTCATTTTTTGCCGAATAAGTGAAAGATAGGCAGCAATTCTCAAAAGTCTCTAGCCGTATATAATTGAATTATATTTTTTTATAAATGCTACGGAAGAAAACAGTAAAAGAGTTAGGTTAAAGAGTTCTCAAGACCTCTATTGTTCAATGATCTATTATTTTAAGGCACTTGGTCATGAAAATCACTTTTAATGCACCTCAGGGATCTGTTCTTAAGACCTCCATTTTTGTCCACCATCTCTTTGCAGGTGATATTATAGTCAAGTCCCGTTATCTCGAACTCGCACAGGAAATAAAAATTCGACGTAGAGGGACTTCGAGGTATCCTTCGAGGTATCGAGATTTTTTCGATCAAAAAGGAATCTCTGTTTGTTAAGTATTCTGTGTTTAAAGTGGAATATGAACCGAAGAAAAGAGCTCATTTCTCTCCAAAGCTTTGTTAAGCATTGAATTGAACTTAAGTAGTCTATTAATGAAAATTGTTTTATATTTTGGTGTACTTCTTCATGGCAAAATGGCAAATGACAATGGTTTTATTTTTACTTCTGGTGTCAAAGTAACAGTAAAAGAAGAAATACCCATTATAAACACAACTGAATTTGAAGTGAATTCTTTTATCCAAGGGTACCATGTTTATTATTCTACTTGGCAGCCCAAGATTGGAGAGGAATTTAAGGTCGTGATGGAGCCAAACAACATAACCACAAATACGCAGTGTGAGTATAGAAAAACAAGCGATTGTATGACATTTACCAAAAATCAAGACAGACAAATTTGCAAAAACGATCTTCTTCTAGCAGACTCAGGGCAGATGAATTTAATTCCTGTGTGGTGAATGGCAATTGTGTAAACTTTTGAGATGACAAAGGAGTGCAAGTCCCTTGCAAGTTAATCATTGTCAGACAACCTAAGTTCATTTTATTTTTGAAAAGATGAGTTATCATTGCTGTGATATTTAATAGCTGAAAATTGTTGTCACTTTTTGTTCGAGGTAACCGGGTTTTCTCTTTCAAGGGTAAAAATTTCGTTCGAGATAGCGAATAGTTCGAGATAAGCGACTTCAAGGTAATGAGTCTTATTTCAATACCAAGCCTTATAGGAAACGGCTAAAGATGGAGAGTTTTTCGAGATAACTGTGTTCAAGATAGCGGGATTCAACAGTAACATCTTGATACAAGGTTCTTAAGAATCTAGTTGAAAGGTTATCATCAATCTTGAATTTGTAAATTTAGGTGTTATTAAAATCAATTAAATCATCTTCCGGTCGTCCTCCTCATCATTAAATCTTGTCACTAAAACCAAAATCAGCAAGAAAGACATTACCAGATAAAAAGGTTAAATTTCCATGCTACTTTCTGGATGAAAAATCAAATAGCGCTTTGATGAACTTTTAAAAGAAAACTGGCTATAACTTACGGAATCATGTAGTAATCTTCTTCCTTTCGATACATTGTTAAGTATCTACAATGTATTTTTTATTTTACTTGATCCAGTACAATAATTTTGATTTAGAGAAGAACAAACTTCAGTTTCCAAATTTTTATATTAAATATGAGAGTTTATCGTTAAGATCGATCCGATGTCTATAGCGGAGAAAGTTTAGATGTTGCCGGGAGATATTTTTAATATCTTGTAGCAAGGAATGAATTGACGGACAACAAAAATCAGAAGTTTAGTATTTTCTTTTGATATATGAATATTTCCCTTTAATGCACCAAAACTTCTTCAAAGAAGAAGTCGATGCATACGCACGCAAGGATTCATGCGGAGGCGTGCAACCTCACAAGACTCAATGTTTGATCGATGATCTCAATTTTTTCATCTGTGAATCCCCATACCGTTTACCGCTGGTTTTGAATATGCAAACTGTATTCTCCCACAAAGGCCGCAAAATAGAATTAGGACAAAAGGTCCATCCTCTTCAAGAAAGTCTGACTCCGAACATTTTCGCTCGCAACATGCAAGCGAGTTTATGCAATCCAGAGCGACTCTCTTTGTCTGTCAGCCACGTCACAGACCAAGCCTACATTATCTTGACCAAGCGAATGTATAAAATGTCATCATCCTGAACGGGTTAGGGTGATCCATTTAAGATACTGTCTTTCGCCTTGTTAAGATTGAATAACATTTACTGGAAATTTTTAAAGATCGCTTTCAATTTTCTTAGTTAATTTGATGATAAAACTTTCAAACGCTAGTGATGCAAGCAGACAGCACAAAGCACTATAATTTATTGATAAAAAAGATTTGACGGCGAAAGTGATCACTATCAAAGCTTTAGATTCAAAACAGGTGGCTGCGATTTTCAATCCTTTTAAGGCAGTTTGAGAAGCATATCAAAGACTTGAGACTCACATTACGAAATCATGGCAATTTTGGTGAGTCTTCAATTCACAGGAAACGAAAGCGTTTCAATCTTTTCATTAAACTTAGTCATTGTCCACAAATCCTTGTGCTTTCGATTGATTATCCCTCTTTTTCATTAATATTTAATAAACGTAACAAGTTCAAATAAAACATCAAGAATAAATATTGGCTTAAACATTTTCAGAACGCTTCTGGATACCAAGACCAGAGATGAACTTTGGAAGCCCCAAACTGGTTATATTTTGTTTACATCTGGAGGCCATAGTTGCTTTTCATTGAGAGAAAGATGCTTCACAGGAATTGAGCAGACGTTCACCAGGAAAATAAGCTGCTCATTAAACTTTAAGAGCAGAAAACAAGAAAATAAACAACTGCATGATAAATTGGGCTCTTGGCTCTCAACGGGATACTACCGAGAAAGAATAGAGCATTTTAAGAACAGCCTTATAAATAATGAGCACACTGAGTTTAAACAAGTAAGTAAATATTTTTAAATATCTATTAAATATTCAAAGATTGGTAATCGAGGCCGTGATTTTCAAATAAAGCAGAAAATGCTAGATCTACAGCGAAGCAAGCAGACGTCTTATGTTTGTTGTAGCTGGCTACAATGCAGATGAAAGTATAAAGCTTTGCAAGAAGTTATTCGTCACCACAAAGCCGGCCCAACCTCACTCTTTTGGAGGTGCTTCAAATACGTCGAACGTCGAACAAGCACATTAATGGCAACTGAAGCTACAATCTACGCAACAAGCTTCCTTATTTTCTGCTGGTCCTTGATTCTTATCAACTGCTGTTCTTTTTTGCTGAATCTAGCCATGCTGACAGTTTTCTGGAAATTCGCAAGCAGATTATTACGCCATGGTGCCAATCGTATTCTTTTCTCTTTGGTCCTGTCGGACATATTTGTGAGTTTATTTGGGGCTTTACTTGGCATTTTCTTGCTCACGGGTCAGTCGCAAATGCTCTATAAAATAGCAGGTACTTTACCATTATTTGGAAGCATGTTTGTGTCAAAGGGGTCATTGGCATTGCTCACGGCAGACCGGTTGGTCTCTATCAAACGACCATTTCAATATGGACATAGATCATATCTCAGGATCATGACAAGGGTGCTTATTCTTCTTTGGCTTATTCCAGTTCTAGTAACTGGCCTACAGATCATTGTCTATTTATATACATCTGCAAATTTTGAGTTGAAAGTCAGGAGTGGAGCAATGGTTGTCTTTTTCATTGCCGTTGCCACGGTTCTCACAGCTTCAAACGCCTACCTTATATCAAGCTTCAAAAAGCAGAACAGAGTATTAAGTGAAATGGGGACAAATATAAGGAACAGAGGCAAGCAAAATAGTTCTAAAAGCAGCCAAGAATTAACGGGAAGCCAACCAAATCTTGTCACTTGGCCGCAAGGCGGTAATTGTGACTTCAAAGATACTCGTTTGCAAGTACCAATGGGGCAGCCGGCTGCTGTTAAAAACAGGCAAGTGAACACTCTTGAGTTTCAAAGTATGAGTGTTTCCAAGTACGAAATTGCCCCAAGCAAGGCAAATGGATTTAGAAACACGACTGATAAGGATGTGCAGATACAAGCCCTAGCATCACGAAGAAACGAAGACAGAATACTAAGGACCTGTATTGCTGTCGTTATTATTTTCGTCTTGTGTTGGGTCCCACTTTGCGCATATCGTCTTGCATATCTTATCGGCAGGACATTTGCCGTACCATGGTTTCGGCGACTCGCTCTTTGCCTTGCCGCGTCGAACAGTTTGTTGAACCCATGGATGTATATTTTGATCAGAAGAGATTTCAGGAAGATGCTCAAAAACATCTTTTGTTCAAGAAACTATCTAAATTTAACAATATTATAAGTGTAAGAAAAGCAAGAAAAGATGCAACCCTTTGCAACCATCGAGACACACATTGAGATTGGGGATTACAGAAATTAAAGTGCCAAAGTATTTAAGAATTTCGAGTTCTCGTTATACGGAAGACATCATCAACAATCTGCATTGATTCGGAATAAGAAAACACAAAAAGAAAAACGTAACAAACGAAAAAGATCATCTCAACGTTCTTCTATATACTTAAATATCTTCCATAAAAACGATATACGATTTACAAAAGAAGCTTCAATCTACTTATGGGCTCCACTGAAAATTGTAAAGAGCCATTGACAATCTATAGTTCAGTTCTACAATACTGCAGTGTATTGAAAAAAACATTGTCGCATGAGCATCCAGCAAATACATTCATCTTATGCTTGCTTCTTTCCCGTTTAGTGCTTTTAGCCTGTTGTACCAAGACGGTGTCTCTCTTGCCTGCATATGTAGCAAGAGACAGGAATGAAAAGAAATTAAAACATATCTTTAAAACTACAAGAAAACTGGAAATAGAAAGTTGCGTGCAATTAAACCTATCAATTATTTTACAAAAAGCCTTTAACACAAAAAAATCTATAAGAAAAAATAAAAAAATTGTTTCTTATTCATTTGTGTTTTTAACTATCGAAACTAAATTTATTTCATTATTGCACTAAATTTATTCGCTCGCTATATTATCATAATATATAGAGGCCTTGAATCACCATGACAAATCTTTCAAAAGTCTGTGAATCCCGAGGAAATTACTCTCGAAAAGGAAGTTATAACAAATCGTTAATGAACAAACGTTTCAGTGTTTGTTTGGCTTTATTGCTTGAAAAATACTATGGCGTAAACAAACTCAAGCAATCTAAATGCAAACAAAGCTTATGCATCGAGTGCTTTTAACAAGCAGATTTCAACTGAATTAAATGCTCTCATTTTCCTAAACAAGATGCAAGCATTATACAAGCAAAAACAAATATTTGGTTAACAGCGTTCATTAAATGATTCGATCAACAAACTTCTGAAGATTATTTCCACAAACCTTGCTTCTAAATAGCGCTGTCGTTGACATGACATGTTTCAGATAATACGTGCAAAGGTGAAAACTTTTCAACAAACTCACAAAGCTAGCCCAATTCAAAATTACAAATCGGTAATAGACCAATGACAATATTTAATGATGACACACCAAATTTGCGGGGCGTGGTGTTGGGACAGCGGCGTCTTCTTCGTGCGGCTTTTCGAGAAGAACAGTTTTACGTTTAGTCACAGGCTTGCTGTACTGTTTGCCTCTCTCTGATTCCGAGCACTGGATGCCAATCAATGCTTGCTTCAATAAATTCATCTCCTAAAAAATTTCGAGGAATTTAAATTTGTCTTTCAAGATGTGAAAGCCACTAAATAAATATTGGGTGAAAACATAGAAGAATATGTGCCTTTCCCAGCTCTGAGTTGTCCCAAGCACAACCAAAATGTTTAAATATTACAGAGAAAAGTAGATAAAAAGTTACAAACATAGTACTTAGATGGCAAATGTGGCAGCAATTGAGAGCACAGCACGCGATCTGCCCGTGTTTTGTGCACAGCAGTGTTAACTTATGCAAAAAAGAAGAAGTCTCTTTGTCGTCTCTGATCAACAACGTTGAGGGTATCGGTCACTCAAGAAGAAAGCAATAGCATGCAGAATATATCGAGCAACTTTCTAATAGCTACTTCTTGAAAGCTTTTAAGGGTGTTTCATACCTCTCTCTGATTCAAAAGCCTTTCAAGATCCAGAGTCATTTGATCATTGGTCTTCTTCAAAGTGGAATTTTCAATCCGTAACCGCCTTATTATAAAAAAATTAAGGACAAAATACATCGTAAGCATTCGTAATCATAAGAATTCAAAAAGAAATGCATGGACATTTGCAAAGCTCACAGAGATTTTAGAAAAACATATAACAAAATACAACGAATATCATCACAGGTAACTGGGCCTGAAAAATACGCTTTCCAACAGTTCAAATCGGCACCAAAAAACGGCAAACAAACATTATAGGCAAGAAAGATAACTTTATGATAAGATGGCAAAGAAGCAGAAAACACAAAAAGACACAAAACAGGTTGCAGCATAAGCCTGTCCAAAGCAGAGCAGCACGCAGCAAACTGCACGCAAAGATGGATGTGTGTTTTGTGACCATTGTGACCAAAGGGTGAAAATTGATTCAAAAACTTAAGAATTAAAGTTGAATGCTAAAAATGAAAAATCAGACAGATAAAATGAAGCAAGATGAAGACCAAAGATAATGAGACAAGTTACTCCCTAATGAATAATAAATGAAATGTAAAAAAATAGGAAAAGTCAAACATGACTTACAACAGATGTTTTGCATTCGTCTTGATTAAAATTTACGCAAATAGTTTTAGTTTTAGGCATTTGTTTCAAGAAAATATTTGACGAAGTATCACAGAAGCAATTATGATCTGAACACCAGAAGAGGGTCTTAGTACAATGACAATAACAAAATTCAAAAGGAGATTCAAAAGGAATTCGAAATATCACAGAAGCAATTATGATCGAACATTCAAAAGGAGATTGTTTTTCAGCAGAAGAAAACTTAATGTGCAAACCTGATGTCATCGTTTAAAGTGTCTATGGTTCCTTTCATTTGCTTGTTATCATCGTCCCGTATCTTAATACTGTCAATAAGACAATTGTACGGCTGCTTTGCCTCAGATAATAATACTGTGGTCCTAGAAAGCTGTAGAGAAGGCGCCATTAGAAATGGTGCAGAATAAATCGTAAAGGGTAATAGTATCAAAAAGTTTCTTTGCTGCGGTGATAAAACCTACACAAATGGAGAACTCAGTCGATTCTATTGCAGTCTATATGCAATGGCAATCATTGTCTTTCGGTCTTTTATAAAGTACTCGATGCCGTACAGGCAGAGTTATAAATTAAGTTGCACGATGCTCGCATTCAGTGAGAAACTCAATGTAGCAACTTAGAACCGTCCTGTTCTACATACCAAAAAGTAATCCAGAATGCTGTCTATATTGCAAGCATTGAATTTAATAAAAGATGGTTATCAAAAGACAAGTTTATCAAATACCTCATGGGAGATTTGTTCCCTCTTTTTTGTTTCATTTTCTATTTCATGTCTAAGCGAAGAATTTGCCCTCTCGAGTTGAAGGACCCGCTTGGCAAGGTGTACGCTGTGAACAGATAACAAAACACAGGGTATACATGATCTTGCAATAGATGAAGCCTGCAACTTTGATCTTTAAAATCAAGAAAATAATCATGTTTAAAGTCAAGACCAGGTTCAGTGTAAACAATTCTTTAAAGAATAAAAAGAAATAAAGAAAATTGAATTACAAGAACTCCGAATATAATTAATTGTAGTAATTTCCGTCTTACTTGTGTCAAAAATTTTTACCAAAGATTATATGTTCTTTTTCAGTTCAATAAACACAGCAAAGCGCAAATATAAAAAATCAATGAATTATGGAAAGCCTTGACCCTATACAGGAAATCAAATAGTAAGCAAAGATGCTTCTGTTTTGCAGGCATTAATCTTTGGTACCTTTGCTGCATTCTACGCTTAGCAGTGCTTAGTATATTGGCGCCATAACCATAAGAAAAAAGAACTCTTTCAGCTTCTTGTCCATCAGGCACTAGAGAGAAACGGAATTGGCAAAATCTTATTAATTATAATCAGTAAGACAAACAAACATAAATCATTAAGAATATTTTTCCTGCAAATTTACAAAGGGTTTTGAAATTTTTAAAGCTATTCATTATTTCCTGAGATATAATACAAAACGCCAAATTTAAAAAATGCCTCGCAAGAACTTATAAATATTTATCTCTCTTAAGAGTTAACATTTCTCGGCACAATTCTTATTCAGCTATCACGCTTCAGAAACAGTTGTTTTTTAAAAGTTGAGTACGGTAACACGAATGCTTCCAAAGTTTACGTGTATATGGGAATGACCACTTGCCTTCTGCAGCTTGCATTATGACGTCATCAAGCTCATCTTCCATTTTTTCGTATATAGAAAGCTTTTTAGATAGTTCGGTGCATTTGCTCTCAAATTCGGAAATCTTCCTTCCTGCCGTGAGCTGAAGATTGTTGTATTCTTTATCAACAGCCTACAAAAATTTTCCATGAAAGATTAACTTCATTTTCTACTCTAATTTGCACTAAGATTATATCATAAATAATAAGACATTGCAGATTGATTATATCCTCAACAGCTTGTTAGTAAATAAAGTAATCAACCATGCGTGATAATAAGTACAATACAGGCACCTTTTCTAATCATATTCCTCTTCATCATTCAACAACATTTTGTCCAACAACATTTGGAATGGTTGATGATAATCATGATCATTAGGTAAAATTTGTTGACCTATGTAAATTAGAATCCTACAAGTAACTAGCCATTATCAAAGTGAGTTCAGTTTAAACCAGAGCAAATTTGAGAAACATTCGAATTCTTTAGGAGGCATTCCAGCGAACCGGAACACAGCCACATACGCCTCGGAAATAAAGCTTCCCACCTCCTTTTGCTTGCGAAGCTTCTCGTTCTCGTGGTTGGCACTAGACAGGTTTCGCGCTGTTTCTTCGTGAACTAGCTGCAAACGTTCAAGCTCGTAAGATTTCAATCTTAATTCGTTGAATCCTTCAGACACTTTGCTATCGGAAGAAACTTGCAAACTTTTAAACCTATGGGAAAATTAAAAACAATCATATTTAGGGCAATCAAAAGAAAATAAAATCAAAGATAATTGACCCAGCTCTATGTAGATGAATAAAAACACAACTTTACTTAGAAATGCAATTTGTGAAGGGAGTTTGCGAAAATGATTTAATCAAGTAAGTTCTAGAAGCTTGAAACGTTAAAGTTTTACTGATGAAAGCTATCGAGGACACACCTATACAAATATTGTTAGCCCTGGAATAAGAAAGTAATAAAGTAACTGGCTTATTACTTTTTGCTTAGCACTTGATCGAGGTCACGAAATTCACAAAACAACGCTAAGATCTTCAAAAGACTGCATGCAGCAAAAGTGGGAAAAGAAAGGTTGTTTTACTCGGCCATTAGCTCTTTGTACTTTTCTTCAGCTTCTTTTGCAATCACTTCAAACCGCTGCTTCTCTGCTAAAGCATCGGCTTTCGATTCTCTTAAAACTCTAGCAATAAAAACGCAATATTAACAATTTATCTATTGCAAATAAAAATCCTATAACCAAATGATATTTTATAAACTTTTCACATCTTTAATCAAACAAAACTGTCTTTGTCTCGTTGCCACATTATGCTTTATAGATCGAAACCATTTTATTTACCTATAATCTCTTCTACCAAAAATAAAAGACTTTTAAACTAATTGCAGCGATCAGCTGACTTGCTTGTCAAAAGTAGGACTGACAGCAAACGACAAGCAAATGAGGTAAACATAGAGAACGACTCATTGCTTCCTTCCTTAATGAAACCAAGAAAGGAAGAAAACGCTTCATGTTTACATGTGGTATATTACATCATAACACCTTACCTATAGTGAATTACAACTTGATGGAAATCCTTATTTCATCTGAAAATCTTCGGAAATCCTTTTGTTTTCGTAGAAATTTCGTACGCTATTTGCAAAAGTGAATTGCCCATCGCATTGTTATCCTCTTTACACACCGTCTTGTTACTCGATACATTGAAAACCATATTAGAAAACAGTCGTGGAAAAAAGCTGTTTCAAAACTTGCAAGGTGCTGTTTACCATAAAGAACAAGCAAGTTACTTGCTAAACTTGCAGGCAAAAGAGGGTGTCTCCAGATAGAGACAAGCTATTCATTAGGGATACAGGACTCTCTAGCAATGTTCTTATCGTACGCCATCTTCAAGTCTGATTACTGCCAGCAAAATGTCCCGAGCGCCTAACTGACTGATGGTTTATCTCAAGGCGTTTATCTCAGCCTTAAGACCTTGGAAAAGACAAATTGTGGTTCTGGAAGCAATATAAAGAATAGTTTGCTAAATAAGCTGAACGGAAACAGGAACACCCTATTCAATAAGGTAATTCATCTTTTCCCGTTATAGGCAAAGGTGTGCCTCAAGGATCTGTCTTCGGTCCAGTCATGATCAATTATTCTACCACGCTCTTACTGTGACCGAGACTGTTTAAAAGTGAGACACATGTTTTCACATTTGAGGAAGACTCATCATCCGCTTATACAAATTGTACGCATGGTAAATGCAGTAAATGGTTTGAAGCAATTAACACCTAGCACTCTGATGACAAACTATGTTTTAAGTTGATAAGTGGAAAAAGTGTGTTTTAAGTTGATTTTCTGTTTAGCTACAAAGTTTTTACGGCAACACTTCAAAGAAACGCGATTAATGGTTACAATTTGACAGCTCAATTCATAAAAATTGCTCATCCATAAAATTACTTTAAAATTAGTTTAAACCTCGAATTACAATATTCTAACCATCAGATTGATTAATTAGTTTACAGCTTGTATTATCTTGCTCCAAAAAAGCATTATTAATGGACAGATGTGTGATGAAAATCGCAACAGGAATTGCGGATCTGCTCGACTTGACAAATTTTGCGTGTGCTTAGCTGTGCTTGGCTTGTATATTATTTCTGTGAGGCCGCTGTTTCCGTCCGTGTAGCCATGTTACTATCAGTGGATCAGGCTGAATCAGGTTTGCTTTTCCGAGGTTGCATAAAAGCAAAATTTACAATTAGTTTTAGAATTTAGCTACTGTATTTAAAGAAAAGTTTATTTACAAGATAAAACAAAAAAGCTCCACTTTACCTATTTTCACGTTCAAATATCTCCTGAGAATTCATCTTGATTTTTTCAATTTCCAGAGAGGTCTTTCTCGACAGATCGTCTACTTCTTGTCTTAATCGGCTTTCGTACTCTGATTTGTAATGATCTCTTAAAAACACACAAACTCATACCAATTAGCATATTCATTCATCAATGTTTCAAAATTACGCATACAGTCCTAAGTAACAAGGAAAATATTATAAAAAGTTTCCTATAACAGAGGCGGATCCAGAGTGAGTTTCTTTGTGCACAGAATTCAGTCAGTTTTCCGATATAAAAAAGTGCTACTTGAAAGAGGTAATATTTGTAGGTAAAAGAGGTAATAGAGGTAATACTAAAAAAAGTGAAACCTAGAAGTTTTATCACAGTCTCTTCAAAATCTTAAAGTTGCCAGTTTGATATGATACGTTCGCCCTTGTCGTCTTTCCTTCTCTGTCGTGATTTAGAAACGATTTCCTAGACGCTGTGAAGGACAACAGACCACTAGGCTATCTTTGATAAAAAAGGAAGTTAACCATAGAACTCGGAAATAGACGATTTGTGCCTTGGAAGTGAGTTAAATAAAATAATGGAATTTTTGTTTGGAACACAGATGGAACTCAGTCGGAACACCATCTGTAACTCGAAAATGATACCATATTTGTGAGATAGCTGCACAATAGCCTGTAGTTGATTGGCTGCCTATTGTTTCTGTTCTGGCGTGAGAGTGCATTACATTGAATTCGAAATGGCGGGCCACTTCAGATGTCTTATATTCACGACCCTCGCAGCATTCTGGCAGCTTGTTAAGCGTTTGAGATAAATTCGTTGATGTCGTTAATTCTCCAGGAGCATTCACTGCTTTGGTTTTAAATTACAGTTTTTGATGACAGGGGGATCTATGCTCAGACGGAATAATAACACCATATCTTGATGAATTTGCTGGGGTCTTTGAAGGCAAAACAATAAATTTGTGCCCAATCTAAAAGTGATCTCATATTATTGTTGACATTGAAATGCGAACAAAACAAAAGAAAAAACTTTGCTGTGGCATTCAAGACAAACAAAAGCATATGAATAATAATGTTGCTTTTTTCTTTGGCACACTTATAAACCATCTATCTCATTATCTGAAAGACCCTATCTTTGGTCGTGAACTCAGTCAGGTTTTTTGCCGGATTCGCCCCTGCTATAATAAAGCAGATTCCTGATCGATTGACCAAATTGAAAATCAACGAAGGCTCTGCTCCATGACACTAAAGTTGCGCGGAACTGTCTTGCCGGTGTATGACAAAAGAGCTTTTAACAAACAATGTACAATATTCCACAATGACACGCTTATGGAATTTGAGGCAATCAAAGATGCATTGAAAATATGTAAAACGAAAAACAAATAAAGAATCGGTTGGAAAAAAACCTTCTACCTGCATCCTATTCCTATTAATTGTTAGGTTGGAAAGAGAACGAGCGAACGAGAGTCGAAATGTGCTTTTTGCGAACGAGAGTCGAAATGTGCTTTTTGCGAACGAGAGTCGAAATGTGCTTTTTATCAGTTTTGCAGAGAAAATAATGCTTGGCTTTTGTTCCAAACAAAAATAGCTTCTCCCGGCTTTAAACCCAATCATATTTGTTCATTTAATGGCCTGTTGAGATACTTTTAAACTTATTTCCGTCTGTCACAGACACAAGAAAAAAAGGGTTTTTATATGTGACTCTGGCTGGGCTGTGTATTGCCGTACTGTTTCCTATGCAAAGGTACCTCTACAATCATTGCGACAACATTCGGTAAGACATGTAGTATAATGTCTAGCAAAACATGAGCAAGGTCTCAAGCATGTATTTATCATTCTTCATTTGTAAATGTTCTTTTGTAATAAACGATATAATCAATTGGGGTGCAATCGTACCTTGAATGAATATATTTTTCATATAGCTCTTCTCTTGACTGTCTTAAATCTTCAAGCGATTTTAGAGTTTCTGCGAGTTTTTGTTCTAAGACATCGTGTCTTGGCTTCAAGTCCATAAGTTGTTTTGATAAATATTCTTTGTCTTGTTTGAGCAAGCTGACTGATTGCCGAAGGTCATTGAACTAGAAAGAAAGACAAGTTACTTGATTTAGCATGAATTCTACTGCTGCGATTGCGTAGCCTGGATTTGTTCAAGGGTGCCAGTTTTTGTATGAGCCACTGCTCTTTTTTATGCGACACTTATTGTCATTACTGTTCAGCACAATACAAGCTCAACTACAAATGAACAGTGTTTAATACCTAAAATAATTCTAATGTTGATATCAATCAAATTTCTTTTAAAATATAAGTACATTTGCAGAAGATTTCCACATCAGCTTTCTAAAAAATATCTTAGAGTCAAAGAAATGTTATTGTTTCTCTGGACATTTTCATCAAATTTGGGAAACCTTCCTCAGAAAACAAAGAAAGTAAGGCGGGATTTGGCCGTGGCAGTTAATTTTCTTTTGCTTCTCATTGGCCTTTTCTCACATTCATAACTCCCATGTTTTCCGGGTTCTGAAATACCTACATCCCACTGCATCCATTACTGTTTCTTTAAATTTTTGTCACAATCGATTTATGATTTGAAGGAGAAGAAAAATTGAAAAAAATGATTATTTGAAAAGCTCCTGTTATTTGATACCCATTTCACATACTGTGGCTACAACCCTAGCAATTCAGAATTTTTCTATGAAAAAAACTTTAGATCCTAATTTCTTTAACCTAAGTTTTATTCTAAAAGTTGGAAGCAAACTATAGTACCCCAGGGGCATCTAAGGCACAGCACCTTGTTCCAACATTATTAGCACCTGGAGAATTTGGCAACAGAATTTTAGGCTCGTTCCAAACGTCAAACTTCTCATGTGACGAACTAAATTCAATTTGGTGCAGCACCTAGACTTGTTTAGTGTAACACCCGTTTGAAACGTCGAACTTAATTTCAACGTAGAATGACATGGTTGAATCAAATCTTTCAGGAAATTGGTTTCCAGATGCCAACAGAAAATCACACAATATTACAAAATTATCATTACCTCGCTTCGAACTTGTTCACTTTCTGACGATTTTGCTTCTAGCTCTGTGCTTTTCAACGTAAACTTCTTTTTAAACTCTAAAAGATCTCTTTCTAATTTGTCTTTCTCCCTAAAATGCAAGTCAATAACATAATGTCGCAGTTTGGGTCAGATGACAGAGGATGGCAAGGATGAATCAATGTTTCTCACAATAACTGTTTAACATTTAGTGATTAACCTACTTTCCATAGCCTTGTATAACATGTATTACTCATTCAGAGATACGCATAACAGAGGAATAGCATTTGAGCAAATGAAGGCAGAGGTAAAGACACAACAGATGATCAACAATTTGCAATTTGTAAAAGATTACTCTAAGTGTCACAATCTTTTCCACCAGATTAGATCATTGAAATTATTTCCTCTGCGCTATTTAATAAGATCAAGTTCTTATTTCGAATTAACAATAATCCTATGTTAACATTTGGAAGACTACACAAGGAGGATTTTGTCAAATTATCAAAAATAGCAAGACACTGCTTAAGAAAGAAATAATTACTTAAATTTTTTGGGTAATAGATTTTCTAATACATACAATCTAAGAGAGTCAAAATTCTCATTTTTGTAATCTCTTTGTTTCAGCTGATATCTAAGGTCTTCAACATGAACCTGCAACTTTTGACATCGAACATCCATTTCTGTTCTAGCTTGCCTTTCCTCATCTAACTCCTTTTCAAAGTAAAACATTGCATTTCAATATAAAGAATAAGAAAATTGTTGCATAGCAAAAATGCAGTTATGGTCTGAAATGGCAATTTGAAATTTTAAGTACAAAAGACACTTCTAGTAAGTTTCTTGCTATGGTTTTTAATCTATACTTGTGCCATTCCTTATTGCTATAATCGATTTTAGAAGAAAACGAGACTTGGAAACAGAAACCCAACCAGGTACAAGTAGGCCATATCTGTATCAAATTAGAACATTTTTGCAAGCTTGTATTTGATGTCAACAAAGTTTATGCAAAGGTGTGTTAGAGCAGTTTTTGAAAACCGTTTTTGTTGCATTTTCAAAAGTATCTAGTTTTTAAGTGATATCTGAAAGCAACTTTGTGGCCATTCCCAGTTTTATCAACTTCACTTTGCTTCCTTTTCAAAGTGTGCTTTCAAATGCATCTGCTTATACCTCAACATCTGCTTATACCTCAATCTGCTTATTCCAAAGTTGATTGATTTTTTTGTCATTGTCTCTTCTTTGTAGTGTTCAAACGTTGGAATGTATGTTACCTTTCTTTCAACAGCCTTAATTTTTCGTAAAACACCTTCTCTACATACACATTCAAGTCATGATCTCAGATAAAGACTGCACTACCAGAGCAGTGGCGGACACTTGGGGGGGAGGGGACGAGGGGGGCAACCGCCCCCAATACTCTAGAGGAACCGCCCCCAATACTCTAAAACAATAGGAAATGTGACATCATCTTATTAAAAAAATAGGTTTGCCCCCCCAATATTTGATCAAGTGTCCGCCCCTGTGCCAGAGCTTCAACCACTTTTGTAATTATTAAGAAAAGGAAAAAGGGATAACCATTACTTGATGTGGGTTAAGTAATGGTTAAGCCCTAGAAACAATTTTTGCATTTACAAATTTGCTTCAATTGCTGCAAATGTTTGCAGGATGTTTAAGCTTGAAGTGGATTTATCAAAAGGACTGAATACAGAGTTTATAACTGGATGTTGGGATTAGGCATTTTTGCTTAAAATTTGTGCTCCATTCTATCATTTGATATTTTCAGCGCTGAAATTTTTAATTTGACTTGCAAATTTTTGGAGGAGACACCTTGCCCACCTAAATGTCTACCACTGCATTCACACACCTTACCCACTCAAACCTCTGACTACATTCACATCTCGTTCAAGAAAAACTTGAATAATAGAAGAATAGCTACATGAGATTAGCAGAGCAGCAACATATCTAAAAAGAAACCTTAAACACTTTTGAAACTTCCTCTTCTTTGTCACTAAGTCCTATTGCATACAACTCAATCCTGTTTTGTAGTGCTTCACATTGAATCTTCAGAGGCTTCAATGACTCATAAAACTTTATCTGTGAATGGTAAAAGCCATAACACCAATTATCATTTTCAAGATATATTAGTATAATTTTCTAGGTATGATCCTTGGTACAAGGCATATAACTTAGGGTCATTTGAGCAATAATCACACTGCTGGTTTTATTATCTAGGGTGATTGAAAAACTGATGATCTCAAATCAATTTCATTTCTAGGTTTCTGAAAGCTGGTGAAGGCAAATTAAGAGCAGCAAGTTCTAAAACTAACTTTATATGTACAAGTAAGCATAGTAGTGTATAGCCATTTGAAAGTAACTTACAGCAATGAATTCTCTGAGAGTTTGGTCTTCAACACTTTTTCCTTTGATAAACAAATATTCCTCTTCATTCAATTCTAAATTTATCAAAACATCTTTTGAGTCTATTGCTCTTTCCATTAGCTTTTTGTTGTCTTTGTTGATTTCATGCTGCTGTTTTTGAAGCAGTTTGATTTCTCTTTTTAGTTGCTGGTTTTCATTTTTTATTTCATCTGTTGAGTTTCGGATTTGATTCTTGAATTGGGCAATCAGAAGCTGTTTTTGGTACAGACTGTCTGCCAATTTTTCTTCTAAGTCGTCAATCTTGCTGAGGTATTCCGATTTCATGCTGTCGATCATCAAATTTTTCTGACTTAACTCTATATTTGCAAGCTGTAAGTCATGTTTTAACTGCTTGCTATTTATCATTGCTTTTGTGACTTTTGGTCCTGATTCTTCATCTGTTGTCATTAAGGAGGCAAGTAGAGAGTCGGCTGCGTATTCTGCTGTGGTATTTTCATACTCACCAGACAAAAAGCTACTGTTACTTGTACTTTGTGCAGTCGAAAGACTTTGAGATGATCCTGTGAATGTGATTTTGGAACGCGACAAAGTAGAGTCATCCATTCTTTCTCAAACGCTGCGATCTGTCAAGCGGCAGCTAAACCAAAGAACAAGATCTATAACTCCAACAATGAGTGAGAAAAGTACCAATGAAACTCTACGAAGCTAGGGCAATAAAGCTTGTGTTTGAGTAAAAATACTTATGGTTTGCGTTTGAAAGTTTGCCGCCACTCTGTACTATTATTGTTGTTAGTGACGATTGAATTGGATGGTTTTCTACGATGTGGATGTTGCTGAAAGTTTGCTGAAAATATGATTATGATAATGACAAATGCTATTTACCCCAATGAGGAAAAAACCTCATTGATTAACTATCAGTGAGTGCTTTGCTTTGCAGTGCTTTTGCAGTTTTCGACCCTTTTAATGAGTTCAATTGCTTCTGACTTTTTTAAGATACCAAGCGAAGCGACGAGTAATTTTGAGACGATCAAAGCCTCCATTCTGTGAACCAGATACGAGGTTAATTGTTTCCAAATGATTGAGCCAAGATGGAGGATCTACTTCTAGACCCCGCGATTAGATTATGGGTGATTGTTCCGATTTTTCTCATAACTTTTCTTGTTGGGGTGATCAGACATCACGCTTCGATACTTTTACAGTCTGCTACGAAACTTGACGTTGAACAGGTGAAGCAGAGGTGAGAGGTTGTTTTGTTCTTTGATGTTTCTCCACAGCTGTAATGCGCGTTCTTTGCTGTTTCCCGAACCTTATTGGGTCTAGATGGATTTATTTTAACCAAAAGATGAGTCACATGATAAACATCTTGATAAATTTTTGCACTGGGACTGGAACGATTCACTCATTTATCATGAATGCCCGAGAAGAAGATCTTTAACGAAAGTGTAATATAGAAACCAAGTTAGATTTTATTCACGTGTATAAAGAAAATGTGCTTTGGTTAGGCCAATATGTTTGAAAATGAATGCGTCTGGTTTGGAACCAGCCTGAAATATACTGTACAAGTTAGCTTCCAGTTGGACAGTTTGGATTTCATGGCAGTTGTCAATGCGATCTTGGGAGTGCACAAAATATTACCCGGGAGTGCAAAAGTGCATTTGTGATTTTGTGTGCACACTTGAATGTGCACGAAATTTTCTTGTGTGTGTGCATATTTTCCCCAGCACTTATCCTGTTTACATCAATTTTTCATCTCTGGGAAATTCATGATCAAGAGTTGAGCTTTGCTTACCTACCACTACTATCAGTAGCTGTAATTCAAATTCCTAATAAAGGTTCCACAACTACAGAAATGATTTTAGAAATTATGTATAGAAAGGCCAAAGGCATGATTATCCTAAAGAATTATCTCAAGCAGGCATGCCAGAAGGGGGACAGGGGGCAAATTGTCCAAGGAATGGAATGGAATTAACCAAACATAAAAGAAGTATGCTTGAAAATATTAAAACATTTTAAACAACTGCAAGAAAATGACTGCAAAAAATTTTCTGAGGTGTATTTAAACTAATCTAAAAAATCTGCTTAAAAAATATTCTGCTCGCAAGGGACCATGTTTTTTTGACTTGCCCCAGGGCCACTAAAAATTCTCGGCAGCCCTGATCTCAAGATAATTTAATTTAGAATGATCACTTTTTTCCAATCCCAGTTATGAAAAACTTTAGAAATTAATTTTGTCATATTTTAAAAAGCTTTTTAGTTTGAGCCACACCCAAAGCAACACCCATATTTTGGCTTTGCAAGAGTGCACTGGTAATTTTACAAAAATTTGTCAGGAGTGCAGCTGCCAGGGAATCCATACTGGCCAGTTGTTGAGCGCTGACAAGCTCTAGAACTCTTAAAGTAAATATAAGTGACTTAAAAATAAACTACAAAGGAAATTTTAACAACAGATGAGCACATTAAGAATGCTTGGAAGGTTTTTGGAAAACCCCAAAATTTAAAGAAAACATGCTAAGGTATCATATAATTGACAGCTGAGAAATATATGACAAGTTATAATTATTATATGTTGTATTTATACATATGTTATAATACAGTTAACTCTGCTTATATTCACTCCTCTTGAAATCATAGCAATCTTTTAGTCACATTCCATTTGTTATGTTGTTGTTGTTGTTAGTGTTGAGTGTAGTGAAGACTAGCGAAGCACGTGCGTTGCGTATATGTACAGAGATACAGGTTTAACAGTGGTAGCAGAGGAAAAAAAGTTCTAAGGAGCGTTATATCAGTGTTTTTGTGCCATTTTGACTGATTTTTGTGTCGTTTGTACTGGAATCTATTTACTTCCTTCCCTATTTTACGTTACGGAGCCGGTCAGGCCCTAGGCCTAAATCACGCACCGTCAGCTATCATGGCCGCCATGAAATTAAATCCACCTGTGTTCAACAGCAGTGAAAAAACGTTTGAGCGATGGGAAGTGGAAGTTCAAATGTGGAGTGAAATAACGGATCTGGAGAAAAAGAAAATGGGTATTGCTGTTGCTCTTTCTCTTCCTGAAAATGAGTCAGTACGGGCGCAGGTGATGGAAAGTGTTCCACTCGATGATTTGAAAAAGGAAGATGGCTTAAGCACTTTGCTCAACTTCATGGAAAAAACGCTCGGTAAAGATGATATGGAGGATAGCCTAGAAAAGTATGAAGAGTTTAAAAATTGTACCAGAGTTGCTGACCAGAAGATAAGTGATTTTATTCTTGATTTTGAACAGAAATATAACCGTATCCTAAAAAAGGGGATTAAGTTACCGCAAGAAATTATTTGTTTTGAGCTTCTAAGTAGTGCAAATATAAGTAAGCCTGAAAAATTGTTGATTTTGTCTGGGATAAATTTTGACAAAAAGGACAACTTGTTTGAGCAGGCTAAGAAATCTTTAAAGAAATTTAAGGGAGATTTGGCTTCTGGTGATGATTCAGGTTCAGCTGCAATGAAATTGGAACCTGCCTTTGTTGCTGCTCCAGAAAATGTTTTGGCAATGGGAAACTTTCAAACATTCAGGGGGCGGCCTTGGTCAAGGGGTCGAGGCTCAAGGATATTCCCCAGTAACAAAAGTCGCAAGATGGCTCGGATTCCAGTGAGTACAGGTGGTGCTTCTGTAAGGCCAATCAATCAAAAGGGCCCTGATGGTTCACTTTTAACCTGCCATGCTTGTGGTTCTTACCGCCATCTAGTTGCATCTTGCCCTTATTCTTATGAAAATGCAAAGATGGCCCAACAAGTTCTTTCAGACCCTGCAGAGAAAGTTGTCTTATTTACTGGTTACAACAAAGATGCAGTGCAAGTTCTTGGTGAAGAAGCAATAAATTGTGCTGTACTTGACACAGCTTGTACTTCTACTGTTTGTGGGCAAAAATGGTTTCAATGTTACCTAAGCACTTTACCAGATGGTGAGCTGATGAAAATACAGCAGACCAAGGGTCAAAAGGTATTCAAATTTGGTGGTGGTGAAGTTCTACAGTCTCTCTTGTTTTGTGAATTACCTTGTAATATTGCTGGCAAAGATGTTGTCATTGAAGTGGATGTTGTTATGTCTGCCATCCCTCTTTTGTTGAGTCTAAAATCTCTTAAAAAGGCCAATGCAAAATTGAACATCGAAAAAGATACAGCAGAGTTTTTTGGGACCGAAGTACCATTAAACTTTACTTCAAGTGGTCATTATTGCATTCCTATTGGAAAAACTGATGAGATAAGGGTACAGGAAGTTTGCAATGTGGTTCTGAGTGATGTTATGCCAGAAGAAAGAAAGAAAATTTTGCAGAAGCTGCACAAACAATTTGCCCATCCATCTATGCCCAGACTAAAAGCATTAAAGGCTGATGCTGGAGTGTGGAAAGATCAATACAATGAAGAACTTTGTGAGATTTATGATGGCTGTCAGACATGCAAGATGTATAAAAAGACACCAGCAAGACCAGTGGTCAGTATGCCAATGGCAAGTAGATTCAATGAAAAAATAGCCATTGATCTGAAGAGCTGGAAAGGAAAGTATATCCTTCACATGATAGATATGTTCACAAGACTGAGTGTGTCAGTTTTTATTAACAGCAAATCCCCACCTGTTGTTGTTGAGAAAATCATCCAGCATTGGATTGGAGCAGGATGGGGTGTCATGGAAGGAATTTTTTTTGATAATGGTGGAGAATTCAATAATTCTGAAATGCGTGAGGTGGCTAGTATTCTCAATATCCAGCTTTCCTCTACTCCTGCTGAAAGCCCATGGAGCAATGGTCTATGCGAAAGAAATCACCAAATTACTGATCGAATGCTGGAAATCTTAACAGAAGAGAATCCCAAGACAGATGAAAATACTCTCTTGGCATGGGCAAATGTAGCAAAAAATTCATTGCAGATGTGGAATGGTTTTAGCAGTTATCAGCTTGTCCTTGGAAAAAACCCAAACTTGCCAAACATTATGTCAGAGAAACTTCCAGCACTACAAGGCACCACTTCAAGTGAAATTCTGAAAACGCATTTGGATGCCCTATTTTCAGCAAGGAAAGCGTTCATTCAATGTGAAGCTGATGAACGCATACGGAGAGCACTTAGACATCCTATCAGAGCCACTGATGATGTATTTAATCCTGGTGACAGGGTGTTTTACAAGCGTGATGGAAGTCATAAATGGCTTGGTCCAGGAAAAGTCCTTTATCAAGATGGAAAAGTTGTTTTTGTACGCCATGCTGGTGTATATGTTCGTGTGTCAACAAACAGACTAATCAAGGATGTAGACTTGAAAAATGATGATGTGGTTGTTGATCAAAGGGACACAAATCCAAATATGTCAGTTCCCTTGCAAAGAGATAATAGCTCTTGTGCTACAATCTCAACGCCACAGCTATGTGAAAACCTGGGTGCATTAAGGGTTGGTCAGGAACAAGACCCTGATACCCAGCACCATGCACATGATATGGAAGAGCAACCACAATTTGCATACCAACAAAAGATCTCATTAAGAAAAAATGACCAGATCGAATACAAGATAAATGAAAACGATCCATGGATTACAGGGACAGTTTTAGGGAGAGCAGGCAAAGCAAGTACATCAACTAAATACTGGTTCAATGTAGAGGACAAAGACACAGGCGAAAAGAAAAGTCTTAACTTTGAACAACTGAGTGATTGGAAAAAGGTAAATGAAGAAATTGACTTAGTGACTGTCTCTGATACCAAATCTACTTTAAGTGATGTTTTGCAAGCAAAACATGTTGAGCTAAGGAAATTAAAAGATTTTGATGTTTACGATGAAGTTGAGGATGTTGGTCAGCCTTGCATATCCACTAAGTGGGTAATAACTCAAAAAGATGGTGGGATAAAAGCCCGTTTAGTTGCCAGAGGTTTTGAAGAGACCCAATATATTGAAAGTAATTCTCCAACAGTTGCAAAAACAACCATGCGAATACTTCTGGCAACTGCTACTAGCAATGGTTGGACAGTAAAATCTAGTGACATCACATCTGCCTTTCTTCAAGGAAAGCAAATTCAAAGAGATGTGTTCATCAAACCTCCTCCAGAAGCTGCGCAGAGTAATGGGGCACTGTGGAAACTTAAAAAGACCCTTTATGGGCTAGCGGATGCTGCGAGACAATTCTTTGACAGTGTAAAAGAGGAGTTAATCAATCTTGGGATGAAACAATCCAAAGTTGATTCATCACTGTTTTACATGACATCAAATACACAAGTTACTGGTGCTCTGATTATGCACATTGATGATTTTTTGCATTGTGGTAATGAAGTTTTTGAAGAGAAAGTTTTGAAACCACTTGCAGAGAGATTTACAGTTGGGCGACGTGCAAAGGACAATTTTACATACATTGGTTTTGACATCAAGCAAACCCATAAAGGTATTACTATCAGTCAAGGGGCATATGTTGAAAATATTCAAAGTATTAAAATTGATCCAGGAAGAGCCAAGGAAAAGAAAAGCCCCTTAACATCTGAGGAACAGAAACTGTTCCGTAGAATTGTTGGACAGTGCAACTGGGTTGCACAAGGAACAAGACCTGATCTTGCATTTGATGTTGTTGAAATGAGTTCAAAATTCAACAGCAGCCAAGTGTCAGATCTTTTGAGGGCCAACAAAAGTTTATTAAGAGTTAGGCAGCACAATTCAATCATCAGAATTCCACATCTTGGACCTTGTAAGAATTGGCATATTCTTGTCTTCTCTGATGCATCTCTTGCCAATATGTGTGATGGTGTATCTAGTATGGGAGGTCACATCATTCTGCTACTTGGAATGAACAATGCAGCTGCTGCTATAGCATGGTCATGTGCAAAGATCAAAAGAGTAGTCAAATCTACTCTTGCTGCAGAAATGCTCAGTTTGGCTGATGCATTAGATCATGCAATTTATCTACAACAAGTTATTTCAGAGCTTACTTCATTTGATGACATTCCCATTGATGCTTTTGTTGACAATAAATCAGTTGTAGAAGCTGTCTACTCCACAAAATCAGTTGAAGACAAACGTTTGCGTATAGATGTTGGGTCAGTTAAAGAATTGTTAGAGAGAAAAATCATAAATAGTGTTCAATGGATTCCAGGGGAACAGATGTTAGCTAATCCATTAACAAAGCTGGGTGCATCATGTCTGGATTTACTGAAGTGCATTCAACAGGGAAGAAAACTATTTTAAGGATTTCTTCAGTTTAAAATTGTGACATTTTGACTTTATTTTATCCGCAAAGAAAAAAAAATTATAGTTAATGTTATGTTGTTGTTGTTGTTAGTGTTGAGTGTAGTGAAGACTAGCGAAGCACGTGCGTTGCGTATATGTACAGAGATACAGGTTTAACACCATTTAGACCATCACTGATTCAATATCTGCAAATATTTTTTCAAATTACGGGCCATAAGTTCATTTTTGAGAGGTTTGAGTCATAGGAGGTTTTTCGAAAAGAGTCTGGGGAGAGTGACACATTCTGGTGCGTTATTCTATGGTTGACGGTCACAAAACCCCAACTGAGCCTAGAAAATGTCCAGCAACCTAAGGTCAGATAGAAATTTTCAGATTCAAATGTTTCATCTAACGATGATGAAGTGGTATCAGAAGTGAGAGAACAAGTTTTGAAGACAGGAACGTTGAAATGACGTAACAACCTGATGAGAATGATCCATTACCACCTTCCTCTAAGGATGAGTGAACATGTGGTGGCAAAGTCGACCCTTCACTAATCATTTGGATTTTAATTAGGATAAAGATAACAAAAAGTTATTTCAAAGCAAAAAACCTGGATTGAGTTTGTGTTGATCAATATATTCTTTTCTTAACAAGAGGCACATACATCCAATGGTAAGCAGAAATTTTTTTGACGCGGCCCAAATGTTCCTGTGAATTTACATTTGCTATGAAACATCACAACCTGATTTGAACTGATCTCCAACACTAGAGCCAAAGCAAGACCACTAAATCAACTCAAAACAACATAAAAACTACCTTTTTCGAGTGTATACTGATTCAAAGCGAAAAACTACAATAATAAAATTCTCTGTGCATCAACAAGCTCAGAGAAAACCCCTGTCTGAAGACATAGAAAACTCCTAAATACACTTATAAAAATTTTCTGAACTGATTGAAACTTTGTCGAGTTACTGAAATTAAGGTACTTAAAATATGTTTAGTTCCTTCTTGTTTTTTTCTGGTTTTGTGAGGATATCTGAAATGCCCCTCGCTCAAGCTCTATATGGAAGTCTTATAACAGCGATCTTATGTTTCTGTTTTTTCCTCATATTTCACTTCCATAAATTTATTCAAAATCTTTTGAAACTTTGTAGAGTTGCTAGAATTAATGTATTAAAAATGTTTTTGGATATTGTTGTGTTTTCCTGATTTTGTGCAAATATCTGAAATGCCTCCCTTCCAGCTCCATTCTGAAGCTCTATAAGAGCAATGTCGAATGTATATATGTTTCCCTTTGATTCAATTCCGTAAGACTATTCAAAATCAATTGAAACTTGATAGGGTTGTTATGGGCCACAGGGCGGGCAAAGACAATGGATTGAAACCGGCCCTGTGTCTTCTCATGATTTGTACCCTGACGAAACTGACAAAAGCCAGCACTTTGGAGCTTGAAAATGTTATGTTAATGAAAAGATATGAAGGAAATATTTACACCCTTGGATTCAGCACTGCCAGCTCTATACTAAAATGTAATCAATGGATTTTATGAAGTTTTTCCATTTTTCATGTCAGTGCCACTTTAATCAACAGTTAGTTAGTCTTAGACCTCTCAGTTTGACTTAGAACATGTCAAACTTGGCATGGGCCTAAGCGAGACTAGATGCGCAATTTGTCATGCACCTGCTTCTCAAAAAGCAGTGGTTTTGCATACATTGGACATTTGGATTTTATAAAGATAATTTTTTTATCAGAAATTTTGTCTCGTTATTCCCAGAGTCATTTTAAAATTATTGCTTTCACTATTTAGGCAATTGCACAACACAATATGCAAGTTAAACAATGAAAAACTGTCTTACATGCTGAGTTTAAGGAAAGAATGACTCACAATCTACTTAGCCACTGTTATCGTTAAATTTTAAGTAATATTCAAATTAAGGAAGTTGTTCTTATTAAACATGAAAGACCAACGTTATATAATCCTTTGGGATCACCAAACTTGAAACCGCACAGAAGCTGTAACATCAATAGTACTGATACTGCTGCTCTCCTGTGTATTATGAATACCGGGAGTTATGAATAATGAAAAATTTTGTTTCAAAACACGCTTTCACCTGCTAAAGTCTATACAGAGAGGCCTGTTTGGTGTGACTATGACCAGAGTCTACTGTAAAGACATTTTTATATATAAGATAATATTTTTGTTCATGTAAAACTAGATAATTGTTTTTTCAATACAGCTGCACTTAGAAGAGTAACTGCTCCAAAATGGAATTATATATTCTTATGCTATATGTACCATTTTATTTATCAAAAAAAGTTTTTTTGTTGGGCTCATGGGTTAGCCCTACTTTTAATCTAATAGCCATTAGCACAACTTACAACTTGAAAACTCTATGAATTTCAATAACCGTTTTTTCAAATGTCAAATGTTAGTTTTCTTTTAAATGGCCTGAAATCAATGCATTCCTGATGTTTCACCTTAGTATTTTGTACAACACTAATTGAAGGGCTTTTATGTGATATTGCTTTTGGCTTTCTTATAGCATCGCTTAATCCTTTGAAAGAAGCTATGTTTATATTCAAAATGCTAGTCATTTACCCCAGCCTCCAAAAAGAATGGCAAGACTAGCCTTGTTACTATTAACTCAAATCTAATAGCAAGGCCTCATTTAGGGAACTTACATTTTTACTTAAGGACAGGAAACCTTGAAAGGATTAAGTAAGTTCTTCCAATTTGTGTGACAAGCTATCCAAATCTCAAATCTTCAGCACTCATTATCAACTATTTTCTCTTTTTCGTATTTTACTTTTTTGAAATTTTTGTTCCATTGTCATTTTAAGAATGCTTTGAATGTTGTGTGAATTCCATATTGTCAGTAGGAAACATTGTTCATTATCACATTCATCATCATCTCAAGCAGTTTGTTTTCACTGCAGAGTAAAGTATGATAGCGTCTACAAGCTCACATTTACCATCTATTTCTGCAAGAAATTTAAAATTCATATTTTAACCAACCTAAATTTTCTGATAAATCTTAGCTACTCATTATATTTATCTATTTTTGTTAATATCCCATTTACTTTTAGCCATGCATTGATACGAACAAGGTTCCTGAGAGACCATGGAAAATATATTCCCAAAAAAGTGAGTTTTCTTTTGTTGTTCAAGTCTTTGTTAGTATTCCCTATTGATATTTTATATAAATCCAACTCTTCTCCATTTTTAATGTTTTGTTGATTATATTCTTAAAATTTTTTGGCATCCCAGAAATAAAAATTGCTTTGATACTTTTTAGGGTATAAAATGTTAGGGCATTGCTTGAAAACTCTGAGCTTTGAAAAACATATACCAGGTGTTTGGTGTTGTTTGTTATTGGCATGTTGCAGTGTTTTTTTATTTTAGAAATAATATTTCAGTCCTTGTATTGTTTGTAGTACTAGGAGCTTATGATGTCTTAAAAAGCTTTTAGTATATTTTACAATGTCTGATATTTTTTTAAAATATTGACTCATTTTTGAAATATTGTCTGATATTGATTCTTGAGCATGGTAAATGTTGTAATACAAAAGTGTTAAGTATCAACACAGTTTTCATCAAGTTTCAAGTTTCAAATGTCTTTCAACCAGGGGTGTGCCATAGCAGGCACTTTACTCACCATAGCAGGCACTTTACTCTTTATTTGGGGAAGAAAAAGTACCAAAGTGGGGGCCTGAGGGGGGTGATGTTCTTTAATGACAATGCACTGCAGACACTTGGATAAAGGAAATACCTAGGTTTATTCATCTTTTCTTTGCTAAGAGAAATTGCATATGTTCCAATAACAATCTCTTTATAAGATAGCAATTTTTTTGGGAAAAGGAAATACCAGGACCGGGAAAACCAGGATTTTTCTGCTTATTGGTACATCTTCACCTCTCTGCTGTATTCGTACCATTCAGAGATGAGTAATATCTGAACTGTGGAAAGACTTCAAAATCCTTTTCTGGAAATATCTTCAAAATCATTGAGAACAACTGTACCTTTATCCCCTTTCTGATATGCTTCCCACTCAGTTTGTTCTGTCTGAAATTGCTGTTTTAAACCTATACATTGAACAAATTTGGCTATAAGCATTTGAAGTGTTATCTGCATCATTATATTTATCTGCAATGTTAAAATGTTTAATGGTATTTTCAGTCTTTTTCAATGCGGAAAAGCTTCTTCAATGATAAAGAAAATGGATATTTGAAAACAAAGAAGCCAAAATCTGCTCAGAAGAACCCAATGCAAGGTAATTTCCCCAGAATGAACAATTTTTTTGTATCATTATTCCACATGCATTTTTGTATTGGTAAACAACTTTTAAGCTTTTATGGTCATTGTTAGATTGAATTTCAGTACAAATCTTGTTATCTTGAACAAATCTGTCAATGTTTATGTTGACCTATCTGCTTCAGATCCAACGATGATGATGGACATGATGAAAGGCAATCTTACAAATGTCCTCCCAATGATTGTCATTGGTGGGTGGATCAACTGGACTTTCTCTGGATTCATCACAAGTAAATTGATTTGATTTTCTCTTGTGATCTTTTAAATTCATGTAAATGTTAGGCCAATTATTTTTGCATATCATATTGAATATTTGTTCGTTTCAACCTTATAAACAGTAGGTGTCACCAGAATAACTGTTACTTTAACACTTTTCTGTTGTATTAAATAAGCCATTCTCTTGTGTTTTTGATATAACAGTTATGAAGGCCCATGTGTGTTTTGATTAAACTAAAGGCCGGTATAGTTGTTTATGTAAGCAAGTATCCCCTCTCTTCTAAACTCTATAAGAAGTTACTTATAGTTGGTAACATCTTTTGTAGCAAAAGTTCCATTTCCATTGACACTAAGGTTCAAAGCTATGCTCCAGCGTGGAATCGAACTTACAAGCTTGGATGCTTCATGGTTAGTTAATTCAAATTTTTCATCACTTTTACAAAAAGTAGGCTTCTGATGTTAGCTTAAAGGCACTTTGACCGCTGTCTAATGTTGCCGATTCAAGAATTAGCAATATGCTATTCCTTAGGAATTCATGTGACTACCGAAATTCAACAGAACACAGTGCCTTTAAATGTATTTGAATCGCTGTGCATCTGAAAGACGAAGTTGGATTTTGCAATATCTAGAACAGGGGTGGGCAACCTACGGCCAGCGGGCCAGAATCCGGCCGGAGAAGAGAATTTGTGTGGCTCGCGAGAAGAAAAAAATCCTATTATAATTTTTTGGTTGGCAAGGATGATTCTCAGAAGGGTCGCAAATATGAATGAAAAATATCGATTCAAGATTAGATAAATTGGTGTTTACGTATATTCAAGTGAATGGTATGAGCTAAAGGGTAATGCTTAACGTTGATTAGTGGACAATTTTGTATTTTCTTCCCAGAATGATTTCTCAAATTCCTCAATAACATCCTTTTCATTTTTGGTTGGTAATTTTAGTTTTCCTTATTTTGCACATACGATTATAAGACTTTTCTATCATTGCAAACTATTTATGTTAAGAGGTTTGTAATTGCAGTGTTATGGAACTTAGTTGAAAGTTTTTAATTATCATTATCATCATTATATTACAACTATCGTATTTGTTTATATTATTACCTTTGGCCCGCTTAAAGGAAAAATTGGAAGGATCTGGCCCAGTCTCCAAAAAGGTTGCCCACCCCTGATCTAGAATAAGCGATATTCATTCTTATGCAATCAGTTGAAGTTGAATACAAGATTTCGAATGATTTGATGCGAATAATGATAAAAGCAGTGCTAGATACATCACAGAGGCTCGGAATAACACAAGAGTGTGGATACGAAATAGGGTGGACTGGACGGTGGCTCGGGATGGCGACTGGGGTATTATGTGGCTGGGAGGACGATGATGTTCTGCTCTGCACTTTCTGTATATTTATTCAAGCTGTATGCCAGTTAGGGGTTTAACAGCGTTTTATGTGAATTATTCTCCAGCATGTCTGTACAATATTAAGTGTTCGCCCTGGTTTCTTTGACAAGGATTCGTTATTGTACTAAGAATTTCGCTGCAATTTAAAATTGCGTTTTTCATGTATAAAACTGTTGTTTCTTAAAAACCTTTCGTTTCAAGGGTAAGCTCTGTGTCCTGGTATTTTCTCAACGTGTTTGGTCTGCGAAGTTTGTATTCTCTGATATTGGGAGAAGAAAATGGTGAGTCAATGCCACTTATATGCAATGGTTTCAATACCTTAATAACTATTGTAAGAGCCTCAGCAATTGTTATTCGAGATTATTTCGCTGTGGCATAAAAAAATCTGACTGTTGCTTTCCTTTTTTCAAGTAAACTATTGACATGATTCTAAACTTTCAGATTTTTATAGCCATAAGAATATTAATATGTTTTGAATGTCATCCTATTAGTTTTTGTAACAAACAAAGCCCAGCTCTCCTAAGAACATTTATCCTGGGGATGAATTCGAAATTCCCATGCAAATTTTCAATTTGGTTGATCGTATCCTGGTTTCCTTTTTATGTTTTTAACGTCTTGTTTGTGGTTGTAGCTGCAGATCAGGGCAGGGTGATGCAAGAGCAAATGACTGGCGGTCCAATGCCAAATGACCCAGGCAAAGCATTTGATGTAAGTGTTCTTGTCTACGTATTTCCTATTCTTGTCTTTTCAAGTCTCCAGAAAGCCCATTAGAGTTGCCTTAGCCTAACAAGATTTATATTAAATCTCATCTGGAAACGTGCCTGAATGTGTCCGGATGAGAGGAACATTTCCTCGTTATGGATGCTTATTGAACCTCTGCATGAGCCTAAAACCTCAATATTTCATGCGGCAATTTTGTAGTACCTAAAAGTTTGCTTATTATGGAAATCATTTAAAGATTCTTTCCCATAAAAAAAGTTTTCAGGAAATAATTGTGCTCTTCCATTGGCACAGGGCATTAATTCGAGTGCCTTCAAATTTCAGGGCCGTTTGTTGTGTTCCTTTTTTGAATAGATTTGTTCCCCTGTTCTAAACCAACGTAAATCAATTTCACTGTTGAAAGTTGAAGTGTAAATTGTATTTTGGTGACTTGCATGTTGAAGTGTAAATTGTATTTAGGACAGCAAGCATATGAAATTGTTAAAGATAGGTCGATTTATTTGTGACATGATAGTGACAGGTTCTGTGGAAATAGCTTTTTATGGTTTTGCTGGGAATGACGCTTTTCACGTGATGATCCCAAGTCTGAATCCTTGGCCAAACGGTGCAATATCTCTTGCAATTTTTTCCGCCCATCTGGTACTGAAGTTGGATTTCTGCATCGTTCATCGAAAATTTTATTTCCTTGTTTTCGTTGCTTCATTAAATTTCTCTTTTGGAAGGGTCCTGTCACAGAAAAAAATTTCTTTTCTGTAGTGCTGTTTTGAGCATCGGCGTAACAATTTCAAATGCACTCCAGCTATCTGCCGCATCATGCAACAATGCTGCTTCATTTGGCCAGTGGTTTTGGAATCTTCACTTTGTTTTTTTACATCAATTTATCCTTCATCCGCTTATCCTTTCAACTTGGGCCATTGTCGTGTTCTTGTTGAACGTAGAGTAGCTTAAAACACCAGCATTCATGAAGAAAAATTTTTATATCAAGATGAAATTGACAAACTAATTACAATCTCGTGAATTTTCACTACCAGTACATCTTTTTGCAATATATATGTACAATTAACACACAGGGTAAATATGGACTGAGAGGAAACGGGTAAAAATACCACGAACCGGTCAAAATTATAGATAGATCTACGCCACTTAATACTCTCTATACTTTGTTGTCTTTAGGCCGAATGGGAAGCGCTGGAGATAACTGATCATGACTGGGCGATGAAAAATATCGAAGAAGAACTTTTGAGTGAATACAAGCAGAATGAAGTTGTTTTTTACAGAAAGGACAAAATGATTTAATTGTCTTAATGATATCCCTAACTCGTTTTTCACATGATATCCAATTCAATATGATACTTATGATGAGGTCAGTCTGATATATTTTCCCTCTGATCGACATGCTTGCTTTGTGAAAAGTTTCTTAAATGTTATAGAAATAGATCCTTGACCACCGACATAATTTACAATAGGAAGATTTAAATCTTGTTCCTTTTGATGCAAAAAAATATTTAAATAAAGTTAGGCAGCAAAATAGAGAGGTTGAACAAGTTAGGCCATAATGGGACACCTTTGGGAAGCTATGCTTGCCCATTCTCTTCTTTTTTCGTGTAAACTTGCTGATTTCTACCCATATGTGCAGGCATCTTTTCTTTTGAATTAATATTCTTATAATCCTTTGTTTTCATCTCAAGAGCAAATTTTCTAGAATGTTGGTGTACTTAACTGCCCAGCCCAGAACAGTTCAGTTGTCAGTTAATGCTTATTTTAAAACTGTCAGAAAATTGTATGTTGAGAGATTTTAGATGGAAAACGTTTTTGTTGCTGACGGGTCTCTTATTATTTTTGATGATCTTGATTCATTCAACGAGTCTCTAATTAGAAGTTTCAGTTTTTGTGAGCAGAATTTTGCGATTTTTTCTTCACTGAACAAGGGCACTATACGCCCTTTCAAAGAACACTGATGCAGATGATTCAATACGGATAAGCTTCATTCACACAAACCCCGTGTTGCTTGATGAAGCTCGAGATATTGTGATTCAGTAGTCAGGCTGTGTATAACAGTGGCGGTTATTAGGGGGCGAGGGGGGCAGTTACCCCCTGAGTCCAAATGTCGGCAAAATTACCATTCGGCAATATCTGGTATTTGCTTTTTTGTCATTTTCAAGAAGAATTCTAACATTAGTACTTATAATTATAATCACTATTATCATAAAATTAACATTAAAATCATTTGGGGCCTTGTTTCCAACAGCACTCCTTTCCACAGGAAGCAAAGTAGAATCGATATGGAGGATAGGTCAACTATATTGTCAGAGAATCCAGGTTTTAACGCAAATTGCCTTAACTCTGTCAATTGAAAACGAACTTGAGGCAAAAAAATTAAAATAGAAATAAGAATGTTTACAGCTAGCCTGGTGGAACGTTGGAGATTTATAACTCTTTGCAAAAATACACTTTTTTGCAAACATGTCAGAAAAGAGGCTGGAATTGAAATAATTCGAATAAAGACTGAAATAAGGGGTATCTCATCAAGTATTTGTAAAATTTCTCCGTAATCTAAAGAGTTTTATTTTAATGAAAATAAATGGTCTGACGTGTGCTCCTAAAAAGGTATGCCGAAGATAACAGTTTATAATATTAACAATGTTTGCATCTGTCTACCTTGATGTCTATCCTACTTATCTTTCGTATGAAATCCAAATCGATTTGATCAAACATATAATATCCTTGCCTCTGGTGGCATTCATAAAGCTTGAGCCATAATGCAGTTAGTATAAAGATGAAGCAATTAAAAAAGACACCACTTTGCAGAAAATATTTTCATGATAATAGAAAAATAGATTTACGACCAATACAAAAGGTCCACATTAGATAAATAGTCTTGTGACAAAAGAGTTTGTGAAGTCCGAATTTTAATAATTTGATTTTCCAAGTATACTGGCGAACTGTTTTGAAACTAAATTAATATTGACGTTTTTGTAACTTAACTTCACAAACCCTTTATATCACCTTGATACAAAATATAGCACCATTGATTGATAATACTACCAAAATAATACTACCAATTAGAAGCAAGCACAAAGAATTAGCCTGGCCTCGGACATCCACAGCTTGACACTACATTTTCCCGTCCTTTTCTGCCTGTCATAAGGTACCAATCAATTCGGCAATTACATCAATTTCATATCTGACCAATACATTTGTGCTTGATTTTAAATGTGATGAGACCCTGACGGCCCTTTGCAAAATATAGAGAATTACAAAGTGACATAATAAAGTAATAAGAAAAGACTTACACACCCTTAAAAACTTAAAAAAGTGCTAATAGTGAGAACATGCGTGATTAGCTAAAGTATTTTTCTGGTATTTTTCATTTTTGTATATTATCTACTCTTAAATTGATCTGGAGATCATTGATCCAGAGCTACTAAAAAAGTATTCAACTCAGTCACAAGCAGTATCATGCATGTTTCCACGAAAAAAATACACCTTTTTTCTTTTCCATTACTTGTAGTGCACAGAGGAGAGCTATATATGAAACCAAAATAACAGCACAATAAGAGTTTCATCTTTCAAATTGGGTTGCATCCATACTCGGTTAAAGTTGCTGATAAATTTATAGCAGGACAAAAGATTTGAGAACCAAAGAAGTGTGGCGTGTCTAAATTGTTCTCGTACTTTGTGCTGTCTTCAGAACGTTCTCATGCTTGAACAAATAAACAAGCAAGAGCCTAAAATAGCTAATGTTACATTGGGGTATAGAAGGAAAATGGGGGTACTGCCAGCAAGTAACTGAATTAACATGATCATCATCCCAAGCAGATACTAAAATTTTGAGCCTAGGTATAGGTAGGAAAAGAAAAACAGAGAGAAACTTTTAAAGGACATTTCCTACCTATTCGAGCAATATTTGTAGAAGTAAGCTGTACTCAAATCAGGAACAATTAACAAGGAATCCAGATTTCAAGTTTTTTGACAGGCTACAGTTTTGGATTTTGTATGGCCAATCTAACTGATTCAATTCCAATCATTTATCAGGATCTGCGGTTCAAATGAAGATCTTTTAAACTGTTACTTGCTCAGGCTCTCCTCTCGTACTGTGCACCCAAATAAAGAAACTAATATATCAGAAGGAAAAGTCAAAAGTCTCTCGCATATCTCTTCTTTTTTCCACTTCCTCGTCAGAAAGTACATCTGGCAGCTCAGAGTTGAAGTCATTCTTCGGGCATTTGTACATCTTGTTGATTGTTGCAACATCCCCAACAGTAAACATATCTCTCTGGCCAAATACAAGAGAGGGATCTTTCAATGAAACGAGTGTTGGCTCACTTCTATCCTTGGCAAATGCATGGTTCGGGTAATGCATGACACTCTAAGAAGTAAGCAGTGAGATTATACTGGAAGCCAACAAATAATTAGGGGCTGGTATAAGCAAATTTACGAAAAATCACTGGTGTGAATATTTTCACTTTTCACGAGCTTGATTGAGCATTATTGCACTACCGGATTTACTCGAGTGAACGCCGCGGCGATGCGGTGCTAATTCGGGGGCGGCGCTCTAACGGGGGCGGCGCTTTTCAAAAACACTGTGATTTTTTAATAAAAAAAACAATCATTTAATAGTGAAACATACAAGCTTGAAAATATCTTCAAAGGTTCATAAAATTTCAATTTCACTGTCGTCTTCACTGTCGGAGACCAACTGAATGCCAACTATCGTCGGAGATGACTCTGCCAACGTTGGAGATGTTTCTGCCAACGACAAAAAAACGCTTGTTGGTCATGTTGTTGTTGTAAAAATGACACTTTTCAGAGTTTAAAACGTCAGAACATAGGCCATTTTCAAGTTTTGTACCACCAAAAGATTGTTTGTTTGATGAAGAATTTTCTCGAAGCCAACACAGGAAATAAACTGGTCGCACAAGTGACAGGAAAAACAAAGAGAAATTGGCCTTGTTGTCCCAGCAAAGTTCTCTGTTTCCACGACAAATGTACACATTGCCAAGATTCTCAAGAGAGAGTTAGATAAAAACTTTGAAATTTCTTATTTTGAACTAAGTGTGTTTTGATACAAGAAAATAAATTCCCGCGGTTGATTTAAGATTTGCAGTTTTTTTCCTGTTTGATTCTAAGGATTCTAACAGTTCTTCGATTAAGCGCCGCATTTACAAAATAGATAACTGCGGCGCTCATTCGGGGCCGCGCTCTTTGACTTTATTTGTCTCAAATGCGGCGGCGCTCGTACGGGGGCGGCGCTCACTCGAGTAAATACGGTATTGAAACGAGATCTTTGTTGCTTTCAACCTATCAATGAAGGTTGCATTAAGTTAAACATAAACAGAATTGATGCTTTGATTTGTTACGGAGGGAGCTTTCAAATGTGAAGGAATTCTCCCCTGGAACACCTTTAGAAAATGCTCTGTGCATTCCTTCTCCTACCTTAGTAGTGACGTGATAATTTGATTGGTCTATTCTAATGGCTCAATGTTTCTAAACAAGTGTTCTAAGTTGCCATTTTTTACACATTAAAAGCAGTAAACACATATTTTTGTGAGGAAATTTGGCTAAGGCTAAGGACTGTAAACTCCTTAACTAACCAAGTTTGAGTACTCAAAATTCCTTAGTGAGTCCTTAATTATTTTCTTCATGTTTGTTGGAAATAAAACTAGGAACAAGTAATGAATATAAACAGATGCATTCAATATTTAATTTTTCCTGTTATTTGCCTGTCTGAGTACTGCCAGTATAGCACTTTTTTATACAAATCCAAACAATGCAACCAAGAACCACCATCTAAAACCTTACCATGAAGTCATAGGGTATGTCTTCTTCAGTCACTTTTAGATAACTGTATTTTCTGAAGTTATTTTTTTCGTCTACGGGAAAATATAAATAATGAAGGTAAAAAGTAGGGAAAAACAAACAGATAAAAAAGCATTGATAGATTTAAAAGTTTTGGAAACAGTTGATTTCCTAAGTCAATGAAAGATATTCAAAACAGAACCAATATTATCAATACTTTTATATTTGCATACCAAGAGCCCTTTTGTCAGTAATTAAGAGTATAGGCTAAAAAGTAAACTGTTTTGCAATTTTTTCCATGAATTCAAAATGAATTCGAAATGACATTTCCAGCTTTCTAAGGATAACAATGAAGCTAGGATACCTATGGCTTACTGTAGCTTTTAAATACTTCTAAGGAAAAACATTAACTGGGCTAGAAACAATACTTGTAGTCTTATTAAAGGTCTGAGAGAAATAACAGATCTGTGTGAAAGGAAATAAGAATTAAAATACTTAGTAAATGAGCAACATACTAAATCATCCATCAACCATCATCAAAATCCATCAATAAAATTACTAGAATATATCCTAGAATGCTTACTTTCATTTATATTGCTCCAGACAACATTGACATGTTCATCTCTGTCGGGACGGCTTTGTTCATGAATAACTCCCAATGCATGAAGAAGCTCATGTTGACAGGTACCAAGGCGAGTGCACCCTTTACCAATTGTAAGAGGTTGTTTACCATGCTGCTTTCCAACATAAGACATACACCTAAAATTCAAAGTTTATTCACAAAACTGAAACAAGCTTAACACTAAATCATTATTTAAAAGAATCCTTAATGCAATGTTTTGAATATTTTTGAAGAAAAGGGTCCAAAACTTCAGAAAGCCACTCAGCCAATTTGTGTCATGCTGAGCTGAGCTGAGACAAGATGGGTCTAAGTGGAAAACTCAGCTTTTTTAGAAACATTCAAATTGGCTCTACATAGTTTCTACATAGTTTTTATCAGCTTCGATAATATAACTTAACAGAGTCAGCAGGGGCTTGGCATTCATCTGATTGTAATGACAGTTTTTATGTGTAAATCCGTGCCCCGAGGGCCCTCCGTTATCTAGCATGACAGCTATTTTATGTACCTCACTGGCTAGATGTTGATAATCCATAAAGATAATGCATAAATGATAATAATGGGCCATTTTTCATAAATTCTTCTTAAATGTTGCCAAAGTCTAGATTTACAGCAAAGCAAAGTCTGAATAGGGGGCTTTACGGGGGTAGCAAAATCCACAAATCTGCTAATTACTATTGCATAGTTGGCAAATCTGCTACTTTCACTAAATTGGCGAGCGAAAATGAAAACCTTATTCACAACACTTAATGTTCCTTATAAAATTCAGAGACAAAAATGTCTGTTATAGTCCCCTGTATTTGGATTTGTTCACTGAAATGCCATAAAAGCCTTGAAAAGGTGTAAATTTTTGCACAAATCTCTTCTCGATTTTTTGCATCATAAAAAGCGCATGTTTGTCAATGTCTGTTTTGCCGATGAAAAATAATTATTCCTCGAAGAAATAGTGATAAATATATACCGGGGAAAAAGTAGACCAAAATAATGGTGAAAATTTATAGAAAAGTTCGCCATATCAAGGAAAATCATGATGAAGGGGCATACAATTCAGTTGGTAAGAATGAGAGTTTGTTATGTACGGGATTCGTTACACTGAGGGAATTTGTAAGGGGTTAGACAGAATCCAAGGGGCCAGACATATTTTTGTTATACTGGAAAATTAGTTATAGCCGGGTTTCATATTATCGGGATTCCACTGTAGATTAGTCCTATGATTTTTTATTTAATCCACACTCCTGACAAGGTGTTAAGCTATTTTGAAATGGCATGAAGTAATAGTACCAAGGAAAGATTTACATTTAGACCGTCTCAAAAACCAACAAAACCAATCATTGATAGAGAATTTCGCTCTCAGAATAAAAGAAGGCGTGTCATATTTTGCACTCCTTGAAAGCAGTAGACGTGCACCAGGGCGTGCGCGTGCGATCCCATGCCTTTCAGACGAAAGCCTGTTTAAAGCGTCTTTCCAACGGTCTTGAACTCAGGCTAGCAAAGTGGGACCATCAAAATGACAAAGAATGATGGCTAACTGAAAAATAACTTGGCTTTGCCGAGTATTGAATGTGATGTTGCTAAAAAGATTGACTTAGTGATGTTATCCACGCTTTCGCCTTAAAAAGCTTGTAAGGTGGTACTGTACAGGTTTTGAAAATTACAAGATTCGATTGATGTAATCAGTAAATCCTTACCCAAAATTTTATGCAAATAGAAAGGGCAATGAATGTTGTTTTCAATTGCAAAATTTGTTATCCAAACAGCATTTTATTTTTGAGAGTTGATGTATATTGAATTAATAACCAAGAATATCTTGACTCACACTCGTGGCTCTGACTTAATGTAAATGTAATGTTGTTCTTTTTCTCTCTTTTTAAATCTGATGCAGGTGTGTTTGTGAAATGATTCAATTGCATTTAATATGCATTCCTTGGAAGCCTCATCTGCAAAAAAAGAGGGTTTGAAGTTAAATCTTAAAATTCTTCGAAAATTTTAAAGCTTTGAAAATGTAGTTGAAATTGAGAAGTCAGAACAGCTTAACATTGGTTTACAATACAAAAATGGATGCCAAAGACTTACATATATGTAGTATGCTACAGTGAGTGGATTTTGTCACATAAAAGTTGCTTGAAAAGATGAGATTGTAAGCAGATGTGTTGTAAACAGAGGCAGGTTAATTGAACAAAGTTGCAAATTCAGTTCTTTTTCCATGACCTTGTTCAGGGACATAAATTAAATCTTCTTTATTTCCTTTGGAGGGGGGGGGGGGCTGTCAGACAAGGTCAACTAATAGTGTGGAGTCAGAACATTTCCACAACTTATTATAATAGTCAACATGAATCTTGGTGTCCATAGATAGGTACAAAGTACATGTATTTCGTTACTTGGAAAATATTAATTCATATCAGAGATATTGATTTATATTGCACGGATGCATTTGAAATATGCTCAAATGTGTAAAGGTGTAATTTGTTTTGCTTCAGCCATCTACTGGAAAGTTTTCAGTCATTCATTTTTTGTCATTTAACTTCAATTAGTGTAGCATAGAGTAACGCCTTGTCAACAGAACCAAGTTGAAGGTAAAAACCCAAGATAAAGGCAGGTTTGTAGATAGACCATATCATATCTCAATATCTGCATGGATATATGCATATATTTCCAAGCCTTTTTAGACAAATGTACAAAACCTCAACTGAATCCTCTTTCCTGTCATTGTTAACAATATTATCCACAGTATAACCTCAGGAATTTTCAATGCGTTGGCTGGATCATTTATATCATTTTTTGGCAAATCTAAATTCCATCATACATTCCACTTCACAGATTTGCTCTAAATTAAATTTCTGACCAATTTGGCTGATTATGAATTCTTCATTGTCATTTTCATGTTATAAATTGAACTCCAACAAGAAATGGGCCATAGCTAATATAAAGATATGAATTGCCACATTGCTCGTCATATTTTCAAACCATAACCAATGTTTCTTGAAAAGGTATGGTCTTTATATGGTGCTTTCTACACCATAAACACGCTATTGCTCATGCACTGTTGCATGAACACCCACCCCCCCCCCTCACTTGATTCCCTGAATGAGAAATTATATGTTGTTGTAGGCTAGGTGAGGTTTAGTTGAAAACTTACTAATATTTCGAGCAAACTCGTAGGGTACAATCTTATCGAGCCACAATTTGTTGCTATTTTTGAGGATGCTCCTTTTGTCAGCTTCTCCTAAAACAGCTTGTCTCAAGTCATCATCCATAATCATGTCCCCTTCAAACAGCTCTATAAAAGAAAAAATGATTGACTTATTAAAAAATGATTTTTTTTTAATGTTTACAACAATAATGAGCAAGGCAAATGTTATTGACAACTTAGAAAAAAATTCTGGTCTCTGCAAGCTGATAAACAAGTTGATCAGCTTTCCTAATTTTAATGGAACAACCAAAAAATGTCAGGAACTTCCTCGAAGTCATTTGATTTTTGCTATAAAGAAAAAAATTATCATCTTGGTACAGAAATTGTCTGTACTATGGATATCATGGGTATTGGTATAGGCTGGAAATAAAGTCAACAAGCAAATCAACTTTGTGAGATTGATAACATTTACACTATACTCAGTGTGCTCCAGTAAGAAGACAAAGATTAAGTCCCAACTACCTGAACTCAAATGCCCAACCATTACTAAACATTTATAAGTTTGCAGTAACACAAAAAATGCCTTAAATACCTCCATTTGAAACAATATTTCCTGCTTCATCAGATGTGGTCTTCTTTCTGAGATGTTCTCTATCCTTTTCTCTATCTTTCTCAAACCGTCTCAATTCTTCTAACTTCTCAAAAGAGTCGTCAGCTAAAACACAGACAAATTCCGATCATCAAAGTTCACCACTGCAAGATTCGTGGAATACTTGACTTCCACTACCTACACTACATCAATTCTGAATCAAGTTATTTATATGTTCCTAAAACCTGAATATTTAGGGCATTTAATTTTGATCTACAACGACATTATATGTTCAACAATTAGAAATCAAAATTTCATGGCTATCAAAAGCATTCGTTGATTGTTTTCCACGCTTGAACGATTCCTGGCAGCGAGTGGTGAACTGAAGATACCGTGATTGGCCTACTTTCGTCCGAATAAAACTACCTGCAAAAACGATAGTTGAATGCAGCTGGTGAGTGGCAGGTAAAAGAGCAAGCAATCGAAGACTGTGATTGAATAAACACTTAAAATAACTGTTTTTGAGCTTACAAGTATAAACAATTCGTCTTATGAATATAGGTGGGTCCGGGTGCAAATAGATCTGTAAATTTATTTTATCATTAGGATACCAAAGCCTGATTCTCAGATATTTACAAGAAATGGGATCTTTCAATTCCAAGTTACGGTAAACGGAATTCATGATTTTTATAAAACTTGATTGAGAGGCCTTAGTTTTCCTGGAAAAACAAAAGAAGGGTAAGGGCAACTTTGTTATCGACTTAGAAACGACCAAAACAAGAAACCTTTGAGGAAAATTTGGCTGATATTTTAGCCGCAAAACAACACTTTTTCATAACTATTGCGGAAACTAAGGACACTTTCTCAAGGGAACATATCTTTTCCCAACTATTTCAACTTAAAAGTATACTTTTAAAAAATCGTTGTTTAGAAAAAATGAAGGCCCATTTTGACCTTACCTTCTTGAAGATGTCTTGGTAGACTGTATGAAAACTTGATACTTTTGTCCAGCAAAATGGCAAGAAAAACGACAAAGACTAGTCTTCGTAGCATTCTAGGTTAATTTCTAGAGGACTGGGTCCCCTAATAGACAGAACTATTGGCTTGTTCTCCTGTAACTTAAAGTTGCCAGATAAAGGGCCAACTGCGGAAGAATTTCCTTTTGGTTTCTAATGATCGCCCCTGCACTGCGTCAGTGAAATGTTTTCCATGGAGGAGGAGCCGTGACATCAGAGTAGATTAAAGAGGAAGTAGTGACCCACTATGACTAATCAACTATTTTACTTACATATCGAAAGCAATACCACACAATAGAGAATATTCTGTGGCAATACCATATGAACTTCGCCAACGCGATCTCCTTGACCCTCCTATTACGTCAGTTTTTCTCGGCATCTTTGAAAGAAACTGAAGGGTTCCCTGAAACTCGGAAACGCTTCCAAAAGGATATTTCACTCTTATGAGGCCCTATAAGGGGTATTCGAAATATGAAATAATTGATGAAAATATAAATATTTAGGTCCTTCAGTCATGAAGTATGAAATAACGTTGTTTCCCAGTATGAAATATGGAATAACAAAATAACTGAATACCTCTTTAAATTTTGTGTGAAAATTATCTACTTCGTAACAGCATTGACTTTTTTATACATTCCAAAAAGTTACATAACAAGTTACTGTAATGCCTTAACTACACGCTACTTTACATACACTACAAAGACGATACCCCGGGTAGCATCAACTCTGTCTACCCCGGGACCATAACATAGAGAGGGAAAAAATGCACGTTTGTAATTACAAATACTTGAAGATATAAGAGACTATTAAATTCAAGCATTGACTCGAGTGACTATTGATCTGTAGACCTGTTAAGATACCAACCATATTACACCTGGGTTGCTCTTTTAATTTTTTCAATCTTTCTAGGGGTCTAAAATAGGGATGTACCGGATATCCGGTAGGCCGGATAATCCGGCGCCGGATCGCCGATTTTTTGAAAATCCGGTTCCGGCCGGATTTGTTTCCGAAATCCGGCCAGTTGCCGGATTTTCCAAAACTTTAATCAAAACTAAGAAAATTTGGAAAACCAAGTCAGACTCCCTTCATACAGTGATTAAAAATGGATTTTCCAGAACTAAACAATATCGATGATAAAACAAGCACCTTGAAAACAGATTTGAAATGAAAGTGCTCGTCATCACGAAACAGGAGGACTGGATGATATAATTCACAAATTTGGTCCAGGGTTGCCAGATCGGCTTTTTAGGCCTTTTCAGCAGACGTCCAAAATTAATAAGTAATTACTACATTCATAGAATAGTTAGTAGTTAACTACAAAGTGTTAACCAAATTTCAAATTTTATCACCTAACCTAAATAATATCTTGATATTAGCAAAGGGTTTTGGAAAAAAGTAAGATTCTTATCAAAGTTAAGAAATTATCTAACAGGCACAAGCGTAGAAATATAACCAGTGCCTGCTCGATGGATTCTTGAGAGAGTTTTTGATTTGGCCTTTTTATGAGCATTTTGGCTTAAATTGCTCACCAGTCTAGCCTTTGTTTCCGGTAAATCCGGTAAATCCGGTTCCGGCCGGATTCTGAAAATCCTGATCCGGTACACCCCTAGTCTAAAAGGCTTTTCATGCTTCACGTTTAGGAAAAATACCAATAGCATAAAATCTACCGCAAATTCTTTTGGCTTATATTATCTCAAAGAAATAGACGAGAACATCAAATAACATCATAAACATATTATTATCTACATTGCTTGTTCCACATATACGAAATGAAATATGCTTCATATTCCAAAAATTACCTTTTCTTGGAAGAAAAATCTCTGGTTGTCTGAAAAAATGCGAAAGGATCACCGATCAAATGAAAAGTAAGAAAATGAAATGTTTTACACAGCAAAGTTATTTTTCGGAAATGATGCATTTTTATTTTCCCGCCCTTTTCATCCTTGATGAATTGCTTCAGCTTTTACACGGCCGTAGCAGTGAACATCAGAGGACGCGAGCTTCTCATCGATCTTCAAGCTTTTAAAATACATATATAAAGTACCTGAGGGCAAGAGAAATTGTACAATTGTAGCTATTTTGAGAAAAAGATGGCCTGCATTTTCTCTCATCTAGCTATTTTTTATCAGTAACAAAAGATTCAATGCCGACAAGAAATTGTTTTAACAGTGGATTGTAAAGGTAAGTTCATAATTGTTAATTTAGTAGATAAAACAACCTTTAAGGATTAAAAGCAATTAAGTAATTTTGCTGTTCTCCCTCCCCCCTAATTATTATATGGGTTTGAAAAGGAAAGTTTCAAGCCTTCGTAACTAACGTTCGCAGAAAAATTTTTGCTGACTACAACGCCAGTTTTTTCGTAAATTCATCAAAGATTCAATTTTTAAAAGAAAGTGTAGGTTATCTTTCAGCACATTTTACACCATTATTTTCGTAGCTAGTGGTAAAAACGTCCAAAATTGACCTAAATTTAGCTGTGTGGCACTTGTCATATTCTTGAATTCTGATTGGCTAATGAGGTATGCAGAATTTTGGTCGCTCAGCCAATCAAAGATTTGGAACCTGGTAAAATACATAAATTTTTCCTTTCGCAAAAGTTATGTTCCTTTGCGTGCCCAGACCCCAGATAGTCGTTGATGGACTTAACAGATAGATCTGGAGTCGATGCCCGGTAGATTCAAATGTCAGAGGTCGTCATCTTGATATCTCGGGCTAGGTTATGAAAATTAAACCTGGCTTTTTTCTATCAAATGGTCACGACTAATAACGCTAAAACCTAATCAAATTAATTTATATTAGATTCAAGTTACCATTCTTGCTCACTCTAGCAAAAATGCATCAATTTCAAGACAAATTTCCGACAGATGAAACTAACCCTTTCTTTCCAATACAACGTTTGCAAGATCAACGGCGTCCGAATGAAAACAACCAGCTGAACTAGAGTAGCTCAGACCTCTTCTCTTCATAAGTGGCTGTGGTTCAAAAAGTAAGGAACAGCAAAAGACAAAAGATTCGCCTCCTGGAGATCTTGCAATATACCTTTATGTTTATGAAGAAAACAATATTCATTTAACTCCATCATATCCTTGTAGTTTTTGAGAAAACCAAAGCAAAAGATTTCACGAAGTAGTTCATAAAAAAGGTCTTATAAGATAGCAACAGTAAAGAGCAGTCCAAATTCAATGGGAAGGCAATAAAATATTTTTATCACATAATTTAAGAGTTGTTTTGTCTGCACTACCTCTGTTTTGTCTTGGTTAAATTGCATTCACCTGTGTCAAGCATTTATAGCGATGCAGTTAAGAGCTCATGTGAGAATTTTAATGTTTCAAAATCATCATCAACTTCATTAAAAAGACATGATTATCACCAACTCTTTAGCGAGGGAAAGGTTGGCCATAAGGTAATCAACGTAAGACAAATTATCAACAGTATGAAAATAATGATAATTTTGGTCATTTCATTGTCATTAAAGCAATAATGAAGTTTTTATCGTTGATAAGGCATCAATTTGCGCACAATTTTGTGGTCACTAACTCGATGCATTTATTATCGTGTTATGAGCTAATTAATGCAGGTATTCTTATCTGAAGTCCAACTCATTAACCAGTCTCGTTCCCAATACAGTACAAACATTCATTTCTTCAATTTCATAATCATTTCAGCAAAGCGACAACGAGACTGGCCAACTTTCCAGTGACAACTGATACAAGAAAAATGACCATCTATATATTAATTTACGTACTCAGGAATGAAATACTAATGCCATATAAAGGGGAAAATTGAATCTGAAAAATGAAATGAAAAGCTCCCTCAGAATAGCTGCCATAGACATCAGAAGGTCAGTCATTAGGCTACGTCCCTACATCATCGACAGCGAGTTGGGCCGTTGGTGCATCGTTGCAAATCGCTCAACCTACTATAAGTCATTCACTAGAAGGGGAGTTACACAATAATCCCCAAATATGATTGATAATTGGGAGGCAATGGACACGAAAAGCCTCTTTTCCCCACTAATACCCGATGCACAAGTCCTACCTATTAGCATCAAAAGACGCTAAATAGTATAAAAGGTGCCTAAAGGTATGAGAGGTTTTGACGGTACCGTTAAAGAAACTCAACACGCAAAGCTATACCGAAAGGCATTTTGCATGAATAAACAAAACGAGAGAAGGAGGGCTGGGAAAATAAAACAGCCTACTTGTATTGTGGCTTCACTGAGCAAGGTGAGACCCACACTATGCCCAAACCTGAAATACCCCTAGATTAACCAAGGGAATGCAAACGCCACGAAACACACATCTTACCCTATTTCTACAAATCAAATTCTCAGGAAACCGAAAGACTCTTCGTCACAATAGAAATGACGTCAGCACAAATCACGTGACACAACCACACCCATAAATCACTCTACTGACACAGCCACGCCCATCACTCACTCTACTGACACAGCACAGACATCAACTTTTTCTTAGCCATCGCTCGGCCGATGGCGTTCTTCTGGTTCAATGACTCAACTGACAATGACTAGGCTTTGACCTGAACAACGGCTTGGCATCGACCATGATGATGTCACCTCGTCCTTGTCGCCGTTAGTGTTACTTCGTCACAATAGATGGAAGAAAAGTCCGAGGCAATATATTTAACCTATGTTTAATCAATATGTATAAATTTAACAAAAACAGAAAAACTATCAACCAAAATAAAAGCAAATTAAGCAATTTGTACACTTAGGATATTGTTTTGTAACATCTTATCTTAAATATTTCGGAAAAAAGGTGCTTTTAACAAAAAATCGGGATTCTAAAACTTTCAAACTGCACTGGTCAAAAATAGTTTCAATAGAATTTGTAATTGCGTCTAGATTTCCTTTCTTAGTCGGAATGGATTATCGATACAATCAAATCTTGAAGTTTTCTTGATATTACTTTTATAGAACAAATCTGCACATTCTTTCTTTCTCGTGTCCTCAAAAATTTTCTTTTCGTCAGTTTCTTTCCCTTCCACATCGCTAGCGACTTTTTTTTGTAATGTTCCTGAGAAATGGTTGTTAACAAAAACACCTTGTGAGCCAAGTTTAGCCAATAAAAAAAACGAAACTCCGTCAATTTGTGCTGGCACCAAGTTATTCTGGATCAGGTTTCTCGATCTATTTCCTAAGCCAAGCTGTTTTTCGTTGTACAACTTAGACAATGACCGATTTCTTTGATCTTATTTCCCATATTCAGATTTATATGTCTTCTATGGTAAAGACATAGCAACCAAGCTAAAGCTAAAGGCATATGTAAGGCACAGTTACTTGCAGAATGATATACTACATTAATTTTCACTTTTGTCTAAAATTAAAAAAGGTCTGCAGAAAAGTTGGGAGGCCGTGGTCCCCCCGCCATTTTTCAGAATAAAACCAGTATCACTGATATTTAATAGGGGGTTCCAAAAAGGAATTCTAAGGAAACGACTCGCAAAGAGAAGACTCAGTTTACCTGGAATTCGAAAGAAAAAGCTTTTGGGTAGCCCGATCCCGGTAGGATTCGAACCAGAGCCCCCATATTCCGAACGCCATGGTCATACCACAACAGTACTGAACAGACACTGCAAGGTTGACTGACTTAGCTAGAAGTTCCTTAGCAGAGGTGATGCAGTGATAGTCAATTCTCATTTCATTGGTTGCAACAAACAATTGCAGTGTACCACTATAAACATTTGCATAGGTCAACTCTGATTCCTATTGGTTGGCTGTACCGCTGCAGAGACAAGCTCAACTTTTGATTTGATAAATGATTGCAGAGGTAAAGTACACTCTGATTGGCTTAGACGACGTTTGCATAGGTCAAAAAAGCGGTGATTGGCTCTCGAGGGACAAACAAGTTTCTGGATTCAGAAAATACGGACCAGATAAATGCCTAGAATCGCCTCTCGACTATTCTGTGCAGAGGCCGAGAGATAGTCAGCAAAATATATGCCCTGTCATCTGAAGATTGTTTGTATCAACGGGGGCAGATCCAGGACGGACGTTGCTAAAGAATTTGCCAAAGAAACTATTGATTTAAAATTTTTTATAGTTTCTATTTTATTTTGTTGCTGTAAAAATTTGACTTATGCTTCTGCATAGGTTACTCTAGCCTGGATCCGCCTCTGCTTACCGGTTTATATTTTTGAATTTTTCCTAATCAGTGTATCTACGTGGATCCTTATAGATGCGTGTTCAAGGGTTCTTTTATAGTAGCCTTAGACATGAATAAGAACATTTTTGCAGTGGACAGTAAAACCGAACAAAACCGTGAAACTAAAGCAGAAATTTTTTAATAGCAAAGCTGCATCAACAGCTTATTACGATTCCAAAGGTCTATAAAACACTATTAAAATCGGTTAGATAGAATGTCCAACATTTAATTGATTAAACAAAATCTGTTGTTTGACAATAAATTAGGTCACAAAAACTCAAAAAAAAAACTCAAAACATTTCATTCACAGCAATAATTAACTACTACATTTCTATTTAATACTTGAACCACAAATAACAATCATTTTTTACAAAAAAGAAAAACTACAAACAGTAGATAGTTCAAAGTTTGGTATGTTTGCTGTCGGACATATGAAAAGAACTCAGAAGGAGCTATCTAGGTCAAATGCCCGATTGGACGTGTATAGGTGTAGGTGATCGATTTCAAAAGAAGAATGTGAATGAAAAATAAAAAGGAGAAATATCAAGATAATATAGGGTTAGTATAATGAGATATGTTAATTGGTTATACTAAAAACACAATAGTGAGATGCATGGTGGTAATATATGTTTAATGATAATGTTCATAATTGGGTTCAAATAAGTATATCAATTCGACTTTAAGAAATAACTTTCAGGTTTTTGATGAAGGATGACTTATTCGGTAACTTTTTAATTTGCAATGGCAGTGAATTCCAAATTTTGACTCCTTCATATACAATTGACTTTTGTTTGTAATTTGTCAAGACCAAAGGGAAAGAGAAGTTGTCATTTGAAGACTGTCTTGTTTCATGCTGATGACGTATATTTGTTTTAATGAACAGGTTGTTGAATATGTCATTAATGTATAGCAGAAAGAGAAGTGGGCCTAAGACACTTCCTTGTGGAACTCCACAGTTAATAGATAGATCGTTTGCCAATTCGCCATTAACTGAGACAGTTTGTTTTCTTTTTGTAAGGTAGGATTTTAACCAAGAATGGGCAATTCCTCTTATTCCATAGTGTTCGAGCTTATCTAACAGAATACCATGATTGACTGTATCAAAGGCTTTAGAGAAGTCTAGAAAGATACAACATGAAAAACGTTTTCCTTCAATGTTTTCAACTAGCTTTGTGCAGAGATCTGAGATTGCCAATGTTGTTGATTTATTTTTTTGAAATCCAAATTGATGCCTGAAAATTATTCTGTACTTGTCTAAAAAGTTAACCAAACGAGAGTGCATTGCCTTCTCTAGAAGTTTACTAAAGATTGGTAGGATTGAGATAGGTCTATAGTTAGTAAGTTCAAGTTTTGATTTGCCCTTGTGTATTGGTGTCACTTTCGCAAAATTCAATTTCTCTGGAAAAATTCCTTTTTCAAATGTTGAGTTAGCTATTGAAGAGAAAGGCAATGAAATTGTGTACCTTACTAGTCTAATGAGTTTTACGGGTAGATCATATGAGTCATTGGCTTTAGTTTCGTCTAAGTTGGCAACTAAGTCATTAATTTCTTGAGGTGTAACGGGTTGAATAAAAAAGCTTCTTGGGTTTGGTGTTTTAAGATAATCTTTAAACTTCTTGGTGGGGGGTTTCATTCTGTCAACTATTCTTTGTGCAACAGTTGTAAAATATTCGTTGAAACAGTTTGCTATGATTTTATGATTAGTGGTCAATTTACCATTAATTGAAAGGCAAAGGTCATTGGAGTGCTTTTTCTGTTTTTGAATGATATCATTAATGCCAGACCAAACCTTTTTCGAATTTTTTTTGAATTTGTCAAAATAGGAAATGTAATAGATCTTTTTGCTTTTTCTTATCAGATGATTTAGAAGGTCTCTATATCCTTTATATTTTTGGTAGCATGAGGGATCTTTCGTTTTCAAAAATTTCGAGTAATATCTATTTTTCACTGAGATTGATTTAAGAATACCAGTTGTTATCCAGGGTTTATTTCTCATTTTATGCATTTTCTTTAAGGGGGCGTGGTTATTGATAATATTTAACAGTGTATCCTGAAAGACATTAAATTTTGCATTCGGATTATTTTCAGCATTTATTAATTTTACGAGGTCCACCTGTCTTAGGTCTGAGATGTATGAGTCAGCATCAAAGTTATTGTAATCACGATAAAAACTTTCCTACCCTTAGAGAATTTAACACAAAAAAATTAAAGACATTAACCAATAATATAATCCTATCAATATCCAAAACAACAAGCATGTTCTTTAAAGATAACAAAATAAAAAACAGTTTTTGGTTTCTCTTCCATCTTTCCATAATTAAACCAACAGAATAAAGCGCGATAGAATGTAACATCGCGCCATCAAATGATTGTTACAATTGTAATTTGAAGGAGTATGGCAATACAAGATCCGGGAAAAGGATTTTGCACCGTTGACCCAATTAGGAGACATTTCTGGTACTTGCGGACTCAACCGATGCCTGCTCATGACGAGGAGAAACGGGCGAGTCGCGACTAAATGTTAGCAAATCAATGAACAAACGTCTTGAATTCGTTTCCAGCACGTCAATTCCGAAGACCTTGTTTCTAATTTTCGTTGCAATATAAAAAATTCTATTTCGGAAAACATCGGAAAAGGAGAACAGGGAATAAATAATATGTATATATCTAGCTAAAAGTCTAAAACCTTGAGGCCAATATTGCAAGCACAGCAGTGACGTAGGAAGAATAGAATTATTGGAGTAACCTTTGTTTGAGAAAATAGAGGCAAAAGGGACTTGTAATTGGGAACAAAGGGTTTTATAACTTTTGGGACTAAAGCCCTTTCTAAGAACAATAGCTGCTACGGCCTTGACATAGCAAATCTGCTGAAGTCAGCTTTATTTTGGCCGTCAAAGCAATGTACAATGTAAAACAATCCAACATCCGTAGAAATCAAAGACGCACGCCACTAAGCGATGAAGTCAATCTTGAATAGGATCATCTGTCCAATATGAAAGATTAGATCCACTCCATTACGAATACAAGGTCCAATTGATCGGCTGAAGTAAGATTAATGCCATTTCTATAAACATTAACGTTGTTCTAAAAACATCGGTTCAAATAAATTTTCATTAAATTTGTAAAAAAACTCTTAATTGCAATGCTATTCTTCATCCTGATGAGACAGCAGTCCGTATTCTGAGTCAGACAAGCTTCGTTGCCGGCTTATTGCTGCAAATACCCGGTATTTCCCCTTCCGGTGCTTTACGAGGCGTCTTTCGTTGTCGCCTTCATTTTCATGATAAGACGGCTTTTTATACCTAAAACATAACAAAGAAACATTAAAATTGATAGCAGAAGCGTTAAAATACTGAAACCCTAATTAAATCATACTTTATAAGTACGCAATGAAACAAGCACTTACAGAGGTTTCCTTACAACGGAACGTCAAAACAGCGGACAATAATCCTGGCCCTGTATAGAGGTTTAACGGCTTCACTTGGGCCCTAGACGCACTGATTTCTGACATAAAACTCATTATCTTTGTCAAAGTGGAAAATTGAGGATACTTTTTCAAGTTTGACAAAGATAATCCGATTTCCGCTAAGAAATTCAAGCGCGCTGCAGCTCGTGCGTGAAGTGGTTGTTTGCTGTTAGGCTAATGTAATGTGGTTTAAAACAAATAACGATTTGACTTTGGGTTTTGTGTGACACCAGAAAAATGCGTTAATTGCTAATCATTTCCGGTTTCCAGAGCTCGTCCTGCTCTGGGGCAGGACGACGAAACCTTTGAGGGACTAGTGAATTTGGTTCACTGGCAATTTGGGTGGCCGCACTGGAAAATCAGCATTTGTTTACTAACAAGCTTAATCCCTTTTCTCTATGAGCAGTAGAGATTAAGTGTGTCAAAAGTTCTTCCTGTTCGGTGCGTCTAGGGCCTTGGGCTCTTTGCGCGAATCGGAGGAGGTAACACACAGTGAGTAAAAGCAGCTGTTAAAACGATGGAACTCGTCAAAAAAGTGTTAATGAAGAGGAAAATACCACAAGAGCCAGAGGTGAAAAATAAATTAATCTTTAACAAACAGGAAAGGCTGCCAACAAACATGCACTACGATTAACTTGTCCATTCGAAGAAATGGCGTACCGTTTAAGCCACAGGGATGATGTTACCACGGAAACAGATGACATTGCCATGGCAGCACTTGCCATCCACGGTTCCAGGACAACACCAACCGGTTGCAGAATGCCAGCTGCAATCGGTATTCCAATCATATTGTAAACAAGTGCAAATACGAAGTTGATACGAATGCGACTGACAGTCTTCCTGGACAGATCTATTGCAGCAACAAAGTCCATCAAATTGTTCTGCAAAACATGCAATGTTCTCATACAGAATTCAAATTGAAAAACCGCAGCAAGCTACAGAAACATTCTCTGCAAATTCTCCAAGGTCCAAATTTTAGTTCCTAGAACTGCTATCTTACTGCCTAATGACAACTTCAACTGTATTCTGACATACAAAAAAGAATGCTATTAAGTATTTACTATTTAGAATAACATCTTCAGCTTTCTGTGCTACTTTGGAAATGAAGTTAAAAAACTATATGACAATAAACGCGTTTTTAGAGTTAATCTTATTGCGTTTAATGCACTTATTTGCTTAATCAATCAGCTTAACTGAGAAACGAGTGAATCGTGACAAAATGCTTATAGAACTAAAGGAGGACAACTAGCCTGGGATTTTCAGCCTAAGTGCTGCTAGAAAGTATCGCTTGAATACCAGTGTTAAAAGTGTTAGCAAAAGGCCAAAATCAAAGATATACAATGTTAAAGGCCCCTTACGTTGATTAGCACTATGTCAGCGGCCTCAACAGCGACATCAGTTCCAGTTCCTATGGCAACACCAAGATCTGCTTGTGCCAGAGCTGGCGAATCGTTAATACCATCACCAACCATGGCGACCACACTGCCAGCCATTTGAAGACTTTTAACTTTTTTCACCTTGTGATTAGGTAATACGCCAGCAAACACGGTGTCTATACCCAGCTTAAATGCGAACGAAAAGAGCGATGATCTCATGTGGATAGGAAAATAAAGAAATGAAACGAGCAGGTGAACTTTTAGAAATGAATTAAGAAAGCCAGTTGAGTTGCTACGGCGTCAAGACTCACTAAATCGACAAAAGAGAACTGGATCAAAGATAAACTGGAAAGGCTATTGAATCACAAAAATGTGACCCTATAACTGCATCACAATCACCTAAGGCTGGGGCTGTTTTGAAATATTAATTATGCCAAGTCATTGAGAAAATTGCAGAGCAGAGTAAAATATTTGCAGGGCGTAGAGCCTACTGACTTACCTGGTTAGCGATGGCGTTAGCTGTCCGCTCGTTGTCACCCGTCAGTAGAATTACCTTCATGCCCATTTGGTGCAGCCTGCTAACTGCCAATTTTGATTCATCTTTCAGAGAATCAGCAATGGCAACCGTTGCTACCAGTTCTCCTGAATGAGAATTCACAGCATCAGCAAAACGACTCAAAACGTCTAATATTTAACAGATTTCTAAGCTTTACTAAGGCGTTAAGTGAAACACCACATGAGATTCAAAACGCATTTAATGACAAATACATGGTCATTTTGTTTTCCTTTTGAAATTTCGAATTTGATAAAAAGTCGTTTGAATACTAAACTTTCCTGCTGTGCATATTTTAGCATCCACTACGAGTTGTCATAACGTTCACAAACGAGACCTCAAACAGAAAGTAAAACAAAAAAGTAAAACAGAAAAGTAAAGTAAAATAAACAAAGCAAACCAATCAAAAGAGTTATTACCATTAACAGCCACAAAAACTCCAGTTTTGCCTTTTTCTTCCAACTCTCTGATCTGCTGATCTGCATCTGGTGCAATTTCAATATTCTGTTTCTTCATTAATTCTCTATTCCCAATGTAAACATCAAAAGGCCCTTTTGTATTCAGTTCCGAATTTTCATTAATATCGTCAACATTAAGATCTGAAAAACAGAGCATAAACCTAACACCAACTCGTGTCATTTAATTTGGTACGACTGAGGGCATTTAACTATTAGGATTTAGAATGGCTATTATAGCTAAAAAATTAAAAAAAGAAACAACCTGAACGAAAGAAAAAATGAAATCCTCAATGCATACTAACCAGTCAAGATTCTACGGTTAACGCCTCTATCAACATCGTTTTCGCACAATACACCATTTACCCTCACTTCTAACGCACTTCGCTTAAACGACGATAGTGGGCCAGTCTTTTTTAAGAAGTCGACATCGCTGATTCTGCATGACAAACCGAAGCCTGGCAGCGCCATGAAAGTGACGCACCGTCCGAGTGTCTCCAGTCCCAGCATCTAAAACGTAATCAATTTTCAAAGATTATACACAGCTGAAACTATTCAAACTGAAGGAAAAACCTTTTAAACTAAGGAAAGTTGCAACCCTGAAGATCTGGGTCGGGTCTGGCGTCCTCTTTTTTATAATTGCTTCATTCTTTTTAGCGGGAGAAACTTGACTTTCTTATTCTGAGAAGTCTATGTTTTGCACTACGTGCGCTATGAATGTACATCACCGGAACAAACACCTTTTCATTCAATTTTTGTCAATACATTCTTTTACATCCCGAGCACAAAATGTCAACATAAGCACGGTTGAGATTTGCTTACTTATAACTATTCATGTAATCAGTCATTCATCGTTCCCAAATCGCCATTGAAGTAATAATCAACAATAAGAATTTAAATACATAAAAATATCACGAATAAAAGGATGGTTTGGCGTTTCACGGATAAGTCTGCTTATCATGAATCTTTTAAACCGGAAAAATGACAAAGCCTTTTCCAGGAAATCGGAGAAAAATCGACTTTCCGCTAATAGCCATTGTTTCCGTACCAAGAGTTTTATTTAGTTATATTCCATTCTTCATCGTCAATATGCGTTACTCCTGCGCACTACTTCTCATGTTTATATATTTGAAACACTAAATAGCTATCAAGAGATAAAAGTTCAAATTAAATGACTGATTAATCACAATGGGATCGAGGCAACTACCATGCGATGAAGACAACAAAATGGGAAATTGACGCAATAAGAAGCAGCGTTCTACCTCACAAGCGTACTCCTTCACAGCTCTGGCGAGAGGATGCTCACTCCTCGATTCCGCAGTCCCGATCAAGGCTAACATCAGCTTGAAAGGCATCTTTTTCAGATCAGTGAACAATGTAAGATTCGTGACTTTCGGTTTGCCGTGAGTGACTGTCCCAGTCTTGTCGAAAATAACTGTTGATACCTTTCGAATGAATAAAGAAAGCCACTTTAGAAAACTCGTATCGTATGTAATAATTTTTCATACGTAAAAAAGGGTATCCCAGTGAATCGGCCGCCAAACAAATATTATGTTAGCATCCCCCCCTCCCTCGCCTCGGTGAAAGTTAACTGCAAAGTAGGAAGGATATGGTAAGCGAAGGTAGGGGCAGTGCAAAAAAAGATGAACATTTTACGTCATTCTACGACAAATCCAAAACACATTGTATGCATCAAAATAGTGGCAGCAACAATCATGATAAAACAGTGAAAGCAAGTTATATCAAATAACAAGGCATCATAGTTTCTCCAAGGGATGCAATTTTGTTGAAAACTAACGTACAAGACTTGGGTATAGAAGTCATGAAATCTGTCCAGCGATAAGTGAAGCACTGGTACCGACACTGAATATAAGAACAGTAAGCGTTTATGCTACTCAAAAATGTTCCATGTAGAGAATCGGTTGCTGGTTACACCCAACAATGACCTTTCCGCTAAACTTTATATTTTCTGGGGGAGAGCGGGCACCCAGAAAGCTTTTGAAGTGACTGAAACAGCAAATGACAGGACAAATTCTTACTGGGCGTAATGCATATTCTAACCTTATGCGCCACTTCCAATGGCTCTCCTCCTTTGATGAGAATCCCATTCTGTGCACCGACCCCCGTTCCGACCATTACAGCCGTTGGTGTAGCTAGACCAAGCGCACAAGGACATGCAATGCATAATACAGAGATGGCGCATCTGAATGCAAATTGTACAATGACCTCACTCTTTCTATGAAGTGGAGTCTACGATGAAATCACTTCTACTTAGCTTCGTTTCAGTTTGAATAAGCTGAAACATTTGCAATAAGGGAAAGATCCTGTAAGGTTCCTGAATAACTTAAGGAAAAGTAATTATGGACCACCATTCAAAAGAAAGCAATAGAGATTAAAAAGTGTATCAGATGTCACTAATTAAGGTAATAGCATTGATGTTGCTCTATCGAACGATTCAAACTTTTTTCATTCGACAAATGAATACAAGTTGCCTGTAGCTCACTCTTGTCTACTTATACTTATCTATTTCCAATTCATATGATAAAACTTGACCAATGTTAGATAACATCGTTTCGTATCTCAGTTTATCGACCGGATAAATCTGAATGAAAGCAGACAAAAAGCCTTTTGCACAATTTGGCTATGACATCACATCGTAAAAACGGTTCTTCATCAACTTGCAGATACTTGACAGGTAACCAGCTTTAGCATTAGATTTTAAGAATATTTTTTTATTCAACTATAGGTAGACTGATCTAATCACTCGAAGCTGCATAACATCCTTTAAAACCAAAATGACGCCCAAACTTTTCCGTTCAAATTAACTCAATTACTCTTAGCAAGAAAGGTTTTATTGAAATTGTAGAAGGACTGTGTTTTACTTGGTCTAATCTGTGATTCATTTTAGTTTTTAATCTAGTTCGTTTTAATATTCATGTTTTATTCATATGCAATTTCTACTAATCTCTGAGAATCCAAATATGAAAGCACAATGATAAAAAAAAGTTAAAACATTATAGTCAACTTTGGTCTAAAGAAGATTTGCAAAATTTAGACTCATTTTTTATAGGAAACAAAAAGATCGAAGTTGAGTACTCGAGTTTCGTAACGATTTAGAACATTCCAATACTCATTGTTTCTTAAGGGATTTTTAACGATGATATCATTAATTTTGATATTCGGTGTCCGATATTCATTTTTCGTGTTACGAAATTCTCAAACGGAAGCTTGCTTGGAGCGTTTTTGCAGCAGGAAAGAAAACGAAAATTGTTGATAATTCTTCCATTCGTTCTAATGCTGTACTCAGATTGGTAAAAATTAATTTACTTGCTTTGTTTAAACTCTCGAAAAGCCAACTAATTTCTGAACTCTTGGTTTTTTTATAATTAAATTGTTTCTTAATTTTTTGCTTTAAGTAGAGTTTACCTTGAAATGTTCATGAACCCAATCCGGACGCGAGAATCCAACAACAACCCATATTATTAGGGTCATCAAAGACAGAAATACAATGGTAGGTACAAAAATCCCAGCAATTGTGTCAGCAACACGCTGTATTGGAGCCTAAAAAATCAAGAATGGCAAGAAAACTGTTAATCTCAATGGCAAAACACTGCTTAGTTGCTGATATTTATTCTCTGCTGTTGTTCAATACTAAAATTTTATTTTGTCTAATAAATAATGCAATCGTGTAAAGAAAATATGGTTAGTAGTGTGGGAAATCTCTTTGATAAATACGACGGTAATGTGTAAATATAACAACTACTGACAAATAAGATGTATGCAATATTGCTTAGCAGTGCGTGCAATTGCAATGGATGGTGAACATTTGAAAAAAATTTCACTACATTTTCCTTGTCAATCGTTTGTGTTCACGACATTTTTCTGAAGCAAGCGTAGTAACATAGACTTTCCAACAGTAAAAATAATTCTCAACCTAAATAAAAGCTTGCTAGTCACGCGTATCAATGAACGGCCTTTGCAATTGTGATAACATTTATTGAAAATTCTGAAATCAAAATTTTCATGGAAACATAAACATCATAATCACTGCGACGTACCTTAGATGTCTGCGCCTCTTCGACGAGCTTGACAATTTGGGACAACGTTGAGTCCTGGCCAACGTGGGTCGCTTCTACAAAAAGGACACCATCCTGATTGATTGTCCCGCCAATTACCCGATCCTTCACAGATTTCGCAACCGGAAAGGATTCGCCCGTAATAATTGACTCATCAACGGAAGATGACCCAAAGCTAACGTTCCCGTCAACAGGAATCTTTCCACCAGGTTTGACCTAGAAGTAATATCGAAAATTAAATGCTATGCCAAATTTTATTTCAAAGTAACAAACACATTGATCTGTTGATTAACAATTTGTTCGTCTATTAGTTGAAATAACATCGTAAGGGTAAACGAAACAACAGGAGAACGGTTCTCAAATCATTTCAAATGGTCTGTAGAGTTTGGCAGTTTTCGACAAGCTCTCGCGCGTGACTGTCATCACAAATATGTCTTTCGTGTACAAACTCCCTTTCGTTATTCATATGACATGCAAAAGAAAGGTTTTTATAACAGCAATAAAATAAATTTGGTGTTCAACTTTGAATTTTGACGTGCAGCACTACACTGACCTTGCAAGTGCATCTACCATACTCAGCATTTCAACAGTATTGATTATCTGTCGTTATGTATTCGTGCTCTATTTAAATATATCAGATCTATTGACCAGAAAATGTTAATAACAGTAAATGACATTTATATTCCACCATTTATCCTCAGTATCAAAAGGCGCTTAAGACAATATCTATATAAAAAATTACATTAAACATAAGTTGTTACAAAAATAAGGGTCAGTAAAAATGTTGTAAAAAACTTGTAACTTAAAATGGGTAGAATCGATGCTAATTTTAATAAACATCAAGTAGAATCTAATTGAAATAGTCTTAATAAAACAGGTTTTGAATTTTTATTCAAAAACATCTAATGAAATTGTTGCCCGCAATGCGAATGGCCATCTGTACCCCAGCTGAAGGGGCAATTGAAGAGGCACAATCACCAGCTGTCACAAGCCTTGCTCTTGGAATTGTATTTTACATGATAGCGGCAAAAACTTGGCTCTTTTAAATCGGGGACTTTATGTCTTGTCTTGTTGTCAAGTGACGAGAAATATGATTGGCAATTTCAGGTCCCGAAATAGTCCCGCAACAAAGGTACTTGTTGGTGTTCTTAGCCTTTTAATTTAAACTAAAAACCTAGGAAAATCATGAACAGCAGAGAGAGACAAATTTCATCATGATTTGCAGAGGCAAAGCAAACCTATAAAATGATAATATACCTGTAAAATATCGCCACGTTGTATTAACTCAACATCAATTTTCTGTTCTCTGAAAAGCGAAAACAAAAGATTTTCACATGACTTCAATACAATAACACTTTTAGTGAACGAGACGTGCCTGACGAAGTCACTAATGAAAGAGTTGAGAAATTATTTTAGATGATCAAACTCTTAATTATTTTCAAAACCAAAATCAAATGACAACTTTGTTCTTTTATAACTTCGAAAACAAAATGAATACATACGATAAAATATCATTTGTGTTTTTGTCGATCTTGACTAGGCTTCCTTCGGTTGGCTGCAGCGAAAGCAAGCGGCTGAGAGCCTCTGATGTCTTGCGTTTTGCAATGTTCTCTAGCCAACGCCCCAAGGACACGAATGTAAACAGCATAGGCGGAGTTTCAAAAAACGTCTTCGGACTATGTGCAGACCGCTCTGCTATTGCAATGAACAAGACCATGACCTGTGAAAAGTAGAAGATCCTTGTCACCATGAGCGGTTCCTTACTCCTCCAAACCAAGGTGAGAATGTCGTTAAGGAGGCAACTAACATTAGAAAATGCAGAAAAGATACCCAAACAAGACTCTCGGCTTTTGATTCATTTACCATTTTTATAGAGAACGCTGCAAATTATTTAATTGAAAAGAAACCAGATATTGAAAGAAACTAGAATATAAAGAAGCAATTATTTTACTTTATAGCGACTGAAAGCTAAACTTACAGAATACAGATATGATATCCCTGTCGCAAGAACTATTAATACATCCATATTAGCTGCTTTGTGCTTCATGGATTTGTATGCCGATACATAAAAATGTTTGCCACCAACGACCTGACCGAAAAATAAAATATCATTTTTTGTTACTCAAATAAATCAATGATGACGAAATTTATAGTTGACATCAATAGCTACAAACATTTATGCCAAGCTAAACAATAATTCATACAAAGACAGCATATTATGAAAAAGTATTACATATGCTAGATGTTCACATTATAATTGGGAGGAAGTGAGCAAATAATAGAAAGTAAAAGCATAACGCGACCGAACAGCCACGTGGATTAAATCAAGATCGTGCCGAGACGGCAACCATAACAGAGTAGGTAATCAAAAGAAGATGGAGATGACCACACGTTTCAGGAGACGAGTTTGGAAGAAAGTAGGAAAATCTGCTCGGCAGCAGTACCTAAAGAGATGAGACAGATGTAAGAATACAATGTTAAGTAGGAGCAATGAGCTTGATTTGAGAATCACTTATGAATAAGCATTTGAGAATGGACTGAGACAGGGAATCTCATCACCCTAGCAATAACAAACAAGAACAGAAGCCAGTGGCGAAGCCAAAGGTCCTGCTTGTCCAGCTGGGCAGGAACACAAATTTCCAAAAAACAATTTTTAAAATAAGAAAAATTGATTCACTTTATGAAATCATTATATGCCTGATTCAAAGGCATTTCTTGTCTTATTTTACCCTTATACTTCATGGCTGTGCCCTTTTTCAATTTTGAGACACAGGGTGACTGGGATGGAATTTCGAGTATCCCGTTCGTAGGTTGATATCGTCGAGAATTTAGCCCTGTGGCCAGTCCTGCCCAATACACGTAGGCAGTACTAAACCCTATGTTTGGTCCTGCCCAACAATGGGCAAATGCCTCGTAGCCCTGTTTTGGTCCTGCCTCACAATAGAAGAAAACAATAGCACTACTGTTCATTCATGAAGGCAGGACCTAGACTTTTGGAGCCCTATGTTTCGGTAAAATTTGTTGATTTTCTGCGCCGTGGTCACAAAAGATTTTCATATTCAAAGGCCTAATTATAAAAAGTAGAAAAAGTTTGCTGCCGAGAGAGAATCTTCGATTTTTGTTTGTATGTACCAGGAAAGTCGAGATGGAGGGGAGATGGAGTGTACATGACAGAAAAACGGGCTTCCTTGAATTTTATTTCAGTCAGCAGTTCGTCAACCTGCCTTAACAGGGAACTACCATACAATTCAGAGGTCCCGACGATACTCTGTGACTCAGACACAGAACAAGAATTGTTTCATTCCTATTCTGTGACACAGATTGTATTGTACTGGCAAAATGTCAGGGATCTCCACTAATATTCAAAACAAATCAATTCAAGACCCTAGGTGACCCTATCTACCATGAATCAGATCTATCCATGTTGTGACAAAATATTTTTACTTTCTTAAATAATTTGTATCAATTACGTTTCCAGTATGTATTACAACTGTATATGACAATTTGTACAAGCAATTTCTTTTTACTTAATGATTTCAAATTTTTCAATCAATGAAAACATTTTCAAATATTACATATTTTGGAAAAAAATTTGTGATGCTCTTTTGACTTATTGGCGGACATGAACAATCCGGAGAGCTACCATGTTTTGCCTGATGTCATATTTCTAGGAGAGCGTTCCCTGACCCTAGGCGACATGTGATTCGCTGATGCAGTCAAAAAACTCCTTGTCGTGTACGACACGAGGTTAATCGGATTATCCGAACCGGATCCTTCACCTTCGCCTGACTTCTTCAATGTAAGGCAGGAGGAACTTGAAAGGATCCGAACCCTCGTCCCCTTTTTTCCAAAATATGGCAGTGAAAAATATTTCACTGTAATCTTGATTTCAACATATCCAGAAGGGCGTTCCCCCTTTTCCGAGGGTTTTGAGGGCGTGGCTTCACGCGATTTTTTTGGCAGCGTAGCCCCCAGACCCCCTTTCGGCAGGACCACCTGTTTTTGGTTATCTTCGCCACTGACATGACCGGTTATCTTTGCCACTGACATGACCGAGACACGTAACTCATCCCTCCATGAAATTCCACTTCGATTCTCATGCAAGGTCCCCAAGAAAAAGACTGAGTGGGTTAACAAAACATTACATGGAAAAGTGGAAAGAATTTATTGTATAAAAACAATCTACGCTAGAAATTAAGGCATGCAGAAAACCGAGTAGCAAATTTATCGGAATTTCAGGGACTATTTTTATTTGAAACTTTTGACAAAGTTTATTCAAAAATTCACATTTCCATCGAATTAAATGCTTAGCTAGGTAACTCTACAATTGTACGCCAACTTTCTTACCTGGACAATCGTGCAGAGAGAAAACAGCAGAAAATTTTGTAAGGAAACTCCATCGATGATTTTGATGTCTTCGAAATGGCTGCGATGGTGTAGCACCATGTAAACTACGGTAACGATGAAGACCGGAAGGCCAAACACCAAAGAACATAAGAATGAGGTCTTCCACCTGAAACAGATTGCTGAAAAATGCAAAGGCTGCTGAGAAAAAAGATTCGGGGCAAGAGATTGATTGTCTTTGCTAGGGTAGTTATGCAAATCAACAGTATTTCTGATTGACAAAATTGTCAACAATACTATAAATCTGTGGGTTGCTTACTGTAGTATTTCCTCTCCGTGACTAGAAATGTTGTTTCCTTTTGAAGCCAAATGTGCGTCTGGAAAGCCTGCTTTCCTGATGTCATCTATGATGTCACGAGCTCCTGTTTGTGACGGCTCGTAAGAAACTTTGACTGTTTTTGAGGATGAATCAAGCGAAACTGAGTTGACACCTTGCTTATTCTGGATAGCGGTAGTCACCGCATAAATGGCAGCCTCGTCATCCATGCTCGGAATCTGTTGAATATTTTTAACAAATTTTACAGTTAATATCTTGTTTTTCTAATCAACTTCAGATACGCATGTGAAGGTAGCAGCTGGCAAAGGATGAAACGGTAGAAGCAAATATACTGGTTGAAGAAATGAGTTTGGAAAATGCTTGGCTACAGCAACAATTGTTATGGAAATCCTGGAATTTTTGCAATTTAGTTACTGAATAGAGTCAACGTTACGGTAATCAGACACCACTCCTTCGCGAGTTCACACACTAACTAAAGTTATTCTTCGTCATGACATTTCTCGAGTTTTAAACCACAGTTGAAACAGTGAATGGAAATCAAGATCAAATAATATTTAATGCAAATATTTTTAGACGATAAAATTTCGGACAAAAAAGCTTGGATGGGATATTTTCAGATACATTTCGGAGATTTCATTTGGGATGAAAACATGCCTTTTTCAACATACGTGCTGATAGGGCTAAATGACCAAAATGACCCCTTAAAATTATACATCACCATACCTTCATAGAGTAGTGACGGAGGAGGCGGGGGGGGGGGTTGGCAAAAGGCGTTAGATAATAAATCGTTTCGGCCTCTCACAAGATTGTCATTAACCCATGCAAGCTCAATGACCGCCGTTTGCACAACGCTTTGACAAATCTTATCACTTTGTCTTCATTTAAAGTTACTCCTTCTGGTGTCATAGTAAAAAGGATATGCTACCCCCCCCTCCCCCTCCCCTGTGCAAAAGATAGAAGTCTCATTTCCATCCTATGGATTTTAAAGTTCAATTTTCTCAAATAAACACCACATTCAAACAATTTGTATAACCCTCTTGTTGCTGTGGTCATTATTACGATTAAAGTCAGCAATTTGTCCTGCTAAATTCTAGCTAACAAAAAGCAACGGTTAGTGCCAATTCGCAAATGAGGAAGAATGCAGGGAACACACATTTTGCATAATGCTCGTTGGCATTGCATCATGCTTGTTTGAAGAGAGATAAATAGACTTTGGCCACCAGGATTTATGAAACGAACTTTTTTAGTTTTCAAATGCTTTTCTAGCGATTTTCATACTCTTTTCACGGTTCCTTTAAGATGGTCCCGATTTCGAGAAAAAAAGAAGGACAATGCATAGCTTAATCACATGTTGTTCTTTATATCAAACTTCATTTACCTTTCTATTTTTATATCTATATCTACTTTGTACGGAAATCTTACATATTGTCAAATGACTGCTTTAAAAAGCAATTTCTTGAAAGCCATATGGGGCCAATATCAAGCGTGAGCTGAATATCAGATGCATTAACGTGTGATTGGTCATAAAAATGTACTAAACGTTCCTAATTGGGCAATAAAGAAACAAAAGACAAGTTTTGCAGAAAAAAAGAAATGATGAAAATTCAATCGTCTTGAAATTTTGAGATCAAAACATATTCATTAAAAATCATACACATCATTGCCAAGAAGACAACGACCACTTTTTAGGCTTCAGCTGAGGGGCAAGCCTTCCATAAAATTGGGGGTAATAAAGTTATTTCATAACCAAGAACTTCACTAAAGGTGGAAGGGCTTTTACCCCCAAAGTTAGTATGTCAGCTTTTTTACGTAACGGTATATTTGAGTGTGTAGGACTCTTATTGCCCTAGGTACAAGGACGTCAGCTACCAAGTAATTTGAGAAGAACGAATTTCTATTTGAAAATTGGCGATATCAGAACGATTATCCCGCTTGCTCAATAAGGTTTTGCGACCCATTGAAAAATGAAAGTAAAAGAGGAAACTCCCTGCACTTCCTTATTTCCCACATGGCTTTATTTCCCTTCCTGTTTCTTCTCATTGTTTATATTAAGCGTCATCATCATAATCACCACCATCAACAGAATCATTATCAACTGGTCCGCGTTATGGAGGTGTATGCATCGTAGCGAAGAGATCATCATCAACAGAGGCAACCGGCGACAGTCAATAACACGGACCAGTCAATATGTTGGGGTGGTCATAAGAGGGTATTAAAACTGCCTTACCCGAATCCCGGGACCTTATTCCCACACCGCTGTTCCTAAATCTGCATATTTTCTTTTGACATTGAAAAGAATCCAAAAGAAATACGTTAGGAAATGCTTTTGTCCATGCCGATCAGTTTTTACATGTTCAGCACATCTCGATTATGCTATAGCTTGTAGAGATTATTAGTGGATGTGGTGAAGGTCAACCTTACCTGAACTTCAACGATGTGCTGTCCTGCAGACGCCTCTAATATTTCAGCACCAAAGCCAAGATCTTTGATATAATTCTTAATCAGCTGTTCGTCAGTCTCCTCGGGGGCATACACTATTTCTGCCTTTTGTGCGAGCAAACTTACGAGAACCGAATGAATTCCTGCAAAGAATTTCGATCACGTGTAGCAACATCGTTAATATGTGCATTTGCAAATGCCATTTCCATAATTAACCTAAACTTCAACTCAATACAAAGCAGGTAGGTTGAAACATGACTATGGTTGAAAAAAGCTGCAATCGGACAGAGGTTGTTCTTGGAACAAAAATAGCGTTGTTCACTTCCGTTGCTTCCGTGATTGGGATGTCACATGACCGCTGAATTCAAAGCAGATCTGGGCAAGCTTTTGGGTCATGGTGAGAGGGATAACTTTAACTTGTTCCCGTTTTAGTGAGCTCATTGTGAAGGCAGATTGTGGCAAAATTTGGGACATTTCACACCTTTTGGAGTCTAAACATTAAGTTGCGGACTCTGTTCTCACAAAAATGGACTCTGTTCGCACAAAAATGAGCCGTTCCATCACCAGAAGTTTACGATGTGAGGAATAAGAACTTTGCTTCTTTGCAATTATTTGTGCCCTTCAATTCATTTCGTTTCTGAACATAAAAAGTGACATACAAAGAAAAACATAACCATAGACAATCTGTAGTTATTTTATATAAATGAAAAGCTTTTATTCATACAAAATATTCCATTGGAAAGCAGATTTAAAGATTTTGCAAGTATAGAGAAAGGTGCAGCGCCCCCCGCCCTGTCTGCCAAACTAACCCTCATTTCTATGCTGAAAAAGTTTAATTCGAACGCAATAAAAACCAACGTTAATTTTTTTGCCTTTCCCTGGCAATATGACAATAGCTACGAAAAAGGGAAGAGTTCTAGCATAACATAAAGAAAAAATCTACTTAAAATATAAAAGTTATCTTTGCCTGGCCAAGGTAACATATAAATTTATCACTTTATAAAAATATGGCTGAAGGTGATCTAACCTGGCCTTTTTGCAACCTCTCTTTCAATCTTTGCTACACACGAGGAACAGCTCATTCCAGTGACGAGATACAAGCCTTTGGCAGTCGGTAACTTATCCATGTTGCTGTCATTCAGAGGAATGGTAACGAGGCCATCAGTCTGATTCGCATCAAAGTGAACACCATTGACTTTTGGTATCTTGTCAACTCTTCTAAATTTGACGCTGAGCTGTGGACTAGCTTCTGGCGAGCTGCACGGGCTTAGCTTAAATACAGTGCTTCCAGATCCTGTAATCAGATTACTTATATTTTACAGCCTCGCGACAATTATTTTTTAAAGCAATCTCACACTTTCAACATAGACGAGAAATTAGTAAACTTTTCACAGGGAAAAAGTTGAAACACACTTCAAGGTGAACTGACACGCAAAACCATTTTTTTATAATATGCAGAAAATGATGCATCAAATCTTAATTTCAAGTTTTCGGCTAGTTATTATTGTCCGTTTTGATGCAATTCCACTTAAAATGTCATGAAATTATCGTTGAGTGCTCGAACATTGTCGGCATTTCATGTGACCCAGTGCGCTTGACGTCACAAACACCGTGTTTTTATTCCTTGAATGCAAATCACGCACGAACTGCACAGTTCAGTTCATCTTTTTCACTTACTATTCGAGAAGATCTATGTAGCCTTTGATCCAAGATATACGAAAATTCGAGGCTAATGAAATCGCAAGGCCGTCGTGAGGCAAGCCTTGTTGGGGGTGTGGACTACAAATTTACCTGATTTAAAAAATTTTGCCTGAAATACTTTATTTGCTGTCACAAATTTCTGCAATACATTTTGTCAAGCCTACTCTGCATATAATTAGCAACTTTCATTTTTATACTATAAAAAGGGATTTTCCTAATAGTTTTGTCAAATCTCTATATCGGAACGGGTAACGGATATTTTACTAGCCGAGGCGGCACTATGGTTGCCGCCGAAGGAGGAGGAAATTTTCGAATTTTGATGCTTCTAGTTCCCTGGAGATGCACTCTTTTAAGCACATTTCACAAAAGCAATTATCCTAATCCTATTGAAAATTATTTATTTGCAAACAAATTGAACAGCAGATGAAAACAATTGGTACAATTTTGCCGTGGTCTTGAAAAAGACCATGTTGTCAGTTACTTCTAAAGCTAGGCAACAAGAAGCACTGGTTTTCAATTTAGATCCCTCCATCTAAATTTCCATCTAAGCAAGCTGTTTGAATGTTAAAATAAATCTGGAGCTCATAGTGAATTGCAGTTGACGCTTCTACCGAGAAACGTTAGGGGAAATGGACACAATTTCACCTAAGGAGAGCGTGGATTTTTAGATTTAGTGCCAACAAGAAATCTTCAAATCTTCAAATCATTAGTTTGTTTAACTTCCTTCATATCAAAGAATATCATATTTAACCAACGGAGCAACTACCTTTGCTGGATCCTTTATTGATTTTATGTTGGCTCGCAACAAACTGGGTCTTGCGAGACGGAGGAAGGGCCTCCCTCAAACGCGTTGAATAATACGATATTTTTGCAAAACTTATTATGAAAGGTTCGCAAAGGAGTAATAATCTATTTTCCAATCAGGTTGTCGAAACGGAGCCAAAACCTACTCAATTAATGAATCGAAGCTCTTCTGCCGAATCATAAAAGTACGGGTGATTTGATTTGAACATGGTGTTTGTGACGTCACGATTATGGGGAAGCTCGGGCATACTCGTCCGTGCTCGGAAAATGTTCCGTGGCTTACTTTGACGCTCAATAACTCGAAAACTGTGTTGAATCTTAAAAGATAATAATGTATCAGATCATGTTAATTTTGCGTGTCAGTCCACCTTTAAGCAGTGCAAAGTCACTGACGTGTAATTCTAATTACTGGTCGTTGCGTTCATTTTAATATGCATAATTCTTCAACTTGTGGGGAACTTCAAAATACTACACGTTTTCTATTAAAGAAATATCAGTTCAAAGAACGCGAGACGCAGTGATTTACCAAAAATCAAGAAAGTGCAAGAAACATTAGCAGGCAAGACTTAGACAGTTAATATAGAAAATGAAAGTGTAAAGCGGTTTGCACTATTTGTAAATAAGGAACTATTGTCTCATCCCAGAGACAGTTTACTTGCGATTTACGGGTTTATTCACTTTCGAAAGGTTTACAGGACAGCCCCTCAGTGCGAGTAATTTAGGATTAAATTTAAGACATAGTAATGCTGTCGCAACATACAACGAATGCTGTTAAGAGTGCTGTTGTGGCAGCTTTTACCATTACGAGTACAGCCAGGCACTTAGGTGTGACCCTAAAGGTTCAGAAACACTTCACCGCTCAGGAGCTTGTGACATTAATAAAATTTGTGAATGTTTATTGAGACATTTTATTGTTGGGGGAGGGGGGGGGGCAGATGACTTTTAAGAGAGGAAAGGTTTCTGAATAGACTATGGACAAGACGAACTTTAATTTTAGTCTTTGCCAAGTGTCTTCCAGTTGCAAATACCAGGAGTTTGTATTGCAATTATCCAGTGCTTGTTTGCATCTAATACATTTCTATGCTTGGTGCTTTTATCAGTGAATTTAATTTGCTTATGATGAAATAAACAAAATGTCGAGAAATAAATAAATAAATTTCAACATGAAATGGAGAAGGGAACTGATCGAATGGAGGGTTGAAGTATTTGTGGAAGGTATAGCTACACTATCCATTGCATTTAAGACAAAAAATGTTATCGATTGTGCAACTGTAGCATCATCCACTGCTAGAATCTGCGTAAATCTCACTGAAGGTTTTAAACTACGTAGACGACATAACGAGGGGGATATTGCAGGGATTAACGGTTATGGCAAAGCGAGAAAAGGCATGTCCATGCACGACATACCTAGGCCTGAAAGCGCAGCATATCTCCTCAGTAGTACACCAAGAAGGGGGTGATTGCATTGCACGATGGGGCACAGGGGCTACAGGTGCCAACACTGATCAGCATCACAACATAATACCGTTTTTCCCTGAGTGGGAAACTGTGTTTAGGGATAATACAGTGCCAATTTCACGTCACTATTTTCGATTTGCAACAAACTAAGAAAAGATTTGCTCGTCTTCCCGTTTCAACGGCAGTTTACTTATTATTTATACTCTGCAGTAATAGGAAGGTTGTCAAGCATGTGAAAACGATATGCACTCAATTTTTTCGTGTTAGCAATAAATCTTGTTCAACTTTGAGATTTATGCCAGAACTCGTACGTCTACAGAAAAGGCACAGTTTAGAGCCCAATATAGCCATTATCACAAAATGTCTTCCAAGAGCCAATACATCACAACGTATTCAGTGATATAAGCTAAAGATATAATCTAAATTGACAACCAACATTAACTAAAAGCAAAATATTGAATTGAAGCACAATTTCCATGCAAAAATAGCTGCCGTGACCAGTGTTACCCCCTCCCCTCCTCCCAGCTCAGAAGTACGCAGATGATTCAACTCTAGTTTCAAGTTTCAAGAACAGAAGTGCATTGTGTGAATTCGTGTTAATATTGACAAGATAAATAGGCACGGTGATACCACGGCCTAAAAGTACGAAAAAAACAGCTGCACTTTTGCACTACGGAACAAATAATTCTTCACGATCTTTGACAAAACATGGGGTATCAAACAGGTACCACCATAAAAGGGTGGGCCATGAAGTGATGAGGAAGCTCTGAAGAACCATGTATGCCGGGCCGTAATATCAACACATAACAACATTTTCCCTATCGTCCTTTTTTCCATATCTCGGCGAGTTTCATTGTTCCTCATTTTCTTTACTAAATCTATGTCAATGAAGCATGCACATCAAATAATGGACGTAAAACCAAGCAGGGTCTTTATTTCAGTACGAAAATTTCCACTCCAACAGGATCATCCCCAGCAAAACTATCAACAAATCTTCAACAAATCTTCTTCATCTATACATCAAAAGCAGGAAAGCCTTTCAAAAGCAGGAAAGGAGATAAAAATTGATTTTGAGATACATTTAGATTCCTTTCGCAAGTATTTAGAACAATTCAACTTAGCCCTCTCAATTTGAATATCATTTTCCAGCTCTACGCCTTCGTCGCGGCCTAAGTTTACAAGAGACATACTACGCAGCATTCCCAAATATCAACTAGAATCCAAAGATCTACCAAAATTTATTGACGTCAAATGCATTGAGAGAACTTTGTCTGAAAACTAGGAAAATAATCTTAAAATGTAACAAATCCGCGAAATTCGAATATTCAACACATTTACTTTAAGCAGGTGATAGGCCAAAGTCTCAAAAGCGCATCGTCGAAAGAGCTTTAGCTTTACAGTCCGACTTTGAAGGCGAATTGAAGATTTATGAACACATCTACAACACGTTAATTTGTGTGTTTACGTTGAATGAGCCGGGTCTTTCGCAGAATGCAGGTGGCAATAACTTGATTTCGTCTCAAGCAAAGAACTTGTCAATTATTAATGCGGCAAATATCAAGGCCGAACAAAAACTAGCTGCACACAAAGAAAGAGAGATATGGTGATTTCGAGATATTTTCGCACTTCTGTGAAGATTTTTTCATAAACTACAAAGTATATGAATGACGTTCTTGTTTGAAAAAGAGGAAGTGCACATAATTAAACGTCTTGGGCGAAAGTTCAAAGCTAGAAAAGATGAATTTTATCTAACACATTAGAAGCCTGATACTCCATTTTCAATGAAAACATAACTGAAGTTTGTAGCGCTTTCTAAATGATATATTTTCAAATAAAACAAGGCGGTAATATTAAAGTCGGAATTATTTTGCATTGATAAGGTCTTGGGATCAAATTTCATTCAAATCACATTGCGAATGAAAGATAGACGAATGAATGAACACAACAGAACAACGCACATAGGGGTCTACCGACTAGGGATAGTGAGCGAGAAAGAAAACAGGACCACGAAGAGTTGAACAGGCGACTGAAGAAACGAGCAAAAAACGGTTTGGTTAACGAAAGGACGATCAACAAAGCGAGAAAAAAGAGCAATCTAATCTTATACAGAACACAGGTTTAGCCAATTAATTACACGACAACGCTGAAACATGAGAGTGTGGGCAAACGAGAAAAGAAAACTGAGGAAACAAAAGAGAGAAAGAGAAAATGTTACTACGAATTCTCATAGAAATATCTTCTTTTAAAGGTTGATTTGATTCAGGAAAAGTAAAAACTAATCTTATGCATCTCTGCTGTGTGCTATGATAATATTGGTTCGAATGATAAATAAGCCATTTTTAGACAACCCCTGATGATGGTGAAGACCGACAACTGATCTTTTCTGAACTGTTAGTTTCGCCATGGAATTGACGAATTAGAAGATTCTCTTCAAATTTTCTAGACATTTTAGCGAAAGGCTTGTAGGCCGAAATGGCCACATAATTACAAATTAACAAAAAATCTCAGAAAACAACAAACAGCTAATACAAAGATAAACAGATGAAAAAATGATTATAAGCTAGAAAGTTTACGTTACGAAAATATGCACATAGAGGACTTCCCAAAAGATTCCTGTGATTCAAAAACCAGCGATATAAAATTGGCTATCGATATCAGACAATCCGTATCTTCTTGACTCAACAACCAAATAAACTTATCACAAAGATCATGGGATGATATTCTGGGAAATTTTGAATAAATCATAGATAACATAGAATTCCTGGCAGTCTTGTAAAGTGGACAAACTAATAAAAAATGAATTTCGTCCTCCACAGCAGTTTTATTAAAAGATTGACAATGCGAACATTTTCTATCAATCCTAGGAATAGGATTCTTTCCGTATCTACCTGTTTCAATCCTGAGGTTGTGAGCACTGAGACGTAGTTTTGCAAAGTTGGATCTTTTCTCTTTGCTAGGTTTCAAGTCTAAGTAATGCTCAAACTTATAAACAGTTTTGAAAGATGCATATGTACAAAGCTTTTTTGAGAATAATTTGTTCTTTAAATTTTCCATAATTTTTGACCTAAAATTGGAAGACACTTTTGATTTCACGATAGAAGAGTTATCGGTTGTATGTATTCTGTAAAGGGTCATCAGGGAACGGGCAATACTGACCCAATTAGAAACACCGGAATCTGCATCATTAATTAGCATTTGAAGAGCTCTGTATGCATAGTTACATGGCTACGAAATCAATTCCTTTGAGAAAAGCTCTGTTTGGTTCTTTCCGACCATGGATTGCAAATACATAAAATAGAGTAAAAGTATGAATGTCAACAGCTCCTTTGAAATGTAAAACAAAGAATTATGCAGTCTGTAGTTTTATCTGAACATTCTGTATATAAACAAGTATTGATTCGTTAGGCATTCGTTAAACAAGACAGCATTCCAAAACAACTCACTCCTTTTTTCATTTTTAGTTTCAAGCTGATATATAACACAAAACGGTTAGAATAGTTGGGCGCCTAGAAGAGATCGTCGCTCAAGTTGCACACATCAATCTACCAAACGTTGCAAAATGAACTTGAATATAAATGAACTGAATTTGCCTTCATACCGTTTCGCAGACTGGCTCCAAAGCTATCAAATTTCGCTCCAACTGCACAGAGCAACTCTTTATTCAAATGTTCAGCTTTACAAACTGGCCAGTTTCTCAACGATGGAATTTTATTCGAATAGCAGATGTTCCATAGAAATACCTCCCTCCTGATTTCCAGATTTAATTCGCACGATGAATTATTAATGTTAATACCCTTAACTTATTTCAAGCGCAACCAACAGCCTAATATCTCCTGGCTCTACTTGTACCCCAGCACAAACCTAATAACCAACTTTGGTAAAGAATACTCAAAATAAAAAGAAGATTTGACCTAAAACTGCGTCGAAGGTGGCAAAAACAGCGAAGAACTTACACAACCTGCACATAGGAACCATCAGAAATTTTGAACAGTAAGCTGTTCGTGTGGCGGTTGGTGAGGCAATGACGTGCTTTTTCACGTTTATTAGGAATGCTCTTCTTATTATACCTGAAATGCTAACGACAAGCACAGGCTGCACGTTTCTATTTCCTACATTTCCACAGAATACACCGCTGAAAAAATGAAACAAAATCATTTTGCGCTTTCTGGAAGTTCTGAAACATCTTTATTGAAACTCGAAACTAGCGAAAACGGCATTGCCGTCTCATCTTTTAAAATCTAAATCAGAAACAGTTATGCGAAGAATCACAAGCACATTTCTTTGCTTATACGAGAGTGCCTTGGATTGATCAGTGCAGCAGGCAGACAGCAGGTACCTTGGTTCGGTATTAACAGCTTACTTTACGATATCATCCGTGCCTCTGTGCACCCGTGTCTCGAGAGAGATTTCCGTGTGCTGATCTTGTGAGGAGAACTGCAAGACACCCAGGAAACAAAAATGTATCAGTATCATTAGATCAGCAAACAAATCAGACGGTATGCAAGGAGAAACTAAAAGAAAAAGCCTTCGGCACCTTTCTCGCGCTGACGGTCAAGTCGAATTTCCATTCGACATTTGAAATCAAGAATATCTTTCTTTAGAAAATATGTTTGTATTAGTGAAAACACCCAGAGCGCGTCTAGGCCTTGCTTAAACTCTAAAGTTCCATGCGCTGAAAATCCCCTGTCAGTAAGAAAATCTGAATTGATTTGAAAAGGGAACACATCAACTGTCCAATGAATAGGTTGGACACGACATAAGAGTATGAACGGAGTGTTGTTGCAAAGGAACTGGGAAGAATTCTTTTAATTTATTCATAATCATTACACAATTGCAAACATTGCCGCGATCCAGCCCGCAACGTAACCCTTGCAACTCGACCCTCGAGGACAGCGACTTGAAGATCTATCTTTTTCCCAAAATATTTTCTGTTTTTTGCGAGACTTGTGACCAACCTACCAACATTGCACTTACCAACATTAAAATAGCTGAAAATGAATCAGAAAGGTAGACTTCTGGCCATGATTCATCAGTTGACCCTTCGATAAGATCCGTTTTTTAAAGGCGTTTTGTTTCACAAAACCAAACAGCATTCCGGGTACAAAGCGTTTTACTCTAACATATATAATCGTACTCCATAACAAGTACTTCATTTCAAAAACAAAGCAATGATTTGCCGCCTGAGTGGGTTGATTCTTATAGTGGCTAATCGGAACACGGACGAATAAATTTGATTTTGACTACTGATGGAATGGAATATCCAACAGAAACAAAAGTGCCAATCTTGTGCTGTTTAGGTCGTTTCCATTCGAATAGGTTGGACATGACTTAAAGAACTTCAGGAATTTCAGAATCACTTTGGGGCTATACAAAATTTTGTCCCAAAAAATGCAAAGTAACTTGACTCAAAGCAGGATAAGACTGACATCTTGCCAATCATTTCTTTTCAAGTGCTAATACATGGTGATAGCATTTAATTCTATGTACAAAACTGCCACGGAAGCTGCAATAGCACAAACCTGTAACTGTTGAAACAACGATAAAATTTTAAAACTATGACAAGATGTATAAAAAGAAAAGGTTTGATCCTACCTGGAGTAGCTATCTTTGCTTCAAAACCCATATCTTCAATTTGATCACAAATTTGTTCAGCTGTTGTAACGGTTGAATTGTAGGACACCAAGGCGTTTTCATTTTCTAACGAAACCTTGATGAGACTCACACCAGGGACACCAGATATCATTTCCTCTATGGATTGAACACACGAGTTACATGTCATACCGGTAATATCAACTGTGACATTCTTGTTGTCTCTTGTTGTACAATTTGTTTTTGGAGATGCATCGAAACCCATTTCTGAAATTGCATCTATTAGGCTGGCTTCTGTTTCTTTGCCAACAACATACTTGATAGAAGCTGTTTTTTCATTTAAAGACACTGCAATCTCAACAACCCCCTGGCGGTCACCAACGACACTTTCGATGCTCTCAACGCAAGACATACACACCATTCCTTCTACGTCGATGACAACTTCCATAATGTCATTATAGTCATCATAACTATCATTATCGGTATTATCACATGGCGACGAGCTAGCCTCGAATCCAATATCCTCAATCAATTTACAAAGTTTTTTGACTGAAGTCAGAAGAGGGTCATAAGTTATCTCAGCTAGCTCTTGTTGCAGGATGACGTTGATGCTGACCACGCCCAGCTGCTTGCCGAGCTGGCTCTCTATAGAGTTCACACATGACATACAAACCATACCGCTGATTTTTATTGTGGTATGTGCCGTATCTCCGCCCATCTAATGCTCCATTTTGAAAATGACTTAACTATTATACTGAACGAAAAACTGTTCGGCGTCAAACCACTTTATCATATTGGGTTCATCAAGGTGGACAAAACGGAGGTTTTTTGACCTGAAAAAGATGGAAAAATATATATTTTCGGGACAACAATTCTGATTTGAATATGATGAAGCCAGAACGATTTCGAGGCGTCGGAGCAGACTAACGGACACGGGCATGCATTTGAAAATCGATTCCCAGCTTCTACAGATTCTTTCATACCTGGTATGGCGATTTAAACCTGCCGTCAGCATCTTGAAAAAGCTGTCTAGTTTCTGGCACATGACAGTGTTTAGAAATAACGACGTCACAAAAAATTGACTGAGAAAAGCAGTTTAGTCAAAATACTGCATAGAGTTCCTTTAATAATAATGATAGGGCTTTTTGGAGCACCTTTGTCCTTCCTATCAAGGGCCATCAGGGGGCAAGATGCGCGCTTGCCACGCTGCCCCACTTTCCGCCATTCCAGATTGTTTTAATGTCCTAATACTGGAGGAACCTTGCCAAAAACACGAAGAATAGTGTTATTTCCGAGCAATTATATGATTAATGTTCAGTAGCCACGGACTACCAAGGGAAAGTGATGTTTCATTGATAGTAAATTCATCATGCCTGGTAAAGGCTAATTACTGAAAAATGAATACACAGTTAGTAAGGCCATTAGAAAACCACAAGTACTAGTCCACGAGTTTCATAAAGGAAAAAGTCAACATAATATGCAATATAAAGATAAATAACTAGAAAATCTGAGTCAATTAACTCGCATTTTCTTTTGCAGGCATCTGCAAGCAGTGGGTGCCCAACTCTTTGATATCATGATGCACAGTTTCACCATGGATGTAGATCTTGAGTAGAATCATGTGCTAAAACTTTAAACTTGTGAAAATTTGCAGAGCAAGCAGCTTTCCACTGAAGAAAACTCTAGCAGTCCTAACACTGAAACATTCACTGCCATGCCCTATCAACAAGTACTCTTCTAGGTTTTTAACAAAATTAATGAGTAATGAGTTTTCACAAAGTATTTTTTTCACAAATATATTACCTGTCTTCAATTTTAAGCAATTTCTATATAATTTCTCAATAGAATTCACTTATAAACATGAGCTGCAGCAATATAAAAAACACAATCTGAACAAATATTTGCTTTGTTGCATTTGCCTGTTCTTTTGCAAAATTTCACTGGCATATTATTCATTTGCTCAATAAGATGAGGGTTCTGAAATGTTGATTTGGTTTCAAAGAAAAACCACAAGGACAGAACTTCTGTTTGTTTGCAAATAAATGCAGTTCTGAAAATCTTCCTCGGTCTTATACATACAGCCATTACTGTTTCAAATATCTTCCTGTAGATTTGTTCAATTGCATGGCACTTTAAGCCATTTTCAAGTTGATTTACACAGGGCCAGTAACTTACTGCATATTTAATTGTTAATATGAAATGTAGATGGTTTTACTTACATTAAATCACACCTCTCAAACTCACTTCAGGCTTGTGAACCTAGCTTATCTCAATAAGATTGGAGAGTCTTTCTTTAGTCAGTTTTGCAGGTGTCCAATTATAACATGCTTTAATGTTTACTGAGATTGGTTAATCAAAAAGAAAGGACCCATACATTGAGAAAGAAATTTCCTTAGTACATACCACAAAGGCAACAAACATCACTACAATGATTTTATTAAACTTTTTTGAATCAAAATTACTGACTGGTTTCCTTGAAGCACATCAAAAATAAAAATAAACGTTAGACCAGTTGAAAGGAAATAATTTCCTTACAGTTTAAACAGAGACAACTGGATGAATGGCTACAAAGAAAACATATTCTTTTATATCACAAAAGTAGTTATACACCATGATTCCACTACAATGGATAAACAAATGGACACATGTACATTAATGTTTACCAACTAGCAGTAACACACTCCTGAAAGTGTCAATGTGCTGATTTCAAAATCAACTGGTCAATTTAATAAAATTATGAAAATTGTTTCATGATAATAATATATGATCATCATTCCTTTTCCTGTTGAAAATTGTAACTATTCTACAACAATTTGGGAGATATTCATCAAAATCATGATTCTGTTTGACAAGGCTATTGTCTGAGGATTTTGATTCCCAAACTAACAGCAATACACAAGCTGTTGAAAAGGTGGTGAAAGTTGTCTGGGTGAAACATAGTGCGTTAAATTGGAAAACCAATATGGAATGGAACTGTTTTTTATATCTGTGTTCACTGAAGAATTTTTGTATGTTTCATAAAAGGAAACAAACAATACAGGATCTGTTTTCAGTCTTACCACCCTATTTATTTAGATAATGGATGGAGATGCTGAAAAAACAAAGACTTCTATTACAGCTAGGACACAGCAACATGCAATGGGTGGCCAGAGAAAAGAGGCAAAGATGACACCGAAAAACCTACCACCCTGATGTAAATAATGAGTGAAAGCATTCCTTAAACTTGTAGAACATTACAATTTCGGAGTATAACCATTGTGTCGCAAGACTTCTAATTTCACCTACATTCACCAAAAGAAACACAATACCTTTTCCTTTGATTGAAAAAGACAGCCTGACTTATTGCTATTCACATTTAGTACTGAAATCGGTACAAAAGAGGAATTATTGTAATTATCCTTGCCATATTTGTTAAATATGCTTAGAAAATACAATTTATTGTGTTTATCAAACCACCGAAACACCTTCCAATATTAGCCCAGTGTGAAAACTAGGTTTATAGGGGGTTGTGGCTTCTCTCCTTAATGTGGGTCAAAGCTTCTCTACCTATAAATTATTCCTCTTTATAATTAATCTTGTTTCATCACATTATAATTGTATATCAAAGCAATATCCCATAATAATGTATTAGCTTTTGGCAACTATACTGAATATTCATAATATATTTTATAGTTACAGTTACCTTTGATAGAAAGTATGTAATAAAATTGAAAAATATAAAAAGGGATCACTTCCGCAATCTCTATTGGCATAAAAATGTGCAACTTCCTTTATTAAATAACTTAACAAAGCTTTGCATGTCCAAAAATTGAATCAGCTTTCAAACATTACATATCTTACAACTTTCTACAAAAAACAAGTTTTGACTAACAAAAATCTTATTTAAAAAATGAAGCAAATAACTGAAAGAATATTTTTGTTAATAGAAGCAATAACATAAAACTATTATAATATAGTTTTGAGAAGGCTAATGATCGAATTAAGCATGAACCCAAGATTGCAACTGAGAACTGTCTACCACCAAAAAGGTTTTTTTATTTTCATACTAGAAATGCTGTGAAAAATGCATCTACCTGAATGTTTACAGCCTTATAGAAAATATTACTAAACAAGGAAGGGTATTGTAAAGTCACAGTGCTAATTCAAAAAGAGTAAACTTGTGGCATGGTTCTTCTCATAAAAATTGTTTACTATCACAAAACGGATTTCAAATCCAGCCATTCCTTGATTTATCCTGTTTCCCTAATTTCACACCTGCGTTGCACTTCTTCCGCTGTGTTTTGATTTCGGTTGACTTTGATTCAAATCAAATTCTCGTAATGTAGAACTCGACTTGCTGTTCCACAGGAATGGTTACTCCCATTAAAGGCCTACTTTATCCTTACATTTCACGACATTAACTTTCTTTCCAAACAGGCTTCGGCCATGAAAAATAAAAATTCGGGCCGGCATAATGATAAATGTACTAAATGCTAGTTGTTTTCTAAGAATATAAAATCCTGGCACTTACAAGTTAAATGACACGCAGTCATACGATTTGGCGTCGGAAGTAGAACGACGATCAATTTTCTCCCAGAGAAATACAGGATCGTCCAACGTTCAATAATTAAATCGAAAAAAAGTTAGTCATTTATCAAAGCTATATGCTTTGATTGATTGATAAAGACAAAAGTTTCCATACCTCGCTACATTTATTTTGCTTCATATACTGTGTTATAACAGCAGTTAAAGTCTTGGACAAAACCCCTATTCTGTTCTTCTCGTGTCCTGATTTCAGTCCCTTTTCATTTCGAACATTGGTCATGTTGACATCCTGTTTATCCGTGGCTCCTTCGCAAGGACGTAAGAAAGAGACTGGGAAAGAAGAACAAGTGGCGCAACAACAGGGTTTGAGGGCTAGGCAAACCCCAACACCCCGGAAAAAATTTCTAAAAATGAGGGTCCTAAAGAATTCATCTTTGTAGTAAATTTATTATTAAAAGAAACGTAAATGCGAAGACGAAATATTTTTACAAAAACTTATTATTTTTTACCTCAGCAGATCTCTGTCTTTGTCTGGATTATGAATCAAAATTTTTGCTTTTTCACACACTAATGTGGATTTGTGTATGTTAAAGGCTTTTTGTGGAAATTGAAAATATATTTTGCAGAATATAATTTATGGATAAAGTTAACGTTTCGTTTCCGTTAACTTTCTTTCTCGGGAAGGAAGTTCTTAAATTTAAATGAAGGATCCCCTCAGAAGACATTGCAACATCCCTCATCAACTCAGGTCTTGAGGTTGCATTCCCTTATCAAAGGAAGCGACCATTGGTTGTTGGTACATTGGCACAAGTCACTTCACCTAACCTTTATAAAACCTTGAACCTTACATGCAACTTAATGGCACAAATTACAATGCAACTTAAAATTCTGGACAGAGAATAGACTCAAAAACCCTCTTTTTCCCCACCATGGAACCGATGCACTAAAATCTCTAAAAGATCAATAAAAATTATCAGGTATTCGATGATAAACACTTTGCTTCTTATCAATAGAAAGGGAGGGACGGGAGATAAGAAGAGCGTGGAAGGAGCATTCCAAAGGCAAGATAAGCCTTACCCAAAGCGCTTAAACATTTAAGTCACAATTCTTCCTTGCAAAACCCAAAACACAAGCTCCAGAACTACTGCTTCTTTATTATACCCAAGGAAGTCAAAAACAGCACAAATAGGCTTAAAACAAAATGTATAAAACTTCTGGGCAGAATCGAGGATCTATGGTACTCAGCAAAATCAGAGCTAGTTTTAAGAAACCCCACTTAGAATCAGATTCAAGCGTAAACATAAACATAAAGAGCGTAAACGCTGTAGGGTAAAAAGTATAACAGAGTGGTTTGCAAGAGTTAAATTTCAGAGGACTGTATATATTCAGAATAAATGTAAGATAAATAGTTTGATCGAAATATGGAAATATGGAAAGAAATCACCTGGTTGTCTTTAGAAATACCATAAATTCATCAAAAAACCGTACAGCAAAGAATGATTCGAATAAGATTTAATCTTCGTGAAAATTTCAATACAACGACGTTTCGCAAGAGTTTTTTAGAATGAATGTTTTCAATAGTGTGTAGATACGTCTGTTTGCTAGCGTTTTGATAATAATAATAAGCTCCAATTTGCCACACCTATCAATATCGTAGCCTCGTTTTCATGGTTCGCTCACACTACTGTCCCCTGATTTCTTTTAAAAAGCTATTACTGCTCCCAGTAGATCAGAATAAAGTCCATTATAATTCATCCCTACGTTTAAGACCCTGTTCACACTGTGCCGGATAAAATTTATCCGCATAAAACTTGTTCGGCTTGATTTGCGTTTACACTGTGCCGCACAAATTTTGTCCACTTTGCCCTCCCGTTTACACTGTGCCGAATAACTGCAGTCACATGACCAAAATCATCCACAGAACGCCCAAAATTAAGTCTTCTCTGGGCAACAAAATAATAACGAAATTCCCGCCAACGTAAAAAGACTTCATTCTCTCTTCAGAATCATCTTGTTTTCTTTTAGACCAAATCCAAAGATATTGTCAATACAAATTAAGCTTAGTTTGTTTTAATAGTTTGTTCTTGAAAAAGAAGAAGACACTGAATAAGCAACGAAAGTAGGGAGAGCTGACAAGGATGCCAATTTTACGTGGACAGGCAAGATACTTCACTTTTAACACAAGTTTTTATCGACACCAAGGCAACCAAGATGGCGAAAGGTCTTGATTGGGAGACAGTAAAAACTAAATTTGATGGAATAGCCAGTCGCTTTCAAGCAAGATACGATGTGTAAAAAATTTATCCGGATAAAAGCGTTTACACTGCACCACATAGCTATCCGAACTAATTTAATCCACTTTCCTAGGTGAACTAATTTTGTGGCTCTCTCAAATTCGTGTGGATAGCGTGGGTCTAGTGTAAACGCGACGCCTATCTGAACTAATTTTGATGCGTATAAAATTTATCCGGCACAGTCAGGGGCGGACTGGCCGGTCGGGCTACCCTCCCAAAATTATTGCAGTTTTCTCTTATTTTTGCTATTAAATGAAAACTCGTATTGTTTGGTAGGGGCCCTCTTCTGTTGCCATAACACCGAGACTCTCTCAAGATTAGTGGATATGGAATGAATCAAAAGATCACTTTGCGGTATTTCAGTACTGAAAAAGCATTTTCCAAAATTTTGGGCCCCATGTAAGCACGCAGAACTCTGGGCCTAGAGCTCACTGTCCTTAATGCAATAATACGATACTTAACTGGAATTTCCAAAATCTGATAAATGTTCTCTTCGGGCCCTCAAATTAAATGTTTTCATTAAATCATAGGTTCAGGTGGTAAGGACATGACAATTTTTGTGACTCAATTTCTAGGAAGGCACATTTTTCAATGCTAACCAAATAGAATTGGGAGTATAGATCAAAACAGCAGAAGGGCTCAAACCCCATAGCTCTGACAAAAGTTTTGCTCAAGTACATCCATACTTTGCTCCAGTATAAAACATGAATGATTCGCAAAAGATCTTAGGCATAAAACATCGGTACTTACGCCAAATTTTGGCATAATACTATTGGCATGGTCTGACTGTGCTAGTTTTTTATTCAAAAATTTGCTGACGTGGCGAAAACCATGCGAGATTTGCCCTGACGAACTTTGTAAAATAACAGGCCCGTAGGGGGCAATGTCCAATAATTTGCGAAAATTGTGTTTGAAGATAAAGGAAAAGCTCCTTATCCAGTTTTGCAGTCTACAGGCCTGCATAAAAATGAAGAAGTTTAAAATGTCTCCCATTGTAAACTAAACAAGGAAAAGAAACGAGATACAGCTGGAAGACTGAGATGCATTACAAGCTTTATGCTCATAGAAATGTAGACATGAATTGATATCTAAACAAAGAAAGGAATGACTCGTTATTCTTAAAAGTTTCTTACTGAGAACATTTATTTACTGTCTTCAATAGACAAGACAGGGCTTTTTATAATTGCATTTAGAAATTTTGTTCAAAGTTATGTGTGTTGAAAATGCTGGGCGTGTCGCTAAAAGTTGAGAATAAGATCTTGGCTTTTTGGCAATTAGAAACTATTAGGGGATGAGGAATTATTGTAAATGAAAGCTTACATATATTGCCTAGGATCTTCCTTTCGACAAACTTGATGTGGCAAGAATTCTAGGTGCATTTCTGTCCACCCCTAGAATGTCATATTTCGAAACTTTTCCTTGAATTCGACCAGAATTCCTAGTCATGGTGGTGGCCTTTATTTAACCCCTGAACAATCCAAACATGTCCCTTCTTCCCCACTTTCATCGACGTTTCACCTGCCCTGCCTATGTTACTGATGTTACCATCTTGGTTGCTGCGCAACAACCAATTAGCCTGGCAACCAATTAACCAGTGAGCGGATAAATATCAACCCCTATTATGTTTTGACTGGAAAATTATATATCAAGATTTTTTAAATAGCTTAGATATTTCTTGAATAACTTAGATATTTTATTTAGTTCTACCCTGGGTACCAGAGCCTCAGTGATTGAAAAAGGTGACCTCTCTAAATACCATCTCCATTTTTATCACTGAGGCCCCCCTTTAAAAGTCCTTCAGCTAGAAAACAATAATTTTTTCCCTCGCAATGTCATGATTTTCTCTCATATCTTATCCTACGTCACAATTAAATTTCCAGTGAAGATTATTGATTTTCGGGGCCCTTTCTCGACGATTTGACCCTGCCCCTAAATTTAGAGCCAGTCCGCCCCTGGGCACAGTGTAAACGGGGTCTGAAAGAGTTTGCAACAGTTAGGCTAAATAACGTTAAATTATGTCTTAATCCATGGATTAACGTAATAAAGTTCTTTTCATTGGTTCTCGTGTTTTCACCAATCAGAGATCGTCAACCTCTCACATAGTTCAGCTGCGCAATCAACAAGCATTAGGTCTTTTGATTGTAGTGATATAGAACACTTCTTGAACAATTCTTGAAGTAGAGTAGGATATACACGCAAATACATTATCATCCATTTCTCAAATTTTTTCATAAACGAAAATAGCTCTTTGCACGTCTCATCCCTGTCCTTTTTGGAGTGGAGTTTTTGGTATGAGTAATGCTGAGAATAAACACTATTTAGGACCTATTAACAGGGGTTGGGTAAATTCAATTCTCTAGAAAGTTTCAACACCCATTTGACCACCCGTTATTGACTCATCAGCTGCAGGCGTGGGCTGCTAAAGTTGTCCATGCAATCAGCCATACCCTCTACATAACCGCTTCTGATTATTTGATTCCGCCCTTAAAGAGCATTTATATCATTGTCTCTAATCTAAAATTAAAGAATCTACATTTCAGGAATAGGCTGTTTCTTTACAATTTATTGAAGCGATGACCTTTTACTATAGGTGTATGTTCTGTTTTTAGTAAGTTGGATTAAAAAATGCTTTGTTTTATGTAACCATAGGCTCTATCCATACAATTTTACAAAATTCATTTTTTTGCATTTCTGGCTTGCATTTACACGCAAACTGGGTTTTTACTTCCTGAAATTACAGGTTTTGAAAATAGCCTCCACAATGGTTTATCAAAAAGCCCGTTTTCATGATCTCGAGTGGATGGCAATAACGAACCTTTTGGAAAATTCCTACATGAAATATATGTCAAATTTACACTGATCTTAGAAAATCAATAGCTATGCAATTTTCTTTCACAATCAGATTCCAGGTCCTTTCTGTTTCATGCAAAACTCGAATGATGTCCATCGGATCACAGAACGTGAGAAAATTTAATCAATTTTCTGTGCATTTGAGCTTATAACTTCGACTCATAGATTTTTATGAAACAATGATTAACAATTTAGTAACCTTGCTGAAATCAACTTGATCTACAACTATACGTATCTTCTATGACAAAACCTCTATGACAAGGCCACCAGTGCAGATGGCAGCACAAGAGAGAGGTTCAGAACAACAGTTGGAGTGAGACAGGGCTGTCTGCTCTCCCGACCCTCTCCAACATATTTTGGAAAAAATCATGGTTGACGCACTTGAACATCACAAAACGACAATCAGCATTGGAGGTAGGACAATCGCAAAATTACGCTTTGCAGATAACAAAGACCGCCTGGCAGGCGCAGAAACAGAGTTAGCTCAGTCGGAGGACAAGACTTCTATAGCATATGGCATGCAAATCAGCGCAAAGAAGACCAAACTGATGACCAACAACACGAACGGCATCGGCAGTAGCATCAATGTCGATGGCAAGACGCTGGAAACTGTTCAAAGCTTCAAATATTTGGGAGCCATAGTCACCGATGAAGGATCCACGCAACCACGCCTGAAATATGCTCCAGGATTGCCCAGCCCATAGCAGAACTCGCAAAACTGAAGACCAAAGACCATCTGGGGTGACAAGAACGTAGACCTCAGCTCAAAGATCAGACTGTTGCGCTCCTTGGTCATGGCCATATTTCTATATTTTTGTGAGACCTGGACTTAAACAGCAGAGATAGAGAGGAAAATGCAGACATTGGAGATGAGAAGTTTCAGGAGACGTCTCCTCGGCATCTCATACAAAGACCATATCACAAAGAGGTGCCAAACAAGATTCGGCAAGCCATTGGACCCAACGAAAAATTCCTGTCTGTGGAAAAAAGGCGCAAAGTGAAGTGGTATGGGCATGTCACAAGATTTTAAAGACTTGCCAAAACACCGTACAGGGAGGGTGAAGAAAAGGCAGATAGAGGAAACGATGGGAGACGAGAGGAATGGCGAATGTTGGTTGCATGTCTTGTGGTGCCCCATGCCCCAACGATCCCTAAGACTATCATAATCATAATAAAATGTTTGTCCACTGTGCCAAGAATCCTTGGTTCTAAATCAACGTTCTGAATATTCCGGCTCATTTTCCAGCTGTTCCTTGAATTTAATAGTTGCAATATGTTTGCCGCCAGCTGAGGCTGTAGCCTTTACCTTACCTTTTTCAACAGTGACGCCCTTCTGAATTTACGGCCCTACAGCTGGATTTTCCCGTATGATACAGCTGAATTTACGGCCCTAAGGAAAGATCATTCCAGTATGATCACAACAGATCAAGCCACAATGATGGAGCGGCAAATAGAAAGCCTCGTACTTTCACCAGTTCACAGGAACATGTTTCTCACAACAGTTGAAGTTTTAGAGCGTTACGCTACGCCAAGAATAATAGAAACTTAATGTTCAGCAAGCAAATTTACCGAACAAGAAAGACTCATTCATGCTCAAACTATACACTAGGTGAGCAAAAGTATTGCACCACCTCGATGAATGAATAATGGCGTCAGCGTTGTAAACAACATGCCCTTTGAAATTCAAACCACTTTTGTGGCGTCATTCCATGATTATAGCTCAATCAAACAAAACTTTATCTAAAATATCAAAAAATATAATTTTTTCATTGGACAGTCTCGAAGCTTTGAAACCCTTATAAAACTTGTTAAATTAAACCAAACGCTGAATGATAAATTTCAGTAAACATTGGCAAGATCACATTTAGATAGTTGTTTGAGATCCCAAAAGATCATTAATGGCCTTGAATTTAACGAAAAGCAACACTTTTACAGCCGTTTTTTAATGAGGGTTTTTTTGGACACTGGCGGGTCACTGTTTACGACTGTTTATCGCAGAAATTTTGGTATTCTTATTCAATGAGGAGATGAAATGTTGTTTTGAACATATTGCTGTAATATGTGTTCTCTAAACAACATCGCAATTGGCTGGAATAGATGGAGTTAAAGGCTACTGGCATGTTTTATTGATTGTATTCTGTTGCAATATGTTACGAAATGGTATCCAAAATTATGCCTTTAATAACAGTCAGAAAAATTAACAGTTTTGGGCAACCAAGCAAAAAGTAAGTAGCTATTTCCAAGTTCGCCTTAATGAAATCTTACAGGTTTGTGCAAAGAAAAACCTTGTTTGTTGCAAATATATTACATCATTGCTCAGTTTTCATGCTTTCGCGGTGGTCGACATTGTTAAAAAACAAGAAGAAATAAAGAATATATTTGCATTTTTCATTTTCATATCTATACCTAGATAAATTTCCCACTTTTCCCACCCAAACGGTCATCTTAAAGCTTTTATTTAACTTGCTTTAGCAATTTGAATTTGGATTTGCTATAAAAAGTTCGCAGCGATGCAGCCATTTTGGAGGAAGGGGGGGGGGGGTTGGTGCAATACTTTTGTTCACTAAGTGTATATAATTGCTTTGATACAATTGTTTTGAAATTATTTTAACTGAGGACAACTTGGATATTCTGTCAGAAGTTAGGGTCGGAAATTTTTGTTTACAGCGTACTCTTTTCACCAGATTTTGAACATTTTTCAGCGTCCCCATTTTAAATCTGGTCTGGATCCTCCCCTGGTAAGCTACTGCGTGCAGGCTAAAAGATGAGGTCAGCTGGTCAGCGGCTCTGGGGGTGACATTAGTCTCGTTCAGATGCATTAGCCACACGTGAAAATGCTTCACGAAAAAATGGCGTCCATCGATTCTCAAAAACAGAAGAGCACATCAAGAAAAAGAGGTTGGAAATCTGTTCCCTTTAAAGATAATGACATTTTTAGCTTTAAAGAGGAGGGCTTGATTTCTTTTGAAGAACTTATAGATTACAATGTAGCAGATTTTGTAGAACCCACGGCCAAGAGTGGACCAAAGAAAAGAAAAGTTGGGGAAAAAAGCCTATCAGAGAAAGAGCCTGCTGTTTTGGAACGGTCAAGAAAAAAGAAAAAACGAAAACAGCGAACCAAAAAAGGGAATGTGTCAAGTAACCAGTCATTAAGTGATGCCAAACAAATTGATATGATGACAGACGAAGAAACGAATGCAGATAGTGAAAAGGTGGCCAAAGAAGAACACGGAGACGATCAAAACAATATGAAGCAGAGTGATGATAAGGAAGACGTAAAGCTGAAGTGTGATATGAGTGACTGGCAGGGCCTAGGAGTACCTCACGAAATTTTAGCAGCAATATCTGAGCAAGGTTTTTCAAAGCCAACGCCAATCCAAACAGCTACCTTGCCACTGGCAATATTTCAGCATCAAGATATAATTGGTGCGGCAGAAACAGGTTCAGGTAAAACAATGGCTTTTGCTCTGCCTGTGTTAACGCATATTATGGATTATAAGAGGAAAAGGGCTGATAAGATATCTAAGGATGTGCAGACCACAAATACATTAGAGAAACCCCTTTATGCACTCATTCTAACCCCAACAAGGGAACTGGCAATTCAGATCCACAGAACAATGAAAAATCTCACAAAGTATGTTTCAGTCAACTGTGCTGCCATCGTTGGAGGACTTTCAGTCCAAAAACAAGAACGTACTTTGAGAAAATGCCCAGAAATAATAATTGGAACTCCAGGTCGTTTGCTCAGCATCATCAAGGATGGTGATCCACATTTACAGAAGGTTGATCAAATCAAGTTTTTAGTTATTGATGAAGTTGACAGAATGCTTGAGTTTGGACATTTTAAAGAAGCAACAGAGATACTGAGGCGACTGTCACTTGGAAAATCAAAATGGCAAACATTCCTTTTTTCAGCCACGTTGGCGGTACCACAGTACCACAAAAAATGGTCAGCAAAATTGAAATCTCAAAGCGGTGAAGAAAGTGTACAGAAACTAGTTGACAAGGCACAAGTGAGCCCAAAGGCACAAATTATTGACCTCACCAAGAAGCACATTGCAGCAGAACAAATAAAGCAGAATAGAGTCATGTGTACTGATGAAGAGAAAGATCTCTATCTCTTTTACATTCTACTCAATTTTACTGGGCGTATATTGATCTTTGTAAACAGCATCAACACCACAAGAAAGATTGCCAATTTTCTTACAATTCTTGGAAAAAAAGCTTTGCAGTTGCATGCTGGTAAACAACAAAAACAGCGACTAAAAGCTCTAGATAGATTTTCAGCAAATAGCGATTCAGTAATGGTTGCAACTGATGTGGCTGCAAGAGGCCTTGATATACCAAATGTTGATACAATTGTTCACTATCACTTGCCAAAGGATCCTAAGATATACATCCACAGAAGTGGGCGGACAGCTCGGGCAATGAATGTTGGACAGAGCATTATACTTGAAGGACCAGGTGATCTAAAAGAATACAGAAAAATTTTTGAAATAATGAAATTGACTGAAAACATTCCATATTTAGAGATTGATACAAGACTACTACCTGATATAAAGAGAAGAGTTAGCTTAGCAAAGAAAATTGACAAAGAAGAACATAAGATAAACAAATTATCAACTGAAAAGAAGTGGTTTCAAAAAGCTTCAAAGTCACTTGATCTAGAAATAGATGTTGACCAGAATCCAACAGAGAAGATAGGGAAAAAGGATAACAAAGTGTTACAGTCTCTAAAAAGGGAGTTGGAGTACTTATTGAAGCAACCTATTGTTCCTGCTGGCTTTTCTGGCTCTTATATTACAAAGTCTGGTAAATTAGAGACATTGAAATTTTGACAATTTTGTTTCTTTTCTTGTTTTGTTTCATTTTGTAACTACTAGAAATATATTCACTTTAGTTATTATGTCATATAATATGTTAAAAGTTTTTATTGTGGTTTTTAAAGTTGACCAAGGAGCAGTTTTTGTCACCAGTGAAGACTTTGATATTAAAATGGAGCTTATTATCTTGAAATGCAAAAGCAAACAGTATTAATTGTTTTTGTTAATACTAGCATACACAATAACTAAGATCAGTTCTGACTGTTTAATTTTCTACTCTATTCACTTGCTTTATCTGACATATTTAAAATTCTGAAGGTGTCAATTTATTTAGAAATCTGTAGGTCATTAATATTAAAAGCATATACAGCATGGTGCATGTTATATTAGGAAATATTTCAGTACAACAAGGTCGTCAGAGTACATAGATTTTTACAACTATCACAGGCTGGGATTTAGTTATCTAAAAAGAACAAGAGGCCAAGGCTAGAAAAAGGCTGCTTTTTGGCAGTAACAAGGAGACTCACCCTAGCTAATGATGGTTTTCAAATAAGCAAGGAAAGCATTCTGTTGTTGCCTTTTACATGGGCTCCGACACAGGTTGGAGAGTGAGGTGACCAAGGGAAAATTCGACACTCGTTACAAAAGATTTTGAAAAAAGCTCTATTGTTTTGCAATAAAGTGAGGGGGCCATGCCCCCCCCCGCCCTTCGTCCGAGGCTCTGTTGTGTATGACATACTACTGCCTCATTTCAGACCTGTTTAGGTCAAACCAGCTTTGAATGATATTATGCAAAAGACCCACTTTACCCTATTGTGCAAACAACCTCATAGGGAAATATGAGCAAACTTCTGGGGTATCTTCGTTTTTGTATTTTAATTCAGTTACTTGAGGAAGGTTAATGAAAGACTTAATTATATTCACATCAGCGTGCGTACATATTTACTTCAACTTTGGAAAACAAAAAAATTGTATTTGGTCTCAGAAGTGGTTGCTCAAGGTGTTCAGAGGTGGTTTCATAGGCGTTTGCTTTTTCTGAGAATTGTTTTCATTATTCACAGAAAAAGTTGTAAGAATCAGCTGGTTCAGGGGCGTGGGCAATGTCCAAGTTGTTCAAAATCATGGCTACTGTTGAAAGCACATTGTCCGATTAACTCTATTTTAATAAGAAAAAACAGAGATTTTGCAAACAACCGTAAACGAATAGTTATGATATGACAGCAAAGATTCTTTATTGTAACAGTGCCTTCTTGGCTAGCACTTCTTGATGACATGGCAATAATGTCCTCCCAAAAGGATTTTTGCCGGGCAAAGGAATACTTTTTATTCACCCTGAAGTGTCACTTTTTTGCAACAATTGTAACGTATTAACATTTCTGTAGTAGTTGAACTTTCAAAGTATGGCACTATATAAAATAGGAACTTCGAAATAGAAACGCATAAAAGCAGCATATAAGATAATTGATCTTTTAGTTACACCCTCAAAGAGTGAGGCACGCGCACGCCCTTTTTGGCGAAAGCCCTTTCTTTACCTCTCCAAAAGAAGGTTTTTGGCTTTGCCCCTGTGTGGCTTCCATCATATCAAAAGAAATTTTTTTCAATTCAGATGATCAGGATTTGCAGGAAACACCGATACTAAGCAGATCAAGCTTGGAGCAGAGCGTTTTATTTTATCACACCCTATTACTGGTGCTAAAGTAGAAGATTTTTTCAAACTGAAGAATATCGATCAGGGCTGACACCATTTCAAAGCCATGGCCATACACAGAATATACAAGTCAGGGAGGGAGCAGTGGTCGAAAAATACCTATAGGCTATAGGCTTTCCTAAGAAACTTTAAAACAAACTTTGATAAGAATAGATAAATTTTTAGCTTAAATATAGTGTCAAATGCTGTCCCAACTTTTTTATAAGCCTCTGTCAGGTTGTAGCTTCTTTTAGCTACATTTTTAAATTCGTTGTAATTTAGCTCCTTTAAGTCTTATGCGCGGTCCCAGCCTTCTACATGTAAAAGCCCAGTGCCGGGGTGGCCATGGCCCCCACTTTTTTGCGAAGCAAATAGTTTAAAAGCTGCAGTAAAAGAGGTAAGAAGCCTTTGCCCCCAAGTTTTTTAGCCTTGGCCCCCCTACTTTCAAATTCGTGGCGCGGGCCCTGAATGCGATCATCAGTCAACTTCATTCTGTTATCCCATGTTAGCTTTTTGATTGTATTTCATATGCAATTTTATGTTGTAAACTACATTAGACACCACGTAATGCCATTCAAATATTTTCCCTTGCAATTTATAAATTTGCCTTTCCTTGCTACAAATGTACCTTTTTTCGCTTTTCCAATCCCTCTCACTGTTTTGCTAGATGAAAGGTTTGAATAAGCCCAAAATTTCATACACGTTTTTTTTTCATAAGAAGTTTTTAAGCTAAGCCTTCAGACTTTCATAGCTTTTTCCTATTTTGTGCACTAAAACCTTCTTAATACTTTCTTAACATAAAGTTGGTAATTTTCACGTTATTGAGCATGCACAGTTATAGAGAAATTTGAATGGTATAAAAATGCTGTATGGTCGAGGGGGGGGGAAGGGGCTGAAAAATGTGTGACCGAAATTTTGAGGCCCTTTTAGAAAACTCCCCTTTTAGAAACTACTTGTTTCTTTCCATCAGTCCGATTCAGAGAAGATATAAATTTCTATAAAAATAGATGCTGTGAAGTTTAAGTTCAGGTATTATCCTTCGTGTGCAAATAAAGCGAACAGTAGCAAGTGATAAGTGCAAAGGTCACAAGTCAGCCACGCATAGGAAACAATACATACATGTGATAGGTCATAGGACTAGGTCATTATGCCATATAAGGTAATAACGGAAACACACATGGGCGTAGTAGATCAGATAGCAAGAGCGGTAGTTACAAGAATGAGCTCCAAGAGATATGTCGTGATAGAGAGACAGTCACTCCACAAAACTTTTAATGCGTAAGAAAAACTCAAGCGGAGAAGCGGAGGAGCGTCTAGCCGAAAAGAAGAAAAAATCCCCTTCTCCACTCCTATCTTCTGTTTCCGTCATTTATTTCGTTTTCAACAAATTTATAGAGATAATCAATTTAGGAGTCTGAGAACAATTAAGCATTCTGAAACTAGCATTTGGGGGCATTTTGAAGATGCATAATCGAGCCAAATCCTTATAGTGTGCTATAATTAGTATCTAAACCAAATTGCTTGCTATTAATTTATTTTTTAGCGGAGTTGTAGAGATAAGCGTGTTAGAGGTCTGGGAACAGGTACATGGTCTAAAAATAGTATTCGGGGGCTCGGGGGCATTTTGACGATGGATGTGATTCTAAATCACATTACCGTGTTATGATTAGCATTTGTACTAATTCTCATGTCATTAATTTCGTTTCCAACAAAGTTATAGAGGTAATCAATTTAGGAATCTGGGAACAATTAAGCATTCTAAAAATAGCATTTAGGAGAATTTCTCAGACTGGGTCCCGACCTCATCTTATTCAGCATATCAAACTGTGAAGTTGTGCAGATTTTCATGCTTTTATCACAATTTGCGCAAGATCGTCGTTTCAGAGGCCTTTGCCGGGAGCTCCTCTTTCGTTGTTGTCGTTGTTTCGTTTACTGATAAACATGGACGAGGAAACAACGAAGTTCAAAAGCTGTGAAAATTTTAATACAGGAAGAAAAGAATCGAGCGCTGATGAAGCAGAAGCAAAACAGACCAAAAAAGACACAATTAAAATAATCGATATCGATGCTGAGTTACCAACGTTGCAAGAATATGCTAAGCAAGATGAAAATAACGTTGATGAACACCAGGAAAGCAGTGCAGTCTTTCATCCTGGTTTTCCACGACCGGCATGGGAAGAAAATGGCCCAGTAACAATTGAACGAAGGTCGAGGGATGGTAGGAAGGAAGAGCCGCATGAAGGCTATTCTAAAATTAATGATAATGAACTTATCATGCAAAGTCAGGTCGAAAATAGCAAGGAAAAAGAACAAATCATTGCCAATGGTAACGAGGAGTTCACAATATGTAGGAATTGTTTATCTAATAGGAGAAATGAGTTTGCTATTGACGACGAATCCTCAAAAAACATCGATACTAGCAGTTTAAATTCCAGCAAGGAAATTTGCATTTGCTCAAGCAGTTGGACTGATGTCACCATAAGGTGTCTAGATGTGAAGGACAGGGATCCAGCAAATGAACCTGGAATTTTTCAAGCACAGAATACAATATCTAACGAGAGTTCGTGTTACAACATAAGTGATTTACCTGATGAAATTATGTTGAGAATATTTTCCTATTTTAGTCCTACAGAACTTTGTCGATATGTTGCTCCAGTCTGTGTCACCTGGCTTGCATATGCAAGAGACAGCACTTTATGGGAGGTAATAACTGAACAGGAATTCAAAGATGTCTCAAGTGAGCTACTAGTGAAAGTCATTTTGTCCTGGTGCTCTCTTCTGAGAGTTTTAGACATCAAAGGACGGACAGATCTGAAGAAAGCAGATTTTGAGGCAATTTTCAAAAGTTGTCCACTGATTGAGGTCATCTCCTTTGCCTTTTGTAGCCAAATTGATGATGAGATAGTAAAGCTTATGTCAACATACTGTTGTAATTTAATGTTTGCAAACTTTGAAGGATGCCAGATTTCAGATGCTTCATTGATGTATTTAATAGGAAAACCTATCCATGGCCTGAATTTATCCCACTGCAACTTGATTAGTGATGATGGACTTATTTTCATTGCAAACAACTTTAAAAACATCACTTCAATCAATGTTGATGGCATACAATGGATATCACAAAATTCTGTTGAGATTCTAATCAGGGAACAGCGCAACAACTTGACTGAAATTCAACTTGATGGTGACGATTTGATGGATGAGTGTGTTAGTCTATTGTCACAATGCCAGAATATCAGGTCTCAAATTATTGCATCTTCCTTTTTCAACTTTTTTTATTGACATCAGGCTTTTAAATTCAAATTGCAATATATACTGCAAGTTTTCTTCATTTAGATTTGTTAGTGTTTTTTGAAGACAATAAATATTAGAATTGCCATAAAAACAACCTGAAGTTAAGATGTTGTCTTATGATTGTTATTTTTTAAATTTCATTACACAGATTGGTTTCAAATTGGTCTCTCAGTCTTTCAAAGTAAAACCAAAGTCACAATAGTATAGCTAGCAAATAGATTGAGTACCAAAGTGAAATAAATTTGTTTGATAGTTAAAAACAAAACATTTTGAGTATCTATTTGTTATCAAGTGGCCAGAATAGAAATGAGCTGAGCAAAGAGAAGGCTAAATTAAATTTGACAAATGGGAGAGAATAAGAGATGCAATGTAACTGCTAATCTATTCTTATATCCCTCCTTTTCCCTATTTTGTTTTTAGGTAGGTCGCATGCATTCTTTCTTGTTTGTTGAATCTTGCTTCATCTTTGCTCGGCTCATTTCTTTTCTAGCCATTTGATAATGAGTAAATGCTCAAAGCATCAGGTTTTTAGCTATCTTTTTTTATTTTTCACTTATCATTTTTTATTTTTACAGGGTGCTAAGTATATCATTTTGTGATGCTCTTACTGATGCATCTCTGGACGGGATCAAACACTTCAAATATCTTAAGCATTTGCAACTGAAAAAAGGACTTAATTTCAGCCGTGAGGCCATGCTAGAGCTAATAAAAAACTTAAGATACCTGGAGAGTCCCGGTTTGGGATTTCTTGGTCTTGCTGAATGCTCTTCGCTGTCAGATCAGTGCTTGAGGGCTATATCAGAAAGGTATACTGTCTTCTCTTATTTGATATGGTGAACTTCTTCCTGCAGTACTTGAAAGGAATGGAGCTAAAATGATCTGCCTGGCAGAAATATCAATAAGATTATTTTATTTTTATAGAATGATTTTGATTGTCTAGACGATATTGGTATTCAAAATGTTGTTCCTTGTGCTGGATTTATAAAACTAGAACCTGGCTTTGAATCAAGGGTTATCCTATAAGATAGATATTACTTGCATAATTTTTTTCAATGTAGGCCCTCAGTGTGGATATGTTTTTTAAAATAAATTTTTGTTGATTTTTCTTTAAATATTGGAAAATTCATTTATGCAGATGAAAGCATTTTCACTAAATCTTGCAGAATAAATTTTTAGATTATTTTAAATTTTAATGAATTTTGTTTGATTATTATTGTAAGGAGGCAAGGTGCCTGAAAAGAGGTGTGGCAGCTTTCAATGAAAACTAGCAAAGTGTACAATAGAAGGAGATGAAGGAAGCTAAATTTTTGCAGTTAACAGATATTATAGTGGTTGATCAATTTTTAGAAATTTTGCATGTTGATAAGTTACTAAAAGATATTCATAACAAACTACTGCTGCCGAATGGATCTATTGAAATCTAGTTATTTTTTCAGAAATGTAGTAAAAAATCAGAGCCTTAATGCTACATAAATTATAGACAACAGATATATTCAAACTTTTTATAGTTGAAAAGCACTCTTAGGATATAAAGTATGAGTTCTGAGGAAAATGATAGTTATTACGATATTGGAATATTTTTTCTTAACAGCTGTCCAAATTTATCTGTACTTAATCTTTCTTGGTGTTGGGAAGTAACTGATGATGGAATAAACTTCATAATGGATTCCTGTCATGAAGTTACAGAGCTGCATCTGTGTGGGCTACATGAACTTTATGGAATACCTTTTCGAAGAGTGCCACTTGAAATGCCAAAGCTAAAATTTCTCGATCTGCGCCAGTGCAACAAGATTTCAGACGATCTCTTAGCTGACTTGGCAAATGAGATGAAAACATTGACAATATTAAACTATTACGGCGATGTAGTGAAACCAAGTTTAAACTTCTGGAACCTTGAGTCCAAATGTTCTCGAGGGCATTTCCACCATACAAGCTATTAGCTCTTTTTGCATCTCATTTTGTGAATTGTAGTACCAAGTATTCTTAGGATATTTTTTCATCTTTTAGATTTGTGTACAATTAGCAAACAAATTTTACATCCCATTTTAACAGAACCTATATATTCAATCAATCTTAACATGTTATCAAATTGCATCTCTTTTTTTGGAAATTGCCCTCCTCCTTTCACACACAATAAACATTCTATAGTGATGATTATGTAATTACAGAGGTTTGAGGGGAAAATTTTGTAAATCATTTATCTTATTTTGTTCCCCTAGAGGTACTTCATGATGCTCTTTCAAGAAATGGGATCAAATTATATATGTGACGTCATCAATTAAGAAAACTATAGCACAAGCAACTATGCAATTTCAGTGAGCTCTTTGGTTCAAAAGAGATCAGCATCAGCACGTTGGCCCTGGGTGGTTTAGAACAAAGCAAGCTATGTCCCAACTAAACCTCCAACACTAATGTGGCTGTTTGCAAAGAAACATTTAGAGACAAACAAAGCCCCATTGGACCCGTCTTCCTCTGTCAGTTTTTTCCAATTTGACTTGATTTCCGTTGAACTGATTTAAAATTTATAGCTACAGATATGACACAGAGGCTGGGGTAAGGTTCTATCAAAATAACCAGGGGGTGGGTCTCTTGCGCAAAATGTTGCAATATAGATAACATGAAGAATATTGTACTCATGATTTGGTAATTTTTATTTAAGACCACATTACTTGAAGAACGCCATTAAGGAAAGACTTTTAAATGCGCAAAATCTGTTTAATCTGTTGAAAATGTTCCGTGTGACCTTACTCCAGCCAGTTTGCAGCACAATTAACTGAGTTTGCAGAGTTCAAGATACTTCATGATTCTCTTTCAGGTTACGTGATCCGAATCCAAAAATTATTGAAGTAGATGACCCGTTTTTGACAATGATAAGGTTGCCTTTGCATAGAGGTATATGAATAGGTACAAAGAAAGAAAATATGTTTTTAACTAGGTTCTCAATAGTTACAGGGAAAGAAACAAATTTTCATAGTTTTAAGCTTGAAAACTAGGGAAATATGCAGTGTTTATTATAACAGGAAAGTGGGAAACCGCATGTTATCTTTAATATCATATAAAAAACATCCAGTATACAGGCATACAACACCGTATTTAATTATGACCCATCTTGATGATACAATTAATTGATCAGGATAGATTCGTTTTGAAAGGGTATGGCTTGATTAAATGCAATCAACCTTTAAATATCAAAAGGGATGGAGTTTGCTTGTATATTAGAGAGTCAATTCCCAAGAAAGAAAGGCCAGATATTACTTCAGGGCTTCCGACGAAGGGGGGGGGGCCAGGGGGGCCTTGGCCCCCCCTTTTTTTGCAAAACAATAGAGTTTTTTTCAAAATCTTTTGTTGTGGGTGTTAAATTTTCCCTTGGTTCCCCCCACTTTTCAACCTTTGTCGGAGCCCATGTACTTCATTGCCTGAAGGTATTGTTTGTGAACTCTCTCTCGAGAGGAAAAAGTACTTTTTCGTTGTTGTGTACAGAAGTTCTAGTCAGAGTCAGCAAGAGTTTGAGTGTTTCATGAATAATCTCGAACTAATTATATCTAAAATGTCTCCTGAGGAGCCATAGGCCATCATGGTAACTGGAGATTTTTAACTGTCGCTCTCATCAATGATGGGAAAGAGATAATGAGAACGACGAGGGAAAACAACTCGAACCTCTAATGTCCGACCTTGGACTGCATCAGGTATCTATCATCAGATACGCCTACATCGGTATCTAGCTGTTTCTGTTTGTATTTGTAAAAAGAAAGTGTCTCTTGACTGAAGTGTCTCTTGACTGGACTACATCAGTTTATATCTGGGCCGACCCATATGATTGGCCAATCACAATCTTGCCTAGATCTTATCTTTACAGGCCAACCTAAATTCGGAAAAGTGTAGAATTTTTCCGTTGGCAACAGACTTTTGAAGAAATAACAAATCCTGATAATCAAGTTGAGATTCTCAATAAAGTACTTTTAAATATCAGTTCAAATTTTATACCAGACAAGTTAAAAAGTAAATTAAATGTGTAAGAAGGAAGAACCGCTTATTTACTTGTGACCTCATCCGAAATTCGAGATTTTGTGATCTCCGATGAGAAAATATTAAAAATTATCCGCAATCTGAATTCAAACAAAGCGCACGGTTGGGATGAACTTTCAGAGCGATTGATAAAAATGTGTGACGACTCTTTAATAATCCCATTGAAATTGATTTTCGAAAATTGTTTGCATCGTGGTACTTTTCCTGAAATATGGAAACGAGCAAATGTGGTACCGGTTCATAAGAAAAATCTTAAGGAAAATTACCGCCCCATTTCTCTCCTCCCAATCTTTAGCAAATTTTTTGAGAAACGTTTTTGAGACTTTGTACTCCTTTTTAGAGGGAGAAAATTTATTAAACCCCTACCAATTTGGATTCCGTTCAGGCGATTCAGCAATAAATCAACTTCTCTCCATAACTCATTCAATTCACGAAGCTTTTGGCTGCGACCCTACTCTAGAAGTACATTCTGTCTATCTTGACATCTTGAAAGCATTTGACCCGGTCTGGCATGAAGGGCTAATCTATACACTCAGAAAGATGTGGTGTTTCGGGAAATCCACTGTTACTCCTTCAAATTTTCTTGTCAAACAAGAAACAAGACCTCCATTAAATGGCTAGACTTCCCTTTGGGGTAATGTTGCTGCTGGCGTTCCGCAGGGCTCAATTTTGAGCCCCTTACTGTTTTTAATATACATAAATGATCGAACACAGAAATTGAGGTGCAGGGTGAAACTTTTTGCGGATGATACATCACTTTTTAGGATCGTACAAGATCCCAAAGTAGCTGCTAGTGACTTAAACCATGACTTGGATCTTATAACATCATGGGCACACAATTGAAGAAAGTGATTCTATCCGGATCCTCGAAAACAAGCTGTTGAATTAATATTTTCAAGGAAATGTAAGGAAATAGACAATCCTGTGATCCTCTCAGGGGCCATTCACAAAGGACGTCCAGCAAAAAGATCAATATTTTGACCTCCTCCCCCCTTTTGTCCGGCATTTTTCGTATTCAGAGCCCCTTCCCCCTTCTTCGGACATCCACCGATATCATACTGAAAGCTATTCAACAATGTAAATGTAGCCAGAATGTAAAAAGCCGTTCTTTGTTTCCATCAGAAACTGACTTGATGAATAATTTTTGATTTTCTAATACGTTTTTTGTATGATGTTATATTCAAATAAAGCATTGGATATAAGCAGCAAAAGGTGGCAATATCTACAAGAGGAGCTTTGTCGCTCACTGCTACTTCATCTTCCTCAGTTGCTGTTTCACTCTGTGACGCTCTTCACTCTTCAGTGCCAACCATTTGTGGCCAGGTATCTTGAGGTGCATTTTGGCCAGCTCTATAGAGGCGAAATTTTGCCGGCATTTCACAAAACCGCACTGGTATTTGTTGCCACCTTTTTCTGCTTTTTTGCACAGATGTACAGAAAAAATCATACGGCAGGTCCATTTGCTCGTATCCTTCTGGTTTCAGATGTGATATTGTCATTAGGTTGCAGAAGACCTATGTAAATCTTTCTTTCTTTGACAGGTTGTTCCCAAACACTAGTCAACTGCAGCCCACCTTCAAAATTTTTTTTATGCAAACTGAGACTTGAATCACCAAACCCCCCTCTCCGCCCCCTTCAGCTTGGACGTCTTTTGTAAACGACCCCTTAAATAAAACACCCGTAACAACAGTTGTCCAGCATAAACACTTAGGCATAGCACTCGATTCTAAACTTTCTTTCTCAGCTGACATACAAACGGCTATAGCTAATTCTAGAAAAGCGATCGGAACGTTGAAATATTTGTCTAGAAGTACGTTGCTTGTTTTCAGTTATACGCAAGACCCCATCTAGACTACGGCGGAAAATTATTTGATGGAAAAAATTGAATCTGTTCAGTATTCGGCTGCTCTAGCAGTATCAGGAACTTGGAGAGGGGCGTCTAGATAAAGCCATAAAACGAACTTGTTTGGGCATCGCTAAGTGCTAGAAGATGAAGTAGACGTCTTATTCTTTTTTATAAAATCATAAACAACATGGCTCCCGAGTACACAAGGGATTATATTTCAGTACTTAATGAACCTAGTTATTTCCTTAGACATCAATCTGTTGTTGGGCAAATAAGGGCAAGAACTGAAAAATCTAAATCTAGTTTTTACCCAAACTCCTTGCTTAAATGGAACAAACTTGATCCCGAAATAAGAGAATCTCCTTCTGTTAGCATTTGTAAGAAGAAATTAGGCTCACAAATCAGGTCTCCACTCCGTGTATGGTATCCACAATCCAAAAGGTGTTGCATATCTAACCCAATTAAGGGTAGGACTAAGCAAACTGAATTTTCTTAAATTCAAGCATAATTTCAAAGATACAACAACCCCCCCCCCCCCCCTACTATGTCCAACAAACGATGGTATAGAGGATACGGGACACTTCTTGCTGCTCTGCCATTCATTTAATGACCCTTGAAGAAGTCTCCTCGCTGGTGTCAAAAATGTACTCGAAGCCTATGGTAAACCTTAGGCTCTAGATGACAATATATTGAAAATCCTTTGATATGGAAATGAAGGTTTGACCTTAGAAGCTAACAAGCTAATTTTAAATCTCGCAATCAAGCATCTTTTTTAAACCAAACGCTTCGATTTAAGTTTACATCTCATAGACCAACCCACCTCTTATATCTTATATCTAAGTATTTGTAATTACAAACTTGCATTTTCCCTCTCTATGTTATGGCCCCGGGGTAGACAGAGTTGATGCTCCCCGGGGTATCGTTTTTACGTAACTTTTTGGAATGTATAAAAAATATCCAGTCATGTTACACTGGTCCAGATGCTGTTGACTTCTCAAAGCCTGGATTCTACTAGAGATGTAGTGACGCCCAGAAGCTTTTAAACTGGATAGAAGCATTCATAAAAGGGCTACATACTGTTGGGCGACTGTTCTACTTTGCTTTTGTTCATATTGTTCTTTGAATTGTTCTTTCACACCTAAGTGCTAGAAAATCTACTGTAAGAGCTTTTTTGTTTCTGTATGCCAAGATTAAAATGTTACCAAAGGAGACAAATCAGTTTATCAAATCATTGATGATTTGGAACATACGGAACATACGGAACTGAGCAAAGGTAATAGGAGGTTGTAAAACCCTACCTGGAAGGTAACAAGATACTGGCATTAATCGAAGACGAATGCAGCCCAATCAAAGAGCTTAGTTTTCAAGGAAATCTCCAAAAAACCTTTAAAAAACGTGTTTACGAGCCTTCTATCGAGAAATCTAGTAAACATTTGCTGTGTTTGAAGATAAATTAAAAATTATGAACTACACTTTAGAATATAATCAGAACAGAACATAAACAGACAACAACGCAACATGATGCCAGCTTTCTTTTAATTTTTTCTCAATGTTCCTCTCACTTGAATACGAGCAATACCTTTAAATTTAATTTCTACTTAGTTCACCCTACCTATAAGCAAATGTTTGAAATTCAACCGGTATCAATACAATAAACGAAAGCTGTATCAGAAAGTAGTAAAACGACTAAATTCGTATTCAAATAATCTTTACCAAAATCCTTGCATAATAAATTATATATCACGACTAATCGACCTCCATCGTTGCATCTTCTTCCTTTTTGCCAGCTTGCTCAGCCTCGGGTGTTGCTGACTTGCCTTGCTCACTCTTGGCACCTTGCTCACTCTTGGCACCTTGCTCACTTTTGGCACTTTCTTCTTTTTTCTGGTCATCACTTTTGCCATTTTTGTTATCTTCTCCTGCTGAGTCTTTGGTTCCGTTTGTTGGCGGTGGTTCTACTTTTGGCTTCGCTTTCGTTACAATTGGATTGCAGAAATCTTCTAATTCCTATAAAAACAGATTATAAAAATATCAATGTCGAGCCAAATCACAACTGTTTTGTGAAATTCACAAAATCTTTAAGTTTACACAAATTGCAGATCTTGTCAGGAGCTGTATCACCGTGAAGCACCTGTCGATACCTAAATTGTCACATGGTTTGATTACCTTTTTCGCTGATTGAATGTCGGATGGAGTTATACTTGGTTTTACATGTTTCGGCGTATTCTGGAACTCCACCATCTTTGAATTAAGCCAGGCCATTTTTTCATCGATCTTTTTCTGGACTTTTTCCATTTCTGCCTTGTCAATATGCGAGTAAGTTTCATCCTATTTTGAAAAGATATAAAAAATGAAACTAGTTATATTGGCTACGTAAACATTGTTGATGCGCTAGTTATTGTGCGAAATTTCTTTGCGCAAGCCATGTGCCTTCCTTACTTGAACATCTAAGAATCTAACTCTAGGTTCATCCATAACTCAAAGACGCAATGGCACACGCTATGACTTTGAACCGATTCCTAACCTCTGGTCTAATGATTGGTCAAATACAAGAAAACAATCAAGTTGATATTCTCCCTCTTACATTATTTTCGATCACACATCGAATTGAATCATCAATTAGCTTTTGGACACTTTCCCACGTTGGAGGAGTACCGGACAAAATAGAGGATGTGCTGATATTCCGCTTTTCATGTATTTTGAAGTTTATGTGACAATTTCTAATTCTTGTAAATGAATACAAACATATATCCGGCTTACCTTTTTATGGTACAGGTCCATTATCTTTCGGAAGTGCATAAAAGAATGCCCAAAGGATTCAAATGCTGCAGGCACTTCTGAATGTAACGTGCACCTTTCAACTACTGGTTGTCCGAATTTCTGTGGAAAGGGTCAGATATTTATCACTTAATAAGGAAAATTAAATAGAAACATGTAAGAACATCTCAGGCACGTGCGGTTCGCTATAAGTGCAACTGCTGGTGATGGCAGAAAATAGATGAACAAGGGAAACCGGGAAATTTAGAAGATCAATCATGGGACAATAAAAACAAAACAACTATTGCAAATACAATTACAAATAACACTGGCTCTAGACATTATCAATACGGTAAATTCATTAACCTGTATATTTGAAAAGCATTAACTCCTAAAAGAAAAAAACCAGCTAAAATACAGAGCGTTTCCATCTTTGAAACGAAAGCAAATTTTTTGAAAATCTTGAAAAGATGAACCTTTAACTCTTCTAACTTCTTGACATACACATCTTTCCGCTGACCTTCGCCATCTCCATACAACCAATCTTCTGTCTCACTGAGAAGTGCCGAAAACTTTTCTCTATCCTAGAGAAGTAACAAAATACAATATAATAACAAACAAAAAAAACCAATTTAGGCTGGAAATTGGAAATAACTAAATTCATTTTCCAATGTTGGTATCTATAACGAATCTCTGAAATAACAGACTGCTCTATAGACCCTACCCTAGTGAGCTGTTTTTCTAAATTGTGATCAAATTTACCGAGATTTTCGGTCAAGAGGGAGAATGTGCTAATTTTTTTTCTCTTTCAAAAAGAAATTCACGTCAGCCGCAGAATGCAAAAAAATGCGCTGAAATATTATTGTGACTGAAACTACGGTCGGTGCTTGTTGAGACTACAGCTTCAAAGGCGATGATGAAACATCACTTGCTGTAGTCAGTTCTCGTAAACGCAGTAGGAATTCTCTCCGGTTTTTTAAGTAAACTTAATAATGATTACAAACAGAAAACTAGAATCAATATTCTAGCACAAACCTCGTCTAGTATATACGCTTCATAAACTGAATAAATTCTATCCCTCATTGTGTAGACGTATTCTTCGACCGCATTAAGCGCGTCGTGCCTTTCTTTTTCTAGTTTCACTTGCATAATCATTTCCCATTCCTTTTCGACTAACTTGTTAATTTGCTGGTCATTTAATTCTGGTACAAAAGAGTCTACAGTGAGATCTTTGGTGATCTTTCTCTTCTTTGATTTCTTCTGCGTTTCCTCGGGCTTCTTTTCGCCTTCCTTCTGCTTGCTTTCTGAATTTTCATCGGCTTTCTCCTACAATAAGACAGCTACGTATTAGTTCATTAACAAACATTACATTCACAACAATATACCGTAAATCGTTACATTTTTGCCTGCCTGAAGGGGCGCTCATTCCAACGGGGTGCTGATTTGGGGGAGGCGTTGCACAGTTTTCATTTTCCAGGTCGCATCTTACCATTCAGTTTGATCTAGAACTTTATTGAACATTAAACTGTTAAAGTGGCTTTAAAAAAAGCAAACAATGCCACCAAACGATTGTTAGTAAACTGTTAGTTTTTTGTGCATACCGTAAATTATCTTATTAGCCCCCCTTTTCAGAAGGAAAAATTCAATAGGCCCTCCTCTCAATTTAGCCCCTCCCTAAAAAAATTTCACTTATGCCGAAAAAATTTTCACTTGACAAAAAACAGAGATCTTCATTTCATTCATTGGTCGTTCAACACTTCGCATCAAATCAAAATTCACACCATGTCTCTTCCAGTCACGACAGATCCGAAGACAAAGATTTAATGTGCATTAAGCACGGGTAATGTGAGGGCCTTTTACCAAAATCACAGTCCATTGGTACTCGGAGGAATGAAGTCGACCTTTTCGAATGCTCGATTTCAGAAGGCGACATGGCCCGAGAAGATATTTTAGAATTAATAATTGACGACGATGACAATATTATTGGTATAGAAGGCTGAGTTTAAGTTTTTTATTTCGCAAATAAAAAAATTAGTTTACTACTATAAATGGTTTTTTATTACAAAACATTTATTAAGCCCCCTCTTTCAATTTAGCCCCCCCTCTCTTATGAGCCCCCTATCTTATGAGCCCCCCTCTCTTATGAGCCCCCTTTAAAGTGCTGAAAACAATAAGCCCCCGGGAGAGTAAAAAGAGAATTAACGGTAGTCATCATTTGAGGATTTACGGTGAACAATATAACACCAAGCCTTCAAAAGTAAACAGTCAAAACAGAAAACATGTCATTGTTGATTTATCTGCATTAAAATGTATCAAGACAGCAAACTTTTCGGCTTAAGTTTTATTTTTATAAAGGGCTATTAAAAGAAAGAAGATATCGTTAACATAATTAAAACCAGCTTAACAGACATTTCTCTGTTAAACTAAACATAACTGTACAGGTAGTTGAATAATATTTCCTCCCGGCAAGCCTGTTCAAAAGGTATTTTGCTAAGATAAATAACGATCTGACTTCTGAAACAAACCCAACGGGAGGCTAGATTCCCTTCAACTGGTTTACACAAGAATTTCACAAGAGATGTTTATACAAACCTTTTGTTGATTGCTTGAACTATCCGGCTCCTTGTCAGTATTCATTGGTTCATCCTCATTTTTATTTTCTACATTTGGGACAATGCCATTTTCCTTTGCTGTTGCTTCAGCACCATCAGATGGCTGAGCCTCCATTGGCTCTCCAGGCGTCTCCTTGTTTGCCTCTGGGCTGGGCGGCGGGGTGGGAAGTTCTTCCACCATGGATGCATTTGAAACAGTCAAAACTCCGTGGATATTAAGACGCACCCTCACTTTGATCTTTGCAGCTTCACCAGTGCTTGTAGGGGTAATACCGCTTATAAGGAAACGGCCTGGCAAAAAAGCAATAAATTGTTCAAAGAGACTCCCTCTCTTCAGAGGCGTTCAAGACCTAAGAACTGATGGGACTTAACATTTAATTGTCAGTTGGCTTGTCGTACATGTCACTCATAATACTGCCACTGCAGATATATACTAGGTGCTACATTGTAAAAGGCATACAGTCTCCTTCACAATGAAATCAGCGCAAAGCAAAGTTGGTGAAACAACAAGATTCCATTCTCGAAAACTTTTAGTAACTCATGAAAATATTAAAATTTTTGCACCGAAGGTGCACACAGCAGCATGAAGCACCATTACAATAACTAAACAACTTTAAAGTAGATTGTGTTAGGGAAAGGTTGGGGAATATTCAAAAAAGGTCGTCAAGTAACAAGCGACAAACTATATTCACAACAAACCGATATTCCGTTCCGTATGAGGTACTTTCGATTCAGTTTTGTAGTAGGCGAATAATTCCAAAGGCTCTTTTCGCTTTAAAGTAAGCATCTTTGTGGCAGGGAAGCTGTGACCCTTGGAGAATATTTCCATTTCACTGTCGAAAGAAATGACAAAACTAACCAACAAAACAAAACTAACAATTATATATGTAAAATAGGTTATGTTGTTCTTTTTTATTGTGGACACCGTTTGACGTGAATAGAAGATCAGCTGTCCACATCAAATACTGTTTGTAACAAACTTTATCAAATACTTCCTTTCTTGTTTCTATATTTATTTCCAAGTGCTAGAAAAGTGTTTTAATTTTCAATTAAAATGATAAGAAAATAGAATGTCGATGTGGCAAGGATGAAAAATAAAGTTAGCTTAAGTGTGTTTTTGGGCATCTAAAACTTAAAATATCTCAAAAATCTTCACACAATGCAAAATTGTTACCCATTTTTGGTACAAAAACCTTCAACGATAAACTTTCTAGGCCAGCGAAAGGTGTGGGTTGAAGATAAAAATAGCGTTTGAGGCAATCAAGATCCCAAGATTACGTGGAGCAATGAAGCCTTACCGACAAATCTACAAACAGAACAAACAAAGGCTTTACTAACCAATCTTCATCTCCAGACTGTGCTTTCCAAGATAAATGGATGGGATACGGTGTTACGTCATCAACCTCGATGTCTCTCACTTTGAAAGTAGGGGAGAGCATTGCACACTGGATAATAAAAAAGCATAAACAGCCATTGCATACTTTTGTAAATACATTAAGGTTGAACATTGCAACTTATGCGGTTATCAAAGTAGCTGCAGTTATCAAATACCTATTTCTTCTACATTTCAACAATAATATTGATAAATATTCTCTGCAACAAACATGACATTAACAAGTACCTGAATAGCACATCCTTTTGCCACTGCCTCGTCTGTGTTTAAGGTGGTGAAAAGTTCTGTCTTGAAAACATTTTGCACAACATTTCGAATGGCTGGGATCCTTGTGCTCCCACCAACCAGCTCAACAGAATGAATATCAGTGGCCGACAAACCTGAAATGTTGACAACATTACATCAGTGTTCTCAGGCAAAATCAAACAGGAAAATAGCAAAGAAATATCCTCAAAGATGAAAATCACCCAATCTGAAATGAGATTTCAAACTGACTAGTATCATTATAAAAAGTATATATAAACAAAGTCTTATCAAGGGCTATTCACTTCCCTTGTACTTTTTCTGCTCTCATTTCACCAGAGTGCTTTACTTCCATATACCTCAATAAGCGATATCAACACTTTTACGCTTAATTTTCTGTCATACCTTGCATTCGTATTCCTAAGAATACTGGCCAAAGCGAAAATATGTGTTACCTGATCCCCGAAGAGCATCTTCTAGTGTGATTTGTAGCCTTTCCAGGATGCCCTTTGATAACTCTTCCATTGTAGACCTTGAGAAAGAAGAAAAAGACAACTAGATATAAACAAGTTGAATAACGTGGACACTGACCAACATGAATTGCCACTTGCAAGCATCAATTCATGACATAAGACGGAACCCTGTCATGACGTAAACTTGCAGGCGGAGAAAATTTAAAAGAAATCTAAAAGTTAAGTTAATATGCAGAGCAGTTAAGGTTACGGTAGACATTTACAGTAACCTTCATTGCTATAATGCTCAAAGTTACCTGTTGATCCTTGCAGATACATCTTTATCTTCCATGAAACATTCTATGTTTAAAGGGAGGTCCGTTGCATTGGCACTCATCAGTTTCTTCATCTTTTCACTTTCTGTTAACAGTCTTAACCAGGGCCTGATTTTTGACTGAACATCCAATTTGTACTTTTTCTGCAAATGGACAGAAAAGTGATACCTTTAACTAATTGTGCATAACTCGAGGCTAAAAGTTCTCCTTTGTGACAACAAAAAAGTAATTCCTCAGAGGTTTTTGCAAAAGGGAAATCTAGTTTAAAACAATAATTGCATTTAAATGTTTTGAGCAGGGCAACAAAATGTTTTAACATGAATTGGCTCTTTTACATGGCTCTGATGATGTGATTTCTTCCTTCTGAAAATCAGCGAGCATTGAAGAACTGTGCATGCAATTCATCTCATAATGATTATTGAATCTCGCCTTAACCTTAAACGATCTAAATTAGCTACTAAACGTCACTGTAATTATGATTTTACCTTCCTTTCTATATATTTGTATATTTATATTTATAAACATATATAGAACATTCAAAGACAGTTATAAAAATTGTTGAGTATGTTGAAAATTTGAACGAAAGATTAGTAGCGAGCCACTTACAAGAAACTCTGCACTAAAATGATCCCTGAGAATGTAATCAAAATCCCTTCCGCCAAGAATTGGGTCGTTAGCAGTGGAGAGCACCTAAAAGACAAAGAAAAAAATGCACACAATTACAATGCATTTTCTTTTCTTTATTTAAAGTTGGTACAATTTCTAGTTATGCATACTCAAGCTAATTTAAACCAACTATTGTTGAACATCGATCAAAAGCGTTTCTTTGTTAATTTATTTTACAAAATGGTAAGATTTTCACCTTCATTTGGCATTTAGATCTTTTAATCAGCCATTCAGAGCCATTTACAAAAAGTTGCTAACATATTAACTAATCAAGATAGAAAAAAACAACTTCTTATCTGGAGGGCCACAAAAGATCTGACTATTCATTTGGGTGCATACCTAAAGAGCCCCTATATATGCATATTTTTGATAATTCAAGGGCAAGTTTCACCAGTGACATTTGACACCTCTTCTTTGAGATTATATAACTTTTTTAATAACAATCAATGTAAGTAAATTGTACCAGGACAATTTTTTTTAAAATAATTAATGACGTTTCGAGCGATAAATGTTTGCAGATGAGGGTGTGCCATGATCTGATATGAGGAAGGTAGTGTGATTCTAACATAAGTGTAGCTAGGGGCTCAACTGATAAATGGTAAGGATTGAAGATTTACCTTGATTTTGCCTTTTCTAAAGGCACATACACTAACTTGACAGGCCGAGTGTCCTAAATCTACCAAAACAACATTTCTTGCTTTCTCCTCAGCTGCTGGTAAGTCTTTTTTGAACAACCCATAGCTCAGGGCCACTATCAATCAAAACAAAAAGGAATAAAAAAAATTCAAGCAATTTAAGTCAAAATATCATACGCAACAACTTAATTTTTTTATTGTTCACAGCTTTAGGTTGCTAAAAAAACAAAAGTACAGAAAGAATGCTCTCAAATTCCAAAACTGGCAAACTAAAAACTGACAATTCAGGACATCAAAGCCTTATGCAGCAAACCTTTGCAGATAAAGTCCCAAAATTACTTCTATCTAAAAAACCCAATATCCAAGTAATACAAAGACAAAGTAATGCCTGTTCAAATGAAGTGTAAAAAGGTCAATATTCACAAATTCATACCTGCTGTAGTTTCATTCAAGAGTCGAAGGCAGTTAAGTCCAGCAATTTTGGAGGTAGTGAGAAGGGCCCTTCTTTGATAATCAGTAAAATATGAGGGTACCTGTTGAACATTGAGAATTCCATCTGATTATATAACTCTCATGCCAAATATAAAGATAGTAGCTTAAATATAAATTAACAGGAAAAAATGAGTTGCTTCATATAGATTCTACAATCACCATTTGCAGATAAAACAGTTCTCGAGCTTCATTTGATTTCAGTCACGTCTCTGTACATTTTAAATAGATAAGACACAGCAGTGTGTCACATAGCAAAACTTTAAATGCATTTAAAGCTTATAATGCATAGATTATGTTACCAAAGATTGCACTTACTGAGATAACACAGTCTTGTACTGGCTTGCCAAGGTTGTATTCAGCAATGTTCTTTAAACCTGTGAGAAGCATTGCAAGTATTTGTTCTGGAGTAAAGACCTCTTCTTCATTTAGGTACCTTACCTAACACAAAAAGATCAAGACATTAATATTTTTCTCAAGGTTCCCTTGAAGTTCTCTACTAATAGTTTGAGCCATCAACAACAAAGGCATTTATAAAGTAACTCAAAACTAATTATATGTTTCTTAAATGCTGCAGTGCTTTAAAAATATTTGATTAACTCTTAAATACAATTTTTTATAGGCAGAAAAATGAAATTTTGTTTATTTCTATTCCCCTTCTTTATTAGAGATTTAAGAGTGAGGCCTTATTGGGAAAGTGGCAATTCAGTATAAGTGAAAAAATTGAAGTCAAAGATAAAATAACTTGATTAATCATAAAGACTATGAATATTTGGCCCTGGCTTATGATATCAGTACAGGAACCTCATTAAAATAAAATCTAATATAATTGAAGCATTTAGGACAACAGAGACTAAGAGATAAATTGACTCAAAGACTTATGATCATAACTTGCTTATTTTAAAAGGATAAATTATTGAAAGTTTCAATTATTTTTGTAAAAACTATATTTAGCCTCTCTCCACACCTTTTGACTAACTCCTCCCCACAAAATAAAGTTTAAATAAGCACCCCTGTCTTTTAAGCACTCCCTCTATAGCCTAAATAATTGAACAAACCGATTGTGGCTTAAAAAGCTTATATGGTAAGCATTGGCCTGAATAGAAATAAATATGAAGGCTAAAATGTTTTTGTTGAATTTGAAAAATTCGAAAATTATCAGGCAGGCAATAACAAGACATTGACTGTTAATTTGTGGTATCCTTTTTCGTATTCGTAATTTTTGTAACTGCTGTTGATATTCTTTTAAAATAGTCTTCTTTGATTTCTTAAGCTATTATATATAAAATTAAATTTCAAAATTTTAAGCCTGTTTTTGCATTCAATTTGTCTGTTAATCCTGATGTGCCACACATGAACAAGCCAAGTTGTCATACCTTGATGCCAACAGAACCATCTTCTTGTTTGATGACATTAAATGGAGCAAGAGCAATTTCATGCTGAACAAATGGATCATCAAACTTTCTACCAATGAATCTTTTTATGTTGCTTATTGTATTTTTTGCATTTGTCACCATCTGTTGGGAATAAAATGAAAAAACATTACAGGAATTATTGTCCCTTTTCCCTTATTTTTCAAGATTTTCTTTTGAAAGGTACCACTGTGATGTTTGCTGCATTCTATATGATTGAGGTAATTGATAGGTAGATTTGCTCTCTGCTGCAAAAATTTTTTTAAATGAAAGACATTTTCCTGTGGTTAGCAGTTAGACAGTTTGTGGGTTAGGCAGATGTTGCATTAGGAACATGTTCTGCAGGTGTTGCAGGACAGTAAGAGCAGAATGCATCAAGGAAACTTGTGAAGGGAAGTAAATATTTATCAAGATTACTGCTCAAGAAAATCATTAGTAACAAGATTGTCTTTACCAGTATGAATGGGGAATAACATTAATTCTAGGTACATTTAAGCTGTAAGTTAAGTTTTGGGATATCAGTATTCCAGACAGAATTGGTCAGACAATTCACCGAAGATAGCCATCATTAAATAAAATATCGAAAGGGGAAATAGAACAAAATCCAGGCCTTTTTGTTTTGTGCTGGCAATTGCAATTGCCTTCCCTGAATTATTGGCCTGGGCTGTTGACTGCCCTTGCAAAGATATATCTCACTCGCAAGAGACAGGAAGAGTATTTAAGAAAAAGCAGGAAAGGAAAAGCGTTTTTGATTCATTATTTGAATATTATATTATTACATCAAACTGTTTGATTACAACATTTTCAGTAATCAAAGAATATTGCATTTAGAAAACAAAAGGAAAGTTAATTGTGGACAGCTGATACCCTAATACCTCCCTCAGGCCCTGGAGGACTTCCTTTAACAATAATTGTAAGACAGGCAATTGCCCTAGTAAGCTTACCCAAGCGGGCAGATGAATTCTTAACTAGAAGGCATGATGAAAGCACAAGATAGGCATATGTGCAAATTTGTCAAAATAGTTTTTACTATATAGTATTGGTGTTTGCCAAATTTTTCTTTCAGTTGCACACACTTTGGTTCTATTACTAATCTTATCCTGATTTTTTCATATCTCTGCAGCAACCTTTACACATCTATTTTAATTTGCACAACAGCCTATCATCTCTTTTGCACATATTTTCTAATCATCAATATCAGGAAGATAGATTCTACATAATTTCCCATAGCCCCTAGCTACCGAATCTTCTGTGTTTTCTTTTACTCGTCTATTGTACAAATTTGGCTTCTGCATTATGCAGTTTTCTTTTCAACCTTGATTGTAAATTCTGGTGAATTCAATACATGTAACCTTTTTATTAGAACAGCAGGAATATGGGTCAAAAAAGCCTTGAATGCACTTTCCTTGTTCAAGATATTGTATGCACAGTTTGCACACATTGTTTTCATGACGTGACTTCCCTTGCTATATACAATTCTTGATTTCAAATAAAAGTAGAATTAATGTGTAATTGGGAAACTACCAACAAAAATTAAAAAAGCAACCTGATTTGTTTTCCTTTGTAAACTGCAGACAAAATCAGTTATCCAAATATATCAATAGTCTTTCTCTTGTGTCTGTGTAAATTATTTTTAACAGCAGCATATCTCAAAATATCACTTACTTGATTCTTAGCAGCAGATGCTGTAAGTCTTTGGTTTTCATTGAAGGAGATAAAAGCCCTTGAACAAATGATAAAAAGACAGTAAAAAAGGAGGATCCAAAATTGTGCCAAATTGCCAAATTGTGATGTTGGCTTGAATTTAGGCTCTTGTGAACAACTGTTGATGGTATACATCTTTAAATAACAGACCCCAATATACAGGCCTTTTCATGAAAACATGTTCAGCAGGACAACACTTTGCCTATATAATAATGTTATGATGGTGATCACCTTTCCATCAATCAAATAAATAAAATAACAAAGAAACCCTTCTAGGTCCTCTGAAACATTAGATAAACTTCTCCATATTTGTTTCGCTTACTTCATACTTCTATCACTGTCCTATTATGTGAACACATAATGTTTATAGAATCCCTGTTTCATATAAAAATCCTTGTAAGACCACTATGCGTTCACACATTCCACTTAAAGGATGAACGACACCATCATATTTTACTTTTTGCCCTGTAAATTTGCATCTTTAATTCAATTTATTTTCATCTTGCTCTGTTTTAAAGTTATTTTCAAATACATCTGTTTTTAAAAGCAAAGCAATGAAAAACAAGACCAAAACAAACTTGACTGTCATGGTTAGCTTCCAAGCTGGCTCTTTACCTGAGCGTTTTCAATGTTGCTGGTAATTTTTCTTACAGGGAAAAATGACTTTACTAGGGTAAAAGCAGTGTTTTGGCAGTGATTGACAGACAATTAGTTTGTCAATTTTTGCCTTGCTTTGTGAAAAATGTTGGGTTTTTACAAGACCATTGCAGCCAAAGTACTCATGCCTTACGCAACAGGGCAAAGTGGAAAACTATATATATATACCAGCTAACTTCAATTATAGAGCACACATGCATTCAAAACCTAGCTGGCAATCAAATTACAAGCTCTTCTATCAAAAAGTATTTCTTTAAACAAGTCTAATCAGAATTTATTTTGAATTAACAACCAACATTGCCAGGCAATTAGTTTTCTTGAATTCTCTTTCATATTTTTATCAAATTGCCTGATATCTGCAACTAGAGGGAAAAAGCAGACACATCACATACAAATCTTGTTTTTGCTTTGGATGCTATATTATGATATATGTTATTTTATATGCATGTAATGCTATGTTATTTTATTTTAAGTGTTTTGTTGTGCTATGTTACGTTTATGTTATGCTATGCTTTTTAGACATGCCATGGATTGGCCTTCCCACCTTATCCTTAATTCTGCTAGTTCTTTCACTATTAATTCCACCTTGGCTAGGTGGCTTTTACTAGGAGTTTTGCCAAATTTTTCTGTACTCCCTGTACCCATAGGCAAACACTAATAAAACATATGTTTCCCAGCCTGGCTTTTAATTTTATAGATAAAGGTCAAAAACAAACAAATAGAAGGGATTGGTGACAACTACAATTGACTTAAACTAAATGACATCTAGAGTTTCCCATAAATGGGCACACCATCCTGAAATCATGTTGAAAAGGGATATTGACAATATGATTGCTTAATGAGGTGTGTAACCTAAAAAACATATATGACACAAAAAGAATCAGCCATAGGCTCAAGCAAAAGACAAACTACTATTAACATTTATTCTAAAACATAAAAACTTCTGTTTTAATAGGAATATTTTACTGTTATTTCAATTCAATACAATAACAGTGAGGATAGTTTACCAAATATAAGGATCCAAATATAAGTTTCACTTTACGATTAAATTCAAGTTAATGCTTAAAGATACATAATTTGGTTTTGAGGGGCAATATTATATTTCAAACGGTCAAATAGTTGCTCTGGTGTTTGTGTTACAATTTTGAATTCCTTTACGTCCGATTCCTTCATTGGTATTTGGGATTTCCGTGAGATGCACCTGCGTAGAGTCTCCTGTTTGTCATTAGTTGTGCATAACTCAACCTAAATGAACATGGTGTACATTGTCCCTAAATACCCTCTGATGCCGATGGACAACTTTGTAAAGAATGATACAATGTGATGAGAACATGTTAGAAAAATTGTAAGGTGAAGAACTTACGGTGAACATCTCTCAGATTGTTCATTGGTTACGAGCTCGATACCTCCTGCTCTAGCAACTGCAATGAAACAGTTAAGATTTCCGACATCGAATCCAACAACAGACATTATTCCAACATTAGCTTTGAACTCTCAAAAATTCCAGTCTGGTTCTCTCACTGCATCTTTTAAAAGGAATTAGAAATCCCCAGAATTTTCGAGAAATGTTCACACGAGGCTACCAGGGGGCCTGGATCCAATTTCCTCGCAGCCTTCTCGTAAAACACTAAGAAACAAGGGTATTATAATCATCAAAACCATGCACAACAACCTGTAATGCATTTGTTTGAGGAGTCAAGAAAATGTTGGCATTATAAAATTTCTTGCTAAAATGATTCATCTATCAAATCATAAATGTGAGAAATTTCAGAACAGTTTAAATTCTTAGAACAATCATTGATTTTTAGAACTACCAGGAATCAATTCTCCGTTGATTCGACACTACTTAATTCAAAATGTGTAAATTATATAAAGTTTTCTGTCAATTATTTCCTTTGTTCATTGGTGATTAAGTATATTATTTGTATTAACTTAGTATTTAGATAAAGGGCCAATCCGCAGTGGCGTCGCTTGACCTTCCAGACTAGGGGGTGGAGGGTCATTTACCGACGAAGACAAAGATTAAGAAAAATCTGAGTGCTATTTCACCTACCGATAGACGATTTTACCGACAACCAAAAAATTTACCGAAAACTTCATAAAGAATTGGGGGTAATCACACCCCTACACCCACCACTAGCTATGCCCCTGCCAATTCAGCCTATAGATCTATTGGAAAAATTATTCTTCTGGGCCCTTTACCAGGGGGTGGGGTGTGGGGGTGTGGGGTGTGGGGTGTGGGGGGAGGTGGGTGTGGGGGAGGTGGGGTGGGGGAGGGTGGGGTGTGGGGGGAGGTGGGTGTGGGGGGAGGTGGGTTGGGGGGTTGTACACCCCCAACTTTCAGAGAACTCGTCGGTAGAATTAAATTTATAACAAAATATTAATGTAACAAAAGAATTTCTGTCGGTAAAATATGGTTTTGCATCTCTTACACCCCCAAGCAAGAATGGTCACGCGACGCCACTGCCCAGAACCCTAACTTGAAAGTAAAAGGGGTCTGGAGCACAGGCTAAGGATTATTGGTTGTGGCAACTTGATGTAATGATATATTATTTGTTATAATAAGGAAAAGAAAATTTTCGAATTTTGATGCTTTCAGTTTGCTGAAAAATGCTCTATTTCGAACAATTTTTTGACTTACACTTGAATAAAAATCTACAGGCTGAAAGCTACTTGATGGTGCCCTTGTTATATATTTTAGTTTATGCAACATAACTGGATGGGCTTTCTTCAGATTATCATAAGGTTTCGACTGGCCCCTCTTCCTAAGGACTGAAATACCAGAGAGGGCCGGGGGGGGGGAGCTCAACCCCCCAAAACATAAGTAGCATAAGTATAATACTTTTATTTTATGAAATATGGCTAATGTTACACTTATTTATTAGGGCTGCCCCCTAAAACAAAAAGTTTTATCTCGGTCTTTTCCTCTTCCCATCTTGAAATTCTTAAATGCGTTTAAAAAGATCTGAACCTCATTGTGAATTGCAGTTGACGCTTCTTCCGAAAAACTGTAGGAAATTTGATGCCAGGAGAGGCCTCCTTTTTTGGATTTAATGCCAACAAGAAAGCTTAAAATCATTAACGCTTAGTTTGTTTACATTCATGTGGATATCATATGTATCTAACTTCCCTAAATAGCCTAACTATCTCTTCCACTAAACCGATATTACCTGAATTTTCCTATTAAGCTACTATTGAGAGTGCCAACTCACACATACACGAACAACGAAATTGATAGCTTCAAAGCAGGAGCCTGTTTAAACTCATAGAAAATCATAGAACATTCAGAGCAAAAAATAAATCATGTCACCAGTTTTGACAATTAAAAATTTACTTCTCAAGCTGATGTGCAATTGCTATTTTCATCTATCGTCCGTCTAATTGACATAGCTCGAAAAAAGACATTATTAAAGTTTTTAAAAAATTATATATTACATCGCTATTAAATGTTGCTCCACAAACAAAAATTTTGTTTCTCAAGGATCTATATGGTTAACTTTGATTTTTTGTGATTCTATATAGCCAAAAACTCACAATGGTTGTCATATGCTTGAAAATTTGGTTTTCTATTACAATGTACTTTATAATTTTGTTTCCAAGTTGAGTTGAATCTACTTGCTTTTTCTGCAAATTGATATTAAATTAAAAGTGTATTCTGAAAGATTTTCTTTTTAATGGAGTGTTGTTATATAGGCCTAAATTATATTACCGATGAGCATGGCAATTGAACATGCATATTAACAATGTCCAAACCTCTAATTTCAAGTAAGGGGTCTGGAGCAGCAGCGCAGCGAAGGGGGAGGGGGAGACAGAGGCGGGGCAGGGGCAGGGCAGGGCAGGGGCGGCCCCAATGCACAGACAGTTGGTGTCTGACAAGAGTGCAAATCTGCAACAAAATTAGCACTTCAGGGTGGAGTTGACATTTCAGACAAAATTGAAACTTTTTTAAAGACTGCAAGCAAACGATTGTAAGATATATTCTGAAATTTTAAGTTAATCTAAAGGGCGTGGTCGCGAAAATGTCCTGCTCGCTTCGCTTGCAAGGCATCTCGTCTGTACCTCTACTGAATTGTTTACAATTTCCCCTCGTTTTAGGGTTTATATAGAAAAGTCATTCAGGTTCTTTGAAAATTCCCGATAAAATAGAAATTGAAATGCTAAAGCGCTTCAATCCTTAAAAAATTGAATTCTGAAGTGCTTGCCGGGGACTTTGCAGATTGTGCTCCAAGGATAATGAACTTTTAAAATTAGGATAATGGATAAAGGATTATGAACTTTGAAATTTATGCATACTGCTTATTATCTTTAGATGTTGGCTTACAGCTTTGTAAAATCAGTTTTGCATGTAGAGCTTTCTCGCCTTACACAATTCAGAATATAAACGCTAGAGAAATTGTGAAGGAAATCGACAGTTGTAGAATATAGTCAGCCACAAAAAGCTACTAATGACGTTCATTGTGTTTGATTAGCCAAACATTGCGACGTAAAAAGCCCCCGGGGGTAAAGCCCCGGACCCTCTGCAGTCCAATTCCTCTTTGCGTCTCCAATCTTCTAACCCTGGCTACGCCACTAGTCTGGAGAAGAAGCAACCTGTACCTGCGCATCGTGTAAATTTTATTTATATTTATAAGAACCAATAATTATTTCTTCAACACAGTGCTCCCGAGAAAAATGTGCAACTCCAACTTTTCCTGAAAAAAAACCCTGGTTGCTGAATTTAAGACGAAGTTCTTTACCTTACGAGACAGGAAAGACAATAAAGTACATTAATTCCTATCAAAATTATAATTTATTGTTAAACTTTGCTTTATCATATTGGATTCATTTGCATTGAATTGCTTTTGATTTGTGCTGTTCCTACCTATCATTCATACTTATAGCTTTAGCTCTTGATTTCGTCAGCAAGATTCCGTGTTTATCTCATCTGTATTAGCAAAGCGTATATATATAGCACTCTTTGTGACCAATCAATACTATCAATGTAGGTTGACAAAAACGATAACAAGTCCCTTTTCATAGTTTGAGTACCACGACAATCCCTTCTAAAAGTTCTGATAGTCAATTGCATGCTAAGGTAAATTTCCAACTTCAAAGGATGATTTGGCTTCCCATTTTAATAAGATATCCATATAGGGACAGTGGGGTAATTAGACATCACGTGGCTAATTAAAGCTCATTTTATTACTTTAAACGTACTTCTACCAAAAAGGATAAACTATCCTTCTGCTTAGACCAGATTTATTTTGTTAAAAACGTTATTCCAGCCACATTTTTCCTTCGCAGAGGATAAGCAGGAACATATCCTGATTTAACCCCCATTTTACCCCAAAAAACAGCGGAAAATCTCTATTTACCATCACAACTCAATATCCCCAGTTGATAAAAAACTCGAAACCGGTAATCGAAACTTCCCCGCCCAAAAGTGGTACTCCCTGCCATTTCCGTCTGGTCTATACAGGCAACTAGACCAGTCATGTGCTCTTATTTTCTGGTTGGCCTATTTCGATCCACAACCGGAACCTTATTCTGACGTTTTATACTCTGAGGAGTGTCAGACGAAAAAGCTTTCGGTATGCTGTAAAATGTTTGTTTTTTTCAAAGCCACTTTAAAAAAAATCATGTAACAATTAAAGCTGAGTTCTTCATGCTTGTGGTGGTGCGATATAGCTTGATAAGTCGGCATTGCCATCAATAAAACTCTGAATTGGCGAAACCAAGTATACACACCAAAGAAAATGTCACGTGTTAGTAGGGTTTTTAACATGGAAAAGGGCGTAGAAACTCTTCAACTGAGAGAGGAATAAAGTCCATCGTAGTCCTTGAACACAGGGGAATCAATCACAAGCCGCTCAGAAAATACTGAGGCTGCAAATGGGCGTCCGTGGTATTGAAGCAGAGGATAGAGACTGCCAATCAGGAGCTATCTCCAATTAGAATGAATAAAACTGTGCAAGCACAGTGAGCCTCGATGTGAAGAGGAGGCGAGCGATAATTATTTTAAAACAAACCCCTCTTTCTATCGATGCATGTTTTAATTGACTTAAAAGCCAACGAAGCTGAGCAATATCGTCAACTAGAACAAAAAATTATTTACAAATGCTTATAAAAGCTACAAAGCAACTACTTTCATCCTGGATTTGGATATTCAGGATTTAAACAAAAACTTTATAGACAACATCATAGTTTTCGCAACAATGCAAATCGATACGTAAGCTATCGACGCAGCGTGAACTAAATTTGTCAAAACTTTGAGGCCTTGCGCACATTTGTTTGAAATTTGTTCAGAAGAGGAGGTTTTTATTGAGTCACCTACCAAATGAGGTAATGGGGTTATGTGTGCAAAGTCTTGATGTGTGCTTAGACAGCATAGAAATATAACAGCTTGCAAATGACCTGCTTGCTATGAATACTTTAGCATTGCCCATTTATGTAATTCTACATATGCAAGGTACCTTTTTGTTGCGTGGTTCAGGCTTTTTGTACAAATGCAATCGAAGTGTTCCTTATCCTTTAACTAAGAAAACACCACTATCCAGTCTTCGATATGAAAATTCTAATAAAAGGATTCTAACAAAATTCCGCAAAACACTTTTTGGGAACTTGACGTCGGCGGGGAATTACAAAAATTTTCCGAGTTAAGCCGCATTAAGAGAATTCATATATCTAAAATAGAACTTACTGGGTATTGCGATTGCTTTCTTGAGGTTTATGGTTCTAAAAATTGCAATTAATCACTGGTAGGCATGTTCTGTCTGATGCAACATTTGTTGGTGTACTGGCCATGAAGCGCAACGATCGTTGGAAACAATTTCAGCTCAGAACGAGCAAACAGCAATGAAGATGCCGGCAGAAGAAGTAGCATTATCAAGACAACATTTCGGATAGGAACACTGGAACTAACAAACCGGCCTTAACTAGAAGCATATATACCACTATTAAGAATCAAAGATAATATCAAGTTCTACGGGGTACATAAGACACGGGGTTCGAAGGAACACTAGCACTTCGAGGCAAAGAGCCTTGAAGGTTTACAAAACGTAAATTGTTTCCTTGTGGTAAATTAATTGCAGATCTCGATGGATGCATTGTGGGAATGTTTGGCCGTACTTGTCTAGCCTCCAGCTGACTTAAATCGATTACTTGATGTCCTGTTGACCTCAGCGGGGGCATTTGCGGCCCTGTATTCGTGATGTTTGGCCTAAAGTCTCTAGGTAGGGTCCTTGGTCTCCAAGATGGTAACCTTTGGCTTTGCATACCGGCAAGAGCCACCATCTGTAGGTTGCGAAATCTCTCCTCACTTGAAAGTGACGTCACTGGCATACTCCGAGGGGGGGCTAGGCTGACATTTTGATTCGGGTTGCGCATAACATAAAGTGTTCGCATTGCTTGATTTTGTTGTGACAGGCCTTCTGGGCCACTAAGTAGCTGATGTTGATGCTGGAGCTGCATTTCTCGGTAAAGCTGTGCCTGTTGCTGCATCGTTTGCATTCTTTCTTGGGCGATGCGCATGCGTTCATTCACTTTCGCTATAATATGCAGGTAGGCAATGGTATTTAGTCTGATAAATCTTGTCTAATAGGATGATGACTAAGAAAAAGTTGCGAGAATGGATTAACGGTATCTGTTTTTCACACAGATGAATAACAATGAAAAATGAAAATGATATTCGAAATCCAGTTTTAGCTTCAACAAAATGTCGGGGTAGGTTAGAAAGAAACAATTAAAAGGCAGAAATCTAGAAAAAAATTGGCCATCTGCTGCCCATCACTACCTTTCGCATTAGCACATTAACAAATTTAAACCTTCAGTGAATTGGTTTGAATTTAATGCCTGTCTCGAAAAACTGGTGAACCATTTTGTGATGATTTGTCCTAAGAATGGTTTCTTTAAAGATCATATGATCATATTACATTACGAGGCGCTATAAGTATGGGGCGAGCAGACCCGCAGCGATGAAGCCTATATTTGAAAGCGAGAAAGAGCTTGCAAAAATAGGCTAGGCCGAAAAGGGAACGGCTTTTTCTTACCAAATGCGTTCTTTGCCAGGTCTTTTTGTTCCTCGTAGCTAGCCCAAGCTTGTCGCCGCTCTTCTTCCGTTAACTGTTCCTCTTCGACGTTTTCCAGCAAGATGTCGTGCTCCTGGTATTTGACAATCCATTTTGGATGCTGTCGTTGAAGAACCTCGGCCAGCAGGGGATCCTGTCATGCAAAGATACGACATGATTGCACACCAACAAATAGAAGCCATGACCAAATACAGCCACACTCGCTTAGGGCAGACTCGCATTAGTCAGACATTTCACAAGTCGGACAAAAGGCGTGGTCTCAGCCAAATTGCTATACATGCTATCAATCTTAATCACATACGTCAGAGTTTATAAGCAGGATCTTTGTATAGGTCGGACCACTAATAAAGTCCTTTATGAAAATAGAATCGCAAAAGTTTAGAACAAAATTTGAGCAGAAGCAGGAAATATTCCCAATCTTTTGTAACTAACGGCTGTTCACCTATCATCTAGTTAATTGCAACACTTACAGCTGGTAGTTGGGGGACAGGAGTGTCATCCCCTTCTTTGTATTCTTCAGCGTTAAATACATAGAGTTCCCTCAGTTCTTCGTCGGTGAAGTGCCTTGAAATCTGCTGCTCGTCGACAACCCGACCAGACAACGCTAGCTTATTTATTTGCCTCTCGTAAATTTTCTGTTCCATCGTTCCCTGTAATAAACAAAATATTAAGATTATCAATATGCAGAAGACATGTAGAAGTATTGATCAGTTGCACCGTCAATGTAGTGTTGACTTTGTTACAGATTAAATAAAGCGTTAACATATGTAGAAACAAAGTATTAATAAAAGTTATGTTACTTAGGATAAAAGAATGCAAACACAAAAAACAAGAGTGACCAAAAGCATATCCAATCAATTTTTTCAAAGCATCTACCCCTTCCCTGAAATGCCTTCACTTGTCTTTTAAACTAACAGAAGAGGTGGATAATACCCTCATAAAAGCAGGGGTGTCTGCAGGAAGAGAGACGGAAAAACGAACAACTTATGATAAGAGTACGAAAAAACGTAAGCAATATGAATACTTGACAGTTTTTATCACACCGCTTTTCCTTTTCAATACCACTTTATTTAGAATTATGTGAAAAGGGGAAAACGTTTCCACGTTGGTTCGTGGTGTTGGTGTTCTAAGTTCCTCACCTGTGAAACAAATCGGTATACATAGACAGGTTTATCCTGCCCAAAACGATAAACCCTGAAAATTGACTGGACATCATGAGATGGGTTCCAAGAACAGTCGAAGACAATCACGCGATTGGCTGCCACCAGATTCACACCCAAGGATCCGGCTCTTGTCGAGATCAGGAATAAACGCGCGCTGAAAGAAAAATAGGGGCAGTGTAATGGTTGATTGGTGACAATATTACCTGTTGTTTTTAGGATGCATAACTAGCTTTGCAGCATGAAAATACTTATTTTTTAATCAATCCATTAACATAGGAAACATATTTGAAAGGTAAATGTTTGTCAAGGGAAAAGGAGATTTAAAAAAAATGAAAAAAAACATTTTGTCATTATTACTATCTATTTGTTTAATGTTGGCAATAAAAAATTCTCTGGACTCACGTTGTGTTGTCGACATCGTTAAATATTTCTGAAAATCTCTGTCTTGTTTTGGCTGGAGTTGATCCATCCAAACGGAAGTAATCAACCCCTTTACACCAGCTCATTTCATTCCCGCCAATCTTACCGCCACCTAGAGCCCTTTCAATCAAATCAAGGGAGACGAGGCTTTGTGAAAAAACCAAAAGTTTATCGCCAACAATTTCAGCATCTGCAAGTATCTCAAGCAACAGCACAAGCTTGCCACTCAATTCCACATTTGTGTCATCGCCCTCATCAATAAAATCGTCATACCATTCCCTAATCTCAACTTCTTCTTCCATTTCTGTTGCGTCCTTAAACCGAGTACCAGACCTAGTGCTTCCCATCCCCCGGACTGGTTCTTCTCCCGGTTTCACAGTAACCATATTTTCTTTAGGGCACTCGTCATCACTAGAACTTTCGTCTGTATCATTAACAGCAAAAACGTTACTGTCCAAGGCCAACTCGGATTTTCCTTCTTTTAGAGTAATTTTGTTACTGTCATTGGCAAGCGTTGCAGCTGAATTGCTATTTTTAGACCGGAGACTATGGCTAATGCGATCTTGCATTGAATTATGGGGTTGATGATTATGTGGTCCAGTCTCGACACTATTGCCTGTATCCATTTCACCTGCATTTGTTGGGGATTTAGGAGCACTTGATGCCATTCTTGGTTCTGTAAACAAAATATCAAACCGTCACAAAGAAATGGGTTTATACGCGAGCCATCTTATAATTCCAGCCTTCTTTCAACGAGAACTTTGAGATAAAAGCGACTTTTAATGTATTTTTAACGAGCTTCTATTTCCGCCATTAATTCTTTCCATTTTCGAATAGGCAAATTTCTGTGAAAACATTTTGATTATTAGTCAGGGAAAAATGTGTCAGGGATTATTTGTCAGGGAAAAATGATCTAAATCCTAGATATAGCAAATTTCGAAAACTAATCTTTAACAAACTAGATGTACTTGAGCAAGAAATAAGACACCCTCCGTGTAAATTGCTCTCCCAAAATAAGTCCACATCCAACACCAAAATGTATTCCCTACATTTGTAGTCAAATTTCACAACTCAATTTTTGGATTTGAAACATTTCGCCTAAGATAATTCACACCACTTTAAGGTAACTTTTGATTTGGTTGGAAATCATCTGGCTACCCATTACAAGGACCCTGTTGCTATCCCAAAGTTGAATTAAACCTTTAATTATATACAAGAAGCAAGATAACGTAAATGAGATCACAAACTGCATCACGCAAAATAGTGCAATAAATACCTGTTTCGCTGCCACTTGACTTCCATCCAGGTTCCCGAGCTTTTTCCTCAGCACTGCTTTCAGATTCTGACTCGCTGTCATCTAAGAAGTTTCTAATGTCATCCAGAGCTTCTCTCTCTAGCCTCCTAATTGCCTCAAGTTTTACTGCCCAAGGATGCGTCCAAATTTTCATCAAGCATTGGTAGTCGGCAAATATGCCAGTTCCTAGGTAAAAAATACGAATGAAAACTTAAAGCGAAATAACAACTGAAACATGGCGTGGAAGAGCAAAGGCCCAGATCACATAGAACCCGTTTCTGTTCTGCATGACAAAACCAAGGCCAGGTTTAGTCCCATACAATTATGAAAAGTATGTCACATGAATAAAATTTGTCTACGATTGCCAAGCAGAAAATACTTGGATAAAATAAGAGAATATCAACGTCCAGATAAAATACAGAAGATATGGTAGCAAAAATCATAGGATATAACAAATAATGCAATGTAACAGACCAAATAAGAAATGGTGCTGGCAGATTATCGTTGGAGTACTGTGTCAATGAGAAATTCTACGAAAAACTGATATTTTCTCAGAAATTCCAAATGTTTTGTTAAACAAAATAATACAATAATGAATAAAATATACCTCTTGCTCGTACGTCGGCTAAATTTCCACACACGAATGAATCCAAGTAAAATTGATACATCTTTCTCTGTCGCTCTCCTAAACGCACAAATATAGTGTACTCGTGCTTTGGCGTCAAAAGTGGAGTCAGAACAGAATAATCTTTTCGCTGAAATTGAAAGAATCCTTGATACACAAGTAATACTTGAATTCACTTACACTAAACTAAGGGAATCAATCTTATTCCATATCATAAACCATGCCAGACCATGGGATAATCAGCTATATATCAGGGAAGTTGAAAACCTGGCAAACATTGGTCAAAAGCTGCTGTCTGAGAAAAGCCTACTTCAGCTTGGAGTTAGTACTATGAGTAAAGTTAAAACGAATGGTGTTAAAAAAAGTTTTTAAATAGGGCTGTTCTCCAGCATTCCAAACACAAACAATCTTCCTTCTTGTGTTACTAAGTCAAGAAAAAATAAAGGTAGTGTGGGAAATGTAGATAGTCACTTTTATATATTAGATCAAATAAGGTGAACTGCACTATGTTGAAACTCTAAAATCCAATATATGATGCAAAGTTTGAAACGTACAACATTGCCAATCGAATTCTGTTGCACCGAACAAAATCAAGCAATAAAAAAATGAGGCTATCCAAAGCAGGAACACAGAATCTTAAAGATCATAAAAAGAGACAAAATACATGGGTTTAAATGGAACCAGAATTCAAAACAAGAGAGCTGTTCTCTCGAAATGCTGCAAGGTAAATCAATTACAATATAAATTCAAATAAATATAAATATATATAAATGTAAATATATAAATAAATTGTAATAAACTAGAAAGCAAACCTGTACACAGCCAGAAAGTGTGTCGTGCAAGACATGACAACGCTGTTTCATGATCTTCACATCTGCAGGGGTAGAGTTTGAGCACTGACCATTTGCGATAGGATTCATAAAGATATTTGTGAATTCTTTCTTTGTCCCAAGAAGGTTTGGCTTTACAAAACTAACCATTACAAAATCTGGAAAAAGAGTTTGAATCATAGTAATTTCTCTGTTGAAAAACGACGAAAACGAGCTTTTGACACCTTCTTTTTGCCCACCGATGAAAAACCTTCCGCATATTAAGTAGGTAGATTAGCCGAGTACAACAAGCTACAGGCTAGTATCAAAGTACTGGCCAAAGGGAATAACGTGTTTAATTCGAGACACTTCTACAAAAAGTGTGACGCATAGTCCACACGTGCTTATTCTGTCACTGAAAATTTAACTTACAAGAGGGGAAAAACAGCATTAACAGTAACAAAGAATTCATATGATTCACTAAGCTGTCATGGGAGCAAGGGGCGATTCTGTATGCTTCCATGGGTGCAAGAGCAATTGGTATTGAGGGTAAAGAACAAGCGTAAAAAATTCCCCAGCTGTTTAGACTATGGAGGTCATCAGAAAACCCTTAGACTCTAAGTAATTGGTTCACGTAAAGGGGCCTTTCTCAAGGAGTAGAAAAAATAGGAAAGAAAAGCAAAAAGACGTACATTCCAGAAGGTTGTTCTGCAGAGGGGTTCCAGTTAATACAACCCTACGTAGTGTTTTGATCTTGGTTAATGCCTGAGAGATTGCGGATAAGTCATTGCGCAAAACATGACCCTCGTCACAAACAACGATGTCCGGGCCTACAACAAACATAAATTACTATAATCAACCTACTAACTAGTCCATGCATACGACATTTAGTCGGATTTGAAAATTCCCGACCTATCTAAGTAGAAATATTCTAAATAAGTTAGAGGTTGCATTGGTCGAAGAGGTTTCGTTGCTGTGGCGCTGGCTGTGAACGAGATTCGGTTGTATTAATAGCTTTGCAGCATGTGTCATTTAAGATGGTATAGGAATTTAAATGGCTTATAATTAAATGTTCTTTCATATCGTGCCAAATAGATTATTGATGTTTTCTTTTGCTAAAAAATCTTCATTCACTGTGTCATTCATTACCTGCTTCGAAAATGACGGAAATCATACAGTGAGAAAGATTTGATGAAATATTAACTGTATTGACATTTCACTTTCAAGGAGAAGTCGAGAACGTTTGGAAAATGCTTGGCAAAATAAAGTTTGAAAACAGCGTGCTAATGCTGAGCTGCAATTATGCAAAAAATTGTCACATCTGAATTATGGGCAAGGGTAGTGACAAGTGATTTCCTGCTCCTATCTTAGCTAGGCAATAGTGAATTCACCTGGGTCAAGAAGTGTCTCTGTTATTATTTTCTTGTGCTTTTTATTTCTAATTCTTCTGAACTGGGTCAAATTGCGGTACATATCATAACCAAGGATCATGACACCCCCATGACTGTACCATTTCCTCAACATGTTTAATCGCAGTTTCATATTGTGACCAGAGTCAGAGAGAACATGGACCTGAAAAGACAAAACATGTAATACAGTGTCTCGCCAAACGGTAACTTAGCCGTTTGAGCATGCTGGCTGACAGGACACAATACAGTCAGTCAGTTCAACTTTGAGAGCTTAAAATACCAACATATACATACGTACTTAGCGTTGTTTAGGTTGTCTCGAAGGCACATCTTACTTTAGGTACAACCTTTATGGCATTCGTAAGGAAAGGAAATTCATACAAAATCAGTGCTTTGTCTCTATAAAATCTGCCAAACTGTTTAGGGCAATATAATGAACAAATAATTTAAGTACAAAAATGAAACAGTTTTTATAACAGCGCGTAAAACCGATAACACTCGTCTGAATGGCAATACTTACATCCATCCTTTCATCCAGCTCCAGCCATTTCTCGAACTCCGTTTCCCAGTTGTACACTGTGTTAAGGGGCGCCACCACCAGAAATTTGTTCAGCTTCATTTCTGGGTGATTGGCCACGGTATGCAGTAGAGTTATAATCTGCATAGAATTGATAGAAAAAAGGAAAAACATAACATCATTTTGATAGCGGGTTAACTTTGTGGCAAAATATGCATGTGACACCCATCTACGTACTTATAAAATCCAATCTTTCTCCAACAGTCTTTCATTAACAAGAGAATCAACATTTTTACTTCCTTTTATTTTGATGCTATAAATTACCTCTCAATATCTGAAACATAGTTGATGTGAGTTTTTAAAATCGATGAGAACTTGTCAATACTGTAAATTTCCGTGAAATAATTTTTTGGAGAACAACTGTAGATAAAACTCAAATTGGCGAGGGAATATCCAAATATAAGGAAAAAACAAAGTGAGGCCATTGCCTTATAGAATTTGTGAATAAGGATCTTATTCATCAAGCCATGCTCCATAGAATTTTAACCATTGTAATTTGGGAAAAGTATACTAGGGATTTTTTAATTGTGAGTAGAGTTATACATGCATGGGTAGCTACTCCAGCCAAGTTTCAATAATATATGTAGGTTATTAACAGAGGTCAACGCTTGATGGCTTTATATTTATAACTGGAGTTGCACAACTGCTGAGAGGCTGAATTTCACTTCCCATAATCTTATTCACTCAGAATAGCGACCAGAAGCTCCATTATTTCAGGATGATTCAGCATTTCTTTGATGCTATCATGTAGTACTTATACCAGATGTCATTATTCTAAGCATGCCAGGCGGCAAGAGTACAAGATATTTAACTGTTACCCGAATAGTGCTCAAAGTAAACGTTTAGCTGCCAAAAAATGATTTTTTCTAAGAACTTTGATATTCCTTTAAAACACTGCAAAGTCATACCTGTAAAGATTTGCCAAGGCCCATGCAGTGTGCAAGCAACGCACCACTTCCTTTTTCCCCATTTTTGAACTTTTCCAGTGATTCAAACAAACAGTCATACATGAACTGGATGCCTTCAACCTGATGCGGTTTCAGATTGGTAACGAGGCTATGGTGCACTTCTACTAATGCTTTGCCTGTTTTTTTGTCTCTTTCCAAAATCAAAGTGCCAGTTACACTGTCCCTTTTAAGTGCTTGCTCCTCTTCATAAGTTGCTTGAGTACGCTCGAGAAGACGCCTTCGCCTATCCTCTTCAAGTTGGCGTGCTTTTCGAGTTTCCTCTGTGAGCTCTTCCTCTGCTAAAATACGTCTAATATTTCGCCTCCCCTTGCGTTTTGATTTAGATTTGTCATCACTACTTTCGTCTGAATCTGAGCTTAGAATCTTTCCCTTACGCTTTTGTCCTTTCCCAGTACGCTTAGCTTTGCTTTCTCGCCCCCTTAATCCACTCTTCCTTTTACCCTTTTTTCCCGTTCCTTCTTCTTCTGCTTTTTCTTCTTCATCTTTGTCTTCGTCACTGTCATCATCCTTGCTGTCCTCACTCTCAGAAGATTGTTGCAACACTTTTCTTCTTCTCCGCGTTCGTTTTTTCGTTCTGTGTGCAGCATCCGATAAAGATTCGGATGACTCTGTTCCTTTAGAGGAATTAAAGCCCTTTCTTTTTCTCTTAGCTCCTCTGCTTAAAGGTAACGAATTGCTACTACTGTCACTCTTCCTTTTATCATCAGAAGAATCCTGGCTTGAGCTTGACTGAACAGCTTTGGACCGGTTTTCGTTGGTCGTTTTTCTCCCTTTACTTCTAATTGAACGGTTTTTAATCCGTTGATAGTCAAACTCACTTTCACTTGAACCTTTACCGTGACTTGCATCGCTTAAATCATGGCTATAGTCTAGTTCCGCTTTATTACTGTGAAGACGATCATTTTGGGAATCATCAAGTTCATCTGTTTCATCTTCTTCAGACTTCACTTCCTCCTCATCATCTTCAGTGTTTTCGCTATCTGGCTTGAAATCACTTTCGTCACTCTCGCTTTCAAAGCCTAGGACATTACCTTCCAGCCCTACAGGGCTCTGGTTGACAATATCTTTGGTTGTAGTTGACTTTTTAACTGGCTTTGAATAACCATCACATAACTTACCTTCTCCTGTATCGACCTCGGTTTTTTCCTTGTTTCCATTTCCCGATGACAAAATATAAACTGGGACCTCCCTTTCAGTCCCATTTTGTTTTAACGATAAAGATTTTACATTATGCCTGTCAGCTTTGTCATCATTCCTGGGATTGTGAAGACTGGCATTACTGCATTGTTTTTCAAATACTAAGAGTATGTCTGTTGGAATTTCAGCCCTTTCTAGCAATACATTACAGTCCTTTAGGCTAAATTTTTCTTTCAAATGTAACAACTGGTCGACATTGGTATTGTCTTCTGTCCCGTTTTGCCTTCCTATAGCAAAATTTTCTGTGACGTTGTCCATAATAAATATGTCATTGTCGAATGAGTTTGTTCTCGAAGTGTCGTTTAATGTCTTTAGATTTTCTTTTGAATTCCGTTTGTTAATTTGGACCTTCGCCAAGCCCTTCTTGTTCACTTTTGGCTGGGTATCCTCAGATTCTATCACGCAAATATCATTCACGTCTTTTTGAATAAGATTGGCTATGTCTGGATCAATTTCAATTTTCACTTCCTTTGCAGCCACCCCAGCATCCTCTAAAGTTTGGGTAATGTTCAATAGTCTATCTTTCCTTTCAAGTTGGCTAGGCCCACCAAGATGTGTTTTCTTGTTTTCAAATGCGTAGCCCGCCATTTTGATCTTTTTTATCAGTTTTATGATTGATTTACATTCATCAGTGAAGTGAACGATTTGCGATGGATCACATGAAAAACATTTCCATTTCTGTTCCTCGGCAGCTAGAAGTATCTTGAGAAATTCCTCCCCCATGTTTCGCTTTACGCATTTTTGGCAGAAGACCTTTTCACAAAAGTCGCAGCAAATCAAATCACCTCCATCTCCACACCATTTACAATATTCTTCCATGCCAAATTTGTCTCTACTGAACGAGCTTGAGTTGTAGAATTTGCTGCAAGCCTGAAACAAAGAAAGCGATGCTACAGCGTTTCAATCTGACTATTCAATCAGATCAGATGTTTTGCGATTACATTGCATTTTTCGTACTGCCAATACAGTTAGAAAATACGATCAGTGAATTAACAAGAAGCAAACGGAGGCATTTGATTTTGCGAAAAGGCATGGTAATAAAAAATTCAATTTAAACAGCCTGTTAAGACAGGTGTTTTAAGCGTATTCCTGTATAGCAGCAAAAAAGGCTGCACTGTCTTCAACTAATGATCCCAATCAGGTTCGGTTCCAAGCCCTGGTTGATTCATACTCTGCAAGAACGAGATGGGTAAATGCTAAAACTCTTAATGCTGAATTTATTGACTAAATATTCAGTATCTCTCCTTACTTATTGACGAGCCGCGGAAACGTAGTGCCACTTCATTATTCTCCCTGCAGTCTGAAGTCATTATTCCCTACTTTTTGAAGTCGCTAAAAATTCTATTGTGATAAATACCTTGCATATGAGCACACCCAGAACTGGATGCTGCAGAACCTTGTGTGTCTTCAGCTTCTCACCACATCCAGTGCATTTGATATGGGAAGGCAATCTACCTTGAAAGGGTGTAAAGGCAGTGCATATTTCAATAAACGTTTGGATGAACAAGGAATAGGCAAGCAAGTAACCAGGATGATGGAAAGCAACCAAGAAACGAATGATGCAAAATAAGTGTTTTAAAAGTGCCAGAAGAAAAAGGTGCAGCAAAAAACAGAGCAAATAAGCATGAAGTAGATCAAGTATCCAAATTAAGTGCATTAGAATAAAAAGCGACAACGAAGTTAAGAAAAATGGCTAACGCGAACACGAAAGTACCAGGAACATTAGCCGTGATGGCAAAAGATGAAACAAAATATAGTTACTTAAGTGTGAAGTTGCTTCGCTTTCTCGCGATTCTTCTATATTTTGCAAAGGTTCTGCTGGGTCATCCTCCATTTTTGGCATTTCATGTCCACTTACTGTAGCAATATCTTCAACATTATTGTTCTGAGGTACATCCTCGTATAGACCCTCCTCATCCAAGGGGACTACAGTAATGGCTTCACTGTCGTCATATACTGGCAATTCTTTATCCCCGGCATCCCCGGCATTCCCAGCATCCCCAGGTTCTGACACCAAATCAACTATTGATGAGGATGATATCTTCACAAATGAATTTTTGGACACTGTTTCAGAATCTGTAGCGTTATTAGCAGCTGCTTTGGAATTTGGAACCCTGTCGCTGCAAAAATGAAAAGCTTTCAAGTTCAATTTTTCTTCCACGAATCGAGATAAAGACTTGGGTTGGCGAGACTATTGAGCTTACAAATGTAGCCAACATGAAGCTTGCAAACACAAAACGCATTGAATACATATGTCACAATGGAAATAGTCTTAGCATGAATTATCGGCCAAGGAATGTCACATTTTTCCTTTGTTCATTCTGAGGAGTTTTCGTTCCTGGCATGTTATCAATATTTTTATCCAGCAATGAATCTTGTCGTAACGTATTTTGAAAACAATCGCTGCTTGAGAAAATATGGCAGTTAGTTTTTGCTTCATCAGTTGTACCACTTTGTCTTAAAAACTCTTCGTTCATCATGATGCCTCATATTGATGGACAAACCTTTAACTTCAATTAATCAACTCATACCTATATTAGCTTTATCGAATTATCATTTGAAAATTAGTCACTTTTGTATAGATCATAATTGAATACTGGGGTTAAGCTTGTAAAAAACGTAAGTTGCTGATAGAATTGACAATTCATTGGGTTATTTGACTATTATAAGTTTCATTACTCCTGGTGTTACCACTGCCATACAAGTAATGAAATGGTTGGATATTATCAGATTGGTACATGCGATTGGCCTTAGAAAATAAAACTATACAAAAATGAATTAAAAAAGATTGTTGCATCTAGATGAAAAGGCTTTCAGAAAAGCAGCTGATTGGATTCATGACCTTTAGAAATTAAATTCTATTGCATTTGCAGACAGTTTTAAAACCGTCTGTTGTGTTTAAGCGTCCAAAACAAATTTGCAAAACATGTCTTGCCATGATGTTTGGGACAGACTACATTTCGTAGTTTCATCCTTATGCAATGGCACTAGGCCTTTTTGCCCATCAGGCTATTTTGTCCTTGTATTGTTGTATAGTGGTTTTTGTTTAGAGTGTAGCCCGTTGGTGGTGTAGCCTGCATCACTTATTGTAATTGTTTAATATAAGAAGCATCCAGGTAGCAATGTTATTCTTCTATAGCATGAATCAAACTCAGACTCAAAGAGATGTAAGGTGTACCACTACGTGAAGAGAAACATTTTACCTTGGCATGTCATCATCTTCATTCTGTCCCTACATTAAGAAGAAATTGATATTATTATTTCTATATTAATTTGGTTTTACCAACTTTTTCACTGAGCAGTTACATTCAATCATTATCAGACAACAGACTTCCTTTGGTATGAACAGGGAAATATCTGACAAAAAAATTATATTGAAGAAAATTAGACCACAGAATTGAATCCAATGGCCTTGCTGAAAAGACGGCGACAATTATTTACTAACATGTTTACATTTTATCACTGAATATCAAAATCTTTTTAAAATCCTTTTTCCACTGAATTTTATTAAATAATGCCATCTTTGTTGCTTGTTAAAAATATTAGAGAAAATCAGTGTAGTCATGACAACCAAAAAAGCTTTTCCAGAAATACTTTCTCAGATTATTCATCAGTCAAGCAACTTTCAGATACTTTTATGGAGATTCTAAATTGTGAAAAACTAAATTTTGTGCCAAGTGAAAGTCTGGTTAATAGCCTAAACTTCGTTGAAGACATTGACAGACCTCAACCCATAGCTCTGGCAGTTCCTCATAGTTTAAAAAGAAAATTTTTATTTTTTTTGCTTTAAAGCTCAGCAAGACTTCCAAAAATGGCTCTCTGAAGTTTTAAAATTGTCTGCCTGGCAGCAGGTGGGGGAGCAAATAAATAGCATGCCTAATAAAATGCTTGTGGTAGGGAATGGAGTTGAGTCTGTGTCTAAACCCATTTTCCACAACGAAATTAATTACATTAATGGGTAGCAAACAAAAAACACTTGTAAAAGGGAGATAAATATTTTTACAAACATATGTCTAAAAAAGAAAGCAAAACTGAATTTAACTCTAACTAACTTGCATCTTAATTAAAAAAATTCAAATTCAGAATACACAAAACTAACAACCTTTATAAGTGTATAAAAATTTCAGACCTTGCAATCAAGACTATGATCCGCTTTTGCATTGCTTCGCAGCTTATCAAGAATGGAAAGAAGTTTGATCCTGAAAAAATTAGAAAAACATCTAATTATGAAAAGCAATGTCAGTGCCGGTTCTACAAAGCAGGTTTCTAGTTTCATGAGTTCTTACTCTGAAGAATAAAATCTCATCATTCAGACAATTTGGTCAAAAACTAAATTTCATCAGATAGGAAGCAGAATATCAAAATTTTCTAGCATTTGACAGAAGTTTAATCAATAGAGACTTTTACAAAAAAAATATAACCTCCTTTTTTCAGTATCAAAACCAAAATAAATAAAACTTAAACAAGATACCTTTTATTTTATTTGTAAAATGAATAAAGACGTTTTTTCTCTTAACAGAAATATTGTGTTTTCAAAAACATTGTAGCTTTAGAAGATTCAGGAGATATTTTTTGAAAAGAAATGGCTGGCAATGCAAAGCGCATCAAAAAAATGGAATTTGTTATTAGAGTTTGGGAGGAAGAACCAAGTTTGTGGGATGCTCATACAAAGATGGTGATGCAAAGTTTGATGAAGTTCCTTTTTTTCAAAGCGAAGCTAATTTAAGGCTGAACTACACAGACCTTTTTCACGAATGTTTTCACCTCAAGGATGAAAAAACTGGTCGTGTAAATTGGAAAAAAGGACCATCAGTAATAATTTCCCTTTCACCTATGCGAGTTGGATGTGTTCAACTTTTGCAGCAAAAAAGGATAGATTTTCTTTTGTCTTTTTGACAAGGCTATGAAACCTTTGTCTCAAATGTCTTCATGTTACGTCATGACGTCTGGTTTGGAATCAAAACAGTTCCACAGGCTTGATACATGGTGTTATAGATACACTCTTTTTATAAGAACCAGTAAATTTAAGTTCAAGCAGACTGTTCTTAATTTTTCTTAAATATCTGAGTCTGGATTGTTCTTAATGTGTTCTAAAATTTATAGGGTGTAAGCAGCACAGTTGCTAGCTTTTTCGTTCTAGGGAGGTGTTCAGGCCTCATTTGCTAATAAAGTGATTGAGACAACCTTCACTTGCAGACAAGCTTGAATATTTACCAAAAAAGCACTCACACATTACTAAAAATCCTCGTTTTTGAGATGAAACATTGTTCAAAGTTGCATTTCAGAGTAGCTCAGCTTCAGCTTGTTCTCAATAAGTTCTTAACTTTTGACCAATTTTGATACTCGTGTTCTTACAAAGTTGTTTTTATAAAAAAAAGAGTGTAGGGAGTCTCTCACCACCTCGTGAGGCTGACGCCCATCCAAAAATTCAAGACCATTCTCAAAAACCTTTCATATTTGACACAATCCTCCAAATGAAATTCATTCAGCAAAGTTGCAGACAGTCTCCTGCTCTGGAGCCACGGTTTCACTCAAATTGCTTTAATCTTACCTTTCTTTTTTAGACGCTTGGCAATAAGTGCCAGTAGTAAACAGCCAGCAGCTGCTTTCTTCACTGGCCTACCCATGACAAAAAGAAGGAAAAATAATCCTTTTTAAAGGATATGTGTAAGCAGCCTACTGTCATCCCTTTTTTATATCCTGCACAGGCCTTCCTGGGAATAAATTAGCACAAGTGTGGCATTTCGCACCCCTAGACTGTTTTAGATGTGATGGAGTGATATTGATGCTTTGTCTTATGTCTACAAAGGTTTAATTACATACAGGGGCGGACTGGCTGGTCGGGCTATTCGGGCGATCGCCCGAAGGGCCGGTCGGTTTAGGGGCCGGTTGATAAAAGTGCAAGAAAATAAATTAGCTTAAAAAGTGAATCCGAGGCAAAAAACTTTACCCATGAGTTCATCTGTTTGCCTTGAATTTTCAGAGACTTTGTGGAAAAGAATAAATATACACGCGAGTACTCCAAAAACATCAAACTTATGAATTCATTATTGTCACCGCAGCCCAAAAACACTTCTTCAGGAAACATGTTATTGACATCTTGTTCTATTTTCTCTTGACGGTATTTTTCTTTTTGGCGACATATTATACTGTAACACCCCTGTTTCAATGCGATACAAAAGATTTTAACCTGCCCTGATGTCTTTTTACTTAGCTTTTGCTTGAAGCTGGTCATGTTTTTCCCTAAGCACAAGCTATTGCTAAATGTAATAAATTTAAAAGTCCAAAAATTTGAGCTCACTAAGGGATTTGCTCTGTGATGTGAGGCAATGAAGATGACATACGTAGAACAAGGGATGAGCAAGAAGACTTCGACCAAAGGTGATGCACAGAAATTTCGTGAGGAAAAGCTGCGAGACTTGAAAAAGGATTCAGCTACGATAGCTTAAAAAAGGATTCAGCTTTTTTATCAAGCAAAAGCGACAAACGTCACAAAAAACAGCAGGGTCTTGCTCTTGCTCCTTTCAATAAACTCATACAAGTTATGGTAAGTTTATTAGGCCTATACTATCATAAGTCAAATGCACCACCCCACCCCCCCCCCAACAGGGGTATGGTGCTACATGATAAAATTTCAACAGGGGTGCCCATGTTCTCTTTTTGGGGTCAGAAATTGACAAATCGATATTTTTGGGCTGCTGAAAATCATTTTGGTTTTCCGGAGGATTATAAAATTATTTGTCACAAGTGGAGTGTGATAGAAGCTTTTCCACTTTAAATATATAAAGATCAGATTACGTAGTGATTTTTCGCAGCCAAACCTGGAGTCCTTCATGTTAATGTTCTTAGAAAAGCACCTGTTAGAAGACATCCAGAACGATCGCATTATCAACATATAAGTTACTGTATTTAGAAACAAAGTCAAACTAATGAGTTAAAATTTTTGTTTATTTACTATTTAGTCAGCATTGACATATTTAACATGTTCGGTTAACCATGTTCTGTTAACCATGCACAAAATTGCTGAATTTAAAAACTTGTTTTCCTTACAGACTAAAATTTACTTGCATTTTCCTCAAGTTTTTTATTTGCTATTATTATGGGCCGGTTTGATCAAAATTGGCCCAGGCCAAAAAAATTAGCCAGTCCGCCCCTGATTACATAGTATATGGAGCCTTAAAAAAAAACCCATTATTCTTATGTCATTTCTTCAGTTTTCTCACAACTTATATCTGTGGTGGCATAACAATAAAGGAAAGCTTAAGACTTTTGCCAAGGATCTTTTTACTAAACTTGATACTGAAAATATTTCAGATGCAGTTCCCAGCAATCCCTATTACCACCAATGATTGTGGCAGTCTTCATGGCACCCTTGAAAAATGTTAATATTTTGGCCCCAACTTTCAATTGTGTCTCATCAGTAGGGATATGAAAACAGTTTAAAAACTGTATGATTTGAAAACGGCACAATTTGAAAATGGCACCATTTGACAACAACACAAATAGTTTCAGTGCAAATGCTTGAAACATAATAATATCATTGCAGATTTTCCTCTCTTTGAATCCAGAGCGCTATCCTTCTGTTTCCAAGTTTATCCCTTGAAAATTTCATGCCTTTGTCAAAACCTGCTGTTTTCTGAATTTTTCCACTTTTATTTGAAAACAATCTACATTGAATAATTCATTGAGGAACAGGATACCCCCATTGAACAAATATGCCATATTGCATAAGCCCTTCTAGAGAGTGTTGTTTACGCTCTGCTTATTTTTAACCCAGCTGGCGGTAGGAACTGGATACTGAAATCACTGGCGTAAAACCAAGAGCGTACAGAAAATGAGCTTTCCAGCATGGGCCTTTGGCAAAGTCTTTCACTTGTCGTGGGCTTAAATATTATAGCCTAAAATGTCATTATTGCCCCATTTCAGGAATATGGCCAGCTCCTTTGTGATCTCTTTACTCTTCTTGCTGAAGATGCCAAATTTACGAAAGTAGATCAGAATAAATATGGCACAAATCTTGTCTAAACTGGAAGCCTTTTGTTTAAAAATTCAACTTAATTTACCATTCGAAAATAGTATTTTAGAAACATGTGCATGCCAACTCAGGTCTAAGGCTAAACTGGAAGCCTTTTGTTTAAAAATTCAACTTAATTTACCATTTGAAAATAGTATTTTAGAAACATGTGCATGCTAACCCTGGTCTATGAGAAAAAATTTGACTTAGCTTTTATGAGCACTGGGCTAGAAGATGGTTGCAAATTGTCATATAATAATGGTTTCTGCAGCCTAAGAATGAAATTTAGTGGACTACTTTTAGCTCTGATGCTATTATCATTTGCTTCATGTTTTAAAATGATTATAGTTACTCGGGACGGTGGGCAAAACCGGTAAAATACATCAAAATATAAAACACCAAAGAATTTCTTGCTTTTTTGTCATTTGTTTATTTTAGGTAAAAACGGACATAAAAAAGGATAATGTATTTCAGCCTTTAATCAACTATCATAGGCTCCTAACAGCCATGGTCTAACCAACAAAGATCTTTCCTTCCATATGGAATTTCTCTTTTTCGTTTTGAAACTACAGCTATAACTAATGCTATAGCTGCACCTTCTGTGTCACGATTCATTGTGAAAATTAAAGAAAATAATACTAGGTCATCAGTTTTGACTTATTGAGTAAACAGGTAGATCTATCAGTCAAAACTGACAAAAAACTGTGAAGTTGAAACTGATCGTGTATTTCAGCCTTAAGAAAGGAAATCTGTTAAACAAACTTGACTATTTGGTGATGACACAAAATTGAGAGAAGGATCAGCGAGAGATGACATTTGGACAGGGCTTCTAAGAAAAAGTGCCCTAGATGCAGAGGGCTTCTATTCTCCATTCAGGGTTGATGTCATCAATTTTGTATCATCTACAGACCTATTTCAAAAGTGGACTTTGAGTTTGAAACCTACATCTTGAAATTAGCTTGTACTGAAAACTTCATGTTGTAAAGACTGTTCGGGCACAGGTTACGCCAATTTGAATATTTAGAAATTTCTTTAGATTTGACTGGAATTTTCTGGTGTAGTGAAAAAATCTTCACTGCAGCAAAAAATTCCATTTAAATATAAAGGAAAAGCTAAATTTGACTGGTTACAAGGAGGATTATTCACAACGATAAGAATAATTCACAAGGTTAAAAATTTAGATTTCACAACTTATCAGGATTCTCATGTCTATACCACATTTTCTCCCTTTGTTATTGATGAGGTTCTAACCGCTTTCAACAGAATAAGATGGAGAGGGATTGTGGAGGGCTCATAAATGGGCACACAGGTGTCTGATCAGTGCTATGGCATGTGGAAATTTAGAAACAAGACCTGCAGTAAAACTACTGAGGAAATCAAATAACAGTACCATCTAAAGATAAAACTATGTGGCAATTCCTAAATCAATACTTTCTTGTTGAAATTTTTGACAACAAAGAAGCTCTCATTAAAAATTCCTTTTTAAAAGTGCTACATTGACTCCAAGGTATTTTTTGGTCCTGCATATGACAGAGGAATCACCTCCAAAAATATATTTTTGAGCTGTGTGTGCCCTAGATGCAGAGGGCTTCTATTCTCCATTCAGGGTTGATGTCATCAATTTTGTATCATCTACAGACCTATTTCAAAAGTGGACTTTGAGTTTGAAACCTACATCTTGAAATTAGCTTGTACTGAAAACTTCATGTTGTAAAGACTGTTCGGGCACAGGTTACGCCAATTTGAATATTTAGAAATTTCTTTAGATTTGACTGGAATTTTCTGGTGTAGTGAAAAAATCTTCACTGCAGCAAAAAATTCCATTTAAATATAAAGGAAAAGCTAAATTTTGAAAATGGGATAATTTGCTGCATGATGGCCCAAAACAGCATGAAATTTTTGGCACAGACTAATTTCAACATGAAGATTCAAATTCTATGATCCATTTTTAGCATGCGAAGATAAATTGCCGGAACAGAGAATAATAATTCTATTGTAAAATCAGGTTGCAGTTTCAAATTTTGGTATCAGCAGGAGGCAGAACATTGAGATTGGTGATGTGCCACTGGTGACGAGAAATGAGAATACTTAACAAGCTGTGGAATTATTTAATAGAAATAGAAAATAAATTCCATTTCTAGGTTTATTAACTACTGACAAAAACATAATCACTGAAAATTAGAGGGCTGATAGCAACGGCTGTTTTCGCGCCAAAATAGTACCCAAATTTTCTTATAATCCATCAAAGCTTCTCCCTCTAATTTTAGGCCATCATTTTTAAACTACCGAACTCTAAATATAAACCATATACGCAAACAGGTCACAATCATAGTGTTTCACTTTAGGTATCCTCTTGTCCTTATTCTCTTCTTATTTTAAAACTACGTTATTTTCAAATAGCGGCTTTATTTACAACGAAATAGGGTTATGTTCGTTGAATGTACGATTGATTGTATTGAAAACAAACGATCATTGGCCGACCTGTAACCAATAAAACCAATAACATCCTCGTAAATCCTTAGATAAATAATAAAGAAAGCTATGTTATACTAGAGGATACTAACCCTTTCTTTGGTTTTCCTGGATCGGCTTGGTGCTCAGCATTTTCCATCGTAAAAATTACAAATTCACAGCAGCCACATTTTACTCCTTTCGTGGCTAGGCGCCTTCGTTTTGATCTTGGCCGAAATGCATCACGGGACTAAGCGCCATTTTTGGTGTAACTGAAGTTGCTACCAGTGGCGGTTGCGCGCAGCCTCTGATAATGTGACGAGAATAATAATGGAAACCTTTCACAAAGCCTGGGTCCACAAAGAAAAAGTATTACAAGCATAAACAAAAGAAATTAACAACAACAAAAAAAGGAAAAAGTGTGGTCGTCATTGTTTGTTTTAGAAGTTGTCAGTAGCAGAGATTGTTAGAATTGAAGAAGTTCAGGATTATTCCAAGATTTATTTCTGCGGAAGAAAATGTAATAGGTAGTACGGATAGTTAAGTTGGATAGATTGGAGATCATGAAGCGGGGATGATTCTCGCTGATATCTAGAGCGTTGCACATGTCGATGAAAGAGGAGCAGGAGAGACCAAAGATACCTAGGGAACTGATAGCAAGATTAACAAACCTGATAGAAGAATAGGCTGAGCTTAGGCTGTGAATGAGATGCGAGTATTTCTCTTTTTTGCGGTTAGCATTAACATCCAAGTTAGTTTCGTATCCTACTGTAAGCTCGAGTATGAATAGGCGATGGTCAGAAGTGACTAGAAGTAGATCAGGACGGAAATAGTCTCCTGTTATGATAGAGGGTAGAAGATAACCTGAGGGGTCTACGTAAAGAGCAATTAGGTATAGTTCGGAAGACTGTGCTGGGAAGCTTAATGCAGAGCAGAAATATGGTGCCATGTGTAACGGCCTTCTTCGAGGTATGTTTTGCAGCCTGCAACAATGTGAAGTAACGTTTCTGGCATATGGCAAAAAGAGCAATCGGAAGACTGAGTAATGTTCCATTTAGATAGGTTTTTTCGCGTGGCAAGGGAGTTGCTAAGATATTTAATAGTAAAATTGTAAATGTTCTTATGCATGTTGCTTTGAACCGCGGTCCATATTTTAGAGGCTATAGGAAGAGAGTGGTCAAAGATGAAGGAAAGAACGGTACCTTGAGATACAAGATGGTTTTGAAGGCGCTCTTTATGTTCTGATCTAACAGCCTTCAATACTTCTCTAGTATTCCTGTAAACATCATATTGGATGTTCATGCTCTGGCTGGTATTTTTCCACAAAGATTGGATGTTTTTGTTGGGAGAGGATTTCAGTGCATTACGATAAACAGTTTGACACTGCATGAATTTAACAGAAGGAAGAATCAAGTTAAGACCGAACTGGTTTTTTGACAGAATAATGCCACTTAAAGTAGCACTTATGGGTAAATCGAGCTGACGGCGGATAAATGCAGAAACTTGATTATCAAGGTTTTCGACGATCCAGGTTTTTGATAGATCGGCTACTGTGAGGTGCCACGAAACTTCAAAAAACGAGAGAAGATAGCTGTTATAAAGAAGCAACTTATTCTTTGGATGGAGAGGTAAAGAATCAATTTGCGTTAGGAGTTCTGTGAAGATTGAGCTGAGCTTAGACATATGTTCTTGATTGCTCATATTAAAGTCGAAGTGACGCCCAAGATACTTAAAAGACTCTCCAGTTATGACAGGAGGGACGATTTCATTATTGATGAAGAGCTTTGGCTGATATTGTAGGGAGCGTGTTGAGATTTTTTTAATGCCAAAGGTATTAAATAATGATAATAATAATATCATTATAATAATAATGGAAACTTTTCATTTTGAATTCCAGTTAAAACTTCAACTACAAATCTCACTATTACAAGGTAATTTGCAATTGGCTAGCCTGGTTTTACAAGAAAAAACTATAACAATCGTAAGGTAAAAGGAAAAACTGAGAAAAAAATAAAACAACTAAAGTTAAAAAGGATGTAATTCCGGATTTGTCCATGGCTTATTTTTGCAACAAAATATGTAGTACGTAGTTCGGATGGCAATGTTGGAAAGTTTAGAAATGAGAAACTGTTTTTGTTGCTGATCGATGGAGAGAGAGTCACACATTTTGAAGAATGAATTGCAGGAATTACCGAAGATGCCAAGAGAGCTCATAGAAAGATTAACAAAGGAGACACATTTGAACTGCCGCTGTAAACCAGATAAGAGAGGAGCATACTTGTTGTGTTTTCTTGTAGCATTTGTGTCAAGATTGGATTCGAAGGCAGCAGTTAGCTCTAAAATGTAGAGATAATTGTTGTTAGTCCTCAAGAGAAAATCAGGGCGAAGGTTTTCTCCAGTTATGATTGATGGTGAAAGAAAGCCAGGTATATCATTGTAGATGGTAGATTCGTCGACAGCTTTTAGTGACGTAGCTAGAAAGTTTAGGATAGAGTTATGTCGCCAGGTGTATCGGCCTTGTTCCAGATATGTTTTGCAGCCAGCAACAACGTGAAGGAATGTTTCTGGCAGAAAACAGAAAGAACAGTCAGAGGTCTGGCTCAAGTTCAATTTTTTCAGGTTTTTCTGTGTGACAAGGGTATTGTTCAGGTACCTTATGGTGAAATTGAAAATATTCTGAGGCATGCTACTTTGCACCTTGGACCAAAGTTTGTTTATTTTTGGAAGATTCTGGTTAAAGAGATGTGATAATAAAGATCCTTGGGAGGTTAGGATGTTTTGCAGACGATCTTTATGCTCATGCTGGACAGCCTTTAATGCTTCTTTGGTGTTCCTATATATATCATACTGTATATTTGTGCTACTGCTGGTATTTTTCCATAAAGAGCGAATGTTATCGTTTGGTGAAGATTTCAATGCGTTTCGTAAAACTGTTTGACACTGTAGGAATTTGGTGGATGGTAAAGTTAGGCTGAGTCCAAACTGGTTTTTAGAAAGAATAATGCTATTCAAGGTAGCACTTATTGGGAGGTCGAGCCACTGGCGGATGTATTTGGATACGAGGCTGTCAAAATTCTCGACAACCCACGTCTTTGAAAGATCTGCTACAGTAAGGTTCCAGGAAATTTTAGAAAGAACGAAGTTGTGATAAAGACGTAGCTTATTTTTTGCATGAAGAGGCTGGGAATCGATTTGTTTAAGCATGTTTGACAGTGATGACAAAAGGTCAGATTTATGTTCTTGGTTTGTCATTTCAAAGTCAAAATGACGACCGAGGTACTTGAAAGAGTTTCCATTCGAGACAGATGGGATAGGTTTGTTGTTTATGAAAAGCTTAGGTTGATACTGAAGAGAACGCGTGGAAAATTTCTTTATTCCAAAAGTGATGCATTTATCGACACGTATGATCATGTTAGCCCATTGGCACCAGCGAGTGAAACAATTCAGTAGAAGTTGGTTTTCTTTCTCATTGCTGGTGATAACGGCAGCATCGTCTGCGAATTGAAACCAATGGACTGGTTGAAACACACGGTCGTTCTGCTCAGGTAGGGAAAACCCTAACTGTTTGTATTTTTCAGCTTTTATGTACTGTATGAATGTGTTGAAGCATAGATTAAATAGTAGGGGACTGAGGCAGTCACCTTGAAGCACACCACGACGGACTGGTATATTATTATAATAATAATAATAATAATAATAATAATAATAATAATAATAATAATAATAATAATAATAATAATAATAATAATAATAAATAATAATAATAATAATAAAACATAATGAAAGGCTGGAAAATCTCAATAACCGTCGATACAGTAAATGGAAAGGAACAATTGAAGCCAATAAATGTCAAGAGAGGTATACTTGCAAGGAGACAGCTTTGTTGTCAAGCTTTTTGTACTATGTCTTGACCCAATAGCTTGGACGATTAGAGGATATGAGGGTTACCAACTGACGCACGACAGGACAATGAAGATAACACACCTATTATTTGTTGACGATTTAAAACTCCATGCAAAATCAGAGAACAAAATATCAGTCGTGACAAAGAAAGTTAAGGAAATGTATGAAGATATTGGGATGTCCTGGGGCCTGGAAAAGTGTGCTTCTTTGCATGTAGTTAGAGGGAAAGTATCATAGAGCGAAGATTTACCAATAGGAGCAAAGGATTCCATCTCAGTTATGGAATCTAGCGCCAAGTACAAATTCCTTGGAAAGTATGAAAATTTCGAACAGCTGGACAAGTTCACGTTCCAACAAGCAGAAAAAGAGTATCTACGAAGATTGAATGTTATATGGTCATCACCCTTGTCAGTACCAAGAAAACAGACAGCTTGCATCGTCTTTGCTATGCCTACATTAGAATACTTCATGGGGACAAGTAATTGGTTGATAGCAGATATTCAAAATCTTGATAGGAAAAGCAGAAAGGTAGTCGAGATGCATAAAGGAAAACGTATCTTAGAATCAATAGCAAGGCTCTATTTGCCACAGAAATGTGGTGGAAGGGGCTTCAAGCCTGTAGAGGATACCTATAAGATCTCAAAAATTAAGGTGGCACATCACATTAACATAAGCAAAGGGGGCAAAGTTCCTCAGGGCCTTGAGGTCAAGGGGGCCTCAAGTAGTAATGAAGTCCATTTTAAGAATGAAATCAATGAAACGTAGGTATGCCTTAAAATAGTTTAAAGTTCTAAACGATTGCAAGAAATGACTGCAAGAAATATTCTGAAATGCATTTTAAGACAATCTGAAGGGCTTGGTCGCAAAAATTTCTTGCTCGCTCCGCTCGCAGAGGGACCTCGTCTTTCGGTTTTATTTCAAAGCCTTCGAAACCCAAATACCCACAGTCACTCGAAAATTGAAACGATGATTGATCAACGAGAACATCCTCTTTGATAAACAAAATCAATTGCGTCAAAATGCCACACCCCTACATTGAAATATCTTGGGCCATGCCCTATTTTGTCGGCAAATTGGTGACTGGCACCCCCCTAAGTGAAAGTGCTTAGCGACGGCCCTGATTAAGCCTGATATGCTGATAATTGACAAAGTAGGAAAAAGGTCAGTTTGATAGAGGGGACTATATGTGCACCTGGATATATTGCCAAGAGAGAGAAAGAAAAACAAGACAAGTATTCTGAAATGAGAAAGTCACTGGAAAGGTTAAATCGTGGATACAAAATAGATCAAATCAATGTTGTATTTGACTTTCTAGGCTGTTACAGCAAGCAATTGGAGTGTCAAATCAAGAGACTATGTGAAGGAGAGAAGGAGGCAAAATTAGTAATCGAACAATGTCAAAAATGGGTACTCAGCCAAAACTGCGAGATTGTTAAAACTTTTTATGAAAGAAAATAGAACAACAAAAATAGTCTGCCTAGGCATTAGCCAGCAGTATAGTGGACACAACAAAAAGCAACAGAAACAATTTTGACAATAATAATGGAGACACGACAATGTGGCAAGGTATGTGCATTGGGCAATGTGTAAAAAGGCAAACATAGAAAGAGCGAATGAGTGGTATAACCAGCAGCCAAATAGCTGTGCTGAAAATGAAGAGTAAAAGTTGTTATGGGATATGATGATACAATGCGTCCAACACATACAAGCTAGAAAACCAGACATTGTATTGCTGAACAATAGAACTAAGGAGGCTACAATAATAGATATCGCCATTCCAGGTGACAAAAGGGTACAAGAAAAAGAAATAGAGAAAATTGAGAAATACCAGCCTTTAAAGGACGAAATGGCAAGACTTTGGGATCTGAAAAAGGTCAAAGTGGTTCTCGTGGTGATTGGTGCTCTGGGAATGATTACTAAGAAGTTTGAGGGATACATCAAGGAATATGATGACAATATCAGGATTGAAGTAATACAAAAAACGACTTTGTTAGGCTCTCCTCGAATCTCAAGGAGAGTACTGTCTATGTAGGACACGGAGAATGAAGCCTTGAAACCTTTGGTAGCTTGTTGCAACCTGCTTTCAAGGAATTTACCAAATTCAACACCTAATTCGTAAAAAAAATGTAATTGAACATAATAATAAAAATAATGATAATACATATTTATACAAAGTAAGCCTTTTCAGTACATGTAAAATACTGCTATCAATAAGGGTCCTGTTTAAAGAAACTGTTGACAACGTAAAATTATAAAAGCTAAGATGCTACACAATTTTCATACAAAACTTAGGGTATCTATCTTCCGTTTAAAGTTTACAAAATGAGATTCATTCATAAGGTCGCTTGGCAATCCATTAAAAATCAGTGCTTTGTAAGGCAAATGTTTTTCTTCCAGCTTCTGCTTTAACTTTTGGAAACACAAGACGCGAGCCGTTTCCTCGTGTGTCTTTGCCATGATCAAATCGCTCGAACATGTTTCGCAGTGGTGGAGGGCAAGAGTCAATTAACGACTTAAACACGTCGATCGATATCTTAGTAGGAGCTATGATCTTATGGGCTCTGTCTTGGATCAACTGCAACTTATTCTTGGCACTTTCTCCTACGCATAGATAAACTGGATAGCAGTAGAAGCACATGCCTTATCATAACACTATATATGTTTGCCTATTATGATTTTTGATGACATTGAGGGAAGCTTTGCTACCCTCATCTTGTGAAATGCTAGTGTGTATATCAAGAGTGTGTTGTAAAAAATGAGCGCATGCTCTTCGAATCCAAGATGGAGGGTTGCGTCACTCATTAAAAAACTTTCTTTTGCTCGTCTCCCCAAGGTTAGGCAAACACATCGGTGAACTTGTGGATACACTGAGCAAGGACCTAAGCGAGAACAACTTACCTTAAAAAGTATTTTAGTGTTACGGGAAATGAGGGCCAGTTTCCAACATTTCCAACTTTTGCCAGGGCAAAATTTTTTCTGCAGGGCAAATATGTAGCCACTCCTACCCCCTCAACAAAACGTTTGAAGTGACGCCCCTGACTAGGTACAAGTAACCCTAACTAAAAATAGCTTTTGGGGGCGTTTTTGAAATGGGGTCTGCATCTCATCTTATTCAGCATCATGTCAAATTATGTACTTTTACTAACTTTCATGCTTGTATCCTAAAATGCACAATTCAACTTCTAAACGACGGCACTACAAAATTTGCTGCCATTAAGCATAAGGCGCTCTTGTTTTTCTTTTGTCTTTTCAGCATGGGGAAACTTCTTTCATCAGCGGCAACTCCGCATGGCAAATCGCATTCATTGTGCAGTCATTGCATTGGAGAATGTTCAGCCAGGGTCACTGAGAGGTTTCAGAAGCCCTGGGGCAAAACCGGAAGACGAGGCCCAGACCCCCTGAGAGCGGAACCAGAAGAACATTTCTGCCACCACGCCCAGAATAAGCTTAAGATGCATTTTAAAAAATTTTTCAATCATTTCTTACAATCGCTTACAAGGAAGATTTACTACATTTACGCATACTTTTGCTACTGTTGATAATTTCTATTCTTTGAATGGAATTCAATACTTTATAAGATCCCCTAGACGTCGAGGCTTTTGGAAAATTTGCCCCCTTGCCTTGCTCTCTTTTTGGTTGCCCTTGTTGCAGCTATGTCTCCTTTGACAATTTAAGATAGTAAGCCTAATGGATGGAACAAAACACATTAGCTGACATCCAATAGAGTTCCCAATTATTGATAATTTGTCGATTTACCAATAGTCTTAAAGAGTCTTCACTATACTTAAAAACAGTCAACATTATTCTTAAATTGTCAGACTATTGTCAAGGCCTTAAAAGGGGAGATGACATTAACTCAAATAACCAAAGCAAAGTATTTAGAAATTGTTAAATGTTCCATTCTGCCTTCAGATGTCAGGGCAAGTTGGATATATATAGTGAGTCTGGTACCCAGGGTAATGCAAAATTGACCTAGTCTTCAAAATAAATCTTTGCAGCTAAAAAATTGAAAGTGTTAAAAAAATATCTTCAAAAAGAAGCCAAAGGACCCCGTACTCGGGTAAAAAAGGGAATTCATTCTTTTGGAACTGTGGTGATCATTTGGCACTTTTTTTGGGAATCTAGGGACACCGGATGACATTTTTATCTTTGCTTTGTTCAACTTATTCTTTGGAAACAACTGAACAAATGTGTATCAAAACCAGGGCCGTTGTGGCTCCTAGAAGAGGGCCGGGAAAAAATAACTACAAATGGGCACATACTTTGCATGAAAGCCATATTTGGGTATTGGTGCAAGCAACAAGGCAGTTGGGTAAAATGACATAAATTGTGATAACACAGTAACAGAGATGGCCCAAATTGAAACTGGCTGGGGGGGGGGGGTGGAGTAGAGCTAAGAATCCAGTTTAGTGATACCATGGTTGGGTCCGACGTGAAATAAAATTTTTAAAATTAAAGCCTTCTAAATGGCTAAAAATGCATCTCCTAGACTAAAATTTAACTTTAAAAAGAGGCTTTTCTGGTAGTTTGATACTTAATATTCGGCATTTTTTGCAAAAGCCTCCCCTAGCCCCCCCCCCCTGCACCACGGTCCCTGTTAAGATGTTCTCAAGAAGAAATCAAAATGAATGCTACAGATTGACTGGGAATTTTGCATAACCACTAGCAACCAGCCTAACCGAAATTTTGAAGGTTTAAGCCATAAGAGTAAAGACCACTGGTCATTTTAAGCCTCGGGAACATTCTGGCAGAAGACGGTAAGTCACGTGCACGTTGCAAACCCTTTCTGATGATTTGAAATATTCGAAAGTCAATATTTCGCTGACCGTGCATTTTTCATGCTTCCAGAAACGCGACTTCCGGTAAATTAACAGAATGTTTCCAAGGTTTACAAAGATCAGTGGCCCTTAAACTTTAAACTTCAAACTTTGATTCAAACTTTCATCGAGTTTGAAAAAACAGTTGGAATGGGCCACATTCTCTTTATGGTTTCGTGTTCGTGGCTTTTTATAATATTTACTTCAGATTGGTCTAATATAGTTATTTCGTTTTGCGTCAAAATTCGTAACTTATATATAGATATATCTCTTTTAGCATTGTTTATTGGCAGCATACCGAATTCAAAGATATGGCCAGAAACAAAATTTTCAAGATAAGAATAACTTTGCAGGGAACGTGTTACTGTGATACATGATTACTACAAAGGAATCCTGAAACACCTCGTTCGCACGAAATCAGCCTCGCTCTGACGGCTTTCATGGCGCGAAAATCGGGGAAGAAAACGAGAACGTGAATAATGTTGTGATTGGTACGAATCATTCAAATCTAATGTTAATTTTGTGTATATGTTATAACATGTATATTTTGTGCATTATTTATGCTGGTAGCTTTAGCTATCGTCACCGCCGAAAGAGGGTTTGCAGCAAGCCCGTAGCAAGGCCTGTGGAGTAGGGATGGCAAACACAGTTTTTGTAGGGGTGGCGATGGGGGCGGTGGGTAGAGTTAGTGGAAACAAACACTGACGCTGACAATATCTCTGTCGGTACTGACAAAATTATAAAAGTGCTTTGGAACAAAGGCCCTACTTCGCTGAATGTTGCTGACCACAGATTGGGTGTATAGATACTATAGCACATTGTCCACAAGGTTTCTTGTTCACATGAAAAGCGCCCAAGTAGCGCCAAGTGTTTGCTTGGCAGCGAACATTTTTTTGAGCGCCAGGCACAATCTTAAGTGATAATAAGGGTAATAAGAGACCCTAATAAGCAATTTTCCTTCCACAAGTATTAGCTTGAATCAAATTGTCAAGGCAATCCAATGACAACGAAGAAAACCCCCATTAAATAATGTAGAGACAAATTCTAGGGGTGGCAAACAGCTGGTATTCTCTTGCTCCAGGGGTGGCATTGCCACCCCATGTCACTCCCTGGCTACGGGCCTGGTTTGCAGAGTGTGGCTGATTTTGATTAGTTCTTGGCTACGCCTTAAATTGAAAAAAGGGGGAATTAAATCTCTAATTGTTTCTAAAGCAACTAGTCTTTTAGTCACAAACTCAATATCGTGTTTACTTGCCAAAATTGTATAGACTCGGCTGGAAACTCTTGAAGATTATGTGCATTTGTAAAATTAGGATACCAGGAATAAGAAGTTCTGGATTTTTTCAATAAGTTTTAAGCAGATTTTTAGTTAGCCAATTAGATTGCCAGTCTATTTGTGCCAAAATAGATCAAGAAATGTATATGAAATAGTGCTGATACTGTATTCAGAATCATATATATATACCATAGAACTTCCACACCAAATATTTTAGCAAAAATTGGACATGAAAAAAATCAGGGTACTTTAGAGCACTTCTTGCAGTCATTTTATGTATCATTCAAACTGATTTTCTAGGCATACCTTTACAATGTTTGATTAATTTCATTTTTATAATGGATTTCATTTGTTTTTGTGGCCCTTTGACAATAAAGCTCTGAAGGAATTTTTGCTTTTGTTTGCTGAAAATTCCTGAGTTTCAACCAGGGTATAGAGGACTTTTTCAAAAGGACATTCAAATCTACAAAAGACATTGTTTGTGTGTATTGATATTATTTGGGTTTAAAACCTGAGTAATGGACAGTTGGGGTTAATCAAGCCCCCTAAAAGTGTCAATAACACAGTTTAAAATATCAGAGAAAAGAGGGGGAAAAGTTAGGACAAAATTAAAATGTATTTCTTTCAGCTTTAAATATCAAAATATGTGTATTGGTTTTTCTTTAACAATTTAAAATCATTTCCATTGCTAGGACCAGCTTGGATACATGGAGCAAGTTCTTAAGAACACTGTCTCATTTATAGAAGTTCTAGGGATGTCAAGGACTAGCCATCTGCAAGAGTGGGATACTCAAGCTTTGTCAAGAGCATTTCAATGGGCAGACTATTTTGAAAATGTATTCTCATACCTAAAATTATCATTGCTTTCAATTTGAGATAATTTCTAACTGATGACACTATTGAGTAATGTTTCTTCCAGAAAATAATAATGCTGAAGTTTTTATTTGGTTTAGTTAAGCATTGATATTTTTGCTTTTACATAACATGTAGCAAAGATATATTTAATTTGGAGTTTTCTTAGCTTTATATATTGCCTCACACATCTAAAAACCATAAAACAGATCATTAGAAGGTTGGAAACCAAAATTTCCATATCAAATACAACTGCGTTTATCTTGAGGGACCTGGGTAGATAGAGAGATGCTTACGATCTGTTTCCCAATAGTTCAAATCTTGGAGATTATATTTTTAGAAAATGTAAGATAATCTCTGCAATAAACTAATAAGAAATAAAAGTTTGTTTGGCTATTAACTGAGCAAGTACTACACAAATGTTTTGCTGGAGCTGAGCCTTGCAGCACTGTCTCTGCAGAGAATATCTCTTCAAATTTCCTTAAGGTTGAACCTTACTACTTTTAATTCTTTCTAGGTTTATGAGAAATTTTTGTCAAGACCAAAATACAAAGAGCAGCTTTGCTTTGAGCTAGAAAAACAAAGTTTACAATTGGCATCAAGACTAGGCTGCAGGGTGTTGAGATTTGAAGATCTTAAGCAGGCCAGACAGATGCTTGCGCGTAGCATCCTCCAGAATATTTGGTGCAGTGCTGAGATATATACTGAAACAATAAAGCAATACTACCTGAAATGCAGTATGGAACAAGCGCCTCTATTACTGTCTATTGACTTACAAAATATGATTAAGATGCAAGAGATATCAAAGAAAATTGTCGCAATTGGAAATGAAATTTTGAATGCTAAAGATATTGTTTATTTGGAGCATTTTGTCGAATGCAGTGGAGAGGCCAGTGAAAAAAGACAACAGGATCGTAATACCAACATTGAAGATGCAGCGAAATTTACAGATGCAAATACAAGCTTGTCAGTTGAAACAGGGGCACGTTTATTAAAAAACATGATTCTGAGTAAATCAAAAAGGAAAGAAAGCAAACGTAAGTAATCAAATGACCGTGAAGCTGTTGAGGTGTTTCAGCCTAGTCTTATTAACCTTTTGCTGGTTCATGCAGATACAATCTTAAAGACTTCTTAATCCAGGGAAGAACTTTCTTTTAATCTGAGATGCAAGTTGACCTATAAAATTTGATGCGAGTCAAATAATCATTTTTCCCAACACAGGGTACCTAGCAGTGTAAAATGTCCAACAACCGGGCCAATAGTTATTTCAGGTAGTAATGTGGATCCACAACAAAACACTTTGCTTATTGGTTTTTTCTCATTTCAAGTACTGGAACCTTTTTTAAATGCGTTACATCCCGACGCATTTTGATGGTCATTTAAATGTATGAAAATAAAAAATTGTTAACATTATCTGGTAACCTTGAAAAATAATCAACTTAATCAGGTGATGAATTGTCAGAATATTTCAGGTAGACTTTTAAAAACAGCATCAAACATTTATGTCAATTAATCACTTCATTTATTTGCGGCCTTCAGTATGTTACTTATCGTTTTCCACGCTGTGTTTCCATTAAAGGAGAATGGATTGCAAAGTTAGATGCCATTGTATCAAGTGAAAAAGGCGTCGCCTTAATCATGCTCGCTGCTGTTCATCTTTCCTGCGATGGAGACGCTGAATCCATGTTATTGATTACCCAGTACATCAAAGGTAACATCAGCTTTATGGTTAGGAAGATCTATAACGTGCCTGCCAGTCATTTTATGAATGTTATTTCTACCTCAATAGAAGTGTTTGACGATATCTTCCATGTTATGCTACACTGATCCGCATGTGGAGCTTCTTATTAGGAAGTGTTTTCGTAGTGTAAAGGAGTGAATGTTTGTAAAAAGGACGCAGCTATTTAACATTTTAAGAATTTAAGCCTTCCGAAATGGATGAATAATTATGCAAAAAGATGTGATACATCAAATTGAGCTTATTATATAAATATTTCTATCTAGAGAAGGGCCAGAAATCGTATCACGGTTTCAATGTAAATGACTGTTTACTGGTCTGTCATAAAATGCTCGATACCGTATAGACAGAACTGTACACGCTATTTGATGTATGGAAAGAGGACAGTTCTTAGTTGCTACTCCGAGTTTCTTGCTTATGTAACGATATGCGTTCGGCAGAGAGATGCGAGAGAGATCGGCAACGTATTTCTTTGAGTGCTTCTCTTAATCAACTGAACTTTAATCAAGTACAAAACAACTTAAAAGGAAGCCTTTTTTACCGATCAACACAATAGGACGCCGATACAGATTAACACATATTACGACAATTATACATCACTATATTGGTACGACATGACTCGTCACTGTAAAGACACGAACATGTTACGATCAAATTCAATTCAATATAAAAACGGAAACACTCATGTTCATATCTTTTCACTTAATGCCAACATCAGTAAAATACTTTTTATTAAAATATTAATGATTTGAAAGTGCTACTTTGCCAAGTTAAGGTCATGTGTAACGCTGGCTTTTAGCAAATTAGTTCTGATCAATTTCTTAGGCCTGGTTCAAACGTCGCACTTCTCATGTGCCGAACCTAACTCTGTTTGGAGCGACACTTGAGCATGTTAAGCGCGACTCCCGTTTCAAACGTCGAACTTAATCATGTCGCGCCAAATGGGTTTTAGGATTGTTACATAAAGTATCTTGGTTAAGGCGCACAATCTCAAATATTTGTTTGAAACGCATGCGCCCTCCAAGAAAGAAATGAATTCTGTGAAGGAAAATAAATTAAATATAATTTTGCATTGAGTTCGGTACATGACAAGTTCGACGTTTGAAACCGTGCCGTGCTGGAGCCGTGCAGCTCGGCAAGCTCTGCCGATCCAAACTAGTCTGCCGCTCCTAACTAAATTTGCCGTACCAAATTGATTCAAACGTCGCGCCCCTCATGTACTTAATTCTCGAGTTAGGTTCGGCACATGAGAAGCGCGACGTTTGAACCAGGCCTTAGACTTTTACTTCAAGATACTTTTAACATGCGGAAATTTTCTATATCTTTTTTTAGAAAATCTATTCAAGAATGGGACGGGATGTTGGGAGAGATTTCTGTCACTTCCAGCGAAAGTAATCATTGAGATGGTTTTACATTCAAAAGAATTAACTCAGTTTTATTTGGAAACACTTTTTGCGTGTTGTGAATGTTACGATCAGCAAATCATCGAAGAAGAGGATTATTTGATTTCAAGGTAAATCAGTTAAAGTTTTTGGTACTTTGAAATCTGTTCCTCACAGAAGAAGCAAAACAAGATCATTTATGTTGACGAATAGGCGTTTGTTATTGCTGTTGTTGTTGTTGTTGTTGCTTTGTAGTGATTGTTCTGTTTATAACATGGTTTATAACGATGATAATCTTAGTGACAATGATGATATGACAAAGTAGCGTTTTCCTAGACATGGAAAGTCTATAATGTTTTTCACAACCCGTTTTGTTTTGGTGTTAAGGCCTTATGGTCGAAAAGGAAAGTAAATTTTAGTAGTTGCTAAATTTCTTCCCATTGATTGCTGTCAATGCTTCCAAATATTCCCTCATATTGAATGCAGTTGTTTGCATTCACCTAAAATGTCTACTTGCTCATTTTTTTCAGTTTGAAGTGCAAGAAAAGAAAAATCTCCAAGCAAGAACAACTAAAGGCTAATCTTCATAAGCATTTTGCGGAGCTTGGAAAAACAAATCAGAGAGACATTAGCCTTTTACTGAAATGTAAACAAAATTTTAGACAAAACAATGGAAAGAGCACTGCGGAGAACCAAGGTTGCTGGGAACAGCTTTGGGATCAATACGTGATAGCCGATTCGCCCGTTTTCTAGGTATTTTTCGCGGACATGCTCTCATTATCCAACAAACAAGGAAATATTTGTTTACTTAACAGATTCTTGTTATAAACTACATGCAATTTCCAAATTTGCCTGATGACTATTTTTAAAAATGTACGCTTTTTTCGCGGTTGATGACGCCATAAAACGGTCAGAATTATACTCATTGGTAGTTAAACCCTGCAAATAATGCATTTGAATAGAGCTACAAGTTTTCTAGATATTTATGTTTATATCTTGATTTTGCAAAATAAATTCGAAATACTTTGTAATTAACAATTAAGTATCAATCAATTTTGTTTGTAGCAACTAACGCAAATGAATACAACTAGAGTTCCTGTTGTCAATAGGGTTCAAGTGCTGGAATTTTAAAAACAGACATCTGTCCGAGGGACGAAACTTAACGATGAACTTAAACGTAAATGCAATTTAAACGCGAACTTGAAATCAGAGATATTCTGATTATTTGAAGAACTACCGGTTTTCATATCTTACGGAAGAATATTGCTGTTTAAAGAATTGTTCATTCCTTTTTCGAGAGTAAATTTCAAGAGAAAAAAATTCTTTTTCTTATGCTGAACTTGAATCTCTACATGCTACAGCGTTTGTGTTGTGCTTAATCTCTGTTATTCTCTCTTTTCTACATCGAATTTTCTTCTCGTATTTATTGGTGTGATGCGCATGTTTTGTCGCTGACTATTTTCCCTCTCTCCTTTGCTTTTCCTCAATGTCATCAACTTTTGACTCTACTCTGTTTCTAACTTATTTCTCCCTTGGTCTTGCTAATGCCTCAGAATTGATCAACAAAGCTGACTCGTAGCATTGATCAAACACTGGCTTTTCTTCCTCTTGCATTTTATATGCTGGCAGAGATTGGTATACAGCACTGCTCGTACGATATCTTTCGCATCTTGAGCATTAGCAGAGAGCTATCTTTCTGTGCCAAGGTACTCTATCAATTTGCAAGGGCTGTAATTTTTCGATGATTTTTCGATGAACCTTCATGATGATTTTCAAGATCTCACCCAGTCAGGATATCACACTCAGTCAGGACATGAATCCGAAGTTATGACTCACAAAACACTCTCCTGAGTAGTCAATAATCTTTTTGACAACAAAGTAATTCCAGGCTACAGGGGTATGTATCAAGCTAGGACGTAGAGCATCTGGTATCAGGGTGCTTGCCCTTCGGCAGCGCTTCGACCCTGTTTCCCTGAAAAATAAATCATCCTTCTTGGCAAGTAGATAGTTGAGAAGAAAATTGTAAATAGTAAATAGCTAAAAAAAATTTTGTCATAATTTGGATACCTTTTTATCATTTACATTTTTTGAACGTAAACGGTTACTTGATAAGACCACCCCACGTTTCGCTAAATAACTGGTGATAATTCTGATCATTCTGGTACTATGCGAGAGGTCAAGCGACAAAGCCTGAACAGTGTGGACGTACAGGCACACATCCAGCTGTAAATCTTCGAAAAAACTCAAGAACAACCAGCCTGAAATTAAATTTACTGGCTCTTATAAAAAAGAATGTAGTTCGAAGATAAATCATTTTCGATACGGTAGGCCTAAGAAAGTGTAAAGACAAATGACGTCATAAACTGATTTTCATCGAAGGAGAAAATGATGAAGAATAATGTCTTTTAGCTCCTATTTTTTCTGTCTTTTCAGGAAAATCGCATGAAGCATTTGGAGACCTTTTAAGACTAGCAGATTCATTGAAAATACATTCTAGCCGCATTTCCCTTGAAAAATGTTTGAAAATGCAAATTTTGTAGGTTTTTTCCGACAAGATGAAATGTTAAGAGTTCATAGGCCCCTTCAAAAATAGGAACCGGTTTTATAATGACAAAACTCGCTGATATAGAGCTAGTTATAAGTAATATTATGTTTTAACTGATATTAAAATATCTCATTTTGAAATGTCGCCTAAATTACAAGTTCAAAAAGCCATATAAAATTTGTAATTATTGAGAGCAACTTTTGTTAAACAAAAAATCATATTTTCGGCAAAATTTGTGGGCCTGACTTTTAATCCTGATGCCTTCTAAATATTTAGAATATTTGAGTCTTAATGTTCTTAAAAAAAATATATTCCTACCAATATTTGGGTATTGTACAAACTTATAGGTCACATCGGCTTAGAAGTTACAGTTTGCCCACTTGCAGACTATGTAGGCATCCCCCCATCTTTCTGTAACGTTTGAGCCGTGTTGAGCGGCAGTACTACTCAATTGAGCGGTAGTCAACTCTGTCGCTCATTGGTTGTCAACAAAATTTGTATGCATCCACCCAGGTTGGCTGTGATTTCTGATTATTTGATTGGTCTAGGCAGGCTGACTACCGCTCAGTTCAGCTCGAATCCGCTCTACACTGACTCAACGCCCCTAGCTAGCAAGCCATGATTTCATCATCCCCCATGCTACAATCTTTTTTTGGCCAAAAATGCTGAGACACTTACAAAAAATGAAGCTACTTACATTACAAATCGACCGCCCCCCTTCCCTTCAAATCAATGTTGTGATTGGATTGGTAACCGATATAGTGATCCCCACTTATTCCGTAACCATCTTAACCAACATTGACCCCAGGGGGAAGGGGAACCATTTTTGTTCAAATGTCTCAGCTATTTTTGGCCAGGAGTGTAGCTTTTTATTTGCAAGCACGTGACTCAGCCACTCGGCACGCAATTTCCATAGCAATAAGCATTTCTGTCTCAATGACAATGATTTATAGGATAAACATAAAAATGATCCTTGTTTTAATAATTTTTTGAATAATCTGACTACCGCTCGAGCGGTAATGGCGGTAGTCTGGATCCGCCACTGCTTACGAAATATTTTTCTTATACCCTACTGAGTTGTCAAGTGATGGCGTCACTACCTTATACCCCATATCCTGAAAGAGCACAATGAAATACCTCTAAATCTGCAAAATCAGTTAAAGGTATTACGAATTGGCTGAAATATGTCCAGATGAGCATAAGCTTTGGCCGAGTCTTTGGCACCTCTGTAATTTGGTCTCAGTTCATAACTTTGTGAACTGAGCCAAAATAATAGTAATCAATTAGCGAATTTCAAATCTTCTAAATTCGAAATTCGAAAATTCTAAAAATAGTTTTTTGTGACGTCATACTTGAGAACTCTACTCGCCTCGCCTCGTAGCATTTATTAGTCTCGTTTGCAACACGAATTCCGCGAAAAAGCCCTCGCCGACTTCCAAGTTAAGTAGTTTGTTTGGAGACTAGTGGAGGACGAAATAAAGTTGAAAAAGGAAGGCATACGAGAAAGACAATCGAGCAGCAAACTCAATCACAAGATATTCTTTGACAATTTTTCAAAACAACATTCGGTTGACTTTTGATTGACTTTTGGTGAATTCACTGAAACGCGAAGGACGTTTCTGACCTACTGTTGAAAGCGGGACCTTGTACTGTCAGCTAGAAACACTTTGTGTAGGGAATGTTTTAGGCATGCATACGTTGAAATACGTTGAGCCTGATTTTAACTGTCAAAATGAAGATAGATTCTCGGGATTGGCCCTTTTGTTGTTGGAGGTACAGATCGTATTCATGGCAAGTTCCTGTTTGTGCTACGTCATGATAATTTACATTGCATATGAACTGATAATAGAAACAGTGAAAGTCAAAAGAAGTCCTGCAAAAAAGAAGGGAGGTGAGGATTTTTTCAAATATACATGCTTTTTCGATTTTAGTGGGAGGCCACGTTTACGATTGAATTATATAGGCCTGACGATTCTGACGATTCGTTTTGACGATTCGCACGGAAACCGCTGTACGGAATCATCAATAACTTTAAGTTTAAAAGAGATATTAAGTTTATTTTTGTTTTAACAACATATTTAAAGATTGTTTAAGAGGAATTTAGCATTTGGAAACTGAGAATTTCGTAAGATGTATTAGTAAAGACTTACTAAAATTTGACAATTTTCCGACATTAATCGAAAACTGCGTATCGAAGTATCAAAAATAACTTTTCGCAAAATCACTACAGGATCTTCATTCGAGATTTATTGGAAAGGCAACTCGATATTCTAGAGGAATTTGCACGTTTCGACCTCAAATCTACAGTTTTCCCGTGAAAAAATGCCTGCTCATTTTGGCCTCGATCATAACAAAGTTAATTTGGGAAAGTCCCTCTTTCATTTTGCGTACTATATTTTTACTTCATACAGGTTTTAAGTTTCGAACACCAAATATTTTATTAGATATTGGCGATACACTTGTTCCGAACCCTTAAATATAACATATAGGGGGACAAAGTGCCCTTTTCATAGAATTGATATCGCCCTTTGCTATTGTTTAAGAGAGTCATATATATAATCCTGACTGTAGTGTCTTATAGATGACGAAATTTCTCAAACCATGTAAAAACATGTCTGATTACAGCAATTATCCATTAACAAGATGCCTGCACACGCTCAAAACAAAGCGACAGTTAACAAAAGAATAGACTATTCTTAAGCAAAAGCTGGGAATTTTTTTCTGATGCCTTTTTACTTGAGGCACCTTGCCCTTTGGTTATTACGGCCCTATATATCCCTGTTTATCTTTACCAAATTAATTTAATTTATTTTGCTAGATGATAGATCCCATGTCAAATAAATGTACATTTACTTGACCTGTTTTTTATTGTAAGTCAAGTTTCCTTTTAACATAATTTTTGTGTTAAGTTATTAAGCACATTTGCAACCCATTGGATGTACCTTATAGGAACGGAGGATTCAATATTGCACAACAAAGGCCTTAGAGAATGCTATTCAGCTCCAGATCTATGTACTATGAAGTTGGAGGAGAATTCCAAGCTTGAAACAAGCTTCACTACCAGTCCTCTGTTAATTGCCTGGCCAATTATCTCATCTAAAGGTGATTGTGAAGGTGAAGGAAAGGAAGGGTCTACAAATAAAGGGGAAGATACCACTTCTTCTACCCCAGAGCAAAGAGTAGAACTTTGTTCCAATGGTCATACTAGACTAGCTGCAAATGGAGCTGGAGATGGTGGTGATGATGATGATGATGAAAATAAGGACAGAAAAAACAGGAAGAAACCTTTGCCTCCTAGTGACTTCAAGCTAGAAGAAAAAGAACCAAAAAATGATGAAAGTAGTAGCCAGGAAAGAATGGAAGTTGATGAATTCCAGGGTTCCCAAGATGATCATATGGAATATAGTGACGGTGAAAAATCAGATTGGTCAATGAGATCATTGGAACAAAATGGAGATGTGCCATTAAATTTGCAACCTCAGGCAACTTTCCAATCTTTTTTAGATAATAAAGTTTCTTTTGAGACAAAGTATCATTACATTGATTTTTACAGTCCTAGCCATTGTATCTATGCAGCTTGATTCAGAAGTTTTCTTTAACTTGTTAGGGAAAGTAGAATTTTCTTGAACTTCAGTTTGTTTATGTTTTTGCAAAATCAGTGCACAAGTATCCTAATTATGTAGGTAACTTTCCCATGAAGAACTTGCTTTTTAAAATTAGTGTTCAAAGAACGCAATCACTCCTGTGGCCAAATGTAATGCTTTTACCAATGGTAGCAGACACATTCTAGCTGTTTGAGTTCTTTGAGCCATACTAGCTGCACAAAGAAACAATATTTAGTTTAGGAGTAAGAAGAGCCAAGGGACATTGAAATTAAAAATAATATCTAAAGCTTCATTAGAATTTGTCATATGTTTTATTTGTGTTTTGTTTGGTAAGCATGCCTTATCTTACAGCAAAGGGATTATTCAGTTCCTTTAATTTAGGTACCAATTATGTGGCAAAATCAAGAGCTACATATCATTAAGCTACTTGGTGAAGGATCTTTTGGCACTTGTGTTCAAGTTGAAGATAAAGCCAATGGAAGGGTCCATGCTTTAAAGCAGGTAAGAGTGGAAACACCAATAAAAAATTTCTCAAATTTCCTTGCCAAAAACCTTTGGATAGATCACTATTTGATTGTGACTTGATAAAATTTTCTACCAAATAACTTTATATGATGTTTTGGATTCTGAATGCTACTGTTTTTTCAAGTAAAATTTTTTTAATCAGATTGAGAACAAATTCAATGGTATAATTTTTTGGTAGGATTTTACTTACATCTCAGTTTTTGTTTGCCTTTTGAAAAACAAATAGTAATTTCTCAAAACTGCAATCCATCCTTCAAAAAAATAAAGTCTGGGTTCATTACAACTTATTTCAATATGATATCTCATGTTGTCAGCATGTATTGCTTACCAGCAAATTATAAGATTACAAGGAAAAGATCACATTGGTCTGTAAACCCAGAAAGTGTGAGAAATTATAATTTTCTAGAGAGCATATTGTCACATTGGTAGCTGTTCAACCAAAAATTGGGAATTACATTTAATAAGAATTTTGATACTGAATTCATTTTTCCATCCATTCTGCATGACTTCTTGTGCAAATATAATTTTTTGCATACCTTACAGTCCTTCACTTTTTTGAGTGTGACAATGCTATAAAATAATCAGAGTTAATGAATTTGATGATTTATTAGATGTGGTATATAAGGAAAGCATTGCAATTTTGATTTTTTTCTTTTTCTTTCAACAAGTTCAAAAATTGTTTCAAAGATGGATGTACAATACACTCCCCTCGCGATGTTACCCGGACAGTTCAAATATCAATTGAGCTTTTAGACAAAACAAATATAGGCTGGTGATAACGACTTTGTAAATTTATAATTATTTTTGAGAAACCCTTTCAAAATAAACCAGAACATTAAAATGCTGCAAAATTTCTGCGCTTTTTGTCCCTAATCATTTTGTGTTAAAATGAGAAACCTTTGCGCTACAAGCTTTATGTATAAACTGATGTTAAATATGCAGAGAATAGCAAAGTCAGGTGACTTGGACTCAGTCAAAATAGGCCAATAACACATGATAATTTTTTACAAACTGGTTCTTGAGGCACAAATATTTTCAAATAAAGAGAAATACAATGTGTTTACTCTCAGTTGGGAAAAATTTCTGCATGGAGATGCCACCAATCAATTATAAAACATGGATGACATTTTGTAACATTTATCAGATTAAAAACTTTCTTGCGAAGCAACAATACCATTCAGTGCAGGGCCATAAAGCCATATTATTCCTTTTACAGCAGCTGCAAGTCTTACTGAAATCATAGACTGAGATACAACTTTTTGTTTGGGGGGCCAGCCCTGGTAAAGTAGTATAAAAATAGCTATATTTTACAAAATAAAAGTATTTTGCTTATACTATTTAAGTTTTTTGGGGGGCAAGGCCCCCCTGGTCCCCTGGTCTTTCGGTCCATGGCTGAAATCGGTCTGTACGAGGGTACATTCACAATTCTTCTTGGTTCTTAGACTTCTTGGTTTGCATTTTTTTTGCATATCTCGAAAGTTGCAGTCTTTGTGCATCCAATGATACTAACAATATAATGATAGCTTCTTCCCATGACTGTGATAAAACATTATTTCTAGACACTGCTCAGTAGTCAATTCTTTAGTTTCAGTTGATGCCATCTTAAGAAAAAAAACCCTTTCAGAGTTTGCTTACATAAAGATAAGATTATTCTTTTTCAACGAACAAGTAGATTAAAGGCCAAAAACACTTCAAGAAAAAGTCTAGGAAATTTATGGAAACGTTTTCTTGAAAACTTGTAAACAAATTTCTCTAACAACAAATTTGCAACTGCGTTCGAAACTGTCAGGATACTTTTGCAAGGGCAGTGTATACCAGAAAGTTGGCAAAATGAGTGAAGTATTGCTGGATATAAAATAAAAGTTGGCTTATCAAGACAATCTTTTGAATTCTCTTGCATAAACCTTAACTGGTGCATTTTCTATAAAGGTATTTCAGTGATGTGGTTTGTTTTTGTTGCAGATAAAGAAAGAGGTGTTTGATATTGAAGAAGTAAAAGTTCTGCAAATTCTTCAAAGTTCACAACATGTGATTAGATATTTTGCTCTAATCTCAGATATAAACATGTTCTACTTACTGTTTGAGTTTGCCCAAGGTAACAATCCATCAATCTCTAACCTCCTTGAGTCTCAGTATTTGGCTTTGATTGTTGGCAATGCTAGTAGACATTATTTCTAAACACAACAACTGTATTGATTGATGTAAAAATTGTTGTTCTTAATAGATGACCACCTTCTCATCAACTAGAGGTGAAATATCATTGAGTTATTTCTGATCACTCAATAGTATAAACTTTCAAGTCTTTTTCAGCATGAATTACCATTTGGTTGTTGCATCTACTTGTGCATATCTTACTCCTATTAACTCAGGACATCAAAAAGATAATTAACGAAGGCATTCTGAATTTCGATTTTTTAAAATATCTTAGGCATTGTGCAAACAAGGGTGTTTGACATCCTTTTAACTGATGTTACTTTTGATAGCATATATATTTTTTGAAAAGAAGACAAAAACGTAAACATCTTCTAGTTTTATGACTACATTAACTGATATTTTCTTAATATGGTTTCAAAATATTATTACTATCTAGGAAATGGAATGCTTTAAAAAATTGCTTTCATTGTGTTCTTCATTACTGATAAAATGTCTCTAGAGTAAATAGAAGTAAATTTTAAGGACATTTAGATTTAACAAATTTATGCTGCACTCGTGTGCCTAGAAAATAATGATTGAAAACTGTGATGTTATTTGCAGGAGGAACTCTTAAAGAATTCCTTGGTGCTTTTAAGAAGAATTCATCATTGCATTGCAGTAGAGAAATTGTGAAATTTTTTTATGACATTATGCATGGTGTAGCTTATTGCCATCGCAAGAATATTATTCATGCTGACATCAAGAGTGAGTAGTTTTGCGACATATTTACTCAATATTCCACCTCATGCAAATTACGTTTGTATTCCCCTCTTGTAATATTGTGTCAAATACAATCATTTGTACACTGATTGGTTTATATGGGTTAAATAACCATTGAAAGTAACTAAATTTGTATAATTAATTTTCTTATTGATCTAAAATGAAGTTAAGAAAATGCTTTGATTATCTAAAATGATAAATTTCGTATTTTGTGAGCTCAGGTTTATCACTCAGACAGTTGATATGTTGAAAAATATATCAACAGTTTAAGGAGCCTTCTGTTAATAGATAGCAACTTTAAACTTTCCAATGGGCACTTCAAGACTCAAATTGTGAAATGAAAATTATTCACCTGCGAAGTGGTCTTCCTCTGCTTCTCTTTCCATTTACTTTTCCATTGACTGCTAAACACCCCAACCCTCCTTTCCTCATAACGTGTCCTAAAAACTCTAGCTGCCTCTTTTTCAATGTTCTAAGCAAAATTATCTATCCTCCAGCTTTCCAGGACTTCTTTGTTGCTGAAATGTTCTCTCCATTATATTTTAAGCATATTTTCCATGATCCACATTTTTATAGCCTGTAGTCACTCTGCCATTATATTGGAAATCTTCTAGCTCTCACTGCATAGTTCAGAACGGTATAGATGTAGCATTGTAGAACTCTTAATTTTTCCATTTCCATTTTCTTGTCTTTGAGTATTTTTCACATTTTCTGAAATGAATCCTTTGCTTTGCCAATTCTCCTTCTGTTTACTGCCTCACACTCCCAATCAACCATTATCATGCTTCCTTGGTAATCGAACTTCTTGACTTGCCTTTTATTGTTACCATTTACTTGCAATTCACATACTTGGTGTTGCTTTTCCTTTTTAATAGCCATACATTCTGTTTCTTGCAGTTTGTTTTGATTTCATTTGCCACTTTATTTTAGAGTGCCTGCAGTTTTTCATAATTGTGATGTTCCTTCCTTCAATTGTGATACCTTCTACTTTTCTTATTTCACAACTTTGCTTTACACCTCTTTCAATCTTTGTGTAATTACTGTGATCATTTCCTACTCAGATTGTTCCCAGTACAAGTTCCGAATTACTCACAGCTCTTTACCATCTAGGTCGAGTTGTTCCGAAAGATAAAAAATATTTTCATGTTTCACCCTATCGAATTCTTTTCTGTAACCTATGTAACAAATATACAGAGCAGTTTGCATTTCTAATGCTCTTTCTGCGTTGTGTGTTCCTGCATCTGGTAGAAAACTGCATTGTTCTTCGCCAATCTCCCGTCATATCCAATTCCCTGCCATATTCAAAATTATTCTGAACAGTATTTTCGTCGTGTGCCTCGTGAGGCTAATTGTCCGATAAAACTCGCAGTCAATGGCTCCTGGCTTTTTTGCTAGTGCAATGAGGATCGACTTTGTCAAGTCTCTAGTATCTCTCCGCTGTCGTTCATTTCTTTTACAGTTGTCTTAACGCTGTCTTCACCAAACTCTTTCAATGCTGATATATGCTCAAATGGTTTTTTTTCTGGTCCAGCGGCTTTGTTCCTTTTCATTTTTTTCAGAGCCCCCCTCATCTCCGATTTAAATATTTTGTGCCATCTATGTTTCTGTTGACAACAGGTTTTCCCTGTCTCATCATGTTGGACTACCATTCCAAAGAGCAGAATGAACGCTCGAAAAACGTAGAAATAACCAAAAAAAGATGGCAATCACCCCAATAGTTGAGAGTTTTAGGGTAATGGCGAACTTGGTTTAGAATTCATCATATATTTTGTATTACATAGTCCAAAGTTGCATTGTTTACGACCTGATTGGAGTGCATTTACTGTTACATATTTCGACGTTCAACGAACGTTTCCTTTCCTAAAAATGATTTAAATAATCCATGTCGAAAAGTAAAATTTACAATCAATAAGGTAGATAGCTGAACTGCTTATGCATCTCGGGGTAATTTTCTTACGCTTTAAAAGTTTTCAGACACCTTTTCATTGCAATACCCCGAGTTGCAGTCAGAATACTTTGATGTGAGAATCTTTTTTCTGGCTTAGTTATTGCACATTCTTTCAAGGCCATGACAAATCAAAGAAAAGATTTTTCCTCCAATTTTGTTATGATTATCATGACAAATTGAATGCGCACAAAGCTGTCTTTGGCACTTCTTCGTAGGGTCATACTATGCACACGTGGTTTTACATTCTCCCGGATTGATTAATTAAAATTGATGGAATAAGTAAAATAAAATTCAAGTTTTTCAAGTTTGACTCACTGATTCGAATATATGTTTAAAATTTGTTTCATTATGATCCATTCCTTGCAGGTGAAAACATCCTAATGGTTTCTCGAAATGGTGGAGGCTATCAGCCAGTGCTTGCGGATTTTGGCTTGGCAATCAATGCCACATCATCAGAATATAATCGAGGGGTATTGAAGCCACGAGGAACAATACGTTACAGAAGCCCGGAGGTCTGTGAATTTACTTACATCAATGTTGAATTTTTGCTGTATGCAGATAGTGTAGAATATAGTTGATAACGCGAGTGCTTGACATTTATCAATTCCTCCCGGCGTTTTGGGAGGCTTCAAACGGCCTCTTCGTTCTACTTTTACCTTCGATAGCTTTTACAAAAACTTTCACTGGTAAGCTAATAGTGAAGCTCTGTCTAGCCTCTTGTTTAAGCTGCCTTTGACTCATAGCTATTGGAATTTTTTGTGAGGGGCCATTTCCATTCTAGATGATCAAGAACGGGACAGTCAACTCCTTTACTTCTGATGTTTGGAGCTGTGGCTGCGTGCTTGTCGACATGGATACAGGGGACCCTCCTTGGAAGCAAGCAGAATCGATGGGCGAAGTTGCTTTCATTTATATGGTTAGGTCATTACCAATACATTTTGTAGCCAAATTAGAACTTTTTGAACATACTTATAATTTGCAATTATTTGAGATTTTTGTAATTTTTGAAAAGTGCATCTAAACGTAACGATTTTCACATTATCCGTACATTATGTTAGTATTTGATTACAAACGAGACTGCACTGATTGAAATCTATGGAGAGGTACAGTGTTAACAAGGCTGCAGTTGCATTCTCGTAACTTAATCGAATTGCTGTCAATTAAGATTTTCCAATATGCTTTTTCTGGGCTGCACCTGTTCTTCCAGAAAGATTTACTCGGGACATGGATGATTAATTTCGTGTGCTAATGAAAACGAACCAAAAACTTAAGCGCATGAAAATATATGACACCGCAGACCGAACGCTATAGTCATAACGCTATAGTCATAACGCTATTCCAAGGAATTTTACTTCGTTTTCATTGTTTTTGGACTGTGAGATAGATTACAGTCGCTATTGTGATTTAAAAGGCCACCTCACGGAAAGAGAGCAACTCAAAGTATAATATAGAACATGCAGGATTATTACATAAAACCGAAATGTGAGCAGAGGGCTTTGGGAAGTGCTAAGGTCAACAGGATAGATTCCAAAGTTGCCTTCCGCAGTTAAATTGTTTAGTTGAATGAATTGTGATGGTAGTGACGATCTCAGCCCAGTCACATTTCCATCAGTGAAACAAGAAACGGTGCTTCATTATACTACAATCCCGGACAAAAATGTTGAGACAAAATGCAATGTTTGTAATTTTCTACTTTACCTTGCCCCTGAAAATCCGAATCCCCCCTTTTCCCCCGAAGCAATATTGGATTAGTAGTTCTATCATTTTTACTTCAAAATCATGTATCCAACATTGAATAGGGGGAGGGGGAAAAACTATTTTTCAAAGGAAAGAGAAAACATAAAGTTTTCTTGGAAGTCTCAACTATTTTTGTCTGGCATTGTAGGTGTTTCCCTTCGGCTGTCGGATTCCAGCGAAACTTGAGCAGCATTGCCATCATCTTAGTAATAATAAGTAATATTAATCATACCCAATAAAACATTTCAAAGGTTTTTTCAAATTTTTCGATGATGCTTAACATTTCACTTTGCTTAAAGATTGGCACCGCAAAAAGCCCACCAATACCCGAAAACGGGTCGCCAAATCTCCTGTCACTCTATGAAGCGACGTTGAACTTGGACCCGTTTCAGAGACTGACTGCGCTCCAGATCCTTGATAAGGTAATTAATCATTTTTGTTTTCTAATTAATAAACATGAGGCTTTTTGCTTATCAATAGAATTTCCTGAGATATCTTTTCGATATTTTCGTATTTTGACTTATCATTTATATCTGGTCAACTATAATTTAGGAGTTACCGAATATAGTTAACTTATTAACTGACTCTTTTTTCAGATTACCACGTTTGAGCTACACTAGAAGACAGAAGACAATTTTCAGAACTGAAATTTTAAATTCTTAAGAAGATTCGCTCTGGTCGGTTATTTTCCCGCAACCTCTACTAATTAAGATTCGTTGTATTTAGCTTCTAATTTCGTACTTTCCAATGTGGTTTTTTGTCAACAAACATCGATTGGAATGAATAACTATTCAAGGTGTCATATTATAGAGTCTTAGAAATTGGAGTACGTTTCGGTACTAAATGATAAGTTATTTCGAATCAATCTCGTGGAACCTTGGACCCGTTCGCCGGCAACTTGAAAGATGATAGAAATGACGTCTTCTGGTCAGCTGGATTGCTTAATTGTAAACAAACGTTGCCCTTCCAGTTAAATATTCACCCCTGGCCTCCTATATCTTTTTCTTGGATACCGGTTTGCTACCATTTTGCTAAGTAGGTAGTTACTGAACACTTATTTTAATATACTGGAACAAATGAATGCGAGTGCCACGACCAGGTCAGGCATGTATTTTTCTCATGAAAATATTTATTTTTGGAAGGAAATAATATGATATTTTCTAGCCCGTTGATGTTGTCACATAAAAAATAACGAATTTTTAATTAATTTGGATATTCAAATTCTATTACTACATATTAAATTTGATTGAAAATTCATAGATGCCAAAGTAGTTATTGTAAAGTATTTCTTAAAGCAGTTAATTGTAATTCACGTGTTTCACGTATGATAAAATATATGCATACGTGTATACGAAAATCGCCATAGTTGACTTTTTTGCATCAATCTTGAAGTACACAGGCAATACTTGGTGTGTTAGGGTCAAATAGTTTTAGGGTAAAAAATTGGCTGCTAGAGAAAATTTCCTGAACACATTCGCTAATATGTTGGTTTATTATCAAAAGTTTCTGAGGACTGAGGAGTTTTAGGATTTAGTTTGACAGGGGAAAAAATTAACTTGCTACAGAGAATTAACTTGGAATACTCAGAATTGACTTTGTATATTAAGGAAGTGCGATAAATGATATTTGTTAATATTTTAAAACAATTAATGTCAAGTTTAATATCGCACTAAAAATCAGTTAAGATCCACTGCCGAACTAAATTAAACTGCATTACGTAATCAGTTAGTAATACTGTCGTACATTATTGCCGGCGAAGATTCCCTGGTAAAACAAAAGTCGACAGTCGTGTTTAATCAAAAGCACTTGTGGAGATCGCAGCCTGGGGCCTAGGCGCAGTCAGGTATTTTTCAAACAGTATCTAGAACAGACTTTGTGTCTTCAAGCTGCTTTGAAAATTTCTAAAAGGAAATGTAAAAAATTGGTCAGAATTTGCAAAGTAAATATTTTGTAGTAACATAAAGAAGTTGATACAACTAAAACACTGGGTAGACTTATTTCAGCATTTATTTTAGCATGTGAGCAGGAATGTCTGTATGTTTTTTGTAATCTTAGTCATATTTGTCAAATGTATATGTTCAGTATAGTCAACTTGTCTTACCAAACACTTTTACTTTATTCTCTGAAATTAAATGGACACCTTTTGAGAAGAACTGTGTCACTAAGTAAAGTCGTTAGAGTAAGCAGAGTTTTATCAGTGGTGGGCCACAATGGATCTTTCTGTGCACGACGAAAAGATACAAATGTTTGAAGAATAAATGACTGTGAAAAAGGTTAAAATTACAACCTTTAATTTAATACACAGCCTAAAACACAGCAAACAATACGTCAAAAAGATGGAATTGGTGATTTTCTGCCCAACTAAAAAGGCCAAGGTATCTGGCGAAAAAGCTCGAGCAAGCTCAGCCCATAATTACAACTCCTTTGCATTTTTAAATTCTGGTGCTCTTAAATGATACCACCACAAACAGTCTTCAAAACACTACACTTTAAGATGAAGCAATTTTGAAAATTCATATAGAATAAGAAGTTATCTGTTTGAATGCAGTTGACTGATGGTGGGAAGGGGGAGTTGTTTCCTTTCATAGTTGAAGACCCCAATTTTAACCATAAGTGTTGCCTTGGTTACCTAGCACGTGTTGTAAACATACCTGAAACTGATCAACAGTCATTTCAAAAGCTTTGCCAATAATTTCGCCGTTTTGGTTCAGAACTTTAATGAACATAGTTACGATTGGTGCGTTTAAACTCTTGCACATGGTCGAGCTGACAGCCATACTCAGCTTCCAGTCAAGACTTACCAGCTAAAAGCAAATTATACAATAAGTGCTGCGAATAGATTGACCTGTCACTTAGTATATGCATGTGTTCTGTTCCCTGAGAACAACATCTGAGAATATATGTCTGGAGTTGTCTTTGCAAAGCAAAGCTCTTCCTTTCAAGCTCTGCCTATCAAGCATAATAAACCATAATGAAAAAAATACATTTTTAATAAACTTATGTTGTTGCACTTTTTACAGAAAGAGGGATTTAAAAATATATACATAGATCTTTAAACCAAAACTACAAAAAGATTGAGGAAATTCTCAAAGCAAAATTTATATTTCAAAGTCATCATTCTTTTTGTAACACTGCACTTTTGTGTACAATGGTTAGCTAATCATGCTATTCAGTATTAGAAAAAAATTCACTTGAAACATGACATGGTTCTGTAACAGAGCTTCGTGTTACATCATCATGCAAAATTAATTGCTTATACTCACCTCACCAACATTCAAATGGTCTTTTATGTCATTTTCCATAAGAAATTTACCCTAAAATATAGATTTGTACCTGGTTTTTCAAAAATTAAGAAACAAACCACATTTGAGAAAGTAAAAAGACAACTCAAAAGCTTTTAGACAAATTTAAAGAACAGAAGAAAACAATATTTTCAAACGTTCGTGAGAAATTGATAACTGATTACCGGTTGAGAAAATGGTCTAGGAATATTTATAGATTTTATAGCTTAGGTATTTATGGGGGAACTCTGGTAAGTTGCACCCTGAGCAACTTGGACTTTTACTAAATCAGACTGATCTTCATTTTTTGGATATTTTCCTACATTATTCAAGTCAACATGCTTAGAACTCAAAATAAATCACATTTTTACTAAGGCAGACAATATCTTTACCCATCTTAACAGGGCTGAACAGTCAATACACTATTCCTCTTAGACACTCACCTTTTTATGGTGATAAGAAAACTTATACAACATTGTTGTACAACATTGAATCACAGCAGAAAATGGCTTAAAATGACACAATCACTCTTATCTAAACCTTCTACTAGCAGCGTTTGAACACCTAATTAACATTCACATGGAACGAAACCACAGGCAGAGATAAAAAGCCTACCTCCAATTTCCATGCTTCTGAAATAATTTTAATTTTATCATCTGCATAAAACATGTATTTTTGTAGGCTTGCAATTAGATCTTCAGTAGACATCTTATTTGCCACTGCGCATCTAGAAAAAGAATCAAGTTTATTCCAAAATAAAATCAAATATCGATTGGAAAATAGGTATCACTTAAAAAGTGAGTTATACTCTATATCTTGAAGCCAGAAAAAATAGGGAAACAGGAAAATAAATCTAGACTGGTTTGGCAGAATACAATATATGGTGTTAAGCAGAAGATGATCATCCACCTGATTGGAAGATCATCACAACAACTGCTTACCTATAATGAAAACAGATTGCATTTGCAGCTTTTTGGACTTCTGAAACAGTGATAGAAACATCTTGTGCTTGAAGTAGCTAAAATCAAAGGGCATCATTTCTTTGAAAAAATGCACATCCAAAAACTCAAAATGATAACCAGGATGACAGTTACAAAAGTTTAAATGATGATGGCATGGTAGTAAAGATTATGATGAAGATTTTGAAAGCTATGATGGTGATTATAAGAATTATAGTGGTGATATAATATAATAACTTTAAAACATACCTCATGGATCCTGGATGTCTGAACATCAGATTTTTTATACTGAATGAACATCAAAATATTCATGCACTAAAAAGAATGAAAGCTGGACAAATTTGTTGACAGAGATTCAGAATACAAACATAACAAAACTCCATTAAACATGAATGTCTTCTATACACTAAATGAAAGAATGAAAGTATTATAATACAAATTCTTAAGGAAAATACCTTAGTCTTTCTTTCAAATTCACCAGCTATACAAAAAAGTTATGACAGTCTTTGATGAGATCTCACACTTCTAGGGCTTTTAGTTTTTAGGTTTCAGGAATCAAATATAAATACTTTTAAAACGCATAAGTTTCAAACGTACTTAAAAAGATTAAATGTTTAGATCTCAGAAAATCTGCCTTTTTTTGGTGAAGTTTTAAAAAAGATGAATGAGACATTCACCCTAGCAAATCTGTCTACGAAAATGAATTTATAATTACTGAAATTTTTCAAAGTATAAATTATATAAATAAAGTATAAATATCCGAGAACAAATTTTAACTAACCAGCTCAGAAAGGATTGCGTTTGGTATGCAAGTAATCAGATCTCCTGCAGAGGCCAGGTCTATAATGAAATTAACTATTATTAAATCACCACTATGACTTCCATTGAACTTCATTGCAATGGCAATAGAGAAAGAATTTCTCACACTGCACACATCCCCCTCAACCCTTAAACAAAACCAACCTGACCATATAGCCGGTGGTCACAGAAAATTTTCATGTATAAAGCTCTTCAAGAATTTTCTTTTAAAATTTCACTTTTGCAAAGAGAATCTTTGTTTCTTTCATGGTCATCAAAAGGGAAAACATGAAGACTAAAGCAATTCATCTTATGATTGTGCCTTGTAAGTTAAAATGGTTTTCCTAACTAAGAACCCTTGAGAATATATTTGAAAATTCTATCTTGATAAAGTTACAATTTTTCATCTGACTAGAAAATCTTTGTTGTAACTTGCAGAGTTCTCGAAAAATTATACAAGTTATTGCCATGTTGATGAATTCAAGGTCCTCACAGCATACTGCATATTACAAAAATTAAAATCATGATTCTCTTATGCTTTTTGAAACTGGTTTCTTCTCAGGGTTCTGACCTACATCTTCATAAAATAGTTTGCTGAAAACTTCCATGGATTCAAGATCTTCATATGATTGAACATTTTGGGCTCACTTTTGAATGTTGTTTATTTCAATGCCTGCCCATGTATGATTTCGCCCAAGACGCACACCCGAAAATGTCCCTGCACACCTGGAAAAGGGTGTAGCACATTGAAATCTGGGTGTGGTGTGGGTGTGCCTTACTGCTTAGGGAAAATGAAGAATTTAAGTTTATTCTGGATTGACATAAATCTCACATTGATTTGATAGTAAAATAACTTTCAGCCATGCACATTATCTTCCTTTGTGCATATACCTTTAAAAGGAAAATCATGCACATAATCGCTTATATTCAATTGAGAACTTGATTGATTTTCTTAGGATCTTAAAAAGTGTTTCAGGTTGTACTGAGTTTCAAAACATGCACATGTTAACCTTCTCGCCCATTGTTGTGTTTGTTTGTACATGTTTGTACATTACCTCTTCACGTTACTTTTAAAAAAGCCATTTCTATATGTTGGTAAAAAAATGTTGGGGCTCCCCGATGTCAAAGTCCTAACTACCCCCATTTTACATAGTTCTGTGTACTATTGTGCATGATTGAGGTGCACACTTGCAAATTTGAAATTTCGCTGTTGCACACCAGAGATCTCATTGGAAACTGCAGTACTCTGCAGCCCAGATTTTCCCAATGCATCACTGTGACCAAAAACATATTATCAGCTGCAACCTATGAGCAGGAACATTTTAGCTGCAAGCAAGGATGCCCAAATATACATTACCTTAGTATATTATACAAGACTTCATTGATATTTGGGTCACAAGAGGTCCAAGGAGCAGCACATAAAGTCAAGCATAACTGCAAAAGCCTATGCAAGTTTTCCAGCCTGGATGCCTGCCATCATGCAAAGATAACAGCTACCCCCGATTGATCTGCCTTTGTATTTTTTAATTATGTTCTAGTAAATTCTGGTTGTAAAAATTCTCACCAGTCAAGTGACTAGCAGTGGCGAAGCCAAAGGTCCTGCTGGTCCTGCTGAGCAGGACCAAGAATTTCCAAAGATAAGATTTGCTGTAAACAATAAACAATTTCTTCTTTGCAAAAAGGAAGTTTCAAATTCTTTTTGATAAACAGTCCCCAGTTCCGCCAGCTGATACAGGCATCCCGTGCTAATCTCAAGGTCCTGTTCTCTTTTACGGCAGCCCTGTATTTTGGTCCTGCTCATAATTATGATACCCTATGTTTGGGAACAGGACTATTTAAAAGACTGGTGACACATTGCGGTTTTTGGAACCTTGACCTGGAAACCCCTTCTTCTTTTATCCTGTAATAGTGCTAGTTTGGACTTTGTTTATTTTGTTATTTGTAGTCATAGTAATTTGTGGCCTTTCACACATTCACACATTTCACAAATTTGTCGCCGTTTTGTTTGGTCTTTAAAGATATTTCTTTAAAGTTTGATTAAATATTTACTTCTTTTTGTATCAAATGACATAGTCTGATAATCATTTCTAGCACCTTTCACTTGTGTAAAAAAAATTTCAAAGATATGTTAGAAATCGCATTTTCTAGTCTTATGAGTAACCGACTCTTTTGATTATTTGTTACCCCAACACCCCCTAATTTGACCCCTGACTGTAAGTTGTGTTATATGTATGTTTTAAGCTTGTTTAGTTGCCTGCAAAGTACAAGTTTAGCAAAACAAAGGTAAATATTTTATCTGGCGCTTTTGATTCCCATCCAAGGTGCCAAATGAACACAACAATTACAAAGAGAACAAAACCCTAATTTTACCACATCGTAGGGATAACTCTTGGAATTTCCCCAAACATGTTCTTGACACATTTCTAATTAGATTAATCTAAATTATCATTATCTACTTGGATTGGCTTCGAAGCGACGGTCGATTTCGTACGTGAGTCGATCTAACTTGTCCTGACACCCCCATGAAAAATTATTTTATTTGGGACCCTGTGCTCACGTGGGGGTCAGTCTATCCTTTACATAAAAAATATAAGAGCATTCCCAGACTGCCAATCTATCAGGTATAGACAATGATGTTAGTCATGAATGGCGCTATTTTGCTGCTGGCCCCTCCTGGCGAAAAAGGCCAGACCACCACTGCTTACATGTTGTAACAACGTCCTTACATGTAACATCAATGCAGGGCTGAATTTACATATGTTGGGGCCTCGGGCCCAAGTCGATTGGGGCCCCTTGAATATCCACAGGAGGAGCCTCCGTATGGCAATGGCAAACTGAGCAAAAAACTAAGCGCAGTCATTACATTGGGGAAAGCTCCAGCCAGGGCTACCGAAAGTTTAAATATGAGGCTCCCTGCGAGCAGAGGGTGTTGAACATTCTTGATCCCAATACTTGTATCATAAAAAGAGAAAGAATAAGCAGCTAATGGTTTCACATTCACACTAAGCTTGCAATTAAGTGACTGAATCATACACAAGATAAAAACTCACCGTCCGGCGGCCTTAGGTGCGCCATTTTTTCCTTCCTTGATGTTTGCAACCTCACTATCAAAACGAGGAAATTGAGGTGATCATGCTTGACTTTTACTAGACTTTTACCATAGGCTTTTGCCATCTTTATATTTGAAATTTGGCATGTAAGAACTGCACGATGTGGTTTTAAAACATTTGATTCAAGGCTTGTTTGAGACAATCCAAGACTAACGAGAAATGATAAAGCGATTTTATCCAAATATTTCAGGAAATACGAGTAAGTATGGTTTGCATCTCAGGCTTAGATAGATTTCTGCTGCAGAATGGGGCTGGATATTGCTGGATATTACACAATTACTTAGACTTAATGACAAACGAGAGAGTGTTCGTCGAGCTTAAGAGCAATATCTCATTGGCCTGGCCAACCCCTCACCCCAAACGGCATGAGCAGAACCACCGACCGTAAACTTTACAATACAACATATATCCTATCACGCCGTCCTCATGTTTTCCCTACCATTGCAAACATTATCACCACCATTACTATTATCAACATTCCATTATTCTCAGTTCCATCATAATTATTATTGTTATTTCTGTTTTTATATTCATATTCATAGTCATCATTATCATCCCATTACACCAATCTCTACACCACCACCCTTCCCTCTACACCACCACCCTTCCCTTTACACCACCACTTTTCCCTTTTCACCACTACCCTTCCCTTTACACCACTATCCTTCCCTTTACACCACTACCCTTCCCTTTACACCACCACCCTTCCCTTTACACCACCACCCTTCCCTTTACACCACCACCCTTTCCTTTACACCACTACCCTTCCCTTTACACCACCACCCTTCCCTTCACACCACCACCCTTTCCTTTACACCACTACCCTTCCCTTTACACCACCACCCTTCCCTCCCTTTTCTCCACTGCGCTCCATTCATACCATGCAACATCAACAAATCTGGCATCACCATCTCACATTTCAAATTTTTTCCTCATTTGTTTCATTTTCTCTGATGAAGTCCTGTATGCCAGGGGAAATATTAGTATTTGTTTAATTTAATTTATTTTCAAAATAATATTTTATAACATTGAATTCTGGTCACCATTTTGCTTTGTTCCTGAATTTTATCCTTATATTTATATTATCCTCATTGCAAGATTCACAGAACCTGGTGGACAGCCTACCCTGCTCTTCTTCCTTCTCACACAGTATATTGGATATTTGATTTGATATTTTGAAATGACGTATTATGGCATAAGGCTAAAGTCGTTGATCTTAAGAATCTCCAGCCTGGGTTTTCTGCCAATGACCAAAGCCAAGGCTGGTCAAGAGTAAAGTTGTGAATTGCTAAGAAGATCCAAAAGTCGCAATAGTTTGGACCTGCCTATTATTGCCCGCAACTTGCGCGCGATAGCACGCAAGTGAATGGCTTATAGTCTACCCCACTTATAAGTAGCATATGGAAGCTTCAGTTCATGTTGTCAGCACTATGTCAGCAGATTTTGTCACTTTTCTGCTGCCATGACAACTGTCAATCAATTTCATTGTCAATCAATCGGCTTTGTCGAGGAGGTTGTTAACCACCACCACTTTGTGCAGAAGGCAATTATCTTCGGAGCGTTGCTCTGCCAAGACTCTGTTAAAAGCCTTCGGTTTTTTTTGGCACCAAAACGGTGCTGCATCACAGCTCGGTTCTCCGCAATGGATGGAAGTTTTGATTCGAAGTTTTGGGAATCAAAACCAGTCGAATGCCAAACCTTTCTTCCAAAAACTCGAGACCGTACGAGCAAAAGTTATGATTGTCGTGATTATCGCCTGTACATCGCTGTATCGCAATCGATTTTAGCTGTACCCGTTCTATCACGTGTCCATTTTCATACGTCTTTGTTTACTTCAAGAAAACGAAAAATGAATGTCAAACCCTCGAAAAACTTCATGATTTTCAAAAGGGTGTTGGACTTAAATCAAAAGCAAACTGAACACCAAAAATTCTTGATAAAAAGAATAGTTTAGCATCAACTACATAGCTGTTTTTATAATATTGTGAAAACCCAAGATGGTGTCTTCTTCGAATGTCCTGACCTAAATTTTCAAAACAATCATTTTCAAGGAACTAATTGTTTGCAGGCAGTACTAGCAAGAGCTATTTCTAGTTTAGGTTATTGTCTGTAACAAAAAAGGTTTTCATAGGGTGCCAGAAAGAAACTTGAGACTACAAGCTTGGATATTTGAAACTTCTTGAAACTGTGGGCATTTGCAAGTTTCCTAATCTTAAATTTCAAATATATGCTTTTGCAAAAAAAGCTTTGCCCAAGATTAAGGAACCCTTTAAGGAACCCATGATTATAAGGTCGAGAATTTACTCCATAGAGCTTGTTCTATGGACTGAATTGTGTTAGAATCAACTTGCCAAGTGAACTTGTAGGGGGGTTACACTTCAGTCCCACATCTCAACATTGAAGACAAAGAGACCTATACAACCACTACATGCAGACATGAACAGCTTTGGGTGGTATCAAAGGTATTAGTCTAATACCATTTTATTTTCAAAGAAAGAGGACTTTGTTTTTCTAAGATCCTTAAAAAATCTATTTTGCTTTTTGTACGTTGCCACTCTTTTACAACAATTTTATTGATGCAACAAGCTCTATTCATATAGCCAAGCTATTTTTGCTTTTCTGTTTGTTGAATGAAAGCTTTCCTTATCCTCATTGAAATCTTTGAAAAGTGATTGTTTAATCCATGCCGTAATCAACAGCCCCAACCATGGTATTAGCCTCCGAAAACTAATAACACTGCCCAAAAATTCCTTTGTCTGTTGTGCCCTGTGTGACGTAAAATTCTTCTGTTGAGCTATGATAGAAGAATGGGTGAACAGCAATAAGGTATTAGTTATTCATTTCCAATACTACGACAGCCACTGTCATGGAAGGGATGGTGGACAGAGGCTAAGCTTATAGAAAAAACATTGCTGGTAATTAACTTGTAAATTTGCAAAATGTAGCTGTACTTTTGCTAGCCATGCCTCTGGATGGATAATTTGATAGACAAAATTTAGACACTGAATATAAAGAGAAAAAGCAGAAGTCATGAAATAATTTGTTTAAACTAAAGGCCGTTGTAACAGTTGCTTTGTATGAAGTTTTGATTCTCTATGTTATGCAGGAAATTAAGCATCAAAAAATACTCTGTAAAGTCACAGGCAATATTCCTCATTTTTTTTATTCTTACTTTCTCTAATCAGATGATACATCTTATGTTTTTGTGCTGCATATCTCTATAGTATCATAATAGAATGTTACTCACAGGCCAAAAGCCTCATAGTATTAGAATTAATGGGCTAATATCTTGGGGACCCATTACTGGGCAGCAAACCGTTGTATCAAAATACAAGTTTGCTTGCCTAGTTTGCTGCACCCATAGTCCATTTGTATTTCGTAAGACCTATCCTCCACCCAAAACTAGTTGGATGACCTACACTACCACAGGGTCATCAGTGTCTGGGGGGCAGGAGAAAACAGGGGCCAATGCCTTCAATTGATTTTGTAAGATACAGTATTGCCAAAAGCTATTCTAAACCATCATATTGAAAAGTTCACTCCCCCCCTAAATTAAAACATATAAAGATAATTAGCTCCACCCCTGTTAGATATTTTGAAGATCTTGAGTGGAGGCCTTCTTATGTCTTAATTTCAGGCTAATATCAATAATTTTCTACTCCCATTACAGTTGGTTCAATATTGCTTGAACCCATTTAGCACAAATTCTTTTTGTCTCTTTTTCTCTCTCCCCTACACTGTTCTATGGAATTTGTGAAGAACAATTTAATGCAATTATTTTTTCTCATTAGTTATCCTAATGAAATTATTTAGATAAGATTATCAGTGTTTGATGAACAGACGAAGCTGATTATTAACAATACTGGGAATTTCTAAGCAATCCATACAAACCAAGTTATATTGCAAAAAAAGTTTATCTTCAAGGACCTGTGAACAAATTAAAGGCCAAAGCTTGCCTGAAAAGAAGGAGTAGGGCTGAATTCATATTTGTTTTCTTTAAATTTAACAGGTTTCTGATATCTGATGTTCACCTGATCAACTTGGCAGCATGGTTGTCAGAAATGATCCTGGTGATCTTGAGCTTTCTTGCCCAGTGAAAGCCATTGAAGTGAGTTTCTTTAATCATAGTAAAGAACTGTTGTTTATATGGACTAAAAGAACACTTTTTCTTTATAAATATTTCCTTTAAAAAGTTTGATCATATTTGCATAAGCTTTAGAGTAGGTTCATTTAAGCTATGTAATATGGAATAAGTTTTGCTAAACTGAGCTTTTCTCTGCTTTAGGAGTTCTGTAAATTTTCTTTTGACAAAATCCTTGCATTCCTGCCTATCTTGTATTTTTATTTTTCCATTTCCAGGTGTTCATTTGTGCTTTATTCTGCAAGTTGTATATTTTTATAGCTCTTTGTTTAGCTTCATCTAAAGATTAATGGAACATATTTTCCTCTAAATCCTCCTGTATTCCTTTCTATTAAGTCAATTATTGCTTTCATAATCTGACAAATGTGTTTTTCCAAGAGCAAAACTGTGGAGTATTGACCATATTTATAGTCTTGACTCAAGTATTTTTTGCAGAAGTTATCTCAGAGACACCCCTGCCCCATTTTACTGCCTTCATGCCACTGTGCTGTCTGCGAGAACAATTGAATTTGTATTTTTTTACATTTTTACATAATTTTAAAAGTTTTCCTTTTTCAGTATTTACAAAGGTAAAAATGTATTACATGTATTGTAAGATGTAAATTAGAATAATATGTTTATTTGATTTGGAAGGTCACCATTTCAGGACTTTCACAATCCCCGTAATGATTTGACCCACAAGTGAATCCTCTGATCTCATTAGGATATGTTTCTAAAGGGTGTTGTTAAGCATTTTTAATGGTTAAGACCTATACAAATTTTTTTACATCTTTTTTACATCATTTTTACATCATTGGAAACAATTATAATGAAAATCTTCAATGGAATACTTGTCTGTTTGTCTATTTGTCTGGATTTCACCAAGTTGTATGTATACATTAATTCTAAACATAGATGTATTGGTGGAAAACATTTTTAGTTTCAAATTGTGTTAACTCATACACACACTTAGCTAACTTTGTGCACATAGAAATAGTCACATAAAGGGAGAGCTTAGGTTTGCTTGTTTTTGTCATTGCTTTGTTATGTAAAAGAGTTTTTGATTAAGAGCTCTGCCTCTTTTTGATATTCTAGGACAAATGGAAGCTTGTTCCTGCTTTTCTCCAAGTATGTTTATGGTTATTTTGTTGTCCTAATGGGCTCTCGTAGAGCTTTTATGATGTTGCAGAGCAGCTTGGATGCAACAAGAAACCAAGATTAACTTTTTGCCATAATTTTGACAGTGAAGAAAGGAACCATTGTAGAGTACTCCCACCTTTGTTTTGAGTAGTTACAATTCACTGTTGGTATTCAAACACTAGATACTTTAATAAAGCTTCATTTAACAAGTATAAATTTTGTCTTTTAGGTCAAAGGCCTTGTCAAACAGCACATCGATTCCTTCAACTACTTCATTAATACAGAGGTAACACTACTTTACAAATTTTAAGCTTTTAAAGTTCCTTACATGATCCCTCAGTAGGATAGATTTTGATAATTTTCAGTTGCTTTGACAAAAGTTAAATTGTGTTGGATTGTAGCACTTCTATAAACTATTTGTATGCTTTCCTCAAACAAAAAACTAATTCTTTTATGTTTATTTGAGATCAAACAAATTATGCAAGCCAATGGCAAAGTTACCACAGAAGCAGACCCTGTTTGGTATCTCAAGTATGTTTTGAACGGTATTCCATCATCTGCTCAACTAGAATTGGCTCTTTTCGCCTTTGTGTATTTTTTGCTGTCATGTCAAAAGGAATGTTAATCAACCTCCCAGGTGCTAACTTTTTTAAAAATCAACCCATGGCATTCTTATTCCTGGGCCTTCATTTACTATTTTTGAGCCTTGTGTGTAAAGAAACTGCAAGGTGATGTACAATGAGTTCTTGGTAGTGTAATGAAAAATCGGTAATGAAGAATGTGCAAACTTGATTAAGAACTAGATTTTTTTATCATACTGTGATAATCTAAATGCTTTTTTTATCTTGAGAAATCAGCATCTGGCTTATATTCCTTCTGCTTGCAATTTAAAGTGAATGCACACAATTCAACCTGTGTAGCATCATTTGGAGAAATTTCCACTCACCCCATTTGTTCAAGACTCGACTGTACTTGGGGGGTCACTTCATTTCTTCAATTTCGTGCCAGGGGACTAGTCGCACCTGTATAATTTTGTTTCAGTTATTATCAACTAGTGTTTCTAATATACTGCTTATTTTGCATAGGTACTTAAACATCAATGTTGGAACACCTGATGTCGAAGAGTCCTTCAATGTTTCGCGGGCTGTCAGCCCACACGAGGTAATATTTTCAATGCATGTAGCACTAAACATAAGCTTAGAAGCCTTGCTGCTCTTTATTCATAAAAAACATGGAGAGATTTCTACCTTAAAACAATTTCTTGGCTATTGCTTAGTTTTCAATCACATTAAAACACTGTTTTATACTTATTTTCTTACTCGTTTGTTCAGTTATTTAATATGTATGTTTTTTTAGTCTCATGGGGATCATTTGGCTGATTCTTGTTGTATATGATTCTCCAATAGTCTTGCGTTCCATCTTTTAGTGTCGGTTACGAGACCTTAGTTACTCTGCACCAATCACAGTGGATGTTGAATATACAAGAGGCAACCAGGTTTGTGATGTATATAAAGTAAAAATTGTCTACCCGAAACTCTATGAAAAAGGCAACAAGATGGTAGATTTTTTCTTTTATAGTAATCTTTACATCTTTTCTTTGCTGGTGAAACCAAACTTTGATAACACCATTAACACCTTACTTGAACATTTAAATGTAGGACAACACACAACATGACTGCCCAAAGAATATTTTTGGAGCTTTTACATTTGCAGGTTGTGTACATCTTATGTGCTTAACGTTATGGGTACAGCTTTGAATTTATTTGCCCTTTGCTTGATTCCATTCACCTTTTTATATTGGTTGCCAACAGTGTCATGATTTTGAAGTAGAAAAAATAGAAGATTAGAGAAAGAAGGGATGTGTTCCTGTACATAGAATTTCACCTCCCATCTTCTTTGGTGCCTCTGTCTGCCTCTTCCATACGCTTTTGCTAATTGTCTTCAATCGCATGTGTCTACATATATCACTCTCAAAAACATGAAATAGATTTCTTGAAATAGTGAATATCTGCTTATAGCAACAAATACCTTAATTTGCTGGAGATGGTTTTAAAAAAATGATTGATGTGTATCCACTTTCTGAAAAATTTTATTGATGAAGTTACAATTGCTTATAATGTGTTAGACTTAATGTCTTAATACAACAGCAGAAGAACAAAATACGAATTTTTATAAAAGGGTTGCACAAGTTATGAAGACGAGTTGATGCTCAGGTTGCCATCCAGCATTTTTACAGAAATTGTTCCGTTTCATTCAAATTCTTCCTTTTTTCTAGAGAGTTGTGAGGAATAATTTACCAATTGGCAGGTAGGTTGTAGCCTAATCTTTAGTTCTGCTGAATTCGTGCAGAAATCTTTACGATCATCTAGAGATCTTTTGGTCCATCCTTTCGCATTTCACTACTCATTTCTCTACAAGGAACAGTAGCTCTTGTCCCAGCATTAACTGCTTTATGAACATTACACTGAACTTTTTCTGCAAGATACTTTCATGAATTCATTTTAAAAAAATAAACGAAGCGATATAGCAAAGGAACCTTTAAAAATGTGTCTAGATTCTATTTGTTTGAACGTTATCAGAATGAGATACAAAACTGCTCAGCGATATCAACAGGAGCTGGAAACATTGCCAATGGTTTAGTCGGCTATGCGTAAACAAGCCTTGTGCTGTTGTGAAGGATGAGTTCTTTTTTAGGATGCCGATAATGCTGCGGAGCTCGAATTGTGTTCTCGCTGGCAAAAGTGAAGCCGAATTAGCAAAATTAAACGAATGTCCAATGGACCCAGGTACGTTATGTCAAGGCTTGCTGCATTAGATAATTTCAGGGCTTTTTGTCGATAAAGATGAAGTGGTTGGAGTTGGGAATGCAGCATAAACCTCTTCATCTTTGCTAAGTGTTGCCCAAAAAAGGGAATTTTGGTTACTTTATAAACTCATTTCAGAACGGTTCCTTTGTAAATAAGGCTATCCTTCAATTTTTTTGCACCTTACCAGCTTGTTTATTATCCTGGTGGCGCTGTCCTCTTTGCCAAAGAAATTGTTGTTTACCATGTTTTCGTTTTGACGCTTTTTCTTCGATATGTCAATTTCAAGGTCCAAAGTAAGTTGAAGAAATACTTTTTGATATCAGCAATTAATTAACAGTGCTTGAAATGACCAGCATTTAATTTTCCATTTGAATTTCAAGCCCAATAAGAACTGCACACATACCAGATATCCTGTTTGATCAATTATCTCAGTAAAATTGTTGAAGATTTCATGCGATGCTTTCTCCATTTTCTTCAGGTGGCTATTTCATTGTGAGAGGTTCTGAGAAAGTTATTTTGATTCAAGAACAACTGTCAAAGAATCGTATGATTGTTGAGCCAGATTCGAAAGGTATTATAGGCTGTTCAGTAACCAGGTAAGCAAAAAATTGCAATAAATTTGGAGATTTGCATCAAAATCATAGAAAAGCTGTGTGTCAAAGAGTTGCTGAACTCTGTTGTAACCTCTAGCGTTGTGCTTTGCACAAGATCTTTTCTCATTGACATATTTTGCCTGTTAAAAATCCGCAAAAATAACGCAGTTGTAAAAAAACATGAGAGGGGAGGGGGAGGGAGGGAGGGGATAAATGGGTCATAGTGTGACTCATAGCTGACTAAAACCGTGAGCGACTGAACCAAAGTATCAGCAGCGTTTTTTTGCCGACATTTTTGTTTGTTTCGATCGCATTTTCCGAACATTGCTCTCAATAGCTTGCCGGAAGACAGCAAATTATTATCTTCAAGTGTCAACCTTGACAAAGAGCTCTCTTTTTGCAGAGATCCCCGTTGGACATTTTTTCCTTTTTTGGCCAACCACCAAAATCTTTTTCTTTTGCCCTGCTTTTTGTGGATGTATCCTTAGCCCCAAATTGGTCGCTCTTTTCAAGTTAGGACAAAATGAATAAACAATTCTGTCGCAGCCTTCATCCTTTTATGCTCATTCATACAAAACACCTTCTGGCATTTTTGCGCTGCTCTTTACTTTTTGACTTTGTCTAAAGTGATATAAAATGCCTCATATTTGCAGTTCAACCCACGAAGTGAAAAGTCGTACTGCTGTTATTCAGAAACATGGCAAATTTTTTATGAAGCACAATACTTTTTCTGAGGTTTGTCGCTGCTTCGTTGATTTTCATCCATTCTTTATGTTTCGCCTTCTTTGTGGCTAAGAAGCTAAACCTATCTCTAGATAAACCAAAGGAAACTTGAAGGCTGAAATGTTTTCTTCTCGATAGGATGTGAATGTCGTTGTTATCTTCAAAGCAATGGGCATTGAATCCGACCAGGAGATCGTGCAAATGGTTGGTACCGAAGAGGATGTATTAAATGCATTCGCCTCATCCTTAGAAGAATGCAATAACTTGCAAGTTTATACCAAAAATCAGGTAAATTTTAAACCAGTTTAGTTACCTCTTAAAGGTCAAGGCTAATTGTTTTTTAATGGTTTAGTGCTAATATTTATATCTTTGTAATCATTTTTAATTTGATATTTTTCAATAGCTTTAAAACAAAAAAAGATTGATGGGTTCTTTCTTAACTTGAATTCATGCACTTTTTTATTGATTGGAATGTCTGTTCCTAGGCGCTGCATTACCTAGGAAGCAAAGTGAAACAGAAAGCCATTTGGGGTAAAACTCGAACAAAATTTGAAGATGCTAGAGAGTTGCTCAAAAGAACCATTTTGGCACACGTCCCTGTAAGTATGCGAAGTGACCTGCAAAAGTGGTTTCATCCGCTTTAATTATTCTGGATATCCTTCATTGTTTAATATTCTTTGCATCGATAATTACTACTAGACAATGGGAATGAAAAACACACATATAATGGCGAAGAAATCTTCTTCTCAGTTAAATGCTAAGAGCCAGTTGTCTCTCTCGGATTCTTCTTTCAGGCTGAGAGGACATCGATTGGCTAAAAGGCAGCTAATCACATCGAACCTCATCTTCTATAGGCTTCTTTCGATCAACGGCTGAGCACATAATTTATCCCTTTTACTCGCTTTATCTCAAATTTTCAAAACCTAGTGGTAACAAACAGCTTTTAGAATTCAATATAAGTGCTTCCACTTTTCACATGTTCACACATCATGATTGTAATGGGTAGTCACGATTGAATCATTTAAAAGCAAATGATGCAATTAACAGTTACCAAAGCTTCCTTGACTTTGAAGAAAAAAACATTACAACATTGTAAAATTGCTTGAGCGTTTTCCTGATATTTCCTTTCATACAGTATAATAATAAATCCCGTACGTAGCTAGTGTCTCGCGAAATGCGATCCCGTATCCTCAATTTCGCAGTTGTTCTTCGCTTCAAATTTCTGGAGCTTTTGTGGTGTACTTCGTTTGTCTTCTTGTGATTGCATTTTGTCGAAAATTTATAGGTTCATAGAACTGCTAAACTGTTGTGTAAAGACCGCTTGATAAATTTTATCCCGTTCCATTACATTTTATCCCGCTCTTATATGAGCGAGAGTGATATGGTAACAAGCATGTCAATTGTTATTGTAACAACTCTTTTAGTTGCACTCAGTTTAAGAATCTCGTTTATCAAGTCCCCTGTTTTTCGCAGATTTCGGGGTACAATTTCAGAGCAAAAGCGGCATATCTTGCAATCATGGTTCGTAGGATCATTTTGGCTACTAAAAAGCTTGTGAGTTTCTCTAGCTTTTTCTTGAATTATTTTCATTTTCAACCTCATGCATTTCCAGAGATTGCTAACTTTGCGTGAATTTTAGGTAGGGCATAGTATAAGCCTGTCTTTTACGAGTTTCGAACCCTTTTTTGCAGATAAAATTTGATGATCGGGATTATTATGGAAACAAGCGACTGGAACTAGCTGGGCAGGTAAACAAATCATTGCTATGGTAACTTTATACGTTCCAAAGATTAAAGCTTCTTTGAAACGTGGTTTCATTTTGCTGTTTTATTTTACATCTTTTCTGGTCTTTTGTAACAGATGGTATCACTCCTGTTCGAAGACTTGTTCAAGAGATTTAACAATGAGGTAAATATGTTTTTTAAATATTATTTATGTTTATGGAATGTGGCTCTTCTTACCAAGCACGTGCTACCAGTTTAAAGCACAAATTGCTTAATGATGACGTAATTTATGCAAAATGGTTGACAAAATTCTTTGGTGCAGCTTGCAAGCAAACGTAGCAATTACAAGTGTATTTGAAGTTAAGCATTTTGTTTTCCACTAGTTGAAGAGGATTGCTGATTTGACAATTCCTAAACCAAGGGCTGCACAAGTGAGTCTTTGCAGATTACATCTAATATCTGCGTTAACATACTAATTTTATTTTGCTGTAGTAACTGTAAACAAGCTTTACTCGAGTCTGAATTAATGATCTATATCTAAAGGTATTAAGAAAAACCAGAAAGTCATTGCTAGGAACTTTTTCTGTAAGCACAGCTTTTTAAAAATATTAGCAATATCTGGTATATCATACTTTCCGTGAAATATTTCAGCAAGATCCTTCGTCAGCTGTTCTTGTGCTAAGGACTAACCTGTACAAAACCAAAAGGAGAAGATTTAAAATTCAAGGGTCTTGATTTCAGCTTGATTTCAGTCCAATTGCTAAAAGTGTGTTTGTTTGTTTACATCAATGTATTTCGATTTCTACGTTGAGTTTTATGAGCTAATACCGATGATAAAATACGTTCAAATTTCAGTTCGACATTGTAAAACACATGAGACAAGACCTCATAACCAATGGATTGACTGCAGCAATCTCTTCGGTAAGAGCCTCTTGAAGCAAGCATTCTTTGGAAAATACAACTTAGTATCTTGTACCAGACTTTTTGTATCTGGTATCATTTTAGTTGAATTTGTTATTTGCGAAATCTTGGAATTATAATCTTAATGACTTTGCTTGGTTTGACTGTGATCAAAGCGTTAACTAGTAACCAACAGTATTTTTACACATTGACCTTTACCTATTAGCGCTCGAAATTAAAACGATCCTGTATTTGTGTTTGTATTTATGGCATTTGTGTCCTTTATTGTTTTCTTCATCAACCTACAAACCCGGACAAAAATTGTCCAGAATTTCCAAGTATAGTCGATGTTTCTTCTTTCTTTTGACCCCCCCCCCCCTGATTCAATATTGAATGCATGTTTTTGAAGCAAACATGATGGAACTACAAATTCAACATTATTTTGGGGAGAAAAGAGGGATTCAAATTTACAGGGGCAACGCAAAGATAGAATTGCAAAAACAAATTTTGTCTCAACAATCTTGTTCGGGATTGTAGTAATGACTGTTTGTAGATGATCAGGCTTCTGTAAGACTTTTGTAAGATGTATGTAAGATTTCTTTCGCGAAAAATGGAGCATCGAATGGGAATTCTCCAATTTTAAAGTACAATATTTGTGTAGTTTTAATGTTTTTTGTCAGGCATCTTTGCAACATTGCAGGTTTAGCCACATGATTAAATATGATGAATTTTTTTCAGGGAAATTGGATAATTAAAAGATTTAATATGCATAGAGTTGGTGTTACACAGGTTCGTGTAGCTTTAAATGTATTTTTAAAGTTTGCTAAATCACCAGAGAAGCCATTACATATCTGGCAGTAATTCGCTTTCTGACTCAGTAAAGACACCCGTAATCAGGTCTCGCTAAAGTGTGCGAGCGCGCGAGCGGCACTCACAGGCAAACCATGCCAATCAAATTACTTCTGCAGGCACATCTGAAAAAGCAGTCTTAGATAGACTTGTTCAAAGTTTTCAATTATTTAAGAATTTAGAGAGACATTTCAGCTATAGGTTTCACTATGTTAATATTAAGTTTTACCGCTTTGTGAAAATGTCCAAAAAGCTTGATATGATTGTTTATTCTGTTTGCCTTGCTGCAGCAAACTATCGGTTGAACCAGTTATTGATTGAAGGCTTCCGTGTAAAAAAATTCAGGACAAACTACCAATCTAGGTGGGGCGTGCAACCGATAGTTGCACGCAAGTGATGGAAATTGTGATTGCTGTTAATGGTTCAAATATTAGAAAAGCTGTATTATTAATTATAGTATCAAACAGTATCAAGCAATAAAACCGACTGCCATTTTCTTTTTTTGTCGTAAGCTAAAGTTTGTTTAAACTCTATAACGCCATTTTTTTAAGACCGTCGTCATTCTAAAGTAATTTTCTGTGAAAGTAGTTCTTTGAAAATTTATCGGTCTTTGCGTAATTAAACCTTACTTTATGTCTCTTATTTTAAACAATTTTATTTCCTACGCAATGCGTATGAAAAAAGTTTTGCAGGCAACTTTTGCAAGACAGTTTGTGCTCGCAGGCAGGAAATATTTTTAGGTAGGTCTGCCCGTAATTCAACCCAAGTCTCTATCCGCCCCTTTTGAAATAAGTAGCATGAAGTAGTTTTGTTAAGACTTTTAGTGAAAATATGGCGTGTCTTCTTGCAATTGCAGACTTTTAGTGATAGTTTAAGATAAATGCTATTTTAGAATGTGCTATCTCTGCAATAGCGAATGACGCATTTGCAATACCTTAAACGTTATAGTTCAGGTTTTCTTAAGTCAATTTTTATTCCAGGTTTTGTCAAGGCTATCTTATATATCTGCGTTGGGGATGATGACAAGAGTTACAAGTCAGGTATGAAATAGCTCATTAAACTAAAGATATAATAAAAGCATGTCCGAGTTATGCTTCTTGCAGCGCCATTTCATCTGTTTAAGCTTCCTGTGTTCAGGATTGGTTGCCTTCTTTGTTATGATTTGCCCCACAACCATTTGAATAAGGCTACAAGTTATAAGGCTCTCTGTGTTCGCTCCTAACGACTATATTCCCAGTCCTTCGTCTTGGTGTTTGCTTGCACTTCGCTAATGTGTTTGACCGCGTAAGGACGATGTGGAAGCATCTTCATAACCGTTCGTTGTTTCTAAGTCACTCATTCATTTACATTCTATTATAATTTTCATATGTTATATCAAGTTCGCTGTACGCAACCTTGAAGTTCGTCCTAAGCGGTTGCTTATTTTACAGTTTGAGAAAACGCGAAAAGTTAGCGGCCCAAGATCACTGCAGCCTTCCCAGTGGGGCCTGCTTTGTCCATCCGACACACCCGAAGGAGAAGGCTGTGGACTAGTGAAAAACCTTGCACTAATGACTCATGTCTGCACTGATCAAGACGAAGAGCCAATCAAACGACTGGTTTTCAATTTGGGAGTCGAGGTTAGTGTTTCTAATGTAGTAGATTATTAAAGGAATCAAAGTTCTTTTCTAAACACTTCAAGGGTTTATATGTTATATGTTGTTAAAAGATAAAAGCCTATTGCCCTCTTCACTATAGGTAGTCAACCACATGTTGCCTGCTGAACCCGCCATATGATGTTGGCCTAAATTTCTTTCCACCAGCTACTTGTGCTGTTTCAGCCTGTTTTTTATTCTTTTATTGCTTGTCGGCGTTTGTCATGACCGAAAGTAAGAGAGTTGTCTGTATAAGAGATTAGTTCTTCTCTTGGACTGACGTTAAGCAATCTTTGATCCTGTTCAATATAGCCAAAAAATACTGCATTTTAAACCGCGAAAAGTCCTTATCGTGCTACATTACAGTGACGTAACGAACTATTTCACTACCTTTGCTAGTAGGATATGCTTTGTAGATACGCTTTTCACCGAAGCAGTGCTCAAAGTATTGTGCGTTATTGTTTTTTTATTGTGTAACACTGAAGGAATGGTGGGGAAAACTTATACACGGATCTTTATAACAGGAATAGAAAAAGGCATTCATATCAACGCAGCATGCGTGACATTCAGATCAAATGAATAATATTTGCTGCAGTAAGGTTTCTTAAACTGTTTTAAAGGCATACTTTTCATTTTCTTGGTCAATTTATTTGGGGCCTCCCCCTTCCCCCCGTTTTTACATTTACAGAGATATGTCTCCATTATTGTAGGATATCAACCTGCTATCCGGAGAAGAGCTTAGCTCGCCTTATGTTTATCAAGTATTCTTAAATGGTGAGTCCGATTTTATCATTATTTGTTGTTTCGTTTTTTGCACCTTGATTGTGCACAATGCATTTGAAAAGTGCGAAGTTTGGTCTTCATAGTTTGAGAGCACAAGTCGATGAAAACTGTTTTTATAAAAGAGTATTGTTGAACCTAACGAGATATAATACTAATATAATATGTCGTTATTATTTTGCTATTATTACAGTATATTATGCATTAACCTATAGCTTTACAATATATATATATATATATATACATATATGATTAATCTGCAACAAAAAATTATTGTATTGATGAAACTGCAGGTCACTTAACCTACTGCATAATATTTAGTACCACGAAGAAAGAGCATTGTTGGACCAGATTCACGGCAGGGCTACGACTGATCGTATAATAAATTCCGCACAAAATGTTTTATTGTATGAAAACGAGGTCTCTTATATGTTCATAACGGTTTAAGACAGATTATGACTCTTTTCTTTAGATTTTGTCAATAACTAAAGTATGTCATCATGTTATCACATAAACTTTTGCCCTCCCAAAGGATTGAATTGCCCACATTTCTAATGCAATGTGACACATTCCATGTAAATTCAGCTAATATTGTTTATGTGTCCCTTAAGGAAATCTTCTTGGAATAATTCGCAACCACGCAAGGCTATTGAGAACATTCAAGCTCATGCGTAGAGGTGAGCTTATGTTGCTTTTTGACAGTAGCAGCCTTTCTGCTGTTTTTTTATTTGTTTCAATAATTCTGTTAGAACCAATGCTAACCCGTTGATTTTATAGCTTTGAACTAAAAGTTGGATATCAACGTTGGCAAATGAATGGGTTGTGTTGTTGACTTTGAATGAATATATAAAGTAGTTAGTAATCTAAGACGTGCATGGCAACAGTTCCAAAGCCATGAAAATGAGCTGTTTATTCAAAAAATTGTTTCCTTTACATTTATTTTACGCAACAGTGCAGCATCCTTGCATTTTTCTTATTATCGAAGTCCATTAAAAGCATTTATGATTCGCATTTTGATGAAATCTTGAGCTTGTTTTTTAATAAATTTCAGCTGGCTACATTAACGAATTCGTTTCTATCTACGCAAATGCATCGCAAAGGTAAGGATAAAATGGTATTTTTTTCTTGGTTTCCTGCAGTGTTTTCTCTACTCCCTAAAGTCCAGCTCATAGCAATCTTTTCGTGGGGTTAAGGGTGGTGGCTGGGGACGAACAGTGGGAGTCAGCAAATGCTTACAAGATTTGTGATGCGGACTCCTGAGGCTAACTGCATTGGGAGGTTAGTGTTCCAGACCTTTTTACTCGGCTCTTCCCAATAGTTTTGGGTTTATAATAGGCTTGATTGATTGTGGAACCTTTGAAAACACTTTTCAAAAGTTTAAACAAATAGAAGGCTCTTAGACCCTACGGAATGTCTTGTCTATAAAATTACAGTGTCGATCGTTGTGGGTAAAATTCCGATTCTTGACAGGCTCCAATTTAGAAATATTGTGCTTTAATTTGAAATTTTGGACTTCCCTTTATCCATGTTATAAATTTGCAAAAAAAGGATATTATTGATTTAACATTTGAATCTAAAAAACCGTTTCCACTCCTATTCGTAAATGTGTCATTTGATTCAGATAAACATGGATTTCTACGTGTATCATATACTGCCGTCTTAAAGTATTCGAACGAAAAGATATTTGTGCCCATAAACATCACACATAATTTTCAGCCCCTCGATATTGGTAATAGTAGACTTGCCAAACAGCTCTTACAAGCAATTGTGAAATGCCAAGGAGATAACATGTGCAGGGATTGAATTTTATTCATAAGTTGTCGTTTTTAAAGCCAACTCAAGCAAGATGGCTCATGGAATGGTTTAATTATTCAGAAAACGAATCCGATGTGGTACTAAAGAGCTCGGTAGGGCAGGTAGCACGGAACCAATACAGATGACCAATTTTATCATTATTGCTAGCAATAAAGATGAAGACTTTATCTAGAGGAAAACATAATTTTGATTTGAATTACCTAACTCAGTTTGCTTACTGTAATTTGAGCTGGAAAACTTTATTTTGGCCTTATTTTGTCTATAATTGCATTTCGTTTTATCAGAAAGTGTTTTCAGAAACTTGTCCGAAATGAAAAGCTGAAGTCCTTAATTTTTAGGGCATTGCTATCTGTTTTGATTTCTTCATTGATTCTTCAACACAAACCATAGATAATGAGGCAAAGTTTTGGAAACGTTATTCTAACTTCTTTACTTTAACAGATGTGTCTACATCGCTTCTGATGGCGGAAGGATGTGCAGGTATGATTTTTTCAGTTTCAAAAGGTGCTCAGATGACTTGGTATTCTGCTAATAAAAGATTTACTCGTAAAAAATTTTCCTCTTCTTTCTCATTATTTATGATTTAAGTAGTAAAGAAAAAATCACCCAAAGAAGAGGTTTCAGCTTAAAACAAGATTTAAAAGCACTTGTGTGATATGCATATTTTAGGCCCTTTAATAACGTCAATCTATAAAAGTTGTCAATCTATTTTGCAGACCGTACATAATCGTGAAAAATGGTGTCCCCCTTGTCGTCCAGGACCACATAGATGAGTTGATCAGAGGAGTCAGGTAAACTTTGGTTCAAAACTATCGATCAACAATTGTCTACTTGATTCATCTTGAAGTTTTTCCTTTTTTCTTAGTTAGTTTTTTCTTGCAAAAAACAAGCAGATTTTTAATTCATAAATTTGTTCCAAGAGAAGGATATGTACGTAACATATTTTTTCTTACTTTCAGGAGTTTTGCAGATTTTCTCCATCAGGGACTGGTCGAGTACTTGGATGTCAACGAGGAAAACGACGCTGACATCGCATTGTACGAAAACCACATAACAAAGTACGTTAATCACATTAGGCTATTTACGAAAACCAGGACCTTTTCACCTCAGATTACTTTTTTAGTAAAAAAATAAAGCTGTTTGCTTTCATACATGATAGCACTAGATTTCACCTCAAATTTCAGGGCATAACGTGGCGCCATGAGGATACGACCTATCCCACAATTTTGCAACCTCGTTTTGTAAAACAATGTTTAACAGTAATATTGAAAAAATGGGGATCTATTTTTTAACTCAATTTATTTCACTTCATCTTGTTATCCGTATCTTTCTAAATCCCAAAACAAACATAGAGGGAAATAAGATTACTTTTCGCAAAGTCAGGTAAGCGAGGTATCCTTAAGAATGTGCTGTTAATCTTTACAAAAAATAAAGGTGTCTGGCTTCGAATGGTGTGCTTTTAATAATTTTCCCGCGGGCAAACCCCAGGACTTCCATTTCTTTTGTCCTTTAATCAAAGACCTCAACCACTTTCTAAAAGGTGTCTTCCAAGCTAAGCATGAAAGACCCGGTATAAGCAGAAAACTTTATAATCTTGCATATTTTTTTAAATTCTTGCTTTAAAAACAACGAATAAGGAAGTTTTTGAAAAAAGATCATTTACTATAATTTTCAACAACAGATAGGCCGTATCTACGAACCGACAAATTGCTTTTCAGTTTTGTCCCACTTACGTAACATTGATATCGCTGGCAAAACATTGTGGAATATCTTTTTACCTTAATAAGAATGCTACTAAAAAGTTTTTAGGATTCAGGCTGACCGCCTAGATATTCAGGTTTTTGACTCCCAGACTCTTTGAATATTGCTTCAGCGATGAGCTTTCATCGTGAGATTTTGTTAGAGAGATTGATCTTGGTTAAATCTGCTATGGTATCAGGATAATATTGATAAAATATAAGTTTTACAATGCTATAATTGTGTTGTGTGATTTCTGTCTAATGAAAGGCTCGTTCATTTAAACCCACCTGTATTATATATATGTATTCATAAAATACTAAAGAAATGATGGAAAAGCTTGTTGATTTCATAGGTCAACAACTCATCTGGAAATAGAGCCGTTCACCCTTCTTGGTGTGTGTGTTGGTCTGGTGCCATACCCCCATCACAATCAGTCCCCAAGAAACACGTATCAGTGTGCTATGGGCAAGCAAGCAATGGGTACACAAGTCAACTCAATTTTTATGCAGCATTTGCCAACCCTTCTTTGTATATATTTTGAAAACATTTGTTTCTTCTATTTTTTCTTGACGTTCGTTGCCCACGTTTCCTTACCCAGGGTTCTATACACTTCTGGTCATAGTTTCCTTTAACAACCACATGATTTACCCTCTGTATTACTCACTCTGTATTACCCACTCTGTATTACCCACTCTGTATTACCCACTCTGTATTACCCACTCTGTATTACCCACTCTGTATTACCCACTCTGTATTACCCACTCTGTATTACCCACTCTGTATTACCCACTCTGTATTACCCACTCTGTATTACCCACCCACTCTGTATTACCCACTCTGTATTACCCACTCTGTATTACCCACTCTGTATTACCCACTCTGTATTACTCACTCTGTATTACCCACTCTGTATTACCCACTCTGTATTACCCACTCTGTATTACCCACTCTGTATTACCCACTCTGTATCACCCACTCTGTATTACCCACTCTGTATTACCCACTCTGTATTACCCACTCTGTATTACCCACTCTGTATTACCCATTCTGTATTACCCATTCTGTATTACCCGCTCTGTATTACCCACTCTGTATTACCCACTCTGTATTACCCACTCTGTATTACTCACTCTGTATCACTCTGTATAAAATAATCTTTTGGTGGTACAAAACTTGTAAATAGCTTTGAAAAAAGCAAACATTTAGTAAACTAAAGCTTTTCGTCTGACACTCTTCAGAGTTTAAAACGTCAGAACATAGATCGAAAACTCTACGCTAAGAAATATATATACCCAGTTGTGGATCGAAATAGGCCAATCAGAAACACGAGCACATGACTGTAAAGGTTGACCAATCAGTGCCGCTTGCCTATTAGAATGTTACCAATGGAGTCCTAAGGTGAAAACGAACTCCTTTTGTCTACACAGTAGCGGTTTTTTCGTGCTTATGTAGATAGATTCTAAAACTGCTAGGTGGAACGACGATCGGGCTTTACCAATAATCCGAAACATGTCGCCATTATAGTTTTTTGCACAAACTGGGTTTTCTAGCAAATGCTGCCCGATAGCAGAATCGCAGGTCTTATTAGTAATTTTGGATTTGCAAGACCGAGGTGGCTGTTCTCTTTGGGGATGTGTTTTGTTTCTAATATTAGATGGAACGTGTTGTTTTATCCTATCCTCCAATCTTTGGGTGGTGCGTCCTACGTGATTCTGGCTACGTAGGACGCACCACCCAAAGATTGGAGGATAGGATAAAACAACACGTTCCATCTAATATTAGAAACAAAACACATCCCCAAAGAGAACAGCCACCTCGGTCTTGCAAATCCAAAATTACTAATAAGACCTGCGATTCTGCTATCGGGCAGCATTTGCTAGAAAACCCAGTTTGTGCAAAAAACTATAATGGCGACATGTTTCGGATTATTGGTAAAGCCCGATCGTCGTTCCACCTAGCAGTTTTAGAATCTATCTACATAAGCACGGAAAAACCGCTACTGTGTAGACAAAAGGAGTTCGTTTTCACCTTAGGACTCCATTGGTAACATTCTAATAGGCAAGCTGCACTGATTGGTCAACCTTTACAGTCATGTGCTCGTGTTTCTGATTGGCCTATTTCGATCCACAACTGGGTATATATATTTGTTAGCGTGGAGTTTTCGATCTATGTTCTGACGTTTTAAACTCTGAAGAGTGTCAGACGAAAAGCTTTAGTTTACTAAATGTTTGCTTTTTTCAAAGCTATTCTGTATAAAATGTAAGAATTTAAGCGGAAATCTCTTTTATGTTGAAACGAATGGAATTATATTAATGAGAGCCAAATGCTATTGTGAGAATCTTATTGGACGATTCTGCCTACCTTTGATAAAACATTGAACGGCCCTTGAACTACCTCTGTATATGTAACAGGACTGTATATCAGGGGCCTGGAGGTAAAATAGGTCGTTCTTTGTTTCTCAATAAACACTTATACTGCTATTCTGTCTTTGTTTCCAGGATCTATAGGGTATAACCAGAGGAACCGAATCGATACCTTGATGTATTTGCTGGCTTATCCACATGCACCTCTTGTCAAATCAAAGGTTAGCATCACAATACATTAAGGTTTCAAACAGTGGAGTAGATTATATTTATTCCTGCATCATCCATTCGATCAACCTCAAATAACATACTGACTAAAGTCGATCACATGTTTCTAAGCCCTTTTAAAAACTCTTGAATTTCCCATATACCTTGATTTATCTAATTAGTAATCACTATGATTCAGGTTTCCCTGTCATTGCCAATGTTCTTTGCTGACTGCAGACATCCCTATAGCTAATATGTATGATATCTGCTGAATAGAAACATGTTTTATCTATGTTTGAAGTTTTTCAAACGGTTTTTTTGAATTTCAGACATTGGACATCATCAACTTCAACAAGCTACCCGCAGGTTACCCTTGATTTTCCTGAAAATTCTTAATTTTTCAAAACTTCTTTCTCAATTTAAGACACTGTCGTATGTTTTTTTAGTCAAGCTGATACTTGAGCAATAATAGAGCTTTCGTATAACTGATTGAATGAAAGTGAATGGAATTGCAAAAGCCTTTTTAGTTAATTTCATCTTTTTAAACAAAGGGCATAATGCAACAGTGGCGGTTATGAGTTACAGTGGATATGATATCGAGGTAAGAATTCTTTCGAGGCAATGATATGATATCGAGGTAAGGATTCTTTTGAGGCGATGATATGATATCGAAGTAATTGTTATTTTGAGGCAAGGAATGCTCAATTATTTTTGTAAATGTGAGTCTCCGCGAGATTCTAAGATGATTGTTTCTATCGCGTTTGTTTTCATTGTAGCGTTACTACAAAAGGATGTTTTTTAAGTGAAATAAAACATGCAACATGTTATCACAAAAGTCCAATAATTATTAATTTAATCAATTTTTGGCTTTGGGACTGTTTGTATTTGCTAATGTATAATGTTGTTTTCTTGATATGTTTGCAAATTCATTGTTTGAATTTCCTGCAGGATGCTTTGATCTTGAATAAAGCTTCCATCGACCGAGGTAACGTGATCTAGATTATTTGAAATTTTATCTCCTCGATGATTAATGCTTATTTTAAGGTGGATAATTCAAAAAATAGAAATGTTCTTTCCCAAGAAGAATGCTGAATGTAAAAGTTCCACATATAAGTTGCTTAATAGCAAATTAATTTCAATACAATACTTTTATACGCTAAAGTGTATTATCAAGCTTAGGTAGTTCTGCATGAAGGGTTTTGCATGTAGTTTCGATTGCTGTTGTTTGTTAAGTTATTGCTATGATACAGATCATGGTCAGTCAAGTTATACATGCCTCGAATTCTCAAATTTTGACAATGCACGTGGTTGTTATTAGGTAGGAGATGACACTTCGTCTTAACAGCAATTAAAACCCTTCTCATTACCAACTTCTTGTTATAACAAACTAAATGGTTGGCCACATTGAATTTTTCCTGTATAATGAAATCCTTGTATTTCGAAATTAATTTTTGGTTCCCTATAATCTTCGTAATCCTAGTGGTTCCATACAATAGAGAGGTTCCACTGTCTTTAATTTCGATTTCATCAACTTTTTCTAAAGGATTCGGCAGATGTCTTGTTTACAGAAATGCCAAATCAACGCTCAAGCGTTATGCCAACCAGGTATATTTAATTCTAGTAAATTCTATTATTGCTGCATTTATAAGGCACGTACCTAGGTACATTTTACCTTAGCTAACTTTTTTTATTTTTTTATAATGCTGCATAAAACCATTTATTTGATTTATTGAGAAAAATATGACAGTTTTTCTAAAGCTGTTACCAGTAAGCTGAGAGAAACACGCCTTACTTCGGTTCCCCTTTTTCAGCACAAACCTTCTGAATATTCTCAATCGAGCTATTTCGAGATTGAATACTATTCTGTTCATCCGTCATTTAAAACTTGTTTATTGCATCTTGATGTCATATATAAATTTCAAAAAAAATATATGACCATTTTAGGCTTCTAAGAATTATATGACCCTGACTTTTTAAAAGATATGACTTTTTTAAAATCGTTTTTCTTTATTTTCAGACTTTCGACAGAGTTATGGGTAAGTCTTCAATGAACGAGTTATTTGATATTTTATGTTCCTTGTACAGTCAAACTATTTGTTTTCAAGATCTTTAATTTACTGTCTGTCTACATTAGGACCAGCGCGGGACTCTGAGACAGGAGACATTATATTCAAGCACAAAGCCCTCGACTCCGATGGAATAGTGTCTCCAGGTGTGCCGAATATTTTCCTTTCAGCTAAAAGCGTTTCCTCTTCATCAAATATGCCGCAATCTTTTTTCTTTTACAGGCGATCAATGTTGATTTGGCTCTTTAATTTTAGTTTCTGAAATACGTTCAAACAGCTAAGAATATTCTTTGAAAGTGTTGTGATTTACAGATTATTTATAAACAGCTCCCTTTTTTCTCAATATTTTAAACTATTTTTTATCACTAGTGTTGAAGTGAAAATCATTCAGCTAGGAATCTTACAGTTGTTTGTTAATTTTTTCGCTTTATCATTCACGACAGCTGTGAAAGTTATAAAATATTGATGACAGGTAGATATTGCGAAAGGTATGGTGATGCTTTACCGGACTATCCCAACAGCAAAAAAGTTTTCGCATACTTTTTAGTCAAATGCAAATCTCCTATTAACAGTACTTATTATTTTTATGAATGCATGGGCTTTCACTGCGTCACCGCCTCATACTTTTTGCTTGTCAGATTTCTTTAGAATATTGCCCAACAATGGATCAAGATAACAGGCTAGCAAAGAGATTCGCTAGCTACATATCTTACAGATATTCCATACACGATACCCTTAGTAAAATATGTGTTTTCTTTTTTAGTTTTTTGTAGAATGCAATTACAGTTTAAAAAGGGGTTGATTGTGTGAGTTTGGTTTGGTAGAAAAATGTATACCTCAAATTTTGGGCCGCATCTTAGTCTATTTTTTCAGATTTATGTTTTCGATCAGTTGCTTTCGATTCGCACAAACATGTGTGATGTTGTGATTTATGCACATATTAATTTATCATTACATAAATAAGAATGATATGATAATTAGAGAACCATGCTGTAAGAATGCAAACATTTTACGACACACTAAAAGCTTTTTCGTCTGACACTCCTCAGAGCATAAAACGTCAGAATCAGGGTCCGAAAGAACACGATGGAAAATATATACCCAGTTGTGGATCGAAATAGGCCAATCAGAAAAACGCAAGCACAAGACCGGTATAGTTGACCAATCAGTGCCGCGAGCCTAAAGAAAAATTATCACTGGAGTCCAAGAGAGAAAGCGAACTCCTTCTGTCTACACAATGGCGGCTTTTTCGTTCGTATGTAGATCAACTCCAAAACTGCTAGATGGAAGGACGACCGGGCTCTGCCAATTATCCGAAACATGTCGTCATTATAGAGTTTTGCACAATCTGGGTTGTCTAAAAGATGTTGACCAATGGCAGAATCACTTGTTTTGACAGTTTTTCTAGACCTACAAGATCGAGGAGGCTGTTCTCTTTGAGGGGTAGTTTTGTTTCTTATGTTGGAAGGAACATGCTGTTTTATCCTATCCCCCAATCTTTGGGTTGTGCGTCCCGAGGTGCGTCCTACGTAGCCAGAATCAGACTGGCACGTAAATTCATAAATGATGGAACTTATTTGGTTGGTAGGGATGCAATCCTTTTGAATGGATGGATTTTGAATGGATGAATGGATGGACACAACTGGGTATATATTTTTCATCGTGTTCTTTCGGACCCTGATTCTGACGTTTTATGCTCTGAGGAGTGTCAGACGAAAAAGCTTTTTGTTTGTTGTAAAATGTTTGCTTTTTTCAAAGCCATTTTCAGGCTTTGATATATGTTCTGTTACGCTCCTACTAAACTTACGTTTTCTTGTGTACTACCTGCGACACAGAACATAATCAATGGCGACGAGGATTTAAACATATATTTTTCAACATAAATATGGCTACAGCCATATTTATAAATATGGCGTATTGATCTTGCTCAATTATTGCCCTAAACCCGTTTACTGATCCAAGTTCTGTTGGTCAGCGATGGACATCATGGCTCCTGCGCTTCGAGACGTATCTCTTAGCAATGGATATTACCGATGCAAAACGTAAACGTGCTTTTGTATCAAGTTGGGCAACAAACTCAAGAAATTTTCGACACAATACCAGATAATGGTGCTGCTGACGATTATCAAACTGCCGTCGAAAAGTTGGACGCATATTTTCTTCCGAAGAAAATCGTGCATTATTAGATATTTCAGTTTCGTCAAGCTAAGCAATTGCAGGGAGAAACTGTGGATCAATACGCAACTCGTTTGCGTAAACTTGCCACAAATTGTGAATTCTTAAATGTCGACAACGAAATCAAAGCTACAATAATCCAAATTGTACGTCTAAACGACTCCGGAGATACGCTCTCCGCGAAGACGCTTCAAAGTTAGCCAATTTATTGTCCAAAGTAAGAGTGGCCTTTGAAGTGAGTGAGCATCAAGCACAAGAGATAGAAGAGTCATTAGATTCATCTAGTGGTGTAACAATCAAGCATAAAAATGCAAATTTGTGAGAGCACGTCGACACACACAGCCATCTAAAAGCAATCCGCGCCCAGCAAATGGTTTTTTCGTCCGCCAGTTCAATATGCGGCAACTGTGGTTTCTGCTAACCTTAAAAAGGACTTTGTCCCGCCCGTGGAAAGTCTTGTATTGCATGTGGTAAAGCTAACGATTTTGCTAAAGTTTGCAGATCTCAAAAAACACTACAGTTTTCAAAAAAGGACAGATACGACAGTCAAGAACATAACTATGTACAACAACTCAACCGTCCGTCCATATTTACGCCAACTGTCTGCCTCAAGTAGCGACGATGAATATTTGTTTTGTTTACTCTTGGAAATCCACAAGCAAAGACACCGCATACTACTGTCACTATAAATGGCATCAGAGTGAAAATGTCCTTGACACCGGTGCTTCTACAGATATTCTGGACAGTGACACATTTGATAAATTTTGACCTAAAAGTCCTGTTACTCTTATGAAATCAACAGCTAAAATATTTGCTTCTACGACACCATTGAAAGTGCTTGGAACGTTTGAAGCAGTGATAGAATCAAAACACAACATGGCCGTTTCAACCATTCATGTGTTAGAGGGACGTTCTGGTTCTTTGCGTAGCTACAAAACTGCTTGCGAATTAGGCCTAGTCACTTTGAAACTGAACACTGTTTCAAAAACATCTCTAAACAGTGACCAACTCAGAGACCGTTATCCACAGCTTTTTACTGGAATAGGCCAGCTGAATAATTTTGAAGTCAAGCTGCAAAGGCCGCACGAAGAATTCCGTTTCACATGCGGAAGAAAGTTGAAGCCGCGCTGGATAATCTTATACAACTAGATACTATAAAGCGTGTTGATGGACCAACACCCTATGTTTCTCCGCAAGTGGTTATTCCTAAAAAAGATGGAGACGCGGGACTTTGCGTTGATATGAGAAAAGCCATGGAGAAAGACGTAGATCCAAATTTTAAATCGGGGTCCTAAGGCGTCCCAGGTTTAAAGAATATTTTTAGCCTCTGGAAGTCCCTAGCACTTCTCCTCATATTTCAACTTTTTGAGTTATTTTACTAGACTGCATGAGAGCCCTATGAAGAACGAACCTTATTTTCGAAGATAATTTAAAGTAATGCACTTTACTACTCAAATACCTGGGTGCCAGAAGGTTCATTTGAATTGATCCTTAATTATGGTTTATAGAAAAAAGGAGAGATTAAAGGATTTGACGTAGAGATTATCTCCGAAAAACTGACATTATGGCATGAGATATGAAATAACTAGCTACCGGACATTTTGAAAGGTGTCTATTGCAAAAACTTTTCATTGAAGTATAATTTGTGAGTAAAGTATCTTCAAAGCCGCAAACAAAATTTTGTCAAAGTCCGCATTTGTCTCACTTTGATTAAGCCTTGTTTGCTGCAATGATATTTCACCTTGGCTTCCTGAAAACATCTTCGTGTTGAAAAACATTTGCTTCTCGCATTATATTATTCCAGATTGATTGTTATCATTATTATTATAACTCCCTGAATGAAAAACTGGCCAACTTAGCGTTCTTTCCTCGGTGCATATTATAGATGTTCTTTGACAATACTCTTTGAAAAAATGGTGGTCAGACTTCTGTGAGTTATTCACAAGCGAACAAAATTGGTTCTTTGCCTTTTTATTCCTTCTACCACTAGATTTTGCTCTTTCGTTGATGGTATCATGGGATCACATGATTGTCATTAGGAGGGTACCTAATATGTTTTTCAGGGCAGCGGGAATCGGGAATCGGCAACTTTTTGTGAGCGGGAATCGGGAAATGGGAATCGATAACACCGTGATTCGGGAGTTGATGGTCGGGAATCGGGCAAAAAACGAGGCGGGAATTCGGAAATCACGTGTACTTATAGGGTAGCCTCTTATTAGTGAACGGGAACTGGACTTCAGCACCTTGGGTATCTTTATTTAGCCACTCTTGATCATTCGCTGACTGCTTATTGTGCTGTTCTGTATTTTCGATAATTCGTTTATTTCATTAAGCTTCCATTTTTTGCCGTCTTAGTCTAACTGAAATTTTTTGAAAAAACAGTCAAGACTGGTTCGCTATTCTCTACTAACAAATGCTATTTTTTTAGGCGAATGTGTTGAAAATCGCCAAGTTTTGGTAAACAAATCGATGCCTACAGTAACAAACCAGTACACCAAGGCTTCCAAAGGAAGTATGTATTTGACAAATTGCTTTTGTGCAGGCTCAATATTTTAGCAGCATTGTATTTGCTCGAATCATTGTGGATTATCCTTCTATTAGTTCATGTTTTATCAAAGCAAGAAGATTGGCAATTATTGTTTTTCAAAATTTGCTTTTTTAAAAACTAGACTCGCCCATTTTCGTCCAGTTTGCTGTACGTTGAAACTAGTAGGCCAGTAGGACTGGAACTCAAGCTATAGCCAACGGGACGGACGTAAGGGAGGGGGGGGGAGGATGCAATGGAATGTAGTTATTAGAAGAGTTTCGTGGAAATAATAAGCCGGAATCCTTTGACCTTTATCACTGAGCACTCGGAAAATCAGTATGATTGCTTTGAAAACCCAAACTCTCGCTCAAAATATTTATTTATCAACGACAATGATTCAAACACTTTTTTACAGCATTGAATAATAACTTTGGGAAGCGGTAAATTTCTGAAGCTTATTATTATTACCGAGCAATATTCGAGTCGTATTCTGAACTGTTGAAGCACGTTTGAGCATCTGAGCCATGTGTTACAATCTACTAAGTCCTTTAGGTCAGTTGAACTTTTAGGCGAATGATATCACTGTATTGATCATTCACCAGTTAGCTTGCTTTCGTTGAAGTTCCGTGAAGTGGGAGGCCTCGTTGGAGCGCATTTTTATTGTTTGAACAAATATGAACAAGGATATATTGCTATTACGACCTCTGGCTTGCTAACATTTTCTTTTTATTTGCATATTATATCCTGATTTCAATTTTATTGTTCTCACAGTCTGTCGACCTTGATTTCTAATCACAAATCAACATTTTAGCCCCACAGGCTCCACCTGAATACAGAGATGTCCCCGTGGGGTATGTCATAAAATAAATTCTTAATGTTGCTGACCCTGTTTTAACGTGATGTTTACTTTCTTTTCAAGAGAAGCTAGCTTTCCAATTTCCTGGTGTTTAGTAGCCTAGCTTACTGTACATTCGCTGTTATTTTTTGAATGTAATTGTTGTTTTTATTTCATGGTAGGGATTAGTTTCATGAATTTGATACTGCTTCGAGTCTTTAAATTCAGTTGAATGTTTCACACATTAAAATGATTCTACCAACTCGGTTTCGCAATAAGCTTGGCTGTGGAATTAGCATAACAGTGTTTGCTCACGCATCACAAAAAGCAGTGACTGCCTGTTCTTCAAGGACTCACTTCGCCAGGGCATATAGTTTTCAGCTTTTCATCGTCATGAGGTTTTATTTGTTTTCGAGTATTTTCCCATTAAACCAGATGTCGAGTTTTTGTAATCCCCATATCATCATCGAAAGTAATTGTCATGAAATTGTGTGATCAACCATTTAAGAATTACCTGATCTGTATTTTTAATTTAAAAATCCTCGTAAACTCCGCCCAGAAGGTAAAAATCACTGATAAACTGATAACCCCTATTCCAATTTATTCTTCGGCGGTGACTGTTTGTTTCTTGATATATTCTACCCACTGTAACCCTGGATAAATTTGACAAAGAGGGAAGCTTGGAAGTTTCTTTTGTCTGTATATAGACGTTTACTCTTGGTTGCCATGGCAACAATATTGAGGAAATTTAAGGCAGTGCGCAAAGAGGTGATTTGTTAGTTTTTCTTTGATCATTACTGACAAAGGGCTAAGGATAATGCGACATTGTTATTAAGAAGAAGCTCATCTGCAGAAGTTTGCTGCACGTTGGTCTATGTTCTTTATTGGCTTCTGCCTTTTGTTTGGAGTACTAAGTGCTTGACAAGCGCTCGAGGCCAACTTTACCAGTTGGGAGTTTATATGTGACTCAACTTTACAACATGCACAAGTAAAGATCAAGACTGCCAAGTGTTCGTAAAAATTTATCTTGGAATGGCTCGTTTTTGATAAGGAGATCATTTGTGCGTGTTTTCTTCAGCCTGGATTGTTGCAAAGCGGCTAGGATTGCCTGTTTTTGATCTATCGATTCAGCTCTGCTAATAGTGCTATCTCCAGCATTCTTCTGGAAGCTTGAAAGTTGCATCGGGAATGTCTTACCATCTTAATTGGTCGGTGATTACTTAAAATAATATACTCTACGCTTTACTCAAGCAGTTAGCCGCAAAGGAATACCAGGTGTTTTCAAATCTCTCCGTCAATTATCTATTGGATGTTGGGAACAATAACGTTCGGTTTTCCCAAATCAGCTGCAGCTGAAGGTCATTAACGGGTTGGCTTTTTACAGTTATTTATAATACTTACAAACATGTATTTTCAGCTTTCTTCGAAAGGTTAAAAATGGAAAAGTGCGAGAACAATTTTGAGACTATATCGAACTTCGTTGGCGTGATATTTGGCATTCTTAATTCGTTGATTTCCCTGCTGTCTTTGATCGGGAATTCCACGATATTTTACGTGTTCTTGAAAGATCGTCGACTGCGCAAATCTTCGAACTTGACTTTACTGTCGCTTGCCATGACAGATTTGTGTGGAGGCTTGTTGCATGGACCTTTGTTTGTCCCGCAGTTGTTTGCACTGGAAATGCGCCATAATTGCCCCTTCAACACGGTGCGAAGGTTCTTTTCCGCTTTTCTGACGGGTGCGTCTATGAGCTGCATCGCACTGGTCAGCTATGATCGTTACATGCATCTCTCGAAGGGCCATCAATACACCGCATACATGACGATTCGCAAAACAGCACTCCTAATTGTGTTATGCTGGATGTTGCCTGGTTTGAGCCCGCTTATGAACTACATCAGTATCGGACATGCCTTCTTCTCCAGTGTCATTTTTATTTATACTTTTGTGATGTTGTTCATTATTATAAAATCATATTTTACAATTATGAACATTGTCAAAAAGAAAGAGCTGCAGTTGAAGCAGGCTAGATCAATGGCCAAGAATAGTGGCACTGATGCTGTAAGTGCGAGTCGGCTTCGGGCCGGACGAGCGATCGCAAGCGTTATTCTATGCTTCATTCTCTTCTACTCCCCGTTGGCTGTATACCTTGCGCTGGTTGCTGTAAGTGGCTTATCTGGCAAGGCCTTTCTGCAACAGGAACATTTTGATATCATCTATATTATAATAATTACAGTATCTCTTACTAATACCATCATCAATCCGTTCATATACTATTACCGCATTCCCGGCTTCAAAGAAACGTTGCTGCGGCGTTTGGGTATTGCAAGAGTCCGCCCTAGTGCCAGCCTATCATTGCGGGTTTTAGAATCCAATTCATAATCGTCGTGCCTGTTCTAAATTGTCACTCCTATATCGCTTGTTTATCGTCAATTTATTTTATCTTATAAGTTTAAAAGTCTATGGTAAGGCGAATAACACAGTGCAAAGAGAACTGCTGCGAAAACTTGCCAAAGAAGCAAGAAATATATTGTTTACTTTGGGCACTTACTCGAAGGGAAAGCCTCTGATTCATCATTTCAAAACAATGCAGTTTTGCAATTAAAGCTACATGTTTAGATTTTCTGTTCAGCGACCAAGCCAGCTCTGTTCGAGCTTATCTGTTAAACATAGCACGGTGTGATTTGGTTGTTATGATTGGATAAATCCTTTCTAAAGCCATAAATTTTGGCGCTTGGTTGAGAACGATCACTTTGTCATGACCCAACCATCATGTCCCGCTGGACTCTCTTTGGCTAAGAACACAGAAATCAAATAACGAAATTTTTTTCTCGCAATACATCCGCCAATTTTAGATTGGAAGGCGTCATGGCTGGTTGTTAAAAAGTTCCTTAAAAACGTATGGAATCTTACAGTCCTTGCGGATGAATGCTCAAGGGGAATGATCCTTGATATGGTTTCTACTGAAAAGCGAGATGATATTCATTTTCTTTGTATTTACACTACGCATTGACAAGGCCCTGATTTTGATCGAGCAAAATGCAGGAAAATAACGAAACCAACGCTTTTCCTTCCGCAGCAATTATCTATTTCCTTCCAGGCTTTTTTTATAAAATGCGGTCGATTTGTCTTTAACGTAGACTGAAAATCAATATTTTAGTTTCGAAACTGGTAGATTGGTTTATTCAACAGGAAGAGATGAAATTATTTATTATGATAAATGAAACTATGTTTATAAATTTCCTAGTTGTTTTCTTTGGTTTTTTCTTTTGAAAGCCGCTGTATGCAAAACTTTCAATTCCATTTTGAGAAGATTGCTCAATATGAATATTTAAAGAGACCTGATAATGATTGATAAAGAGGAATTGTTACTGTTCCTAATGTTAAAGATTTGAAAGGCATATATTGGTCTGATGTAAACAGAATTTGATACCTAGCTGCGTTTGCGCTAATCTCGGCTTCTTTTTGAAGCAGGGCTGCAGAAGTTATTGGAAACTGAAAACAAGGTTCCGAAAAGTAATTAAAGTTGGAGAAAGTTTTTCCAAAGTAAAAAATTTTACCAGCAAAAAAAGAAAATTAATTTAGATAAAGTAAGAACATTTGATAGCTACAGCATCTTTTACAATACAAATGGTTTTTTTCTACTTCCCTTCAAATAAAAATGACCTAGTTAATTTTGATACAAGTACAAACAATTGTGTGGAATTGGTCGGGATTAGAAGTGATTAGATGGGATTATAGAGTAATTTTATTGCTGAGTGCCTACAAATGTTTTCAAACATTCTTCTGACAATCCGTATGATATTTGCATCATTAGGAGACTTTGGGCAAGAACAATCTGTATGCAAGTTGAATTATGGTATAATACGTTCATTTCCAGTAAACATTCCCCTTTTAATATTCTTCTTTGCCATAGACTTTGTCCTGAAAACTTTCCCCTTTTCAATAGGTTCCCAATAACAAACAATTTTTTTGCAAACTTGTTCGGTGAGGTCCCCGCTGAGTTTCGGACTCAAACACAAAATCTCCTCCTTAATCTAAAATGCTTAACCCAAATGAACCCTACTGGTACAATTCCAACAGGAATGTGACCATTTTGAGCGTCCCCATGAAAACACAGTTTTTGATGCCGTTTTTGTATCAACATATAACTGGTTACAGTCAGGTAAACTCTTTTAGTTGCTGAGCACCTTAAGCATATTTGACAAACGCAGTCCAAAATGCAATGGATTAGCTTTGTGCTTGGCAACCATGATCAGCATTCACTCTGTTGTTTGATTTTTCAACTTTCTTTGAAGGTTTTGATAGCTTAAAAGATGGAATTGGGTCGTTTTAACATATAAGTCGGCCATATAAAACGACACAAAGCTTTTGATGCGCCAATGAGCAAAAGTTTTATTTCTTATTAAAAAATACACTATAAAGCAAAAACTGTTACATTAAATAAATTTTATTTCTTTTAGTTGATTTCAATGTTGCAAGGTCGTTTGATTATTGGCTATCCACAATTTACAATGATTTAGAAATAATTTTAATTTTCTGTCTTCAGCAATTAGTTTAGTTTCTACTTTTTACGATCCCTCTTCTGCGTTTTGAAATGATCATCACTGCTTTGTCTTTTTCAATTCAGATACAAAGGCCCTGTACCGTCGTATGTCGAAAAAGTGCTAATAACGTCTACCATGGAAGAGGTGTGGTTCCTCAATGCTCACTTCTTGTTACCATTCAGACTTGCTCTTTTTCTTTGCCTGCCTTCAATTCAACTTCAAGAAAAATAATTCGTACGATACACCGTCGTACTCGATGTCGTCTACAATAGGACCTTATTTGCTCACAGTTTCTGTCAGAGTTAAGATGTGAGATATCTGGGATTTCAAATCCATCAAGTTTATCACAACCAACACTCTATTCCAGGGTTGCCATATGGTCTGGGTACTAAGTAACCAAACTGTTTATGAAAATAGGCCGAATCACGTCAATAAAGGCCAAATTTACCTATAACACAGTAACGTCATAATGCGCAAGCGCAGTAAAAAACAAGCACAGTTTGCAGTATATCCGTTGCCCTTCCCGTCACTAGACTCTGTAAGCCAAATATATTGCGCTTCCCAAGACTCTTGTACTTCCTTGCAGTGTCATATTTACTTTGCCACTTGGTAATCGTAGATAAAAATTCGAGAAAATTAAAGCATTATTCACTATTTATTCTAACTTTTTACAAATGGGTAGATCAATCTCTGCTATTATGCGAGTTATTGATTATTGATAAATTGCGAATTTTATTTCAAAATGGGTTTGAAAAAAGCAAACATTTTGAGTCATACTAGAGCTTTTCGTCTGACATGAGTTTAAAACGTTAGAACATAGATCAAAAAAGTTTTGAATTATAGCAATGACTTCGCGTTATTACATGAGCAATTCAGGCACTGGTTCATTTGGATAAAATCAAATGTCTGTCTGGTTCATGGGCATATTATGGTCATTCTTTTTTTTGATTTTATGTGGTTTTGATATCATTTTTTAACATTCCTTTAGGAGGCCAAAAATAGCCAAAATGAGGCCGGAGGCCAAAGCAAAACTGCGTAGCCAAACATGCTTTAAAAAGGCCAGATTTCTCAAATTTGGCCCCCCAGTAGGCCAGTTGGCAATCCTGCTCTATTCGCGATTCAGCAAGGCCAGTAAACATCTAAAAGATTAAATATGTCATCTTGCATTGCAGGCATTCCTGATAAAAATCTTGCTACGTCAGACAAGACGACCTGAACTTGGAGACAAATTTAGCAGCAGACATGGACAGAAAGGGTGAGAAACGTCAATGAAAGAGGAAATGATAATACTGTTAGAGATACTGTTTAAAGATTTCTTCTAGTTTTTCATGAAGCTGTGTTTGTCGAAAGTTTTCCTTAAAAAGCTGTATTCATAGCTCGTATTCATCAATCAACAAACATTGATTTTGTCACCAAACATTATGATAGCTTCTGTCTACCAATAATGTTGTATGTTGGATCAATGTGTTAGTTCAGAAATCGATGAAACTTTTACAGTTATCTTTAATTACTTTTCACATTCTGATTGGGTGAATGGTCTTTAAATTGATTTTCGTATCGATTCGATAATTATGACAAACTTTGCTGTTATCTTCTTGACTGGTTTTTTATTGTTTGAGTAATTTTCTTGTTGAATGGTTATTGATTTATACATTTTTCTTAGGGTCTGTGGTCTAATAGTCAATCAGGAAGACATGCCATTTACAGAAATGGTAATTTCACCATTTTTCATCCTTTGTAAAGCTTGGCCTGGAACACCTTTCCCAAAATATTAACAAAAGCCGCTTAATCCCTGTATTTGTAATAACAAATTTGGTTAATAGACGACAGTGTTGTGAATATTAGAAGTTTAAGGTTTAAGACCTGTTTCAAAATAATACATAAAAGCGGAAAGAAAATGCACGATCGTCGTCCGACAGTCCTGGGAGTATGGAATGTCCTCGTTTTGCCGTGTTCTACCTATCATTAGTTGGATATTTATATTCAGGTGTGGATCGAATGTCACTTACGAAAAAGAATGACGCGTATGTGTGGTACCCTCATTAATCAGCGACCGCTAATCCCTCAATTAAGTTTATGTGTCAATGAGAAAAAACGAACTTTTTCTGTCTACAATAATCAGGGTACCTAGATATTTCCCAAAACATTTTTATGTAGACATGTTCCGAAAGGCCTTCATGAAAAGGCCATGTTGCTTGCCAATTGATTTTTATCCACATAGGTTTTGGTGCACTCTAGAATCTTTAGTAAATGTTGACATTTGGCAGAATGGCCAAAGGTGATGGATTTAAGTTGCTTTTCCCCCTTAATTGTTTATAAAATTGATCTAAGATAACAATATTTGCAGTTAGAAGATTATATATATATATACCAAGTATTCATGAACTTTTCTTTTTGACTCTTCTGTTTTGTTTCACAGGGAATATGCCCAGATATTGTAAGTCCTTATTTTTGTTATATAATATTGTCATTTTCGTACTTTGTTTATACTATGATAGAATCTTAATGTTTAGTAACGAAATTTATTTTCATTTCTATCCAGTTAGTTATAGCTAAGTTTTCTATACCCGAATTTATCTATTTGAAATTCATGCAGATAATGAACCCACATGGTTTTCCGTCTCGAATGACCGTTGGCAAGTTGATCGAACTGATTGCTGGCAAAGCAGGTGTCTTGGAAGGCAAATTTCACTATGGCACCGGTATGATCTGCTACATTCTTTCCGTACAACACCTATTGTAATCCACACGTGTTCAATTTCATGCTACCATTTTAGTTATCATTTGTAGAAATTTAAATAAAACACGTGATCAGATGGTAGGTCAAATAAAACACATAATCATCACCCAGACTCTAATGAACCTTTTCATTAGCTCTTCGTTGTTGCTTGAAGATACCCGACGAGTTTGCTCATGTTTATATACAGTACCAAAATGCTACTCAATTTTCACGACACTGTTGAAGTTGTCGAAGTGAAATCTTGCATATCCTTGCAGATCCACTGCTCTGGTACGCAAAACGCATGCCTGATTATAATTTGATTTGCAACTACCTATGAATATCCCTCCCAGTTACTTCCACTTGCCCCCTTCCAAACAGATCCCTGAAAACGATCGTCAAATCACCAAAATAAGATAAATCAATTTTTTGTTTCTGCTCGATCGAGTGTCGTTTTTGTCGTTCGGCGTTTTATCCGTCGCCTGTCTTTAGCTAGTCTTTTTTCGTTTTGATTACCTAGTGCCGTTGCCTACTATTTTAAGGTTTTGTTGCCTTTTATTGATCTTGAAAGCATTATTCTTCTTGGATGCTTGAATTCTTTGTTATTTTTGGACAGCTTTTGGTGGAAGTAAAGTGAAAGATGTCTGCGAAACGCTGGTTCGATATGGGTTCAATTACCAAGGAAAAGATTACGTCACATCGGGAATAACCGGGTATCGCAAATTACATTTGCTTTCCATTTTCACAATAATAACTTGTTTCCTAAAAGCTACTCGATTAAATTTTTATTGCCTTATTTCTTTGTCGACCTGAAGTTTTTTGTACGCGGTGTTTATGTTTTTCTTTTGTAAATTCATGTTTCAGTGAACCCTTGAATGCGTACATATTCTTTGGACCAGTTTACTACCAAAAGCTGAAGCATATGGTTCTTGATAAAATGCACGCTAGAGCAAAAGTAAGTTTGAACTTGCCATTTCCATGCTATGTCGTATTTCGAACACCGGTGTTCGGTTTGCCCCAAACAATCAGCACTTACTCGTTTCATAGATCCCCTCTTTCAACTCGAAATTAGCGTCCTGAAAATTTTCACTAATTCTGATCGTTCATTGCATGTTTCTTGTTCCCGTTTGTACCCTTTAGTTTGAAAATTTCTCTTTTAAATGTAAATGTAAAACTGCAAGATATTTATTTCATCAGTTTGTTCAAGCCCTTACTGTTTGAGAGACCCTTATCATCTTAAAATAAGCAATGTGTGCAGCATTTTTAGCAGTGAAACTCAGTTGGCATATTTTGTATACAAAGGGCCCAAGAGCTGTTCTAACAAGGCAACCTACAGAAGGAAGAGCTCGGTCAGTGTTTTCTTCTCAGTTTTGTGTTATCATCTTTATTTCAGCTGATGTATTTTGTAGAACAAAATTATTTCTTTTGAAGCATTGAGGCGTTGTGGTAGAGGAGACCTACCTTGAGCAAAAAGGTGCTGGCCTGGACCCTTTCAGATGAACGGCACAAAAGCTTAATCTTTTATGGTATTAGTGTCCAAAAGGAAAGTGTTGTAGCCAACCAAAGGAAACATTATACTTGCCTGGGTAGATTCCTTAATGATTCTTCTGGTAATTACAATTTAGACATGATCTTCTTCTTCTATGATCTCAGGGATGGTGGCTTACGTCTTGGTGAGATGGAGAGAGATTGTCTAATCGGATACGGGGCCAGGTGAGCAAGCCATTCTATCGCTTCATTATTCTTCTTCCCCCTACTTGCTTGTAAGAAATTTTTCAGCATAGTGAAAATGCCTTTATTGGAACTTTTCAGTCTACCGAAATCGCTATTAAAAGCATTATTTCTGTCAATTTGTTCTTCATGTTTCCAGAGAAATGTTACATGCTTAATCTTAAAATGGTTTGGAATTGTTTCGTGTCTCGTCGTAATGAATTGTGGTATTTTAAATGCTGTATTTTACTTCATTTGTATTCGTTATTAATTTTTATTTTTAAGTTGTGTCATTATATTGTAATCTTTCCTCTTTCTGTGCAGCATGCTCCTTTTGGAAAGGCTCATGATTTCTAGCGATGCCTTTGAAGTCGATGTTTGTGAGCACTGTGGGCTCATGGGATACTCCGGATGGTATGGCACGAGTTTCTTTGCTCATTTCTACCGTTGTCGATATTCTCATGTCCGTGTCTCCTCTTTACTGACCCATTCATTTAACAGTTTTAGACTCAAAATGTAGACGAATCTAGGGAAGCAAGATTCAAGGAAGCACCAATCAAGAGAAGTTGGGGGGTACCCGATCAAACTTTTCAGAATCAGGACGAATTTATCCCTCCCCACTCCTCAGCTCTATTTTTGCCTCGAGCCTGCATTCAGCTCACATATGTTTTGCGTTTGCAAAAATAAAATTGTAAAATGCCTGTACATCTTTTACCTTACCTGGTGATTTCAACGTGAAGACGGTATTTTGATATTCTCTCTTTCAGGTGCCACTATTGCGAGTCATCGAGACATATTTCGACTTTACAGATGCCCTATGCCTGCAAGCTTCTATTCCAGGAACTACAATCAATGAACATAATTCCAAGAATTAAACTGCAAAAATATCTCTAGGTTAGATGATTCGTTGTGTTACTTAGTTAGATCAATACGTAGTTGTCTGAGGGAACGGTCATTTGATTCTCTTTTCACTAGATCTAAGTCTTTTGAGGAAGCAAACGTTTCTTTTAATTGTAAGGAAATTCTTTACAAAAACGTTTGGCCAACACATCTAGGCTACGTTTTATAAAACTGCATATGCTGCAGTTTTTTGTTACATTACAAATTATTTCTCTTTTGAAAAGTACCGTTTAAAGTGATAAGTACCGAGACACTTCAGCTCTCTACCAGTCGGTCTACGTCTACTGTTTTATGAAGTAAGATTGGAAAGTAATTTTCATTAAGTAACACAGCAGGTTTCTTTAATTTCTTCATTTTCTCCCGCTGCATGACACTCATTTTTCATAAGAAAGCCAGTTATAAGAAGCCTCTTTCCTGTTAATCGTATATCTCTGTCAACACGGATCGAAAAGAAAATTTCTCCTTTTTCCTCAGCGTTTCATTTTCGATAATGTTTTCACATATTTATACAGGCAAATCATTCCTAAAATTTATTATTTCAAAATATGGAATCCGTAGTTATTTCGAATCTGTGGTATCTTGACATATCGCTCGTACAAATCTTCGCCTATCAAGGAAAAGCAAGCAAGTTTTGTCTCACTTCGATTTGCAATGTATAACGAAATGACGATGACTCTAAGAATAAGATCCATCAATGCAACTACTGGAAAATTCACTTGCATGTTCTGCAGCCTGAGTTTTAATCAAAACAGCCCTTACCATGGAATAACACTTGAAACACAGTGTAAGCCAAGATATGCTGAAGCGCTCAACATAGATATGCTGACAATTTACATAGAGACAGAAAAGCACAGGATGCCAGCCATTCTGCTGTGTCTATTGTTGCAGCGACCTTGAAAACGTTTGTATTATATGAAGATTGATTGTATACCATCTTAAGCTAAATGAAGAGTTGAAGAAGTGACTACATCCATGCTACAACACATTAACCCATAGGCGTAAACTCAGGGGGGGGGCTCTGGGGCTTCAGCCCCTCCTGACGAAAACCCTGGAAAATAAGGAAATGCTTTACCAATTTTTAGATTAGTTTGTTATATTATTGGTTTGACGCATAAGATTTGTTGCATTAGATAATTGCGTTAATGAAAAATTCAAGGAAAAATCGCCTTCAAGCCCTTAGCTAATCCACTTTCTATCCTGTGACATCAGCAGCTGCCATTAGGAATTGTCATAATGAGCCCCCCTGAAAAAAATGCAAGTCTACGCCTATGCATTAACCAATGTATCAAGAGCAATTATGAATTTTTTGGATAGGCAATTTACTGCCTAGATGAGACTGGAAACCGAATCAAAACTATCGTTAGTTTATTGCTAACTTTATGAAAAGCCTGTACAGTTTGCAAAATCTTTTGAAACGTGTTGAGTTGATAAAAGAGAATAAGGAAATAAAAGCAATGAAAATAATAAGACGGTTTTAGGATCATAGCTTATATTTTCTATAGATCCTCATCTTGATATAATTATATAAAAGCGGCAGAAAGATGCATTGGTACTTCAACTCAATTACCATAGTAATGTACAGCGCAATGATCATGCCCCCTATTTAGTTGATCAATGTGGATTAGTTGGGCTTGGATGGCCAGATTCTTCTTTCCGAGCATCTTCTAAATCTTTAAGCTCAAGATTGGCTGCCTTACACTACGTAATGACAAACCAATCAAACTTCCTTCATATAGAACATATTTTTACAAAATTGCAATGTCCTTCATATTCAAATTTCAATATTTTTTCTGAATATGCTGATTAACACGTCTGTTAACTGCACGTTCTCTTTAATTTCATACTTTTTAAAACAAACAAGTTAAAAAAAATATTGCAAATGAAGAAAAAGGCGTAAGATTTTCAGCGTTCCTTGTAAGACTTTAAAATCACAAAAATTTTGTAAGACTTAGCATAAAGCGTAAGACTTAACCAACAGTGGTGTCCAGTGGCATGCAAAATCTAGCAACAAGAAATGTGGCTCGATAGCTCTTTTTGAGACTTTTCCATCCCAGGGATAACTTCAGTAGGCTGAGGGCAGGAGTGTGTCATTTTAAAATATGAAAACATGCCCTAAAATTTATAAGTTTTCCAAAAACCCTACCCCAAAATTTAGATACAATATGGAATGTATTCCCTTAAATTTATTTCAATGCAAAAATCCAACAACACAATCAAGTAAATCAAAACATATTACATTTCTTTTAAAAACGATTCCCCACAATTTAAGGTCATGCTAAAATTCAATGCCAAAATTTATGACCATGTTTGATTTTACCAAAATACCCCAGAAAATGGCACATCCCTTACCACCGTGGAAGTTACCTCTCTCCCGGGTTTTCCATATATCCATCAGCCTAAAAGCTTTTTTCGTGTTCTATATTTATTAAATAAATCAGATGATCACCCAAGTCTCAGCCGGGACAGAGACGGATTTAAGTAACAACGATTGGGGGGTATATTAGACACTAATTGGATTTTGATCCCACACCCTTCGGGTCATTGCTGGATGATGGAAACGCCCACTGGAAACAAATTTAACATTCGGTTTTTAACTTAAAAGTAAAGAAGGTAAGAAAGCGTTACTTTGTTCCTACTGACTACCAAAAAATTATAAATTTACCGAAGGAAACAGAAATATTGGGGGGGGGTGTCGCACACCCTATATCCCCCGCAAAATCTGTCCCTGTTGCAGGATCAAGGCTATCGATCGGCAAAGCTGAGAGATTCTTGGTAAAAGTGGGGGGCTTGGAAAGCGGTGAAAGTCTTATCTCATTCTGTATTAAACATCAAAAATTGGATGGTACCACTCAACCATGTGGCAGTGGTCCTAGAGTTTGATTGACTGGTAGGTTATCACGTGACGTGAAGGCATGCGCGTAGTTGTTGTTTGTCCAAAAGCTTTGTGGTTGCGGTTGCTTGATGGCAAATATGGCGGTGTTTTGAAGCTTTTTTGAGAAATAACTCGACTTTAGAACAAATAGCAAACTTTTTTCTTTAATAAATTTCCAGATTGTTGTTTAATTTCACTTTTTCTTTGGACAAATGGATGCAGAAATGCCCAAAAGTGTGGATGTACCGATGCAAGTGGATGACCCGCCTATAGACAAAATGGAGGATGGTGTTGTCGTTGTTGTTGGAAGCGGGGCAATTGAATGTGAAGTTGAGAAGGATAAAGCCAGCGAAGTGAGGATACAAGCTCAAGGATCACAAGACGATGGTTATGAGCAGGAAGAACACGTTTTGGACGAAAACATCGAGTTGATAAAAGTTGCTTTAGCGGCAGAGCATGGAGCGGAGCAAACGATTAAGGCCGAAAAGGACAATGGCGCCATCAACAGCGAAGGCCTACAGCAGTCGGATATACTGTCCAGTGCGAGTGTTGTTAAAAGTAGTCAAACGGTAGCTCAGGTACCCGGGGATTTAAGTGGGGAGATTTCAAAAAAGAACAGTACAATTTATGTTGAAAATTCTTCGGCATATGGAGCTAAAGTTGTTGAACATGGGACCGAAACAGAAGAACAAAGAGACGTCGCCATTGATGAAGCCATTACCGATGAAGATGCTATCGGCGCTTTACAGGATGAGACTGATTTAACCAAATTTACAGAAACAAGGCAAGTAAGGGCAGAGAATGTCACTGATGCTACTGACAAACCAAGTTTTGACATTGTTGTGCTTCCAACTGCTGATGAAATTACAAAGAAGGAATTTGAAGAAGATGAAATGGAAAGTGAAGCAGATAGCAATCTTGCATCTATGAGACTTGCCAATTACGCTTGTGAAGAATGTGGCAAGAGGTTTACACACGTTTCCAGCAAAAAGCGACACATGCTGAAGCACAAGGAAGGTGATTCTCCCATTGTTTATCAATGCTTGGCCTGCTCAAAGACATTTCAATATAATTCAAGCTTAAAGAGACACCTTAAACTGCATTCTGAAGAAACAACAGGAAAAGCCTACACATGTACAGAGTGCACAAAAGCCTTCATGTATGCAACAAGTTTAAAGAGGCATTTGAAGACCCATTCAGGTAAAGAAATTTACCCATGTTCCCATTGCCAACGTTGTTTTGAATATGTTTCAAGCTTGAAACGACATGAAAAGCTTCATACAGTAGGAAAAGGCTTCAGATGTGAAGTCTGCTCAAAAGCATTTGGATACCTTTCCAGCTTAACAAGACATCAGCGAGTTCATCAGAAATCTCTCACTTGTGAAAAATGCAACAAAGACTTTAGACTTTATAAGAGTTATGTAAAGCATCTAGAAGAGCATGGGGAGATTCTAGGAGAGGATGTTATAGCTGCTATGCAGGTAGAGGATACAGGAGATGAAGAAGAAGAGGATGTAAAACAGGAATTTCAATCAGGAGATGAAGTTGAGATCAAATGCAAAGCAGATCACAATGATGCTGAAGGTCAAATTGCAGAAAACTCTGTTAGTGCAGATATGGTGGTTGATAATATTCCTCCATCAAGTGAAAATAGCCAACTTGATGCCATTCAAGGAGACATTATTGACTTACAGTCAGCTGAAAACCATCCATTTGTCAAATTTGTTGTTTCCCAGAATACTGTTACTCTGGAACATCTTCAATCACTTCAAGCAAGTCATGCTGCTGCCATTAGTACAGAAGGCACAGCAAATCAAGATGCTGTCACTTATGCAGTTGTTCAGGCAGCAGATGGCAGTTCTGTATTAGGTGAAAATTGCATGGCTGCAAACAGTATACAAGACTTGGCAGACAATCAGGTAGGCGGTATTGTCTTAGTGGAGTTAGACCAAAACAATAAAGTTACTGAAAGACATATGGAGGGACTGCAGGCTGCAAATCTTTTGCAGTTGTTACAGGCTGTTGAAGGATTTGCTGTTGAGGCCAATGTGCAGCCAGAAAAAGGAGCTGAACAACTTCCAGGTGCTGAGAATGAGGTTGCTTTAAAGACAGAATCTGAAGCAGACAACAATCAAGTAAAAACATAGACAAGGACTTTCTTCATCAAAGACTGCCAGTACTGCTTGTTATTTTATATGTATAAAGACCAGATATTTTTCTTTGGGTGTATTAACCTGAATACAATACAGTTGAAGCAAATAAAAACTTTTTCTGAATTGAACAACTTATTTAATGTGCTAGTAATCTTTTACTTGTCAGCTGTTCATAAAACATGAAGACTGAAAAATGTCTTTTTGCAATCAAACTTAAAGCACCTAAGGAAATTTGTGATTGGATCCCTATCCTTGGTTTGTTTTTGTTAATTTTTATTGCTTTTGTTAATTTCCATTCCATTGCCCTCTTTTTTTGAGCCGAGTTTATGACCATTGTTATCAGATGAGTTTATGATCATTGTCATTGAACAAAAATTGGACTTTAAGACAATCAAAATCACCCAATGCTAATTTATTTGGATTAGAACCTTTGTAATTGTGTTATTCTGGTGGTTCTTGTTTGGCAGTTGCTCTGTTTATTCAATTCAATTCTATATTTTAATTGTAAACAAGTCTAGAGCTTGGCAGATTTCATCTCTCCAGATACAACCAACATTGAAAGAAAACACCTGCAATTTTATTGTAAGAAGTTCATTTTTCCAAAGAATTTATGCAAAGCAAGTTTAACATATTTTATTTTGGTATGATGTTAATTGATCTCTTTAAGATAATGGACTTTTAAGTACAATATGCTGAAAACCATTTCCAGTTAAGTTATATGGTTTCCATGATTTTTAAATGTTAATATACTCACTGTTCATTGGAACGAACTTTCTACCCTATTTCCTCCAATAAACACCACCTCCAAAAAGTACCCCAGCATGATTAAGTGCCCCCAAATACTTTAAAGCTCACATTACCCAAGAATATGATCCATTGAAAATTCATTTCAAATTGTGACTTACTCTGACACATAAGCAAAATAACAGAAATAACGATATTGGAAGGAGATGTCAATAATTATGACCTAACATAGAAGAAACTTGCTTCTTTAAATTTTGGGACATTCGAATTGGTTTGTTTTGGCATTGAGAGGTTTGTTTTGTTCAGTTTTAAAAAAATTTCAAGTTTTTATTTTTTAAAGTTTGATAAGCATGTAACCTCAAATAAGTACCCCCTTGTATAAGGTTCTCGCATAAATGTTACTGAAGTATCCTTAGTAAGGTAATGAAAAGGCCCTGTGCGCTTAAAGAAGAAATATGGTTTGAAAGAATAAAGAAAAAATGAAAGCACTTGGAGCTAAAATGTTAAGGTCATGCGTTTCCTGAAAGTAAAAACAGGGCACTGAAGCTTGCCCCTATTTGCTCTCAATTAAGTGAACATCGTGAATATTTAATTGGAAGCATCCCCTCGAAAATGTAATTGGATGTCACTATGATTTGATGCACAGGGCCGTCGCAAGCTATTGTTCTCAAGGTGGTGCTTAAGTCCCGTTTACCAAGGAAAGTGGATGACTGGTCCTTCATTTGTTGATAAGTCTGAAAATTGGAGAAGAAGTTGTTCAATGGGGGTTTCGCACGCCCACCACTTCCCACCCTACCGATGGCCATGTTGGTGCATAAAATTGGTACCGATATTGAAAATTGATTTTGGAAATCACTTATTTACTTCACTTCGACAGAATCGCACATTCACACTAAACTTGCAAACGTGCATTGCAGTGAGTGGACCTGACTGCATCGATCGTAATTTTTTTCTATGTCTTACAAATTTACGCATGAGGGGGGGGGGGGTACAAAAACAAGTGGCTAATGTTGGCGGTCGTGGAAGGATGAAAATTCTAACTTTACCAGAGGAATTTTTTCGTTCTACCTTTAATTCTATTGTACCTAATATATTGATATTTGGAAAAAGCCTAATTCCAGATTTCTAGTTTCTGTAAAATTACCAGCATTTTACTTCAAACAATTAGTCTTTAGCATAAAAGCACTAAATCTCTAAATTTGGATTAACGGAATATGAACATTTAATATTTTCGCAAGAAGTGAAGGAACATAAAAACATCACCAGTATTAGATCTTGAATAAATATAATAATGATAAAAATGAACATTCTTTCAAGTCAATTAACAGTAATTCTTCTCCTTTTTCGCTTTGTCCATTTTTAAGCTATTTGCTGCAGATTAGTTTTATATAGAATGCTGAAGATTCTTAATTTCTCATTATGTCAACTACTGTATTTCCTCTAATGAACGCCGCCCTCTGACAAACGCCGCCCATTCTTAGGCAGCGGTGTTTATTAGAAGACCGACCAAGTAACGAATAGTTTATACACTTCGAAAGCTATGAAAATTATTGGGACGATGACTCTGACGGAGACAGTGACATTCCTTGAATTTTCCTCAACGTGAACACATCTTTTGCGAATTTTAAAACATTTTCTTACAAACTCTAGTACGTGTTTTTAGGAAAAGAAGACATTATAAAAGTCTGTTTTTTCTTTTTTATCCCATTTTTCTTGTCATTTCTGATTTAACACACACTTTTCATTTTGCATTAAACGCAGCCCTCTGCTAAATACCGCATCAAAAAGTTGGATTTTGTAACAAATGCCGCGGCGTTATTTAGAGGAAATACGGTACTCGTAGTTTCTTAAAAAATTCCCTCTCTCATTTTTTCTGATCAATATAGGGTATGATCTTTTTCAAAACTGTAGGCTTAATCAATACTGATTACTGATTCTAAAATTTAAAGCTTCTTATCCGGAAATTCACCTTTACCTGTTCAAAATAAGTTAATTGCTTCAACTTAACCCCCTTCAAAAAGAAGACAAAGCGGTGCAAGTGCAACGGTGACAGGGCCTTTTAGTGGGTGGGTCCGCTCCAGGCTGTGAATTTTACATTTACGAAGACAAGATTTTTACATTTAAAATCCCAAAAGTCCTCAAATATAAAATTCGCATATAAGGTCTTTAGCCTGTGCTCCAGACCCTTAACCTGAAGGAAGAGTTAAGGGTCTGGAGCACAGGCTAAAGGTCTTAAGAAAACAAAAATTACAAGTGGACTGTGTGGTTTTCCAACAAACGTCACGCCTCCCACGCCCCCTATGATTTCAGTACGTGCGCATGCGTGTTTCGTTCGCGCCAAATTTCAGTCAATGGTGTGTTGTAGATCACTATAAATTTGATGATTGCAAGGAAACTGTGAGTAATCTTTGAATAGCACATTGCAAACAATTTTTTTCAAACATGAAATGCAATATTTTACAGCCATAAATCAAAACATAATCTGAATCTCAACGTATACAGTGCAGGCAGATAATTTCTAAATGTGGAGTTCCACATGGTTTAGGCCCTGGCCCTTGCCTTTGGAACTTAGATGTGTTTGATCAGGTTTAGCCAATAAGTTCTGTGATTTGCCATATGATTACGGGCCGTTATGTTGCTTGATAATATTGTATTGTATTTGATTTTTTCATTTGATACATTTACAAAATTGCTTTCATAGATAACAAACTTATCTTCCAAAATGTGGATCCAAGTAAGGACTATGGATGGCAAGAAATCTACCCAAATAGATAAAATTAGCAAATTGACCTTAATTGAAGATTTAAAAGCAAAGATCGCTGGAGAGTTTGGTGTTAGTGCTGAAAGGCAGCGGCTTTTCTTCAGTGGAAAACAGGTATGTATGGGACAAGGACTTGCTGTACAATCATATGTTAGGCTGTGTTCACATTGACAGCTTGTCTTGGCTTGGTTGATTTTGCTTACATAAGCGCACTTTGGTTTCTTATTTCTTATTCATACTCTTGGCCTAAGATCATAATATAATGATATCTTTTAGCACTTGCAATAGTGTTTGTATTAAGAAAACAGGAGACTGGGAACCCATCTCATTAACTTAGCTAGAAAACTGCGAATAAACCCTAAAGAAGTTCAATCATTGCTCTTGTTCGATCTTTTTTTCAAATAAACTGCATCTTTATTTGGAGTTTTTGTTCTGCTAGAGCTTTGGGGGAATTTTTTTATGTTTATTTTTGAAAAAAAAATTGGAAGTACAATTCTCCAGGATTGCCATTTGTCCACTTTATAGTCCTTTTTAATTGTCAAAATATTTGAGAGGAAACCTTGTGACTGCATTTTTTCTGGTTAGAGGGTTTGTGCAAAGATAAAAGCATGCATTTGCAAGGAGCAAAAAGCCTTAAATCTATCATCAAATAAGAGTGCAGTATAAAAATCAAAATCCCATTAAGTGATAAATAACTTGATCAAATTAAACATCTCTTTTCAGCTAAAAATATATGATAATCCCTCAGCAAACAATATAATTCCTCATGGCTTTGTTATTGTCAGATCGCCCATCATGCCTTCGATAAAATACTTCTAAGCTTGGACAAGTTTGGCACAACAGAACATTTCAAGGACAGAACAATTGATATTGTGTAGTATTGCAAAACCTTTAAAGGTAATGTGTCCAGCTAAAGCAAGAAACTCTGCAGGGGTTTTCAGAAACATGTGACTTTTCATGTCATGGTCCCAGCCATTATGGGCGTTCTTTTTATTTACACTGCTGTCAGGTTGGCTTTTCATGTGAGCGGCATGTGAGGCTTTTCATTTTTCTTTAACTATCAATTTAAATTTTATTTCTAGTTGGAAAATGGTCACACGCTGTTTGATTACAATGTTGGCTTGAATGCACTTATACAAGTTATGTTCCGAATTGAGGAAGTCTGTAGCCCCAAAGACAAAAATAAGAAGTCACCTAAAAAGAAGGAAAACAACAATATTGTCTGTAAAGAAGACCTACAGGTATTTGTTTACCAAATTTTGTTGATTGTCTTTTTCTTTAAAAACATGAACTTGTTTCTTCATATTCCTTTTTCTAATGTTCCAGGTGAAAGTAAATGAAGCAGATGACAAGAATAATGGTGCACTTGCTTCACAGTTCAAGGTAATTTCATTTTAAATTTGTTTGTTCTTGCATTTGTACATCAGTCATAAATTTGCTGGTGTCCTGGTAATAATATTCCTTGAAAAGTTAAGGCGTGGGATGTTGTGTGATCTATAAAAAATGGACCTTAAAATTTTAAATACAATATGTACCAACTTGTGAAAATATATCACAGTTGGAAAAAGTGTATGGGGTTTTTTAAGGTCATTTACAAGGGACCTCTGAGCTGAAAGGGTAGGGGGTTTGATGAATCTGAATAATTTCGGACATAGGGGGATAGGGTGTTTGTTCTGTCCATCTTTGCAGAAAAGCTTGCAGAATAAGGTGGCAGCAGATACCAGTGCCATTTTGTGCATTGCCAGCAAATTTTCACCTTGCTAGAGCTGGCAATAATGCATCTCAAGATAACTGGCCACAAAAAGTTGGCACTGAGGAGTGTTACAGGCAGCAAATGAGAAATATGAAGTAGCAGTGGGCGACATAGCTCTTGTTGTGGATAATGCCACCTTTATGAAGCAGCCATCTGCAGAAACACAATTTTTGTTGGTTATATATCTAATGCTGTGTTTGATATATCATCATACAAAAACCTGTTAGAAAATTAAAAATTGTGTGTCAAGTCAGTTTCTGATTAGAGCCAAGAATAGCTTTTTACTTTCTTTTTACATATACATGGTTGAATAGCTTTCAGTATGATATGGGTGGTGGTCCGAGGGAGGGATAGAGGGTTCTGAGAATGGAAAATTTTAGACAAAGGGGGGGAGGGTCCGAAAATACTTTTTGTAGGACATCCTTTAAGAATGGCCCCTAAGTTTTTAGAAAACAAAATAATTTAACAAAAATAATACATGTTTTTAAACGTAATTATGCTCTTGGGAAATGCTATCAAGATAACACAAAAAAAATTAAAAATTAGGATAAAGAAAATTAACGAGAAATTAAAAAAAGAGGAAAAGAAAAGGCCAGTCAAACATGGTGTTGGATGTGCAAATGCAGGCTCTGGAGTTTCAGGCATGTGGGAAGCCTATTACTAGGACTTAAACAGGTGTAATGTTTTACCAAAAAATTATATTTTCATAACAGCATTACTCTGATTTTTAGGTTCATGACAAAGTAGATGCAATGGATCCTACAATGGGTGCTTGGTTTGAGGCAGTTATAGTCAAAGTAACACAAGATGATATAGATAGTAAATTATGCTACCATGCACAGTTTGAAGGGTAAGAACACTGTTAATATGATTTATTCTTATTTTCATTATAGAGACTTGTCATCAATTTTAAAGGGGGTCATGTTTTGTGTCATTTAGCCTAACATGAACCAAGATAAACCAAAAATAACCTATTCCTAACCTATGGCTGTACCAAGACAAGTCCAGGCTAAGTACACAGGCAAAGATGTTTGTAGACTTTGAATTTGACTACAAATTGTTTTGCACAACAGCACTCTATCAGATTCCACTTGTCAATGAAGGCATTTGAGCTGCAATAAACAAAGCTCACAGTTATATTGCTAAAGTGTAATGTATGTGATTTGATTGATATTGTTGGTCAGGTGCATGTGCAAAAAGTCAAGTGTAGATGCAAGCATGTGCAAGTTTTTAAGCTGGGTTTAAATAATACAACAGAAATGCTTTGGTAGTCAGCAAAAATCATGTTATTGGACATATTTTTATTCTTTGCAAGTTATGATGAAAATGAAGTTCTGAAACTCAAGGAATCAGAAGTCAGACCAAGAGCACGAATGATTCTTAAGTGGGATGAGGTAAAGTTGATCTAAATGCCCTTAAGTATATTGAGATTACTTTTCTGGTACTTTTTGCAACCAAATCTGATTTTGTTTGATAACATAGTACTCTTTTTTGTGAAAACCGTTCTTAAGTTTCTTTTTAACTTAGCGGATGTACACTCCCCTTCTAAAAGTTGATTAAAATTATTGGCCTCATTCTTATTTATGCCTTGTAAGTAAAAAAGTATTATCACAGTAAGTCAAAATAGAGCAAAAGGTCCTTGAAATAAGCTAAATCAGCAAATACATAGTGAGAAATTTGTTCTGAGAAAAGTTACTAGCAAATTTTTTTTTCAAAAGAAAGAAAAATAATTTTTTGATAAATGTTAAAAACACAAAATATGGAGTATGCAGGGCAAGTGGGGACAATTTTAAGCCTTTCATGTCATTCATAAGATGAATCTGCAAAATATATAGGCTTCATAATGTCTACAGCTTATTGAAACTTATGTAATAAAGCAGTTTACTGGAGAAAAAGTGGTCAACAGGCAGGTCAAAAAAGTTTCTTTGGGGACAAAAGAATTGTCGCTGAGTGTTTGCAAAGGAGCTTTGTTTGTCAGTTTTACAGGGGTTAGAATTATTATAGTAAGCATTTGGTTTTATAAGTGAGTGAAGTTATGAAGTGATGCCTATTGTCATTCTATAAATGTTAGCAATGTATTTTTCTTTTTGTTTTCATTAACTTGACCAGGCACTGTCACAACTGTTCCATTAGAACAACACTTTTGAGAAGGGACTGTAGTCCCTGTAAGGCAAGGGTTGACACTTGAACAAATATTGGGGGGGGGCAAGCCTACTGTTTTTATAAGATGACATCACATTTTCCCATTTTTTAGAACAAAAGAACATTGTTCTCCAAAGTATTGTAAAGCAATTGCCCCCTCCCCCCCCCACCCCCCAGGTGTTTGCCACTGCTATAACTGGTGATTATTTCTGGCCCAGGAATACGAACCATAGGCTTAAGTTGGGTACTTATAGAGTAATAAAAACTTATTCAATTAAAAATGTTTATTTTTAATCAACTAGCTAAAAAATCTTTAAAGATTAGAGGATTATATTGATCAAAATTATTTTATTACAAAACATGAATGAAAAACATTCTAGGATGATGATAGGTGATGGGACATAATTTACCAAATATTATTTATAAATATTTATATATTTTTCAGATTGTGTTGTCTATTCAGACTTAACAGTGCTTGGTGTCAGTTGCACAAGGCAATTCTAATTAATATATACAAATAAATTATACAGCTTAGAGTTGAAAAAAATCAAACCACATGTTTAATCTTTACAAGCCTGCTTTATGAATAACTCGCTCTTCAGGAGATGTTGATATACTATACAATAAATATTTACATATTTACAAATAAATTATATATTTATTTACGTACCTATGAAAATATATGAATATGTTTAGGGGTAAGGTACCATGAAAATGATGAGATCATGACAAGGTGATGTATGTTCAATCCTCTGGAAATTTCTTTTTTTATCAGAAAAGTAGACCCATTGTCATACCTAAGCCTAAAGGCCTTAAATTTAGTTATCATCAAGACACAGTCACAACAAATACATGAACAAAGAATATGCCTAAGAGAAAACAATAACTACTCTAGATTAATGAGATGAAAATATTGCTCACATTATGAAACTGAATTTTCTTAATGCTAATGATCATAATAATTTTTTCTTAGATCACAGTTGGTGACAAAGTAATGGCAAATTATAACTCAGATGAGCCAAAAGAACGTGGATTTTGGTATGATGTTGTTGTGACCAGAAAGGTATCTTTGATCATTTTTTTAATTAACGCTAATGTGTCTTCTATATTTTGATAAAAATCACAAAATAAAATTATAGTTACAGAAAGAGCACAAAAAACACAAAAATAGTCTTGCACTATCAGATCATCAACTCACTCAAACTTGAGTCCTTTTGCACTAACCTGAATCAATAAGTACCAACCTTGATTCACCTGTACCAAGCTGAGCCCATCCCCACTGACTTGTTACAATCAATTTAAGATGCTTATTATAAATAGTTGTTATTGTCCAGCATGCTATGCATGAGGTTGATAGACAAATCACAGCATCGAAAATTTTATGACAGATTGTTAGTTGGATGCTTTAGTACTTGCATATAATGTCCATTAACAGGCAGGAACAACCCAGTATTTGGAAGGAATGCCTGTGGATTGTCAACAACAACAAACAGTTTGGGTGTTACATTGAGAATATCAAGCAAAAAATCAAAGCTGCTTTGCTTTGTTCATATGTACTTAGGCTACACCGAATAGTGTAATCAGCATTCCACTTTTATAAAATCAATGAAGTGCTGAATCCTGAATAATCAGCGTGTTTTATCACAAGAAGTTCTCTTTTTTAATAAGAATACCAAGAGTGATATTTTGATCTATTATGATTATATTTGTCTATTTTTTGTGTTTTGTCAAAGCAATTTTTTTATTTGCAATGCTCTATGTATGAAATTTTCTTTTACAGGAAAATAAAAGACAAGCAAATATATTGTATGGAAAAATTCTTCTAGGGCAAGTATAAAAAGCCTTCTTGATCATGAGTTTTCTATTTACATATTTACCAAAATTACCACAACAACCCTACCTGTAAAACTATTCTTGATTAAAAGAAGTTTCCTATTTTTTCATGTAATGAGTAAAAGTTAGTCATATTTTTCTGTTCCCTGTGGCACTAAAGCTTTGTGTTACCTGTCAAGGCTCTTGTTAATGTTATTATCTGAATAGAAAAGGATTATCTTCTCTTTTCTGTTCTTGGTGGGTCAATATTCTTGGTTAAAAGAAGTTTCCTATTTTTTCATGTAATGAGTAAAAGTTAGTCATATTTTTCTGTTCCCTGTGGCACTAAAGCTATGTGTTACCTGTCAAGGCTCTTGTTAATTTTATTATCTGAATAGAAAAGGAATATCTTTTCTTTTCTGTTCTTGGTGGGTCAATCATTTCTACCAACAACAAATTATGTGAACCATAGATCTGTTGCTAATAAGTTAGATATTTTTTATCATAAAAATAATCCCCCTTTTTACTCAAGCAGCTTTTCATTTATCTTGTTACCAATCCATTTACATGTCATCACATTAAGATCTCTACAGCAGGTCCTTTCCTAAGTAACAAAATGCAAATGGGTCAGGGCCCTTGTGATTTCCTTGTTGCTAGTGATCATTCCAGGCAAAGTTAAACAACACACACCATCATGTACATTTCAGATAAAGCCTCGCCATGATCTAAAATCAACAATGCTGAAAGGTTAATTGATCAGTCACGGCAAACAAAAGGCCTGCTAAAGCTATATACTTTTCAAGTATGTTGCAAAAGGTTTCTGTCAAAATGAAGGTGTCAGTAATCAGATGTTTCAATTAATCTAACTCATTTCTTATAATGAAATTTTCCAAAGTACTTTTTGAAAACAAATGTTTGATTATAGAAAGAATGGTGATGTCTCAGAAGAGTGTAGGATCATTTTTGTTGATGAGATTTTCAAAATAGAGAAATCAGGTATGACAAATTTCATCAAAGTTTTGTATCAATGCTGGTCTTGTCTAAAAGATGATATAAACATTTTTAAGATCAAAAGACTTTAATAGAGATAACATAAAGATTATAAAGGGAATGTTTTAATGTTATAAGCAGAAACATGTTGCTTCAAGCATTCAAGCACTAATCAAACCATTATTTATTAAACAGTTCATTATGCTTTGTTTCCACCTTAAAATTTAATGTCAATTTTTATTCATGTTATAATTATAGATATATACTACAATAATGTAAATTTGTAAAGCAGGCTAAAACAATTGAAATCTTGCATGTCTCCTTCCTCAGGTGATGTAAATATTTCCAATGCCAATGACGAAAATATTGAAAAAAGTAAGTTGCTTCTATTATGTCAAAATTTAGGAAGTGTTTCACTATTGTATGCAATTTTTTTCTACCCAAACATGTATTGAAATTTTGATTCCATTTTAAGCTTTAAAGTTCTCACTTGGAAAAATGAGATAGCGATAACATTCTTGTTGTGTATGAGCAAAATTTTTTCCATAGCCATTAAGATTTTAGACTTATCATCGTTTTATTCCTTTTGATTTTCACTTTTCAGTTAGTATATATTTTAATTATGCCTTCAGGGAAAGTCAAACCAGACTGTAGCCACTGCAAAGATGACCCAACAAAGAGCTGCAAAGAGTGCTCTTGTTGTGTGGTAAGTCAACAGCATTGACATTTTTAGTGATACTTTGATAATTGTTTGATCACACTGCAGAATTAGTCCCTCTTTCTATTCTGACTATCCTCAGTTATTCTAATGTTATTTTGTCAAGTGTGGAGGAAAGCATCAACCTGAAAGACAGATCATCTGTGATGAGTGTGAAATGGCATATCACCTAGACTGCTTAAATCCACCACTAGAGAGTATTCCAGACGAAGACGAATGGTAGCTATGGGATTAATGTTTAAATCTTCCTACTTTTACAAAATCTTTGTTGCTTTTTGGGTTTTTTAAGTACATAGCTTTTGTTAAAAAAATGCTTTCCAAGCAGTTGCTTTTAGAGGCAGGTACAGACCCACAAAGGGTCTGGGGCCTTCCTCCAATAGATTTTCCTTACCACATACTTCAAAATACTGCAAAGCGCCCTTTTGCCCCCTCACAATGCTGCTGTTTTCTAAAGCTGGTGTGTAAGGCCCTTTGTTATTGTTTTATTTAATCCAAGAACATTCAGAGAATGTTGGTGACTTTGGTTTATTTTTAACACATAATTTATAACTTTTGGTTTCTTACGTAATATTTTTTAACATAATATATAACTATATGTTTCTCTTTTGTTATGAAAAGCAATATTGAATCTTGGAATCTAGAAAAGGAAATAGATGTTCTGTGTACGTTTGATCATTGTAAAGAGATTATTTTGAAGCTATAATATTTGCATTTAATTTTCAGGTACTGTCCTGAGTGTAGAAATGATCCAACAGAAGTAAGTGTAACTTATTTTTATAGTCAATACATGATTTGAAATATTTCTTATGATTTGAAATATTTATTATGATTTGAAATATTTATTATGATTTGATTATTAAATAGTAAAAAAGGGGGGTCCAGGGGTGTTTATTTTGAGAGTTATTCCTTAATATCCTTTTGATCTCGTAATGCTTTTATGGTCTAAAAATTTGAACTTTTAAGCATCAGGCTCTTCTTAGTAAATATGAAGAGTTGGCTAATAAGAAGACTGTGCTGTTTTCTTTTTCACGCTATCCAGAGAAAGGGCTGAGCCCATGAGGACAATGCTGATTTCATAATTAAAGTTAGCTCAAGCCTGCCTGAAAATGTAATCAGAGTGCAAGCATGACATCTGATCAAGTGTGACGGGTTTCCTTTTTGCTGTAAATTTGTAACCATACTTTTACAAAGTTTGTTTAAATGTTTGTATTCCCAGATTGTTCAGGTTGGTGATAAGCTAAAATCAAGCAAAAGGAAACAGAAAATGGCTTCCACCTCTGGAAATTCCCAGCGAGATTGGGGAAAGGTATTTTTTCTTGTCTTTATTGTTTCAGCAGCAATTAATTGATTTATTTTATATTTCTTATTCAGATATAGATGAAATTGACCGGTATAATTAGGCTCCATATTCACAAATCTTTGTAAAAGTATAAATTGACGATTTTTTTAGAAACTTGAGGTTATATTTAAATGGTATCTAGACCTGCTGCACACCACTCATGCTTACCATTTTCTGTCGACTTCATTCTTGTGCTTAAATATGCTTGCAAGAGATAGATGTCGTTCACTTTTCTTTTGCTCAAACTCTGTTTATAAATTACCTGGTTTTATAGGCTTTCAAATCTCACAGAGTTGCCTTTTGCAGCAAGCTTTTATCTCGTGTCAGTTGTTACATGTAAATATTGAGTTAGTTTCCTTTGTTTTCCAAAGGGAATGGCCTGTGTTGGAAGAACGAAGATTTGCACCCTAGTACCATCAAATCATTTCGGACCCGTCCCTGGCGTTCCTGTAGGCTCAGCTTGGAGGTTCAGGGTTCAGGTAGTAATTGCACTAACCTCTTCTTGTTTGCGGTTTTTAGCTAGCTTTACCAATACAAATTTCTTTTCCAAAGTCTTAATTTGGTCCATTCCCCTTTTTCTACTCTTTTTTTCATGCTTCCACTTTTTTCCATGTTACGTTTTTTCTTCCTTCAATGTGCCATCGTAAGAAACCACTTAGTCCATTTCAGTTTCCTTCTTTGTTCCTCCCTTTCTTTTCAGTTTCTACCCTGGCTCCATCTTTTGTTTCCAGCAGTTTACGCTTTTCTACATCTTTCTTTTTTTGTTTCTTCTTAACCTCATACCTTCCCCGCTTTTCCGCTCCAGTTCCTTTATTACTATACTACCAGAAATATCGGCCACCCAATTTGGATTCATGACGAAGAAAGGTACAAGAAATGCAATATTTGCCTTGAAGACTATCATGGAAAGATCCATAGAAGTAAGGAAAGACCTGTATCTCTGCTTCATAGGTTACTCGAAGGCCTTTGACAAAATACGACACTCAGATTTGTTTGACCTATTGTCAGAGCTAAATATATTGGGGTAAGATCTTTGAGTCCTCAGAAACCTATACTGGGAACAGCAAGCAGCAATTAGAGTCTATAATGACTGTAGTGAATACAGACCTTTTCATTAAAGTTGCAAAGAATATTGAATACAGTGGCAGAAGAAATGAAAAGAAAGTACTACATCTCAACGCAAAGAAGTGCATGGTAATTTCCAAAAAGGCCGCTATACCAACCTGCAAGATTTCATGCAAAGGAGAGATTATTAGACAAGAGAAAAATTTCAAATACCTCGACCAGACTACTACACCAGATGGGAAGAGCGACACCGCAATCAAGAAGAGAATGGGTATGTCCAAGTCCACATTTAACAATATGAAGTGCTGTTCACAAACAGGAATATAAGCCTCTACACGAAAATCCGTACCCTGAGGACTTATATCTAGTCCGTCTTTCTCTATGGTAGGGAATCTTGGTATATCCGTTGGAGATGTGGTATATCCGAAAATCTTAGGGTCTCATGGACAGAGAGAAAAACCACCGAAGTAGTAATGCGAATGGCTAAATACAAGAGATCACTACTCAACACCATCAGAGAAAGACCGTTGAAATTCTTAGGACATAAAATAAGAGTGAACGGACTAGAAGAATGATCGTCGATGTCTGCAAGTCCAGATCAGATACCTGAAGAAGAAGATCAGATTGCCTCATTAATTTCAGTTGCTTTTACCCCAATACCCTCCCCTTTCCTTTTCATCGACCTTTGCATTACTTTTGCATTATACAATTCGCCCCCTTTTCTCCAGATTCCCTATTCATTCTTATTTTGGCCTTTCCCCTCCCTTCCCTTTTCACAACGTCTTATCTTTCTCTCCAATTCCTTTTTTATCTTTATTCCGCTCCTTGTTCTCCGTCTGTCTCTTGTCTTTTCTTATGCTTTTTCATCATATCCTTTCTTCTCCTTCTTCCCCTTCACGCCTCTTTCCCCTTAACCTTCTGTCTAATTAAACCCCCCTGAATTTGTTTTAGCCTCTGTCCCGCTCTTCCTCTGTCTTTTTTACCGCTTCTCCTCTTTCTGCTCTATAACATTGCGATAACATTGCGATAATATTACGATAACATTGCGATAATATTGCGATAGATTTCACCACTTTTTTAGTTTTTAATTTGTTAATGTGAGTTTACCGTTCACCCTTTCAACTGCCTTTATCCAGTTCTGTCTTCCTGCTACTTTTGTTTCACTTCTCCCTTTATTTGGGCCTGACAAGCGCCCTTTTTGAATCTTTTCTTGTTGATTCCAGGCAAGTGAGGCTGGTGTCCATCGTCCTCATGTAAGTGGCATACACGGAAGGGAGACTGAAGGAGCATACTCTATTGTTCTAGCCGGTGGCTACGAGGATGATTTGGTGAGCCTAATTGTTTTCCCGTTTTCCTCTACCTTTCCAGTGCTTCCCTATTATTGAATTACCCTGCCCTCTCTCATCATTCTGCTCATGCAATAATCCCACCTATCTGAAGTCGCGGTATTATCTAATATAGTTACAGAGAGAAGCCTTAAAGAAACCGGGCTTATGAGAAATCTTTCTTTTTTGAGAAGCTATTGAGATGTTATTTTGATATTTTTCTTAAAATAGCGGAAACTTTATCTATTAAGAATATAAAGTTTGACAGTGCACGTGAACCTTCAAGTATTCGCTATGTCTGATACTTAATTTTTTTTTAATTTACTGCTACTTTAAATTGTTTCTGTTTTCAAAATTATTAACGAAGCAAATTTATCTTCTCTGTAGGACAAGGGAGAAGAATTCTTCTACACCGGAAGCGGTGGAAGAGATCTTTCTGGAAACAAACGAACAGCTGAGCAATCTTGTGACCAAAAACTTACCAAAATGAACAGGTTTGTTCAAATTCAGCACCAATGTCAATAGAAAATAGAAATAGAAATAGAAATCAGTAGAAATAGAAAATCGTTGTTTGCTGTTCCTTTTGTGTGTTTTCAACCTGACAACATTTGTTTTAGGGCGCTGGCCAAGAACTGTAACGCGAAAATAGATGATAAAAATGGCGGGGAAGCTGAGAACTGGAAAGAAGGAAAACCAGTGAGAGTGGTAAATACTGTACTTGTCATACTCTGGTAACTCGAACAGCAGGGGTGGCACCAAAAATTATCCAACGAAAGGGCTGACTGCCCTGGCAGAGGAAGGGGGGTGTGCTGGAATTGCTGTAATATCGACACGTCTTGATATAACTCTCTTTTGGCCAAACTCAAGAGGGTTTTCCCCCGACATTGTCGATACCTATTCCGTAGCCCCTATAACCCTCTCCAGGTGCCGCCTCTTTTCAGTATATTTCTGACATGACCGGGCTTTGAAATTGTTCAAGTTCGTCTTTCCCCTCCAACTCTATTTCTCTCTATTTCTCACCTTCCCCCCTATCCGATATAGTATCAAACATCTCACGAAAACTTTCTAGCTGCTTTAGAAACAGGGGTAAAAATGGTTTTTGGTCCCTCAAACCTGTACTGCTAAAAGAAGTTCACAGGCTAGCGATAGGGGGTGCAAAACAAAGTTATTATCGCCTTTAGGAAACCTCAGTCTGCTTATTATTTTCTCTAACTAACGTAACATCAAACCTTTAAAAATTCTCTTATGAAACTTTTGTACCAATAAAACTTATATATCTTAAAATACAGTTTAGTGCGTTTATATTGATCATATAATAATAAAGATCACATAGTGATATACTTAATCTTGATTCTTGTTATTAAAGAGTTTGTTTTATTCTTTATGCTACCAGCTTCGAAGCTCAAAGTTTAGAAAACATTCCAAATTTGCACCAGAGGAAGGGGTTCGGTATGATGGTATCTATAAGGTAGCCAATCATTTTTTAATTTGCCCTTTTAATGACAGTATTTTACGAGCTTTACAGTGTCGCTGTAGGAAGGAAATGTGAGAAGAACCTTTTGACTCGATGCAAGAGGAACCAGCTCAATCAAGATTGATGGGTCTGGACTGCGTGTAAACGACAGATATTACGGCGCCAGGAGAACTAAAATCATTTGTCTCATGCTATGCAATATTCTGGCCTTTATTTGAATAATTTCTCCTTTTTGCCAGTTTTCGTTTTTTGCTTTTTTGACGAATATCTTAGCCATTTTCATATCTATGCTTGCTTCTTAACTCTACATCATATTTCGAACTATATTTTTTCATTTTGTGATAAATTGGTGTTTCAGATCGTAAAATACTGGCCTGAGAAAGGGAAATCTGGTTTCGTTGTATGGAGATATCTTTTGCGAAGAGATGACCCTGTGAGTTTTAAAGAATCGCAATCTTAGTTCACAATTAGTTGATACAAGAACGCGTAATTTTCATACACAAGGCGTCTTTTCATTCTGTTCTTTTCTGTTTTTATTGCTGCTTTTATTATTGATTGCCCGTGCCTGTTAATTCCTTTCACCATGCTTCCACGTCACATGTCGCATTAGGCCTACTCTGTAGAGTGTTTTCTGTTCGCGAGATTTCTCTGTGAGTTAATCGTACGGCCGTTAGCTGCACACAGCCGGGCTTCCAAACCAAGTGCTCCATAACCATACGTGCTCATTTTCTGCAGACCAGGAAGGGCATTTCAAGAAGCTACTAACTTATACAAGCACATTAATTACATTGACGCTCTTCGCTCATTGTTTTAGACACCACCCCCGTGGTCCGAAAAAGGAAAGAAATTAATCAAGGATCTTGGTTTAACTGTCCAGGTAAGGATGTTTGCAAATACGCTTCTTTAAAACTGGACGATTCTTTTATCAAATTTATAATTGTTTCTCAATCTGCAAATAAAAAGAGTGATGGTAGTGCACGTGAGCTGCCCAAGAAGCGGGAAATCGTTTAGTTCGTTGTTTGTCCCTCTCAGTGAAATAGCCAATTTTTTTAACTATAATTTGACGATTCACCATTACGGTCATGTGCTCGCGTTTTTGATTGGCCTATTTTGATCCGCAACTAGGTATATATTTCTACCCTAGAGTCTCGATCGATGTTTTGACATTTAATAATCTAAAGAGTCTCAGGTGAAAAGCTTAAATATGTTTTTTAAAAATTTGTTGCTTCTTAAAACAACCAATATTAAATTATTAGTTGAATCATTTTAATTAAATACCGTTGAATATTTCATTTTTCAGTACCCAGAAGGCTATCTAGAAGCTCAAGAGAAGAAAGAAGCTGAAAAAGCAAAAAATAGCAAAACTCCAGCCAAAGAGAATTCTAATCACAAAAGGAAAAGAGGTAACTAGGACGTGATTTTACTTCGAAATATTTGGGTAAGAAATGAAGACAATATTTAAGGGAATTTTGACAAGGTGGGTTTATTCTTGAATTTTTTGTTTTCTTTTCCCGCATATTCGGGGTTAACCTTTAAAAGAATAAGCCTATTAGCTAGATGCATAAACTTTTACAAAAATTTTAGAATTGGTGCAATGGGCTTCTTACAAGAAAACGGTGCTCTTGGTTGAGATGGTCTGGTCAAATTTTTGTAAAAGATTTTCAAAGAGTACTCTCAACTATGTAAAAAGGGGTTTTCTACAATAATCGGAAATTTCTTAGCAGTGGTTTATTTCTTTTTAGAGAAAGACGCTACTTCCGAAACGCCCCAGAAGAAGTCGAAAAACGTGTACAGCCTGCCGGATGAAGTTCTGTCAAGTGTCGAAAAAGACATGCTGAATAAAAAGACTTGGAATGAACTGACGAGTGGTCTTGTAAATTACCAGGTTGGTTCTGTGCTTCTATTAACAATATCACTTGAACAATAGCTTATTTCAAAAGTTATTGTATTAGCAATTCAGTTATAAAGTTTTAGGCCAGATAGATATGATTGGTCCTCCTGAACGGAGATGAGATGTGATGCTGAATGATCGATCAATGATCGTAGTGTTTGGTAGAACTGATTATTAATGTTGTTGAATGTCTGACAGTGCTACAGCTGACTGCCAGGCTTCTTGGAAGTCTTGGGGCTCGTTCTGACTTCATTTTGTCGTCGCAAACCAATAAGACAAAGAATTGTGATACTGTATTGTTATTGTATGAGTTAGTTAAGTCCGAAAAGACACTGGATTGTTGCATGTCGATCGAGAGCACAGATGCCTTCATCCGCAGACATGATTATCTTTCAGTAAAATGATTGATTGTTCCATCGTTCCCATAATATGTCACATGCTAGCCTGCCCACAGACTCGCTTTATTTACCTGAGATGATTTTAGTTGAATGGAAAATTTAGGGTTTCTCTCCACTGGGAGTCACTTGCTTGATAATTGCGGTTTTTTCTCATCTGTTTAATCTCATGATTTCTAAAAGGTGATAGAACCAAAGACATCCTTGAAGTGATATCAACGAACCCAATTCAGCTCTCTAAAGGACTTCAATCACTTCTCCAAAGGACAAAATTATACCAACGGCTACTAAAGGCCCAAGTTGTATTTCAATCAAAATACCTCAGTTTAGCTTTTCTAAGGGCAGTGGCGAAGCTAGCCAAAAATTGTTGGTCCTGCTATATGGACAGGGCGACGCCCTTATTCAATAGGAAACGCCCATGGACAAAAATTCTTTTTTGCAGATGAATTTTTTCTTAAATTCAGTAAAAAGCAAATTTTAAATCAATGTCTATCTTTTGAAAAATAAACCCATACTTAAAGACGTGCTTTAGGGTGCTTACTTTTCAAAAAAATCTATGTTAAATTGTAGTAAGCCTCTACAGCTGAAGTAAAAGTTCAAATTGGTGATAACTAAATTTGACGATAAAAGGGGGTAGGGGTGGCATTTGAAGTTGCATATTATATATTTGTGGTATTTCAGATTTTGGTCTTATAAACCTTACCAATCTAGATACTCTATTAAAATAATTTTAATAAACAACAGAGTTTAAAGTCTGTAGGGGCAGGTTCACATATTCTGCAGAACAATTATTCTGCAGCTGATAAAGAGAGGTACAATTGAATAATGTGTCGCGTTATCAATGAAAACAACTTTATTAGCCAAACCATTAGACGAGAAAACAATTTAGGTGGAAAAAAGCAAATTCCGCTGAAATTGGTTTATTCTCCAATTCCAAACTTTCAATCACACAACAATAAATTCAATTATGCTTTCATCGTCCTTGTCCAAGTCTATGAAAATCTTATTTAGGCCATCATGATATTCCGTGCCTCAAAAGATCGTACGAAGGCCGAAATCAGAGAGCCTAAAACAGCCAATCCTTGTTGTTTGCCATTTCTTTCTCGCGAACTTTGGACTCTGTCTTGTTACAAATAAAATTTATGCAGCTCAACTGAGGCAAGTTTTGTTGTCAATAATAATATCATTGGTATTGCCAAAGCAAGCAGGAAATCCACATTCACATCGCCTCGCCATAATACTTGAACTGGCCTCCTTGCTAGTGTCTCATAGCAGAACGAGAATGCACAGGGCAATTCTTGCAGTCCTGCTTTCAGAAATAGCAGGACCAAAGGTTTTCAAAACAATGCTCTTTGACCTACGTAGGTGAACCCTCGACCAATCAAATCACAACTGCTTACGAAATGTTATGATGATCATTTCGACGAGGTCCTGCTCCCGAGATTGAGCAGGACTGCTCTTTGTTCTAGACTATTGTGAAGCAGGACTAAATTCACAAAAGCCCATTGTGAAGCAGGACCAAACATAGGGTATCATAGTTATGAGCAGGACCAAAATACAGGGTTGCCGTAGAAAAGAACAGGACCTTGAGATTAGCACGGGATGCCTGTATCAGCTGGCGGAACTGGGGACTGTTTATCAGTTAGAATTTGAAACTTCCTTTTTGCAAAGAAGAAATTTTTTATTGTTTACAGTAAATCTTATCTTTGGAAATTCTTTGTCCTGCTCAGCAGGACCAGCAGGACCTTTGGCTTCGCCACTGTCTAAGGGGGTTTGTGATTCATCTTTCAGTAGATTTTGATTTGTGATACCATTTTCTTAGGCTTTCTTGGAGTCAGTCAAAGATAGCTTCATGTGTATATGCTGTCAGGAAGTTGTTTTTGCGCCAGTCACAACAAAATGCGTGCACAATACTTGCAAGGTACGCACATTGCAGCTCTTCTTTGATGTGATTAATTCTCCTCTGTCCGTTCAGCTAGTTCTCCACTGTTTTCCATTTTTCCAATTTGAATATTTTCATTAAAATAGGTATAAGTATGATCAATGCAAATTTTTTTCACAAACAGAATGGTAATAATGTAGTTATCATCTTGGACAGATCATGTTGAGATTTTTCACCCTTCCCCCGCAACTAAATGTTGACATGTCTGTTATTAAATTGCGTGCACCCCAACCTTGAATAGGGGAAGGGGGTAGAGTCTGGACTTTACATGAATGCTGCCGGGCATGTGTTTAGGGGTTTGTCTAAACGGCTCTCTCCAAGATTGTAGCTTCGCCGAATTTTTATGTGCATGGAGTGTTCCATATCCTAAACTGGGGCTTATGTTGGGTGTTAAAAAACAGAAACATTGCCGCTAGGCTTGCTTCAGTTGCCTCGTAGCTAAGTTGCAAGACGTTGGTCAAGTTCAGCTAGAACTGACTTGCCAATTGCAAAGGATGATTTTACATATAGATAATGGACAGCTTTTACAGCCTTCTTTGCTCATAATTCTTTGCATATAACTCAGCACAAAAAACCTACCAGTTTTGGACTTGAATTTTTTGAAAACGCATTGAGTTGTTCGAAAGCTCTTTGCATTTTCAAATTTTATCTTCCCAGGCATGTTTATCGAGAGCGTTCAAAGCAGGACTGGAAACTTGCCCCGTTTGCAGACATGATATCAGCAAGGACCTCAATATCAATTCGGAACTAGATGCGGTTTTGCGAATGCTTTTCCCTGGGTATGAGGCTGGTCGCTGAATGGAATCCAATTGCAAATGTTTGCAATGAGATATCGGTCAAATTTTGTGATAAAAAGCACAGTAGCTCTTGAAAAATGAAATTCTTATCTTTAGAAAATTGATTGTAAAATTGAATGATGATATTTGATTTGACTGAAATTTGAATGGTGAATTTGAAAGAACAGCAAAAAGATACTTAAAAAGGGGCTTTTGTAGCTGTTTCTGCTGGAATTCAACTAGAGTAGAATTAATTCGAGTTTTTAAGACCCCGTTTACACCGTGTCGGATGAAATTTATCCGCATAAAACTTGTTCGGATTGATTTGCGTTTACACTGTGCCGCACAAATTTTGTCCACTTTGCCCTCCCGTTTACACTGTGCCGAATAACTGCAGTCACATGACCAAAATCATCCACAGAACGCCCAAAATGAAGTCTTCTCTGGGCAACAAAATAATAACGAAATTCCCGCCAACGTAAAAAGACTTCATTCTCTCTTCAGAATCATCTTGTTCTCTTTTAGACCAAATCCAAAGATATTGTCAATACAAATTAAGCCTAGTTTGTTTTAATAGTTTGTTCTTGAAACAAAATGACACTGAGCAAGCAAAGAAAGTAGGGTAAGCTGACAAAGATGCAAATTTTATGTGGACATGCAAGATACTTCACTTTTAACACAAGTTTTTATCGACAACAAGGCAACCAAGATGGCGAAAGGTCTTGATTGGGAGACAGTGAAAACTAAATTGAATGAAATAGCCAATCGCTCTCGAGCAAGATACGATAGGGATAAAAATTTATCTGGATAAAAGCGTTTACACTTCACCACATAGCTATCCGAACTAATTTAATCCACTTTCCTGGGTGAACTAATTTTGTTCGGATAGCCGCTCTCATATTTGTGCGGATAGCGTTGGTCTAGTGTAAACGCGACGCCTATCTGAACTAATTTTGATGCGTATAAAATTTATCCGGCACAGTGTAAACGGGGTCTAATTGTGTACCTGCTACGTGTTTGATTGAGCAGTTGTGTGTGATCCCAACGACCACCGTGATTCATAGATCTTCATATTTCCTGGTGATATAAAGATATATACCTGTACAGTTTTTCGATATACTTTTATGCATTTTGTAGCAAACGTTCGTAGCGACTCCTACTTTTGTCTACTTTTATAATACTTTACTTCCTTTTTCGGAGAAATTTTCTATATTTCAGCAGTTCGTGGTATTTAACACCTTGAAGTTATTCAGTTTGTAATAATTTGATTGTCCATGTCTGTTCGCCATTTTAACAAAATTATATTTTATAATAAAAATTTAGAGTTAATTATGCTCTCCTCAGTTTAGTTCTCATCTCGAGTAATTTCAGACCGCTAGAAATACGATATTAAACAATCGTTTGTACAATTTTGTGCCCCTTTTAAAGGGGTTAAATTAACTACACGTCCCACACTCCCCTGGCTGCACCCCAACCTCTGCGATTAATCTTTTGCACGCATCATTATACTTGACTGCCGTGATTATGCCCATTATCGGCAATGACCGCGTTTCACCTAATGAGGTGATATTGGTTTCATCACAGAATGGTTTCACCCATGAAACAATAGAATGAGAAATGTCTGTGTGCCCTGTAGCTGGGTCAAATCTACGGTTCCGTGACAACTTTCAGTAGACCTTGTTTTTAAAGTTGCTTTTGGTATTTTAAAGAACGCTCTACAAAATGTGCTTGGATAGCCTGTGTTCCAGACCCCTAACTTGAAAGTACTTTCAAGTTAGGGGTCTGGAGCACAGGCTAGTGCTTGGGTACATTTTGATTTTCGATGGGCGTTGACCGGAAATGACGTTATAAAATAGGCACCTGGAAAATCTTTTTCACGGCCATAATTTGAGACAAGTATGTCTAATTTATTGAAGTAATACATCATTCGACTTATCGCGAGAAGAGTTTTCGATTGATGTACATTAAATCACATATTTACGATATTACGAACATCTTGTTCCTTGGAACTGTTCTATGACTAAGAAACCATTGATTGCATCTGCAACTAAGAAGGCATGTCTTTGTATGAGGAATAAAGATAGCTCTGGAGCTATCATTTGGACATCTAACGAATAGCTTTTCCGGTACAAGAGCATATGATTATGATGTAAAAGTTTGGCTACAATCATGAGTAGTTTGTGGAATGTGATATATTACGTCACCATAATCCAGATAGGGACGGACATAGAGTTTATACATTTCGTTGAGCGTATATCGCGGCATGTACTTTGAAAGGAATCTCAACATCCCTATACCTTGTTTACATTTAGAAATAATTGATTGAAAGTGACTAGCGAATGATAGTTTAGAATCAAGTATGATACCAAGGTGTTTGTGCTCGTGGACCTTCGTTACTGGAATATTATTAAAAAAGATGGGAGGATGATTCGTTGGAGTTTTCTTTGAGAAAAGATATCCTCAACTGTTTGCTTAGTTGGATCAGGATTAAAAGTCAATCGCCAATAGACCAATTCGACTTACGGCCTCATTTTGAAAAATTCTTTTGTACAAAATTTTTGACCTCAGATTCGGATTGAGAGCAATGATTTTAGTCTACTTGGAAGTTTTCATTCTGGTATTGCTCACGATATTGATTTTATGACGACATTAAGATAAAATTTTTATAAGGGATTTGACCGTGATTGGCGACTAGGGGGGGGGGGTCAAGTTTCCCCCAGAATGATTTTTGCGCTCAAATCTCTTATAAGTTTTCAAACTTCATTGCACCGTAAAATCCAAAATACAAGCACAAATAATATGGAAAATTGTATCCGGCCTAAAATTATGGTGATAAAACCAAATCTGAGCTTGAGAAAGTCGTATAATTAAGTTAGGAGGCATTTTCAAAACGAGGCCGTAAGTCGAATTGGTTTGTGTGCCCAAAGCTTGATGAGGTTTAAATCATTGTTCAAATCACGTGCAGCTTCATGTGGGTCGTTTACAACTGTGAAGATCGATGTGTAATCGGCGAATAGTTTCACATTACACGTTAAGCCATCTGTCAAGTCGTTGATATAAATCAGGAAGAATAGAGGACCGAGGATAGAGCCTTGGGGGACTCCAGATGAAATACTACCCCATTTAGAAGTTCTTCCATTCAAAACAGTGCGCTGCTTTCTATCATTGAGAAAGCTTTGCATTAGCGTTAGTAATTTACAAGAGACACCACATCGGCGTAGCTTGTCTATGAGACCGAGATGCCAGACCCTATCGAGAAAAACGGACCGGACATCTACCGTAGGATTGCAGTCGAAAGCTGTAAGTATGGAGTTGACTATTGTCAAAAACTGGTTGACAGTTGAATCTCCTGGGCCAAATCCTGACTGATTTGGGTTTAATAAATTGTTTGTATTCAGATGATGATAAAGCGAGTCAAAGATCAGCTTTTCCAGAATTTTACCAAAGATTGGAAGAAGAGAGATAGGACGATAGTTTTGCTTCAAGTTCTTACTGCCTTTCTTAGGGATGGGAACTATGTTAGCTTGCTTCCAGACTTCAGGGAAAACACCTTGGCTCATACACGATTCAAAAATCAATTTAAGTGGTAGAAGAAGTGCTTCATCGCATATCTTTATCATACGCACTGAGATATCGTCACAACCATGAGCCTTGTTTCGATTTAATGATCGAATGATGTGCAAGATCTTATCGTCAGAGATAGGATGGCAGTGAGCAGTAGAATATTCGGTACAAAAAATTGAGGAAGTTCGCTACCAGTATCGATTGTGGTGCACTGTTGGATAAAAAAAATTATTAAAAATTTCTGCTTTTTCAGAAAAATCCAACACAAATACATAATTTTCTAGCAGAGGAGGGATTATTGGTATTTTGGCTTTGTTCAAAATTTTTTTGATCAAGGACCAATAGAGTTTTCTACCTGTTTCAGGATTTAAAAGTGCCCTGCCTATTTTCGTAAAGTACTTGTCCTTAGCGTCCTCAATCATTTTGGATCCAAAAGATATAATGTTGTTGATGGCCTCGAGCCTGTCCTCCGGCTGACCATTTCTTATGAAGGTCTTATAAGCCCTATTCTTCTTATGTAAAATTTTTTTGATTGACTGTGTTAACCAAGGTGCCTGGCGAGACCTGACCGTGATTGTTTTGTTTGGTATAAAATTTGAAAAGATGTTCAATAGAATCTCATTTAGATTTTTGACTTGACTATTAGGGAATGTGACTCCCGAAAAAGTATGCTCCAAGGAAACATCTCAATTCTTTTCGTTATTGCAGTCACATTTGCTCTATCATAGTAACAAATTTTGCGTTTATACGAAGGTGGAGACAAATTCGTTACGCTTGATTTACCAAAGATAATCTGATGATGACAATGCTCCTGTAAAGAGGGGTGAACACCCGATTCAAGAAATAAATTTGGCTTATCAGTAAATATAACATCGATGCATGATCTTGAATTTCCAATAAAGTGCGTTGGTTCACTTATAAGTTGATGGAGGCCAAAGTCAGATATGAGCGGTTCGAAAAGTGTCCCCTCTTCATTTTCAGTGTCATCTACCCACCAGTTTGTAGAGCGGCAGTTAAAATCCCCCGTTATAATAACACAGTAAGGATTTTCGCCAGACATCTTGGACAACATGAGTTCGAATTTATTCATAAAAGCCTGAAATTCGGATGGGCTCTGACTTGGACTCCGGTAGAGGATGAAAAAGAAGTATTTCTTCTTATCTAGCTGAACTTACACACAATGCATTCAGGTAAAATTGCAAGGTCTTCCCGACTTACTGCTGGAAGAGAATCCTTGACGTAAAGGCTTACACCTCCTCGTTTTATGTTTAGTGGATGGTTTCTTTTGATAAATGTGTATCCATTGAGGTCTAATTTTTTTGAATTTACTGTGCTGTCAATGTGGGTCTCGACAATGCCTATTAAGTCATAGTTATAGATTGAATTATACGCTTCGATAAGAGAAACACGTGCAAAATCGTGCACGCAAATACTATTCAAGTTCCAGGAACAAAAACGGAAAGTACTGTGATGTGGCCCTGGGTTGATTTCAACGTCACCACTCATTGCAATTGTTTTGTTTGTTATCCATTGCAAGTAAAGCGTAGAGGATACTGTGCAAGCGGCGTAAATGAATGTGTATCTAAAAAGCAGTGATTGGAAAATAGAGCGTTTGTTGGGATCGAGAAACAAAAGTGGAAAG